TTGATTTTTTGATGTTGGATTTTAAACTTAACGATTTTGTCCATCTACATGATGGACAAAAATAATAGTGGTCGAGCAGGTGGAAGCAAATTTCCATTTTCACCAGGTGAAAAACGATAGGCAGAAATGATGAGAAATTTTCTGTTTTTGTTTATTCTTTTCTCAAATAAATTCTTACAACTTTAAAATGCTAAAATATTTTTTATTTTTTTTCCGCCCCCTGCATTTTGAAACAGAAACAACTTTTGCAACGAACCGACAAAGTGGTCCCTTTTCATTTTTTTGTCTAACAACGAAATAAAATTCTTAAAGTATCAAGAAATTAATGACAAATGCATGATTCGAAAAAAAGAGTAAAAATTAGTAAATAGCGATTATCTCCGAATCTATTAGAACCATCAAAGTGGTCCCTTTTCATGCGGACCACAAAATAGTAAAATTATTCAATTTGATGTAAATCATCTCAGAAATTAATCGTTTTTTATAAAAACTTTCATAATCTAATATTTCTACATCGTTAAAATTAAAATAATGATTATAATTATTCTGTTTGATGTTTTTTCACAACAGATTCGAGGTTTTTGTTTTTATATTAGCTAATTCTTTTTTTCAAAGTACGTTTTGATTCACCAATATACGTTGCTGGGCAACTATTAGAATTAAATTTATAAACAATATTATTCCTATCCCACTTTCTCGTCAAGTCCTTTCCCAATTTTATTACAGAACTTAAGCTTTGTTCCACAATACGAATAGAAAGTAATTTCCATGGAACTTCTTCAAGATTCTATGGAAATTCTGCTAATTTTTTATTTTAATAATATTTTTACAGCTCTATTATGATTAGAGCCTAATAATAAGCTGAAACACAAATTAATATCAAATTTGGACTTTGCTTCATCAAATTGGAGCTTCTTTTTATTAAAGAAGAACTTTTTCCGAAACACGAAGACTCAGAACTTTTTTAGAATTTATTTCCGATTTAGAAAAAATTTGTTTCTTGAAAAACGACGCTAGTCTTGGTTATTTCTTTAAATAATCTTTTGAGGTGATTATCATATTTGTCCTTTTTTATCAAATTTTAGCTTTATTTATTAAAGAAAAGCTTTTTCGAAACTCGGAGGTATTAAGAGCTTTCTTAGAATTTACTTCCGATTCGGGGAAAATTTATATCTCGAAAAACGACGCTGGTCTTGACAGCTGTTTTTGGAGGCGATTATCAAATTTGGGATTTTTTCATCAATTTAGAGCTTTTTTATTAATGAAAAGCTTTTTCTGTAACATGGAGGTACTTAGAACTTTTTTATAATTCATTTCCGATTCAGAAAAAAATTGTCTCTTGACAAACGACGCTGGTCGCCCACGTAGAAAAATGCCATTTTTGCAAAATGGGTATTTCAATCAAGTTTCACAAATAAATTGCAAAAAAGTTTATTATTAGAATCTAATTATAAATTCCATGGATTTTTCAATCACGTTCGCTATATTTTTCCTGTAATCTACGCGTGAAAATACATACCTATGCAGCGCCGGACATAAATTGAGTAATGCTCTTCAAAGTTTTATTGTCGCTAAATCAATTAAATCCAAATTAATACAACAAATATTGAATAACACAATCGCATGACTGCATTTTTGGTAAATAAAGACTATTGTATAATCACACAACTGCATTTAGATATACAGAATAATTGAAGTTTTCAAAAACCTACTCTTTTTAGGGTTATTTGTGATTTTTAAATTTTTTAAATTTATATCAAATAATAAGTCTAAATACCAAGAATCAAATGCAGCTTTTGATTTTTCGATTTGAAATAAGTAAGAGAGAATATTAAAAATCGCTTTTCTCAAAATAATGACAAATGTATATATAGTTGTGCTTTTAATTTATGCCTTTCTTCCACGAAAGTAAATCTATCTATTAGCAAAAAATAAATAGACATCCTTGTAAGCACCTTTCTGCAATGTATTTGCAAAATTTGATTGAAATAAGCATTTTGTAAAAAAAATTGCAACAAAGCTTATTATTAAACTCTATAATCATGATAGAAATATATGCTAAAAAGAATTAAAATAAAAAAATTGCAGAATTTCCATGGAATCTCCGTGGAAATCCCATGGAGAAGTTAAATACATTTTCCAGGGGGTACTTCCGTGGAATTTTTCGAAGTACGACTAGCGTCGTTTTTCAAGAAACAAATTCTTTCTGAATTGGAAATCGCCTCTAAAAATTATTTTAAAAAAGTGTCAAGACCAGCGTTGTTTTTCATAGGATACAAGTTTTTCTAAATCTGAAATAAATTCTAAAAACTTCTTATATATTGCATGTCAACATTTTTGCTAATAGAATTCGCATACACACGAATTCCTATCAGCATTTAACACGAATTCTGAACGAATTTCGTACGAATCATTTTCACCTATAGGATAAAATGTTTTTTTGTAAAAATTTCTTACAAAAATTCTAATTTTTTTTGGAAAATAATTTGATGGAATTGTCAGTTTCCTTAGAAATTATGTATAAAAATTTAATATTTAATTGATTTGAATGAAAAAAATTTATAATGACTGAGACTGAAATTCTTTGCAAAATATGGCACCCCTAGGCAATGTTACCAAAATGGCCGCAGTTTATGTTCTGTGGAGAGTGCAGTTTTCAAAGAGGAGTGCATACTCTAAGCATTATTTAATATAAATAAAAGGTTTTTTACAAATAATTAATGTTAACGGTTAAAACATTGATGGAGAATGGATTTTAGTAAACCATTTTGCTTTGTGCATGCATATTTTTGAAGGGAAAAAACGCAGTTAGTGATTTTTATTGAAACCACGCCTCATACGTGAGACATGCGTTCAATACATAATGTTGAATAAGAAATGCCTGCTTCCGATTGGTTTTTCCACACCCATGTTCACCCTTGTATGTTGCACGCTGGTTGCACGCATGTAAATACAAAGAGTTGACGCTTGACTGTTTCGTGAGCGAATCGTCCAATGCGACAACATTCAACTGTACTGGCGCACATTTCTTACCCGCCCAAATACGTATGGGAACGATGGGAACTTTACTTCCATTTTAAAGGGGGAACCGGGAAAGAGACCCTTTGCTTTGCCATTACCACTTTAATTCTTAAGATTCAGGAAACAAGGAGTCTGCCTCTGCTCTGCTCTACTCTGCTTCCCCTCTTTCACATAAATGACGAGAATTCTGCTTTCGAGCTTTCGAGCTGCAAGCGTATATGCTTTGTCAAAATTCTACCAGCTAAAACTCAAATACAAATGTCTTGCTTTAATATTTTTAATTATTCCTTTAATTAAATTTAATTAATTACATTTTTTATACAAATGTAGCAATTAGACAATAATACCTACCTATAGAATTTATTTATTTCAAATATCTGAAGGACTTTATCAGATTATCCTGTTAATGATTCCTTTGAATGTTCTCCAGTTCCCAAGCAGCAGCTAATATTACATTAGACATTTGTATTACTTTGCTATCAAAATGGTCGATGCCAAGTTATGCATCACACGCTGATATTTAAATATTCACTAATGTTGAGGCAATATTGAGGTAATATTCAGGGTTGTCACGCTTTTACTCATTTCAAATTCCCTGACTTTTCCAGGTTTTTAAAACTACATTTGTTGCCAACAAAAATTTAATTTTCTTTTTCCCTGACTTTCCCTTCAACTCCAGACAAAATTCTTACTTCTCATTGACTTCAAAAATATTCTCATTCAGTTTAAAAATTATCAATCAGAAAAATGTTCTATTGCTTCTATTTTAAGTAAATATTTAATCATTATTATTATTCCATAAGAATTAAGATTTTAAAAAATTTCAAATTCAAACTTTTTTGAAATTAAACAATTTTTTAAAAATTGTTTTAAAACATGAACAATTGAAATTTTGACGAGAATTTATTTAAACTTTTGACCATAATTGAATTTCTGCGAAGAATTTTATTACTTTTGAAAATAATTGAATTCTTTTGTAAATTTTTATTGAAATAGTAGATATTATAAATAATTGAATTTTGATAAATTATTGAAATTAATTAAATTTTACGAAGAATTTTATTAAAATTATTTTGAAAAAAATCGAATTGTTAAAAGGAATGTTGTCCGTTACATAAAACTATTTGTTGAACTGCATTGCTCCAAAGAGGTTCATTAGATGAGGTCCAAGATGAACTGCTCTTTATGAAAACAGTAAATTGCGCCTGCAAGACCGCAACCCGGAGTCCAGATCTTTGCGAATTATACAAATTCACAATTATCGACAGGGTCGCGTTCATGCACGAGCTTCTTTTAATTGGCGAAGAAAACCAGCTATCAAGAGGCGCTCGTTTTTCACGTTTTGACTCTCTTGGTGGACAGAAGCAAATTTTTTTTTATAATAATAGTAATTTAGTAAACAATTGGTTGACTTTTACTCTAGCCAGGCGCTCAACCTTTACTTTCAACGATCGCCTTTATATCCTGTTATAATCTGAAAGTTCCCTATGAAGAGCCACATAACAGGCTATAATCTATAATCACAACGGTAAGGCCCAACTAGATTGGAAACCTCAGAAATGTAACCAAAATCGTAATTATGCACTGAAAAGATTTTGAGCTAGCAGCTCTGACAGTAGAGCTGTAACACTTTGCTAAAAGATAGATTTTGTTTTTTATGAGAAATTAATATTTTTTATAAAAAAATTCTTAACTTTTTTAATAATGCTATTCAAAAGTCGAAGAAAAATCAAAATTTTCATTTCTTGAAAAAATTTTCTAAATTTAAAAGTTTCAGAGTTATATGCTATTGAAAATAGGTCTACTTTTGATAAGCAAAAATTTCTAACTCAAGATATTAGTCACTTCAATTAAAGTAAAAAATACGTAACTCCTATTTCTCAATAAAGAATAGGATTATAATAAATTGGAGTGATTTGAGGTACTTATGATTAATTAAATGGACAGGGGTCTTGGTTTAAAAGTTTAATTTAACAAAATAAAGAAATATTTGCTTTATTTTCAATTTTATAGAAAAATTTATAAATTAAGTTAAATAAAATACTGCGGATAATTTCTTCTAATAATTGAACGCCATTTATCAGTTCGACCTGAAACAATCGAAAAGCAAGTTTTTTATTTTCATGTCCTCTGAGCAAATTGGAAAACTTGTTAACATTGATTCACTTGTCGTATTAATGCCCAGAAAATTATATATTTATTCAAACCAGTACAAACAAGAAGAGCAGACGACTTAAACATTTCTCCGTGCACCATTTTTTTTAATTTGAAGAATTTTTAAAGTTGAATTACATTAAAAGAAAATTTTAAATGAAAATAAAGTAAAAAGTGAACCATAAGCAAATAGAATCAAATGGAATTTACAATGAGAACAATATTTTTCGGCGTCGCTGATTACGAATAGATCTTAGTTTTTAAAACTTCAAAATGGCGGATCCAACATGGCGGACGACTTTTTTAAAAATTCATCGGATTCATTTAAAATTTGTTACTCGGGGGTTTTTGAGGTCGCTGATTACAAATATGATGTCAGATTACAAACACTCGAAATGGCGGACCAAATTTTAAACATTCATTGGATTCATTTAAAGCAATTTTAATTAATTTTTGAGATTTTTTTGGAAAATTGTTCTCCATATTGAATCAGACAATTTGAATTTTCAAAATCTGGTGCAAAATTGGTAATTTTAGTTCTTCGAAAAGTTATTGTCATTTTGGGACACTTGTAAGATTTTGACTTGACTGCGAAAAATTTAGTTATTAATTTTAAAAAATCATTTTTAATAAAATTTCATAATAAGAAATGCATTTTTTAAAATTTATTTTACCCAAATTCAGTTCGATGTACAATGCCAACATAATCACATGAATCGGAACTTCATATTCTGTATTCTTGGATTTCCATAACTAAAAATAAATGAAGGTGAATATTAAAGAACAAAAAACTATAATAGCTTTTTTGACAAAATTATCTGATTAAAAAAAAAGATTTATTTATTAAAAGTATTTTACCTGTCCTATAATGTCAGCTGATTTATCAAGTTGTCCGCGAATCGCATAGGCCACTGCCATGTTATAAAGCAGTACAGTTTTCCCAGTAAGCAGATTCGTCGGATACCAAGCTATTTAATGAGATAAACTTAGAACATTCATTTTTAAAACAGTGACATCAATATTTAGTAAATAAAAAACAACTCACATTTTGTAGCTTTTCTGTCAATTTCCTCTGCAGTTTCTTTGTCTGCATCCAAAGAGTCAGCAGATGCGACAGAAATGTCAAGATCCAGAAGAGTGTCTGGCTTCAAATACTCGATAGCTTCATTAATTCGATCCAAAAGAATAAGACTTTCTGCGGCGTACAGCTTTCCTAACATTATGTATGCACCTGGGAGATTGTTGATTGCTAAAAGATTTTTAGCATGTTTTAAAGCTGTTGTAGGGTCACCAAGGCACAATGCGATATAAGCACTGGCAGCCAAAATACTTATTTTTAGATTTAAATTTTCAATTATTGTTGTTTGTGACGATTGCATGTTGTGCTGACCTGTTCAAAAGTAAATTAAATATCAAGAATTGCACATAAAAAATTGCACATTAGTTAAGCATTTTAAGTACCTATTACATTAACAGGAAGCGCTTCCGTGCAAACTGGCAATAGAATTAATGCATTTTTCAAGCACAACATTCCGAATTCTAAAGTAAGTTGAGTTATTCCGTAATATAAATTTTTACTGGGATAATTGTTATCCTTCGATAATGATGACGTTAAAACAATTTTCTTATAGGCTCCTGAGACCACAATTTTTTGAACTAAATCTTGACGACGCTTCATGATGTTAAAGTTCGATCCGTTCGTCTAAAAAATAATGTTCATTAAATTCAAGGCCAGTAGTACCACCATTATCCGAATTTCTATCACCCTTTGTTACCGAATCGTTAATCATTTTACCCGATCTTCTATTATCAGAATTATTTGAAAAACTTGCCGAGTTTTCAGAACGACGGTACAATTAATTTAGATAATTAATTTTTATCAATCTTCTTACTTCATAACTGTTTGACAAAAAAATGCCTTTTATCTTCGGTTTTTATAAAAAGAATTGTGATAAAGTATTTATTAACTTACAGGATTGTGATCTAATATACAACACTCAGCCAACCTCAACCAAATCTTAGGACTATTTTGCAACTTATCTATAGCCTTAATAAAACAAGCGAATGCCTTCTCACAATTCCCAGAAACTAGGTAACATATTCCCAAGTTATATTGTAACTCGGAAAATCTGTTCACTCCCAGTGTATAAAGTGGTGGAGGGGCTAAAGGTTCTGCAAAAAATATATTCCTAAAATGAGTAAAATAAGTAACTTAGACTAAGATTAATCAATTTTTCCAAAAGAATTCAATTATTTAAAAAAAAATTTAATAAAATTCTACGCAAACCTTTAATTAATTTTATAAAATACTAAAAATTCCACAGGAATTCAAATATTTTAATAAATAATAAAATTTTTACAGGAATTCAATTATTTTCGTAAATAATTAAATTCTTTTTAGGATTTCAATTATTTTTAATAATGAACTTGAAAATTCTCAAAGAACTTTTAAATTATAAATTATCTATATTTTGTATTTAAATAATTGAATTCTCAAAGAATTTTCTAATAAAAATTGATTTAAAAATTAACATCAGTTAAAATTGTAGTTAACAGTTGAATATTAAAAGTATTATAGCGTAAATTTTTAGAAATAATTGAATTTTTAAATTAATTTTTTTGAAAAAGTTTGAAGTTTTTATTTTCTAATATATTTATTTAATTGAAGAATTTACGAATAATTGAAATTTTGTAAAACTGAATTGTAAACAAATGTATTTAAAATTCTCAAAGAACTTTTTCAAAAATTATTAAAAATAATTGATTTAAAGAAGAATTTTAGTTAAAAATGTTTGTAAATAATAATTGAATTGATAATGATTTTATCACTCGGTCATCTTTAATTACATATTATAAAACATGAAGAAATCGATCACTCCGAATTTTCATGTTTTATAATTATGAATAATTTAATTTATAGTTTATACCTTTATCATCTGTTTGGAAATTTTTAACAGCTTTCTCATTTTCTTCTAATGCCTTGTACAAATAGAAACAGGCTAAGTTTGGTTTATCCAAAGAGTAGTGTATACAAGCCATATTGTTGTAGTATAAAACAGCAGCTGATTCCTCATAATCCCTTAAAATAGAAAAATATATTTACAAAATTGTCTGACTTTCCCTGACTAATTTTCTGGCTAGAAGCATCACTTAAAGTGTTACTAATAATGTTAATCGATTTTTCTTTAAAATAATAAAATTGTTAAGAAAAAGAAAAATTACTTAATTTGTCGTTGCTCTGGCGTTAATGAGTTCAAAAGCATCATGGATTTAGTACATTTCCCTCGTAGGTATTCCACATTAGCAGCCAAAAAAATACTGCTAAGATTCTATAAAAATAAACGTAAAATACTAATAATCTATTAATATGAAAATAATAAATATATAATTATGTTTAAATCTCACCGTGGTCGTCTCCATATTTACAAAACTTTTCCACTCCTTTATGCATAATTTCAACTGATTCGTAATAAGATATATTCTTACTTTACATTTCATCAGCTTTATTCGAAAAGCATCAATTGCAATTTCAGAATTATCTTTTTTTGGTTCCTTCAGTTCTCTTGAAGTTTTGACAAATTCCTCTTTATCTGTTAAGGTAATTTTTGATAAGTCTGAAACTGTAAATTGCCTTTCAATATAATTGACTAGTGTTAAAGCAGCATCCGGCTGTCCCGTTGCAATATATAATTCAATGAGAAGTAAGCACACTTTCTGAGCCAGACTCTCCTCTGAAACTGTAAATTAGTGAATAATTAGTGAAAGATTCGTTTTAAATACCATTAATAGAGACTTAAGATACTAACCTAACGGTTCAATCAGTGAAAACAATCTAATCATTATCTGAAGAGCAGCTTTGCATTGCCTCGTGTGATACAGTAGAATTGCTTGATTGTACCTCATAACGCATTTCTCCACGTCATCCACAGCATCCACTGCATCTGTGCTCCACATTTGGCCGCATATTGCAGTTAGACTTTTCTTGAATATTTCAGTTTGTTGCAAGTTACTCTTGAAATATTCAGCTACTATATTGTTGTGCATAACTTTCAAATCCTTTGGCCTCAGAACTTCCAACTTGTTTAGATACATCAAGCATGACGCGAAAGAACCTTTCTGGAAGGCTGACAGCGCATGTTGAGACAGTTCGCGTTCTTCGTCAGATATGACTGACGCTTCAATGTCTTTAATCCGCGGCTCATTTAATTCATTCATCTCCAACATTCATGTAAATCTGAAAGCAATTTTCAAATTTTAATTAACGATCACTTCTACTGATTAAATTCTTTAAAGCTACTGGATAATTTATTTACTTTCATAATAAAAACAATTAAAATTATTTATAATAATCATTTTTATCCTATTTCAAAATTTATTGAGTGTGTATGAAAAGAGTCAAATTGATAAAGAACTTACTGACTATTCGCTTTTAAGATTGAATATGCTTATTTAATTGACTCAATGGGAGAATTCTAAAAAACACGGCTTTTTTCTGTGTATAAATTTTGGTTTGAATTTTTAGTTTATTTTTATGCAAAAAATAGGTCTTTGATTTTCAATCTTTTTGGGATTACTTGGAGTACGGCATTAGAAATTGTCAAAATAAAATATTGGCAGTACTCGGAACTGTTAAAATATCGTCGCGTCTTACTTAATTTTAAATCTTTAAATTAATTTGAAAAATAAACTCTTTACATTTACCCTAAACGACCCTCCAAGATAAAAATATTAATCATAAAAACATAATTTTATATTTTCAAGTAATAATAAATATAATAGTTTTATTTAAGTTATAATAAAAATTATTTTTTTGTATTTTGGAATTTTAAAAATATGAATATAAGTCTACATTTTAAAAAATATTTTAAATATCAGAAAATTATATTTTCTTAAACCTAACCTCAAGAAAATTGCACATACTGATATTTGGATGATTTTAGAGTTAATTTCAAAACTTTGTCCCAAAATGATTTAAAAAGTTTATTAAGAATCTTATTGCATTTACAATGAACCCATAAATAGTTAATGAGATTTTAAAAGAAATATGGTTTATACACAAAAAATAATAAATAGGTAATTAATAGATAAATATTAAATTCTTTAATTTATAAATAAAAAGTTGTTTTTAATTTAACTGCTTATTTCTAAATCGTTCTAAACAAATTACCGAATTTGCCGAGTTACCATGGTAACAAACCTAAGATACTGCCTATAAATTGCTGATTTCTTTGGGGATCGAAAATTAATAAATTATATTTCATATTTACAACATAGATAATCAGGTCAATATTGATCATTGTTCACATTTACAATGTGATTAAGAATTTATTTAAAAATGTAAAATTCGTTTAGTAAAAAATGATTCTTCCTCGACAATTAGTTCCTTTTACCCTATATGCAATGTAGGCCAAAAAATATTTGTATGCTCAAAAACTTACCATTGATTTACAAGTTTATTATCAAATTTATAAAATTCAAATATTTATTTTTTAAAGTACATAAATTTTGGCTTATAATAATAATCGTATACTATACTATACAAAACCAAGAAGACTAGAAACAGGAGGGATATCTTGACAATACTGGTAGGACTTTGAAAACAGGCGTGTTGAATGTTGTAGATGGATTTATAATGCCATCTCTCTCGTTCTCTCGCTCTCTCGTTTTTCTGTTCATATGAGACTGCACCCTTATGAATTCACCTTTATTATGTGACACTAGCTTTTTTTTACCTATTGTAGAAGTTCCCTTATGTCTATATATAGCTTTATATTATGTTTACCGGCTTTGTGAAAATGTACAGTAATATTTGACTTTTGTTTATTTTATCTAATTATTTCTATGAAACGTTAATAATTAACTATCAATCACTATCAAAGGACCACAACAAAGGTTTAAAAAAACAAGTTTGTTTTCATTAAAGTTGTGGTGCAAACTTGACGGAATCACGGACATCCGGCATTGTTTATCTTTATTTGTTCTCTTTTGAGAACCATTTGAGAACCGCAGAAGATAAGAAAATTTGGAAAATTTATATAAAAAACCAAAATTCTTTGGTTAGTTGTGCAAAAAGTGTTTTACTTTAAGGTAATTGAAATGAATTGTTTAAATTTGTAATATTTAATCTTACTGGACTTATTTTTGTTCCAGATATCTACTATATTTCATTCATCTAGTTCTCTTATATTGACTGATACAAGTGTTATATATTTTTATAAGAAAACAACTTTTAAAAAACAATGGCATCCAGTCAGGTAACTATTTGATTAAGTAGCTTTTGTCTATACATCACTTTAAGACAAAAATTCCTAAAACTATATAAATTTTTATCTGAAATTAGTAAAACTTACTTTATTCTAATACAAATACCATAGAGAAAAACGAGAAAGAATTTAAATTATTATAAAACGTCATTAAATAATTATGTTTTAGATCGACAAGGTTCTAAACCTGTACAAGATTCTTCAGCTGAATCCCACGTTGAGCAAAGCCAGAATTACGTCAGTTGCAAAAAATGGAATTACTATTCAGAGTCAATGGGCTCAGAAAAATATGGAGAGAATCACAAAGCAAAAATTTATACAGGACTTTTGTCTTGACGCAGACTCTAAACTTCTCCATAAAAGTTTCCCCGTTGATGTCTCAAATGAGTGTGTATTCAATATGCTAACAGATATGGGTAAATCTCACGAAAAGGGGACTTTTTGTTATAACAAAATTTATTTTTCAAATTAGTGGCACATTTTTTTACTATAAGTTATATTATTTTTTTACCAAATTTTCAGAAAAAGTTGAAAATGCAATTACCGTTATAAACGGCTCATTACCTCGGATATTATAATTCGCACACTTGTCTAATTTATCTTTTTCTATCCATCACAACCCATAGATGAATGACGAAAAATCCCAAACATAAAAAAGATTGCTCAGAAAGTTGTCGCTTAATGAAAATTCGATTTTATGCGAGTTACGTCAAGAATTTCTCAATTTCTACAATTTTAATGAAGAAATCAATTGCATAGTTCTTTAATTTTTACTAACAAGAATTTTTTTATATCTCATAGTCTCAAAATAGTATTATCAAATGTATAGAAATGTGGATTAACAATATGGAAGCTTTTTGTGGTACCCATTTTGTCCCCATGTCGTGAGATTTACCCATATATCACTATAATAGATCAAATAATAGCAATTGAGTCCAGTGTAACAATTTAATAGCATTAATTAAAAACTAAAATTAAAAATCCATTTATTGGATTAGAGTTAAAATGGTATAAGGGAATTGCTTCTATGGAATAAAAATCTCATCTTCTACTTAATATTTATTACAGAATTTTGAGCACATTCTCAGAGGATGAACAGTATAAAGCAATTTTAAGGCAAGTTACAATAGACAATACTTCCAAACAATTCATCGAAATCTGGGATAGACAACATTTACTTAAAAATTATGATCTCTCGGTATATGATGCACATGGAGACATTTACACTGATGGTAATTTTTACATTGAATTTAATTATTCGTTTAATAATATTAATCGATTTTATTCAAATTTTATCCGGTTAAGAAATTAAAGTACCTAATCAGTTTTTATACCAATCTAAATAATTAATTTTCACACTTATTTTACTCACTTGTATGATATTTCTTCATAGATCAATTTGGTTCGTTTCAATTTTCCCCGGATAAATCAAAACTACTTTATGTTGCTGAGAAGAAGCCACAGAAAAGCGAACCCTTCTACAAACAAAAAACCCAAGAAAAGAGGGAAAAGGAAATGAAGGACTCGGAAGTAATATCAAGGGTAAATGATTCAATTTATAGTTTATAATTAACATAAGTATTTTTTACAAAGAGAGAGATTGAAAAATGTTCAAAAACAAATGCGAGCCTTGGACAGACTATAAGATCGGAAATGACAAAAACTGTTTATTCTAGGGAACGGAATATGTCTTCAAACCACATTGGGGTGAACAGTTGGTTGGCAAGCACAAATCAGTTGCTGTAGTTATTGATATTAATGACGATACGTTCAAAATTAATTCATTTATCCCTGAAGAATATTTCGTTGGACAATTGACTTGGACTCCAAATGGTGAAGATTTAGTTGGTGTGGCATGGAAATGCCACACCAACCAAAGATACTTAGGATTAGCTGCCTGCACAAACAGAGCTAGTTGGATCTTTCTCTTAAAAGCTTCTGAATTCCGTAAACAAATTTCTATAACAAATAGATGAATTTAAAGAATTTGAAGTAAATATTAAGAATAGGAAAAAAGGAATTTGGTGCCTGTCTATAACACAGTAATTATTTATGATACAAGTGAGCGAATTCATTAGCATTAATTGTCTGCTAACACAAAAGTATACGGAAAACAGCTTTGACTTTCTTGCCACCAATTCTTTTTTCCAATTTTTCTATTCCAAAATTTAACAAACAGATTATTAAACTTGGGCTAATCGATGTTTACAATAAAATACTAATAGAGTCACTAGTAAAGTGTCACAGCGAAAAGAAAAGAATGTAGTAGTAAGCTAAGATATTCTCTTCTTTACGCTGACACTATGTATTAATATTCTGTAGCAGACATCGAATAGCCCAAGTTTCATAATTAAATGTTGAAATAAAAAATCTTTCCATGTAGTTTATAGAAAATAAGTAAATTTTTAATTGAATAATTTTTGTTCCTAAATGTAAGGAAAAATATCAACTGATGGATGTGCTGCACGTGCTCCGCGATTCAGTCCCGATGGAAAAAGTCTCGTGTGGTTGGAGCGAGATTTGGGAAGCGCACATCATTCTTGTCACAGATTAATGCATTTCAAATGGGAAGCAGATGAAAAAGTAAGAACTTTCAAAATTGAGTTTTGAAAAAGTTAATTCAAGAGAAATAATATTTTCAGGCAAACGCACTAATAAATATTGTTCCTGATTGCATATCGATCGCTGAAGATAAAAAATTCCATGGACTGTACAATCAGAGCCTACCTCGTCGTTGTTTCAGTGAAGATTCTCTATATGTTTTCTTGAGTACTCCCCAAAGATATAACATAAAATCTTATGTGGTCAACATTGGTAAACTACAGCACTTATAATTTTTCTGTTGATATCTCCCTTTTACTATACATTTTAATAAAATTTATTGTTCTGCAGAGACGAAAAATTTGGTAGAAATTCAAAATAATGGCAGCAGTTTATTTGTTCTTGATGTGACGGAAAATAGAGTTTTGTTGAACAGAATGTCTCTTATTGAACCGCCACGTCTAGTCGTGGGACGTTTCAATCCTTCAGCTGAGGCCACAAAACTGTCCAATTTACATTTGCTGGAAATTACGAAACCTGTCGTGATGCCAGAAGGAATGGAGAATTTTATCATTGAAAATGTTGATTACAAGTATAATTCTGAGGAAGAAGTCGGTGAGTATTTAAAATATGTTTACATGACTCAAGTTTTCTAAAGTTCCTCTCTCTGTCAAGAAAACTCAAAATAAATTGTCCAGACAAATTATATATTTGAAATTATAATTTGAAAAATCGTCTAAACATGTTTTAGATGAATTTAATTACTCTTACTTCGGGGGAAAAAGCAGTGAAGAAAAAACAATGCCCTGGATTCTCAATCTGCACGGTGGACCGCACTATTCCTATGATAATTCTTTCTCCATTGAGGCTTGTATTTTAGCCGTTTTAGGTAAGCAATTCTAATTTTTTAAAAGCAATTTTATCTATGAGTTTGGATATTTAAAAATGATATTCTTACGAATTTAATGCAATTGAATAAATTTCGTAGGTTTCGGTATTGTGCACGTGAATTATAGAGGATCGGCAGGAGCGGGCGATAAAAACATTAATTACCTACTGGGTAAAGTAGGCGAAGTGGACGTTGCAGATTGCGTCACTGCCACCCACGACGCATTAAAAAGGTACCCGTGGCTTGATCCAAACTACATCGGATTGAGAGGAGGTTCCCATGGAGGATTTTTGGTTTCTCACCTCAGCTCTCAACATCCCGTAAGTCATTGAAACGAAACAACTTGTTAAACAGAAAAATAAAAAATCTGGACCACTTTTAAAATTTGGGATTATTCGTAAAATAAAATTGACGAAATGGGTCATTTTCATGCAGACACACATATAATTATATTATACTAATTTGCAGGATCTGTATAGAGCAGTTGTTTCATTGAATCCTGTGACTGACATCGCAGCTATGTATGCTACATCTGACATCCCCGATTGGTAATTCAAACAAACTTGTTACATTTATAAAAGGGAGGATTTATAAAAATCATCAACAATAACAAGAAATTATTTCATTAAAATCATTATTTCCTAGGTGTGCAGCTGAAGCCGGAACACCCTTCATTGAAGCTTTACCGCCATCAACAAAGGAGACAAAATATTCTGAAATATACCTTAAGATGTTCAGTCATTCGCCAATCGTCCATGCCGACAAAGTCAAAGCCCCCACTTTACTTCTTCTGGGCAGCAATGACTTACGAGTACCATTTTCCCAAGGAAAACTTTGGTACAACCGATTGAAGGCAAACAACGTAAAGACAAAGTAAGTAATCTATTCAGAGAAAAATGAAAATAAAAAATTTTGTTGGCTTCTTTTATAATTATAAAAGTGATTACTTGGTAAAATAAAATTTCGAAACTTATTTTAATTATTTACTAATATTATTAATATTATTTTTATTATTTAATTATTTAATTATTTATTTTTTAATTATTTATTTAAAAGTGATTACTTGGTAAAATAAAATTTCGAAACTTATTTTAATTATTTACCGTGTGATTCATGCAGGATGCACATTTATGAGGACAATCACTCATTGGCAACTGATTCGGCAGAAATAGATAGAATGATCAACTGTATACTCTGGTTGTTGGAACACAATTCTAAGTCTATTCCATCGGAGGAAAAAGACGTTGACGGCAAATCATAAAAAAAGGAAACGAGTTGAGAAAACAAAGTAAACCTTTTTTATTCTTATACAGATACTTGATATTTTATACTTTTATACTTACAAAGAAGTATAAATATAGTAAACACGTATTTTTATAATCCAGATTTTTGTAACAAACAATATTCATTATTTTACTACAAAATACGAAACATTAAAGTTTATTTACATCCCGTAATAAAATTTTAATTTACTATACGATGATTGTATTTTGTGCTTTTTACCATTTGAAAGAACAAATTCCATCATATATTATAATAAATATTTTATTTGGAAATTTTTTTTATTATTATATACAAAATAAGTGTAATATAAAAATACATTGATCAGTTTTTCATCTTAAAGAACTTATGAATGTATCCAGGTAATCCGAATTTAATTGATAAGACATCAGTATCATTGAAATATACCGTGAAGTATCCTTAGCCTTTATAAAACTCTTCAGTTGTGTATCAATTAGGCTTACCCTGTCAAGTTACAATATAACATATAGCAAAACAATATTCAATTACATAATTTCAAGTTTGTTTTAATTTAAAAAAATACTTTTATAACTGTAATTTTAGTCTACCAAAAAGTTATTTTGAAATTTGTTTCAAAAACAGAAATTCTTGCACTGTTAAATTTATGCAAATAAATAAATAATTTACAAAATCAAAATCTGATTAGAAATAAATGCTTAAATATTAAGTTTTTATTAGAATAAAAGAAATTCCCAAAGTGATCTTAAATGATAAGTAACTAATAATTTATTCTTTGTAAAATATTACTTACATTTTTATCATAATGAGGCCAACAAGGTTCCATTCAACAGACATAAAATTTATATTTTCAGGCGTCAAAGCAAATGTGCTTACTATTCCTTTAATTACTCTAACTCTTTCTTTGCTGTGCGAATATAAACCTGGTGAACATTGCAGTAGATCTTTCAACCTATATGACATGAAATATGAGTATGATTTTTTGACAACAATATTGTAAAAATGGATTGTATTTATCTAAAAAAGTTAGCTGCTATCACATCAATCTGACAAAAAATATAAAATGTACATTTTTTCGATTTTTTGTAAAAAAGTCGTAACTTTCGTTCAGCTTTATATTTTTTAATCAAATATGGCTGTGATTTTAAGTTACGCTTATACTTTGATCGGTCAAGCCGTTTTTAAGTAAAGTTTGTACAAAATATCGACGACAGACAGAATTTTTATTTGTGTCATATTTGGAATCTTTACTACTTAAAATGATAAATTAGGCAAGAAAAAAATTAATTTTGAGCAATGTACACACAAAAGTCTAATTTCATTAATATATATATGTATTTGATTAAAAATGAAAGGTTTAATTTAATACTTACACATTATTTATTTTATCTATAAAAATTCTACGCCGGATAGCATTTGGAGCTTGGGAGTCAACCAGAGGAGCAACTGAACTCTCTTCTACTGCTTGACTTTTATTGCTCACGTCTTCATTATTCTCAGTTACAGAGCCACTTAAATATGATCGTACCTATGAATGGACCAAAGAGCAAAATTATATAATAATTTATTTATTAAATATAAACTAAGCGATTCTCAAATAACGAAAAGCACATTAATTAACCCAAAACATTAATAAAAATTGTAATAAACATTTCTTATAAAATCAAATTCTTTTTAAAACAATACTGCAAATTTAGAATGGAAAAATACGTATTACTTTTATGTTACCTTCAATTGTAACTGTTTGCCTTCTTCTTGTAAAACTTTATAATCTGGAACGGGTTTAGAAATGGCATTATCATCAGTTTCAGTCTTCCTGCATTCCATGTCCAACTGAAGCTCATCCAACTTTTGACAAAGAGTAGCGTATTTTTCATGTTTTTCTATACCTTGAAAAATTTGATGCTTGTCATTTTCTTCTCCGAAAAGTAATCGTAGTGTATCTTCTGTAATCCACTCTTTAAATATACTTTCAATTCGTTTAACTAATGAGCCTATAGAGTCAGCGTTATTGTTAGACTTTTTCGACAATTTCCTTTCCTTCTGAAACAATGACTCCTTCCTTTGCTTCAAATTCAATTCATTAGTTAAAAGTTTAAAATTATCATTTGCTACCAGATCTTCCACAAGAAAAGGTGTTACTTGTACTTGATCTGAATTTTGAGAATTAACTTCAAGTTCTTTCTCTTCAGGTGGTAATTGAAAAGTAACGCATTTCCCTTTAACTTTACGAGAAGTAGGCAATTCGCTATCAATTTCATTAACGTCTTCACCTACGTTGCTCTCTGCTTTAGGATCGTCTGAATTCTTATAAACAACTTCTTCGCCCGGAATATTACTTTCTTCATTTTCAGATAAGAATCGAAATTCCGGGGACTTTTCGTCTTCCCTCAACCAGAGAGGACTTGACAACATCTGCTCCAATAGGTAATTTGCCGCACAGTAACAAAATGAGCTGCAAAAGTGTTTTCTTCGACTAACATCGTAAACTTTATTTCTTGCAGTTGATATGTGATAACGTTGATTTATTACTTTAGTCAATACATTTTTGCAGAGAACGTATCCACACAACTTGTCTATCGCTCTTTCTTCAATGACGTCCTCCATGTGACACTTATTTATATGATTCAACTGTAACAAATAGAAAAACATCAATTGCGAGGAAGAACCATTTGCACAAACCATCAAATTAAAAATAATTATTTACATTTTCCAGCAGCCATTGGGAATTAATGTCAGGCTCAAGTAATCTTTCCACTAATGTCTGTGCTTTTGCGTCTAATTCCCTTTTCTTAATAATAGCTAGTTGTATCTGGGCTTTACTGCAAATTAAATAGTTCATCTTATTATATACATTAAATTAATTCCGTTAACCAAACACAATTTAGAATTGATCGAAAGGATATTTGATGTTGTCAATATTGCTGCAAGTTTAAATGCTGTGAAGATGTCTTTTTGAATACCGTGTGAATACCCAATGTAATATTGCAGTGATATCAAGATAACTTTACATTGCAGCAGCATGTAACTTTATAACCTAAAATACCGCCTGTAATTTTTATGATTTTTATGTTGAACCACGGATTAATTTAGCAATTTTACGGACAATTATTACTTTACATTAAAGTATCATTTTTGCATTAGATAAATTCTTTGACAAAAATATTTTGCTTTTGTAAACATGGTAAAAATCTTGCTTTTACAGTGAAAAAACATCGACATACGTTCAAGGAAATGATAATATGTTTAATAAAGAAACACTATTTATTAAATAACTTACGTCATTCTTTTTTTCCTTTTCATGTTTGATGCATTTCCTTTTAAAGAAGACATTTTCCGGATTTATATTCTTGTTTATTCACTTCTTTTATGACTTCTTGCCAGTCGAACAAAATAAATGTCAAGAATATCTCCTATTTGTTTACATGATATTTCTTAAGGTCTTTCTCCAATAGGACCCTAAGACTGTGTCCACAATGGGGATATCTTCGCACCGCGCACGTATGACGTTCTCGTTTCTAAGACATGCAAAAGAAAGTGACAAAGGCTGTCTGTGTCTTTTTTTCTCATGCTCTGTTTCCCGTTTTGTGTCTGAACGCACCCTTAATTGAAGGACATTTTCATTTTCGTCGACCGAGGTTCGTGTGTATTCGGAAACATTCGTTTCCTTATTTATTTTTAAATAAATCATTTCATTTAATCGAAAACACATTTCATTTAAAATCAGTTGATCGATTAACCGAATAAATTTTGGACAAAATTACTTTTGCATATTAGAATCAAATAGATAATTTATGATATTGATGTGAGCCAATTTTTAAAACGTTACATTGTAAAAATTTACAAAAAGAGTAGAGGTAATTTGGGTATGTTTGCCCAAAACAAATTTTAATCGATAACAATTTATAATTGAAAATAAAACTGGAAAATTTAAAAGATTTTTATAAAATGAAAGAAAAAGATTTTCATAATTTTTATTTCTCAATTATATTTTTTGGTTACAAAATTTTTAGGAAAAAGAATTTATGTAATTTCTGTTTTTTAATCACAATTTTGAACATAATTATATTCGTAAAGATTAAAAGTTCTGTGATAATAAACTTATTCAAATTATCATTAATTTTTTGTCATAACATTATGTCATAAGATCAGAAAAAAATCGAGTTTGAAAATTTTTTAGTAAAACAAAACTTTTATTTGTAAAATACTGGTTCTAGGATTTAAAATAAATTTTAGCTTAAAAGAAAAAGGGAAAAGGAATTTAAGGAAATAATTTAACAGTACGTATTGAATATATATATAGTACAATTTACTTATTTTCATTAAATTTGTTAAAATTCTACAAATCATAATAATCATAATAATTATCATAATTGTTATCAAAAAGTTATAAAAAAAAATTTTTAGGTTGCCTGAATTTAACTGTATTAACAGAATATTGAAATTTCGATAGGTCAACAACAAATTAATAGTCGCAGAATGAAATTTTTTTTTAATTTCTAAATGATTTGCTGCAATCGACAAAAGATAAAAAAATGTTTAATCAGAGACGTACTGTTGCACGTTAAAATACTATTCAATAACATGGTCAATAAATTTTTCTATTTTGTTGATTTATTGCAATGATAAACACACCTTTATTTTGACTGGACTAGAGCACTGAAACTAATTGTTAGAATTTCTTAAAAAAAATTGAAGGTTGAACTAAAAAAAAAACCAATACGCCCAACGCTTTAAACATTAAACAATGTATTTGTCTTGTCCTCTCTGGACACAACAATGTTCATGAAAACCTGAAACAGAAATAGTATTATTAGCAATATGAAACATCAATTTTTTCTTTTCAAGTTATTAAAAATTACTTATTGCAAAATAGTTATTACAAACGGAAATTAAAGAGGCATAATTACACAATTCACACACCTCTGGATAAACGAACTAAAAAAACAAGCCCACTTCGTATCGAAATATCCAAACAAATGGCCAAGATATGTTAGCTGACACAGCGTACACTCAAATCCTCCAGTTGATGAACTTGAACGTTCACAAGATGTGTATGAAATGGAGAAGCATCTTCACACAACCTTCTTACCAAGATTTTTCTTTTGTTATTCCACAAGGTATCCTCTAGGGACTGTCCATGGACTGCAGTATTTACGAAATATTAAATACGAGTTCGAGATTATGAAGGAAAGGAACTTACACAACTTATCGTCCAATGTATATTTCATCATTGCAGTAAATCATCAAACTAGACTATTCTTCACGATACTTGCAAACTTTTATAATACAAACTTCTATGACGAAAGTCTTTTGATTGAATTCAACTTTTCACTTTTGTCGATTCAAGCAAAAAATTTGGTTCTTACTATTTATAGATTTAAGCAAATGAAGCTCTTCGACAATCTCTGATTTGACCAAATGACATTTATGGATTTGGTAGAAAGCGAACAACTTAAACTAGTTGTACTTAGTGTTTTAAATTTACTAATTTTATATGAAAAAATATATATTATGAAATGTATTTAACATTTTCAACAAAGTTAAGGAAATCCTTGCCTGGGAGTTGACCTTCCTGGAAGTGGCGAAGCAGAACAATCTATAGCCAGAGAATCCATTTGCGTCGGTACCATTGCTTGGGATTCGTTTGATGTACTTACCAGCTTCTTATGCAAAGATTCGTAAAGGCTATGCACTGCTTCATTATGCTAAAAAAAATTCATTGTTTAGAAAATACATTCAGCGCCTCTACCATCAACATAGCGACTAAATATAGATAAGTCAAATACAAGATATGAAAAATTACCCAAATTTCAGAAAAATTAAGTATCTGTTTGACTAAACTAAACATTTAGTCAAATATAAATTCATCTAAATAATAATTTGCACACATTGAAGATTATTGGAACATTAATTTTTAATAATCACATTTGGTTGCAATTTAAGTTTTGAAATATTTGTTACACATAAAATCTTTGCAAAACTGTAATTCTATATATTTAAGAAAAAACCAAAACAAAAGTTTTGGTTAAAATTATTTCCGTTTAACATTCATTAACATTCATTGAAAAAACATTCTGTTTGTTTTTTTTCAAAACATTCTCTTTTTGGTTTACATGTTTGTGTTCTAATGCAAGAAAATATAATATATATATATATATATATATATATTTCTATATAACGAATGAAAACTCTACTTACTTGACCTGTCGGTTGAAGAGCTTTCATCAGAGTATGTAATCGAGCTGGAGGTAATTTTGCATGAATGTACCACAGTAATTTTAATAAATGGCGAATCACATTATCTCTTCCCAAACTCGTTAAAAAGAATTCGTCAAAAATAACCGTGCAGAATGATTCATTTGAAAATTCATCGGACAAGTTTACGATAAGTAGGGAAACCTACAAAATTTTTATTCACTTTTTAGTATTAAAAATTTATTAAAATTTTAGAATAAATTCTGATAAATTAGTATGAAAATTGTAGGAAAATAATTCAAATTCTATTGAAGGAAATTGCAGTTACCAGTTTTTAACAAACGCACCAGTGTATGTAAGAATGGATCTTCAAATGCCCTTTGACCTTGACAGTTTGGTAGCGTCGCTAAGACTCTCATGAGGCCTCGCGCATCGCCTCGTCCTCTGGCAGTGACGCCGCCACCCCCGCCTCCCACGTGGAGGGCATAGTACATGGACAGGACAGCAGCTACGCCAGACAGTTCTGCGTAGGCTTGACAAGCGTCTGGCGGCGGTCCAGAGTGTTCTATTATCGCAATGGCACTTTCTCTCTCATCAGGAGGAAGCTTTTGATTCAACTGTCGTATTTGATCGTCTACCTACACAAATTTTTTCATTATTTCTAACGTACAATTTCCATTACAAATTGTAAATTGATCTACATACCATGAGAGACATTAGTGCTGGAAGAAACTTGGTAACAACTTGACTATCAAGTTTGGGTTCCTTAAATTCTTGCGAGTCAATCATTTGCCACGCGGACAAGCCCAAGGCGAGCATTCGCAAAAGTAGAACTAAAACCGCATTTTCTCTAGGAAGTGAATCTCCATTAATAAGATGAAGAGCAATTTTTATTGCACTACTCGCTAGGAAATTTACTGCGTACGGATCACAAAGGATCATGCTCAGGTCGCCTAATACCTGTTCTTGTCCTCTCTGAAACAAAGTACATATTACTTACGACTCTCGGAAATTTGTAATAACAAAAAAGAACATTTCCAACTAATCCACTTCATACCTTAATGCTGTCGAGAAATCCTTGCAGTTCTCTCGACCTTTTTACATCGACGTTCTTCTCCCTGATACAAGCGTCCAAACACCACGTGAACTTGTGACATGGGTCTACTGATATAATGTCTTGCACCTATTTACTTGAATGTGTCAATACTTTCTTTCTTACTTTAAATAATAATGAAGAAGGATATTGTTTTTCAATTACAACATACCTCTAGATCGTGCAATGCCATTAACAATTCTGCCCTTAGCGTGCAATAGTGGATATTTTTCGTTCGCAAAAACAGAGTTCGAAGAAATTGTAAGACCATATCGTACAATTTAATGCTGTGGCCAATCATGTGAGCCAGTTTTTGAACTACTTCTCCCTGTCGCCTAACCTAAAATAGAGTCATTATGAACTTGTAATACTTTACTATTTGATTATAGGTAAAATTATTCAGGTATTCACCTTCGGTGAAGGAGTGAAAAAAAGACTGTTCAAGTTCTGATGGTCGAAAAGAACTTGTTCCTTTTCCATGATATAACCGCTAAACAATGGAGATACTTCATCCCCAAATAAACTTTGATTATCTTTCCAAATTTGTCTCTTAACTTCAGTATCCGCGTCATTATACAATTCCTTTTCTCGAACAAGAACTTTCAGATATTTATCGTCAATGTGAGGAGTATTTCGAAGAATACACATAACAACTGGCCTGAGTGCAGGAATTCTTACAGCTGGAAAACTTTTCGCCAACATTTCCTTCAATTTACGATCGGTTGCTGAACTCTTATCTCCTCTTTCCGCTCCAATCTCATTTATTCGCTTAATAAGTTTTTCTCTTAACTCTTCCAGAACCGAAGCATGAAAATCTAACCTTCGAACGCCATGAAGATCCAGTAAAGGAAGCATAGGTCGCAATGAGGGTAACAGGATTCCATTCTGCATCTAAAATGTGTTTTTATAAATAATTATTAATTATAAAGGCAACATTCTTTCATTTATCAAATAATTACTTAGTGACTGCTGCTGATTAATATAATAACATTAAAGAGGCACACGAATTGTTGCTTTAATTGTTCCTTGACAACATTGTATATATAAATAATATAAAAACCTCTTACACGGCACATAAGATTCGCAATTCGTGCCTTTCAATTCGACTGAATAGTCGGTGGGAAATTTCATTACAATAATTAATTGGACAATTACCTGAAACTCCTCAATAGCTTTTAGTGGATCTTCACAACTAGTTAAAGCATCTCTCAGTGAATTTTGACCTGGAATACCAAGTTCTTCTAAACTATCAACAGGTGTACCATTATTCCTTCGCACGTTCATATTTGCGGGTATTTTATTCTATATCCAAATTCAAGCAATAAATTGATAACTTGTTTTTCTTATTCTAATGAACAAAAATAGAAACTTTCATTTAAAATTTCATTGAAAAAAAGCATTAGGAAACAATCATTTTCAATGGATATCAAATTATTTTGTTAAGTATATATTCAAGACGCTATTTCCAGTACTGTAACCAAACTGTAACCATACCGGGTGACACCGGGCAAGCCAATGAGTGCCAATGAGTTAAGAGTTAAGTCCAACGCACAATAGTTCGCGAAGGTCATTCGCGAACGAAACGCATATGAGATAGACAAGGACACAAATATATCTCTGTCCTTTCCTAACTCATGCTTTGCGTTCGCGAACGACTTTCGCAAACCTATTGTGCTTAGGCCTTTTACCCCATTTACCCATAGTTATATATTAGCATATAAAGGCAACTCGAAAGCAATTTTCAAAGTTTCCCATACGGAAACTACCTATTAAGGTGCTTCTATACCTCCGGTGGATTGGTCAAGCAATCGGCTCGATGAATTTTCACGGTCGGAAAATGTACTTTCATGGCGGGTATTTTTGAATAAGTAAATGTTGAAAAGGTTTTTACTTGAAAATTTATTTAAAAAAATGATTTTATCATAGAAATTCTTTTGAAATTTATGTTAAAAAACATGTTTTATTTTAAAAGTTATCAAATTTTAATTCAAAATGTTTTAATTTTCCAAAGAAGTGTAAAAAGCCTAATGTTTTTGAAATGCTAGTACAGACGGTACAGACTGTTTGTTATGAATGTACATAACCTAGCGTTGTGTTGTCGTGCTTGTGATATTATTATTATATTCTAAATTTAATGATTTAATTATATTAAATAATAATGAACAGACAACACAACGCTAGGTTATGTACATTCATAACAAACAGTCTGTACCGTCTGTACTAGCATTTCAAAAACATTAGGCTTTTTACACTTCTTTGGAAAATTAAAACATTTTGAATTAAAATTTGATAACTTTTAAAATAAAACATGTTTTTTAACATAAATTTCAAAAGAATTTCTATGATAAAATCATTTTTTTAAATAAATTTTCAAGTAAAAACCTTTTCAACATTTACTTATTCAAAAATACCCGCCATGAAAGTACATTTTCCGACCGTGAAAATTCATCGAGCCGATTGCTTGACCAATCCACCGGAGGTATAGAAGCACCTTTAGGGAACTTGTACAATAGATGCAAGAAGGCCAGTCCAATCAATTGCATGCATTTAAAGGTCGTGTACACAACTGATTCATGAAGAACGTCATTTGCGAAAGCAAATCTAGAGTCAAAAAAGGCAAGATATATTTTGTCCTTTTCTATCTTATGTATCTTGTTCGCGAACCTTTGTGCATTGACTTAAAGGCCTTTCTCCAATAGGATCCCAAAAGCATATTAAGTCGCTATGGCAACATATGCTGACAGCTTGCAAAGCTGTGAATGCACCTTTATATACCCCTTCTCCAGTGGATATTCCTACCACATTTCCGACTAGTGGCAGTGTTGAAATACGCAAAAGAAAGACAATTTGTAAACCCCTTCTTGTATTCTTTTGCGCAGACGCCGTATTTCAACACTGGGTGTTTACGACCAGAGCTGCCAGGTACCCTCACCAAACGCAACTGCGCTTGCGCTACAAAAATGATCTTATTAGCGAAATGAACCGCGCATTTTTAAAACGTTTAATACACAGTCGAGAGCGAACGTATTTGATTGTGGCGCCTGTATATCCCCGTTTTTAAAAAGTCCAAAATGTAATTTGATCAAAATTACAAATTGTCAAACGTTAAATCCATATAAATGTCATTCGATATAATGTGGCTTTACACAAACGTTTACTTAATATAATGAGTTTATCCAAGAAATTGTTTTTCAGCAAATGGGCTAAATTATTCAAAATAATATTTTAGTAACCATCTTGTCAAAAAAGCAGCGAATCAAAGATTATCTGTTTAGACAAGTCACCCGTAGAGGAACTGTAATTTCTTTGTCAACATTTTCTATTCTTCTAAGGTTAATTTTAAATTAAAAAAAAAATTTTCAATAAAACAATGTTTCAATGAGAAGCCTACATATAGAGTTAAAAACAAGAGAAAAAAAATATACCTATTTATTAATATAAACAATAATTAAACATTTAAACTAACCTCAAAATTAACCTCAAAATAAAATTTCAAGACAATATTTATCCTAATTAATTTTCCGAACTGGTGTCGCTCGTTCCCTTATAAAAAATGAAATTAAAAAGAAAGTAGGAAAGAAATAAAAAAGAAGTAAAAGGTAAAGAAAGAAAGAAATAAAAACGAAGTAAAAAGTAAAGAGCGAAAGAAATAAAAAAATTAGTAAAAAATAATGAAAAGAATAAGGAAAGAAAGAAATAATAAAAAGAAGTCGAAAATAAAGAAATAAATAAATAAAAACGAGGTTAAAAATAAAAAAAGGAGTAAAAAATAAAAAAGAAATAATAAAAAGAAGTCGAAAATAAAGAAATAAATAAATAAAAACGAGGTTAAAAATAAAAAAAGGAGTAAAAAATAAAGAAAGAAATAAAAAAGAAGTAAAAATTAAAAAAAGGAATAAAAAATAAAGAAAGAAATAATAAAAAGAGAAATAAATAGTAAAAGCAAAGCAAAGAAAAACAAAATGTTCGAACTAGAAATAGAATAATTTACCAAACGAAATAAAAATTAGTGCTGCTTTTGAAACTGATTTCCATTTTCCATAAAATATTAAAATTGCAAATATGAATTCTCTTTTCTAGACAAAATTCAGTTCGAGAACAAGAGGATGGGTTGAATTGCCCTCGGATTCGGAGTGCAGAGCAAAAATTAAATTGAGATTGGAGCACTGCCTCAAAGACAAGGAGGATTCGAGGAGATTATCACAAGCGAGTCAAAGTACTTACAGCAGTAGATCGTCCCAGGATCGAGGGAGATTTGCCGGCGATATTGAATCGGAAAATTCTGCATTTAACATTTGCGATAAGCAAAGTGTCATGGCTCTATTTAAAGATCATGTCAATATCAAAGTTTCGAATGTTAATTTAACATTGTGCATGAGTTCAGTCACTGGCCTCACGGACTTAATTGAGGACGAAATTATTCCCAAGCCCATTCCAGTTGAGGTTCGTTTGCTTCTAATTTTTAATTGTTTATTATTAAATATAAGTAAATTAGATCGAGGAAATTAATAAATTAAATTGTGGAAATGAATTAAAATTAAGTAAAAGAAATTAATGAAGTAAATTAAAGAAATTAACTAATTAAATCACTGAAATTAAGAAAATAAACTGAGGAAATTAACTAATTAAATCAAAGAAATTAATAAAATATATTCAAGAAATTAATTCATTAAATTAAAAAACGAATTAAGTAAAATTAAAAAAAATTATTTCAAAAATAATAACATTGTTGTAATAAATAATAATAATAATAATAATAATAATAATAATTATTATTATTTTCAATTGACATTATTTTTATTTAACTTTTTTCATTTGACTTTTTAATTGACATTATTTTCAATTACCATTATGTTCATTTTCTAAACAATTCAATTATTTTTTTAAATATTAAAATCTTTACAAAAATTCAATTATTTTCAAAACATTTTTAATTGAATTCCTTGAAAGAATTCAATTTTTAAAACAAATTTTAACACATTTCGAAAAAATTCAATTTTTTTCTAAAATTTTAATAAATCCTTAGAAAAAATTCAATTATTTTTATAAATAGTAAAATTCTTGGCAAGAAGAAGAAGAATTCCTTTTTGCCACCTGAATATGTTGCTGAGTGTATATTTTGAAATTTATAAGAAAATCTCCAGAAAAAATTAAAATTGATTCAATTAAATTGTATATACTTGTGCAGCAAGCTTGCAATAAGCTTACTGCAAACTGACACTACAAACTTGTAGCAAGTTTGCCAAATAAGCTTGTCGAAAACTTGCCTCACAAGCTTGCAGCAAGCTTATATCATAATCTTGTAGCAAGATTGCAGTGCAAGCTTGCAGCAATAGGACATTTTGTTACTTGACACAAACTTGTGGCGAGCTTACTCTGTAAGCTTGCACACCTTGCACAGCAAGCTTAATGCAAGTTTGTGGCAAGCTTATGTGCTGATTGGGTATTCTCAAAATATTTTTAAAAAATTCGATATAGAAATTAAATTATTTTCAAGGCAATTTTTAAATATATTCGTCAAAAAAATTGAAAGAATTCAATTCTTTTCAAAAAAATAATAAAATTCTTAAAAGAAATTTAATAATTTTTGAACCAACTTTAATTGAGTTTCTCGAAAAAATTTCATTATTTTCAAATATTTCTATAAAATTCTTCATAACAATTTATTCATTTCTTTAAATTTTAATAAATTCTTTGAAACATTTCAATTATATTTTTATAAATAGTACAATTCTTTGCAGAAATTCAATTCTTTTCAAAACAATTTTAATAGAATTCCTCGAAAGAATTTAAATTTTCAAATATTAACAAAAAATTAATTTATTTTCTAAAATTTTAATAAATTCTTCGAAACGTTTCAATTATTTTTATAAATAGTATAATTCTTTGCAGAAATCCAATTATTTTCAATACAATTTTAATAAAATTCTTCTTCATAAAATCCAATTGCTATTTTAATTAATTAAATTAATTTTTAATTTTCAATTAAAATTATTAAAAAAGCTTCATTAGTTTAAAAAAAATTCAAAGAAATTCTTCAAAAGAATTCAATTAGTTTTTTTTAAATTTTAATAAAATTCTCTGCGAAAATTATTTAGATATTTTTCTAAATAATAAAATTCTCTGCGAGAATTCAGTTATTTTTCTGAATAATAAAATTCTTTGAAATAATTTTTAATTATCAAATTTTTTGATAAAATTCTTTGCAACAATTCGATGATTTTCAATGCATTAATTTTAAAATTGAAAATATTTGAAAAGAAAAATTATAAAAAAGTTTAGAAAGAAAAAAGTAAAGAATTAATTTATTAATATTATTATTAATTATTATTTAATTAATAATAATTTTAATAAAATTTATAATTTTTTAAAAACAGGACATAACTTTAAAAGTACTGAATAGCGATGAATGTGAGGAAGAATCGAGTGATAAAAAGAAAATGCATGAGAAAAATAGTCAATTACAGGAAACAGAGAGATTATCATCATCATCATCATCATCATCATCATCATCATCATCATCATCATCATCATCATTATCATCATCATCATCTTTAAAAGAAGACAACGAAGACACGAAAAACGATTTCAAATTAAATTCCGAGACGAATTTGAATAATTTTATTCAGGTAATTATTTGTTAAATAATTTTTTTCATTTTCATTGTATTCTAATACATTTCTATCAGATTTCTATATTGTAGATTGCTCCGGAATTTGAAAATGTACCACCGCCAATTCCACCACTGGATTCTAGTAATGAAGCCGATTTGAGCGATTTTTAACGTTGATATATGAGAAAATCGAGCAAAAAATTAATAAAAGAAGCTTTATATGTGATTTGTATAATTGAATAACAAACAAAATGTTTATATTCTTCTAAACACGAAACATAAACAATTTTTATTCTCAAAAAATAATCACGCACAAAATGTTCTTTAAGTAATTGAAAAATAAAATTAACTTAATATGAAAAATTCGAAATGCATTCGAAAGACAAAAAAAAAAAAGAAGGTAACTTGAACTAAAAACACCAGAGAGATAAAGAAAAAAAATAAAAAAATATTCAAAATGAAAATGAATTTTTAATTTTATTGCATGTTTTCCATTACGAAGAATTAATATTAACTGCGCACGTTTCTCTTTCAGCAAGCCGTTTTACTCTTCAAAGTATATAAAAGAAATCCTTTTCTCCACCACATCCTTATCACACGGTTTGAAAAAATTGACTTTTAATCATATTTTTCTACGAATAAAAGAAACAAAAGAAGAATCCAACTTCTCATTTCTTTTCCCCCGCGATTCAATGAGACAAAAATTATTATCCAATTCTTTTCCTAGAAAACAATTAAAATAATTTATTAAATGTAATAATAAATTAGAATAAATAAAAATTATCAATAAATCTGTAATTGGAGTACTAATTTTTCATTCACTATGTAAATTAATGTGAGAACGTAAATTTGGAGACATCTTTATTTCTCAATATTCCGACATTGATTAATTGCGCACTCTTGTCAGTTACAAATTCCCATCGTTAAATACTTGAACCTATAAACAAAATAAATAACAATTAATCAAAATAGAGAAACTAAAAATTATATTAAGTATGTTTTCTTAGAGTAAAAAAAATTTTTTTCTTACTCGTAATTTCTTTGTCAACATTTTCTATTCTTCTAAGGTTAATTTTAAATTAAAAAAAAAATTTTCAATAAAACAATGTTTCCATGAGAAGCCTACATATAGAGTTAAAAATAAGAGAAAAAAATATACCTATTTATTACTATATAAACAATAATTAAACATTAAAACTAACCTCAAAATAAAATTCCAAGACAATATTTATCCTAATTAATTTTCCGAACTGGTGTCGCTCGTTCCCTTATGGTATGTGTCAAATTTATTATGACTTGACGTACGGTTGGAATTTTTAACCTAAAAAATAAAAACAATTTCAATATACCTTTAATATTAATTTGTGTGATTATCAAGATTTATATTGATAAACATAAATTTCAATAAATTTTTTTTTTAATATTGTTATTTATAATTAATAAATTAATTATTTGTTATTTACTATATGTTATTATATATATTTATAATATTAAAAATAAAACTAAAACTAACCTCAATGCACAATTTAATTTTCTTCTTCTTCTTACTGTCATATTTTGCACCTATAATTTAAACCTGAAAAAAAAATTAATTCGCAATAAAATAATTAAACTATTTATTTACTTATTTATTTATTCATTAAAAAACAATACTTATCTTAATTAATTATACATGTTTGTATATTCCATTCTGCACAGATTATCGTAAACAAAACAAAACTGCTTTACCAACAAATTCTTTATTTAGAACTTTGACACACTATAGGTAATTTCACTTTCTGCATTATCGACTCGTGGTACGAGTTACCGAAAATATGCTTGAAATAGTTTGTACATTCACCACGGCGCTAGTAGTACAAGCGCGCACTGGTGGGGACGCTCGAAGTGGTGGGGACACGGGTATATAAGCAGGCGCCCGAGACGAGACTGGCACTTCAAGCTCAACTGTGTTACAGGTAAGCAATAGTACCAAAGCCTTGTTAAGGCAGACGAACTTAAGCTGTATTACAGCAAAGCCTTATTAAGGCAAACGGACGTAAAGCTGTATTACAGCAAAGCCTTATTAAGGCAGACGGACGTAAAGCTGTATTACAGCAAAGCCTTATTAAGGCAGACGGACGTAAAGCTGTATTACAGCAAAGCCTTATTAAGGCAGACGGGCGTAAAGCTGTATTACAGCAAAGCCTTATTAAGGCAGACGGACGTAAAGCTGTATTACAGCAAAGCCTTATTAAGGCAGACGGACGTAAAGCTGTATTACAGCAAAGCCTTATTAAGGCAGACGGACGTAAAGCTGTATTACAGCAAAGCCTTATTAAGGCAGACGGACGTAAAGCTGTATTACAGCAAAGCCTTATTAAGGTAAACGGACGTAAAGCTGTATTACAGCGAAGCCTTATTAAGGCAGACGGACGTAAAGCTGTATTACAGCAAAGCCTTATTAAGGCAGACGGACGTAAAGCTGTATTACAGCAAAGCCTTATTAAGGCAGACGGACGTAAAGCTGTATTACAGCAAAGCCTTATTAAGGCAGACGGACGTAAAGCTGTATTACAGCAAAGCCTTATTAAGGCAGACGGACGTAAAGCTGTATTACAGCAAAGCCTTATTAAGGCAGACGGACGTAAAGCTGTATTACAGCAAAGCCTTATTAAGGCAGACGGGCGTAAAGCTGTATTACAGCAAAGCCTTATTAAGGCAGACGGACGTAAAGCTGTATTACAGCAAAGCCTTATTAAGGCAGACGGACGTAAAGCTGTATTACAGCAAAGACTTTTAAAGGCATACTGAAAAGACTAAAGCTGTTTTACGGCAACAAATACAATTTTTAACGATAGATCCATCGTTAGGGCATACGGATAACGTTAAATTTTTTGAAATTTTATGTACATACGTGTTTTCTTTTCTCTATTCATTAATAACAATATCACGCGGGTTAATTTCGTTTTTAAAGTAATGAATAATACCTCTTGTTCTGATGAGGCATTAAAAAATTGTTACACTGAAAAAGCGACTCATAAGTAATTTTTTCTCTTCAATTCATCCCGATTGTTACATAGATCGTTTAATTATCGTGTGTACATTTAATTTTTAACGTTATTCGACAGTTTATTAAATAATCGTTGATAAAAAAGTCCCAGAGTGCAGTCCCATGGCATCGTTATTTGCTTTGCTTTTTGTAACTTGACTATTAAAAGAATTCATTTTAGAAACTTTACAAATTATTTATTCTCTACATTATATTATACAGACTTTTTTCAAATTTTTATCAAAACTATAATTATTTTAATGAAAATTTTGTTAAATAATTCATCTTTTTGAAAATGATTTTCTCAAATAATTGATTATTTTCTAATTTCAAGACAATATAATTGAATTTCAAAGATTTTATTTAAACTACTAATTGAATTTCGTTTTAAAGAATTTTATTATCATTTTTGTAAATAGTTGCTTGATCTCTAATAATTTGTGAATTTAATGTAATGGAAATTCTAGAAAAAAAATATATATTAACACAAGTAGTAGCTTGTAGTTGCTAAAATTTATAAAAAATACCCAAATAGCCTAATTACAAAACCCAACGCAAAACGATGCCATTAGATTGCACCCTTATTATTTTGTCTTTTTAACAAACATTTTTTTTTTTTACAGAAATTCATGTACCAGTATCTACTGTATTGACATAATGAAGAGAAAACGACAATTGAGTTTAAAATGTTAGTGTTTAACAGATGTATTTTAAAAATATTTTTATTTACATGTAAAGTTAACAATTGTAATTTATTTGTTTATTCTCTATTTTTTCAGCAACAATTGAATCTCGTGAAGGACATTCTACCAGATTCTTTTACGGTAACTCACAGACACAAAAATCTGACGAAAATTTGACATTTTCTTCATCGTCATCAACTCCAAAGACAGAAGAGGCAGAACATCGAAAAGCAGAGAAGAAAACTTTTCGCTCGAGTGGAATATTCAGATTAAAATGTAAGTTTTTTAAAATTATTTTCTTCAAGTATTTGATTTAAATTAAGGAATTTTTTAATTTTAATTCTTTTGTTTCTTTTTAATTTTCAGCACCAACTAGATCTCGGGAAGAAATGTCTACCAGTTCAATTGGAAAGGCTGAAAATGTGAAATCTGGAATTTCGGAGAAACAATCTTTTACTTCCAGTGAAAGATTGAGTTTAAAATGTTAGTGTTTAACAGATGTATTTTAAAAATATTTTTATTTACATGTAAAGTTAACAATTATAATTTATTTGTTTATTCTCTATTTTTTCAGCAACAAATGAATCTCGTGAAGGACATTCTACCAGATTCTTCTACGGTAACTCACAGACACAAAAATCTGACGAAAATTTGACATTTTCTTCATCGTCATCAACTTCAATGACTGAGCAGGCTGAACCTCGAAAAGCAGAGAAGAAAACTTTTCGCTCGAGTGGAATATTCAGATTAAAATGTAAGTTTTTAAAAATTATTTTCTTCAAGTATTTGATTTAAATTAAGGAATTTTTTAATTTTAATTCTTTTGTTTCTTTTTAATTTTCAGCACCAACTAGATCTCGCGAAGAAATGTCTACCAGTTCAATTGGAAAGGCTGAAAATGTGAAATCTGGAATTCCGGAGAAACATTCTTTTACTTCCAGTGAAAGATTGAGTTTAAAATGTTAGTGTTTAACAGATGTATTTTAAAAATATTTTTATTTACATGTAAAGTTAACAATTATAATTTATTTGTTTATTCTCTATTTTTTCAGCAACAAATGAATCTCGTGAAGGACATTCTACCAGATTCTTCTACGGTAACTCACAGACACAAAAATCTGACGAAAAATTGACATTTTCTTCATCGTCATCAACTTCAATGACTGAGCAGGCTGAACCTCTAAAAGCAGAGAAGAAAACTTTTCGCTCGAGTGGAATATTCAGATTAAAATGTAAGTTTTTAAAAATTATTTTCTTCAAGTATTTGATTTAAATTAAGGAATTTTTTAATTTTAATTCTTTTGTTTCTTTTTAATTTTCAGCACCAACTAGATCTCGCGAAGAAATGTCTACCAGTTCAATTGAAAAGACTGAAAATGTGAAATCTGGAATTCCGGAGAAACATTTTTTTACTTCCAGTGAAAGATTGAGTTTAAAATGTAAGTTTTTAATAATTAACCAAGGAAAAAATGATTCGTACGATGAATCATTTTCACCTGGGTACATTTTAAAAATATTTTATTAAAATAACAATTTAAAAATTTTAATTTATTTAATTCCTTTTTTTCTTTTTCAGCACCAAGTGATTCTCCTGAAAAGCTGTCACCGTGTTCAGTTTACCGTGTACCAACAGAAACATCATTATCATTATCGTCATCAACTGGACCTGATTTAAAAATCTCTTCTTCAAAAGTAGAGAAATCGAAAAAGCAAGAAGCTAAATTTTCCCGTTCAATATCAACTTCAAAAAGTGAAGGTAAAATTTTGTATTCTTTTTTCTTCTTTTATATTTTCTTAATCTCTCTCAATATAAAATTAATAAAATTTTCATTTCTTCCAATTATAGGTGTTGACTCATCAATTGAAAGTGGTGCTGGCCCCTCTTCAAAACGAAAGAAATACAGTGTCGAGAAATCTGCAATTGGTGTTTCTTCAAACAGAAAAAGAACGTCAATTACTTTGGATAATGAAAATATTGATAAACCGTTGCATTATAAAGTGAGAAGAAGATTGGAATTAATGGGAACAGAAAAGCATACGGTAAAAGTTTGTTTGGGAAAATTATGTAAATCAGCAAACATAAAAAATCGAATTGAAGAAGATGCAAAGGTTGTTTCATCAATGATGTATGAGGCAACAACAATGGCATTATTCGGCCTGTATGAAGAAACGAATGTTGAAAATGTTGAAAATTGTCCATCATTGTTGGAGAAATGGACCAACAATGGTCCCGACTTTCTGTCATTTTTAATATCATTAAAGCAGAAAGTAAATGCTCAACGTAAAGTAACTGAACAGGATGTGAAAATAAATACAATGGTCAACGAATATAAAGAATTAAGGAATGACATTCCACTTTATGACGGAGAACATAGAACGGCAATAATTCAGGAGGCAGCTTTAGTGTTGAATCGAAACTTTAAAACAAATTTCACGACGCATGCAGCATCACGTTTAAGAAGATATTTGCAGCTATTAATGGAAATTGAAGACGAAGAAAAAAATCATATGGAAGTAGATGAAATTCAAGAAATTTGTTCAGTTTACCGTATCGAAAATGATAATGATGAAAAAATAAAAATTAGGAGTTTTAAAAATAGCATTAAAAATGAACAAAGAAAAGAATTTCAAAAATCTCAAAAACAATTTCCAGATGAAATGCGAGAAAAAAAAACATCAGACTATTGCGATGAAAGATATGTTCGACAGGAAAAATATCGCAAACATTGCGATAAAGTCTATTATAAAAAAAGGCCAAGAAGGCGAAGAAAAAAATCGAAAAAGGAAAAAGAAGAAGAAAAAGAGAAGAATGAGGAAAAAGAAAAAGAGAAGAATAAGGAAAAAAAGAAATTTCGAAAAAGAAGGCCTTCATTTTATAAACAATCTGTTGCTGCTTTAAATCTCCTGCTGCAAGAAAATAAATGTAAAGTGAAAGGATTCCCTATTGATTTACTGAAAAAGGATGATGTTGATGCTACCAATGAAAAAAAATTGGACTTTAGAAAATTGACAAAAGATGAAGAATGGCATAAATTTTTGCCATTTTTCATTATGATTCAACAACAATTTCATGATAAAAAGAAGAAGAATTTCACATTAATTCCACAAATTTCATTAGGCGTGAAGCATGTCGTTTATACAAATACTGCTTTAAAAGATTTGCAAGTGGCAACTGTTATTAAAGAAATTAAAGAAAAAAAGGCAATTTTACAAAAAAAGAAAAAAAGTTCAAGAAAGAATAAGGATCATCTTCAAAGAGCAGTTGATAAAATGGACGATGAAATGAAGCGCTTAAGTGAAATGAACAATGAAGAAAGGTGGAATTCAATGTTCAACTTTAAATCAATCCAAAGAGGTCGAAAAAGATTAAAGAATGGTGGTAAATTTTCTGGTACAATAACGACAAATGGTGTGGACGTGTCAGTAATTTTTGATTTACCCACAAAACATGATGTTGTGCAATCAAAGAAGGAAGTTGGAAGTTACAAAAAATTTTGTGGTTTTGATCCTGGTGCGAGGGCGACTCTGGCTGGCGTCAGTAGAGAAAACGATCCTAATCCAACCACTAATGTAAAAAAGGATTCAGCTATTTACATTGGTAGTTGGATGATGAGATGGCAGATGGGCGACTACAGAAGAAGAGAATTAATGAAGAAAAAAGGTATAGACATGCAAAAATATTACAAGCAACTTGCTGAGAATCCATTGATGGAAAATTTTTGCATGACTAATCCTCGAGATCGCCATCGCATAACAAAATATAGAATACATCTTTTACAAAATTTCCAATCACTTCATCAAAAAAGATCCGTAACGCGTTTAAAAATAGATCAATATTCGGCGCACAAACGACAAGTTGATCAACTTGTAAATTGGATAGTAGGTGATACAAAGAAGAAACCCTGTTTCGTTGCAGTTGGTGGAGCAAAAATACCTAATTTTATCAAGGGATACACTAAAGCTCCTTTGAAACGTATTCAACAAACTCTTTTCCAAAGATCAGCGGAATTAGGAAAAGATAAATTGCAAGTCGTTAAAGTAAATGAATTTAATACAACAAAAATGTGTAGTCGCTGTGTGAGACCACTTAAAATATCCAAGAGTCCCCATCGATACACTTATTGTGCGAAATGCAAAACAACGTGGGAAAGAGATGTAAATGCAGGGCGCAATATTCTTAATCTTGCACTTATTCAAGAAAAAATCATACCAAAGGATTCCATAAAAAATCACCATCTATTTCGGATCACGAATGATGACGCTCAACATCAAGATGCAGAATTGCAGAAATAATTTTTCCCATCACTTTCAACATTCATTTTTAAATGTAAGTTTTTAAAATTTATAGTTAAAAAATAGTCTTTTTATGGAAAACATTAAAAAATTAATTAATTTGTAATTATTTTCTCTTTTTCAGCACTAAGTAAATCTCTTCAAGGACATTGAAAAGGAGGAACCTCGACAACCGGAAATACAATTTTCTACGATGGACAATATACTGCTTAATTGCGGAAATAATTTAACAAAAATATTATTCGGTCCTGGTGGTGATGGCTTTTTGCCATTGTACATACCGGGGATCTCTCACGAGATCCGAACCAGCCTGTAAAAAGGCATACCAGGTTTTTTAAGAAATTAAAAAACATGCTACTTCTTTTATTGATTATTGTTTGAATTTTTCAAATTTTTTATAAAAACAAAAGCACATTTGTGTTTTTTTTATAAATTAAAATAATCAATAATAGGAGGGGAGGTAATTTTGTAAAAGACATATATTTCTTTAAATTTAAATCATTTTTCTCTTTTTTACTTATAATTTAGTTTCAGTTTAACGGTGTAATTTTTAAATTTTAATTTTTTCAAAACATTTTAACTTTATTCAACATTTCACTTTAATTTTAAACCTTTTTTTTTAACAATTTCAATTTCTTCTTTTACAAAATTACCTTCTAATCAGAAGTACCCTTACCAAATGCAACTTAGCTTGCACTACAAAAATGATCTTATTGGCGAAATGAACCGCGCATTTTTAAAACGTTTTATATTTAAACATATAAAGTACTTTAGATGGACAAGTTTTAAGGTGCCGTCCCATGTCGGCGTAAAAACGTCAAAGCGTCGGCGTTAAAGTATGAGAGTGAACAAGATAGTGATATAAAGGTGCTTCTATACCTCCGGTGGATTGGTCAAGCAATCGGCTCGATGAATTTTCACGGTCGGAAAATGTACTTTCATGGCGGGTATTTTTGAATAAGTAAATGTTGAAAAGGTTTTTACTTGAAAATTTATTTAAAAAAATGATTTTATCATAGAAATTCTTTTGAAAGTAATGTTAAAAAACATGTTTTATTTTAAAAGTTATCAAATTTTAATTCAAAATGTTTTAATTTTCCAAAGAAGTGTAAAAAGCCTAATGCTTTTGAAATGCTAGTACAGACGGTACAGACTGTTTGTTATGAATGTACATAACCTAGCGTAGTGTTGTCGTGCTTGTGATATTATTATTATATTCTAAATTTAATGATTTAATTATATTAAATAATAATGAACAGACAACACAACGCTAGGTTATGTACATTCATAACAAACAGTCTGTACCGTCTGTACTAGCATTTCAAAAACATTAGGCTTTTTACACTTCTTTGGAAAATTAAAACATTTTGAATTAAAATTTGATAACTTTTAAAATAAAACATGTTTTTTAACATAAATTTCAAAAGAATTTCTATGATAAAATCATTTTTTAAAATAAATTTTCAAGTAAAAACCTTTTCAACATTTACTTATTCAAAAATACCCGCCATGAAAGTACATTTTCCGACCGTGAAAATTCATCGAGCCGATTGCTTGACCAATCCACCGGAGGTATAGAAGCACCTTAAGGTTGTTTCTTTCACTCTCATGCATTTACGTTTTGACGCCGACATGGGACGGCACCTTTATTCTACAAATAGAAGCATTTTTGTCGCGCAAGCGCAGTTGCGTTTGGTGAGGGTACCTGGCAGCTCTGGTAGCAGTAGCAGACAACCGTCGGGCCGGTTCTTATCAACAAAATACCTTGGTGGATTTAAATTATCCATCCTGGCTGTTTCCCACTACACAATTCCGAATTTGTAGCATCAGGGACAGCCCTGATAAGTGTTGGGCAGGAGGTGGAGTTGAGCAGAGACCGCAGTTCTGCTTTCGTTGCTAACACCATTGGCTTTGAGTACAACAGTACTCGCCATTCATGAAGACAGGTGAGCCAAGCTAATATTAATTACGCTTTTCCTCCTTCTTCCAGGGCACTCGCTTTTCATTACATTTCTCGTTTTCCACCGTAGTCCTATGTTTTCCCTTGGCGTTCGCGTTTGTTGTCTTTCAAAGTTCGCCATTAGTTCATGTCATATATTTGTCGGCACTGTCACTCTATCTGACATTTGAGACTCACTTTTCGCCAGTGTGCCGGTGTATCGTGTATGCATTCTAGTTGTGATGCAACTGAATCTAGGTTCTTTAAAAGTAACTAGTGTATCATTTCACTCTAGAAAATAAATTCAAAGTTTGGGTAATTTTGCAGTTTTTCATTTTTTAAGATACTTTGATATTTCGGAAAAATATTTTTGCATGTTTGCGAATAACAAAATGCTTAATGATTTCGAAGAATTCATTTTTTTAATAAATTAATTAAAGTAGGTTTAAAATCGAAAAATTTCTCAAACGTTTTATTTAAGTTTCTTTATAAAATGTCTAAAAATGTGTATTATTTAACAATTTTTTTTCTTAAAAGACAATTACTCAGAAATTAATTGAATGTGAAGCCAAAATAAAATAAATCTTTTCATTATTCTTTTGTTTTCGTTTTTAAAACATTGCGGTCTTCAGTCTAATTTTTCTATAATATAGAAAACATTAATTAATTGAAAAGCGAAGGATATTTCATTTCAGCAGTGAAGCATATATAGATGAATTGATGATAATTAAATGTACCATGTTTGAAGTTCAAACTTTTAATATTTTTAAAAGGCACCTATATTAAAAATTATTTCCTGTTTTGGGGTTATTCATGAACTATGTAGGTAACCCCCTTTTTTGGAAATTAAAAATTTAAAAAAATATTTTCCATACTTTAAATAACTTGGTAAAATAAAATACAAATTTTTTTTTAATTCGCATTGTCCTGCAGATAAATTTATGATTTATTTAACAAAAACTATACTTTCAATAATAGGTATGTAATGAACAAATTTGAGAAGAAAATTTTGAAAAACTTTAATTTTTTTACTTGTTAAGTAAGCACAAAATTCAGTGTTTAAACAGCTGCTTTTGAATTGAAGTGACGAAGAATGTGAAGAATAGGTTAAATATATTCGTCGAAAGAAATTGACCTAAACAAAATATGTAAAAGGGCATTATTTTTTTATTTTTAATATATTTTTCACTATACATAATTTTTACAATATTTAAACTTTTAAAAACGTGTTTAGATATTTGAAGTAAATAATAAATTGTCCATTCGATTACTTTCGTTTAATTTAATCTTTAATCAAAAAAATCTGCTGAAATTTTTTTAAAGATTTCTTTAAAGTATTTTATAGAGTCCTTTAAAGCATACTTGTAGATTTTTTTTTCTCAACAACATTAATAAGTTGTTACCTATTTTTTTTAATTAAAAAAATATTCTATTTGATTATAATTGTTAAACAATTTGAATTACTAAAAAAATGCTTACTAATTTGAATTAGTGATTTGAAACAAAAAGTAATTCACTAATTCAAATTAGTAAACAGTTTTACTAATTTAAATTTAGAGAGTATGTAAGCAAATGTAATTTGTAGTGGATGGATTTTATAATTTAAAAAGTATTTTCTGTTTGCTTTAGTGATCCTTAAGAAAAATATTATAAAAATGTTAAAGGACCCCGCATGAAATGCCTTATTTTTGGCTTACCGTTAATTTTTTCTATATATTCAGAAATAATAGTTGAAACTGTTCAGATTTTAATGATATAATTTATTTAATCTCAAAATCATAATAGTTTTGCTAAAATTAGGGCTTGAAAATACTACTTTTTTCAAAAAATTAGGACTTATTATTGAAAAAGGGTTATTTTCAATCCCTGATTTTACCGAAATTTTACGGATTTTAAGATAAAAAAAATGATATCCTTCATCTGAACAGTTGTAACTATTATTTCTGAAAATATTGAAAAAATAAACGGTAAGCCAAAAATAATGCATTTTGTACATTTGAGTGGAAAGCCTAAAAAATTGCTTTCATTTTCTTTGAATCCAAATGCGTGAGAGCGGTATTTAGAAATAAAAAAACGAATGTGAAGAAAAAGGATATTGTTTGCAATCGGCAGCGAGTATAATGCCCAGCACGTGACAGTGCCCGGTAGGAAGGCCATAAATGTGGAAGGGTGGATTGCGCTTTGCAAGCAGATGAAAAAGAGGGTAGGTGGGTAGCCTGGCACCAGCCATGCATAACTGAGACCAGGTGCATGCTCGATATGCTTTTGCAATTTACATATTGCTTTCTATGTTACCTTTAGACGCTTAGTCTAGTTTCATTTAAAACTTTATTTTCAAAAGTTCAAGTTTCATTTATTTTTTTTCTTATTCCTAAAACAAGTTGTTCAATATTTCAGTAACAATTTGACGTTTTCTGGAATTGTTAAGTTTTACCATCGAGATGTACATGTGATTTTTTCGAACATTGTAAAATGTAAATTTAATTTTTCTTAAAGTCAAATTTAATTGAAACTTTTATTTTAACTTGTTCTACAATAAAAAGTTGTTGATATTTTTATTTTGCAGGAAATTTTCAGAAATTATAATGTAAACTATCCTCGTAGTTCAGTGTTCCACTAATGCTTGATAGTTTTCAAATGTCCGTTAAAAAACAGTATAGTGCTTTTGAATGTTTTTTATATAACGATTCAATGTGCCACTAACGTCATGTGGTTGTAACTGCACAGTAGGTTGCAATTTAAATTGTTGAGCCCTACCGTGACTTCAAAAAAGTGGCGTAAATTTTCAAATTTTTTCACTCATAGGCGCAAATTATAGGGTCTCTTGATAGTTAGTTTTCACCTTGTGGAAGAAAATTGGAAAGACCTTCTCAGACCGTATAATTAAAGGATTTTGGATGAGTCATCAATCTTAAACACACGAGTATATTCGTAGTTTTTTTTATGCATTTTCTCTTCAAAATGCAACGTTTAAGATTGTGGAAATTCAGTTTACTAAGACCTTACTTTACGTCTAAAAATAGGGAAGATTGGGAAATTTCCGATACATTTTGGAGTTAAATTAGAACATGATTATAATACCTACAAACTCAGGTGCAAAGTAAGGCTTTAATTTCTACTCGGAACGTTAACCTTTAGTCACTTGCATAAGACTTTTCACTTATGCATGTTAAACGCTGTTGCGCAGCCTTTTAAAGTAATTACTTTTTACTACACAATTAAAACATTGCTTATGTGTACTTCCCATGCTATGTTCTATCATCAATTGTTTTAAAAACTGAGTGATGTAGTATAAATTTCAAATTACTTGCAAAAATTGTAGAATCCATATCAGAAACAATGCGCAGACAAGATGCACAAACTTTTCGGTACATCTTTTCATAAAGTTTAACATTGATTTTTATAATTTATAATTCGCAAGTTTGTCATAGACTAATATAAGAAAATCAGGATTTGTTAAATTTATTAACAATAAATACAAATGTGATGCGCTGTTCTATATGAGATCTCAAATTGAGCCAAGACTCTTCAGAGCTTTTCGGATGAGTCAGAGCAGTTCTGATGAAAACTAATAATGATCGACTGAAGAGTAACACCCAGGTAGCAAATGCTCCTTTCTTTTGTTAGTCAAGTGTTATGAATTGCGTAAGAAAACATAACTTATATGTTATTTAAATATAATTTTCTTGTACAAATTATTTTATGATTTTTATATTCACAATAAGTAAAATTATTTTTAAATTGTGATGTCACAAATTCTAATACACACCCACCTGGAAATTAAATTGAATCAATAATTTGGAATACAGATTACTTCAAGATGCATATTATAAAGTGATTCTTATAAACGTTCAATTGAATTAAGATTCGTTAAAACAATTCTTTCAGGTGGAAAATGTTGAGAAAATGATTATGTTCCTCAACACTTTGATATAAGGGGTCGTAACAAATTGCAACTCGCTGCTTCGGACCGATTTTTGACCCCTTCCTTGCCTGTCCACATAGCACCTTATCTTTCTGTAAGCTTCCCCTGAGTATATTAGCGATATTCGTGAGGTTCGTTAGTAAACTCAAGGTGAGCTTTAGGCAATCATTTTATGCCCGCCTGAAAAAAGCTTATATTGTAGGATCACAAGTTTATTTCGGAGGCTCACTGTAAGCTTACTGTGATTCATTTTTTATTTAATATAAAATATTTTCTTGGCAAAATAACAAAATAAGAAAATATGTACAAGTTTAAGCGTTGTAAATAAAGAGACCCTTTTGTAGGAAATAATATTTCGCATAAGCCTAATGCGGTGTAATGCCAGGTGTATGCTTCTAGGAGATTTTAATACTTATTAGGACTCGGTTCGCATTAGAGCAGAGCGGAGGGCTAACAAAGTATGTAATGTATATTACCCTCTAATTGCTCTTGTGATCTGAACTTGTTTCGCGTTCCATCTTGAACCCCTGTTCGATGGCGCATTGGCGCGTGTTTCATTTCGTCCCCTTGTTACACTTGCGTTTGGTACCTGACTGGCTGTGCCACCCCACGCCATTCACATCGGCGGGGTATGCGCCGACACACAAAGTAAGGAAGAGCGCCCACAGTCACGCTCTCGCAGTCACTCGCAGTGACGTGTTTTTCCGAATGTTTGTTCCCTTTAATCTCGACTGCAACCCTGGCTGAGCTGAGCTGAGCTGAGACCATTGTCGGCATTGTCGACCATGTCTCTATCGTCGCCAGCGAGTAATGAAATATCTCAGCTGCGAGCCCGCGCCGAGTCCTTTCACGAGTCCGCCGCCCGTATCGAAGCCGTCAGCCGAGTAGGTTAGGTTGCTTGTTGTCAAATATTATTGATCCCCAGTGCAGGATCAAGAGCAGGGGTAAGGAAATATATTTTATCCGCCTGCTTGCAAATTATAGAATCTCACATGTCGATCCCTTTTCTAATTTCTTACACACGCACTTTCTCGCAAACCAATCAGGCTTGTTTTTTCCCAACTAATATTTCTCTCCTTTCGGAGTAATACACACAATTAACTTTTGAATATACAGATTTTATCTTGGGGTTAGCTTGGCCCCTTTTCTCTTGAAGCAACATTCATTTCCTCTTATGTTCGTCTGTAAAATTTCAATTTGCAAATTTTACGACAAATTTCTTTTAGAACCTTTCAAAAATCAGTACTTGCTGTTTTTAACGTTTATAGGATCTCGTCATTTATGAACTCTATTTTAAAAGTTGAAATTTACCTTGATTGAACAAATAAAGAAATGTCCAGATTGATTTGATTAGGTCAAATGATTAAACTTTGCAACGTTTGAAAATGGAAAAACAATTAATTGACTCACTCGAAGAAACATTATTTTCCTTTTTGATGAGCCTCATCTAAATATTTAAATGGTTAACAAGTTACTCAATGGTTGAGATTTTTAATTCAAGTCAAGTATGAAGACATACTTGTACTCCCTAAATCTGAATTAGCGACAAGTCGTTCACTAATTTTAATTAGTTTACTAATTTAGATTTAGAGAGAACAAATTTGTAGTCTGTAAGTTTTACAAACCTTTCTTCAAATTAGTTTCTAAATTATCTGATACATCACCCTGCAATATATGTAGTCAAAAGAAGAAATAAAAAATATTCATACCTTATGCATTTAAAATGGGAATATAATAATAATAAAATACTTGGAGATAAACGTCAAGAAAGTTAACTTGAAACGAAAAAGAAAATGATTCAGAAATATAAAATAAATAAAAATCTTGTATGGCATCTTCTCAGTAAGCAGTGATTTTTCCGAAATGACATCATTGGGTGTGATTAAAGTAGGAATGAAATTGCAGAACCATCCCTTCGCATTCGAGGTGGCAGAGGTGGTAGCGACACACCAGGACCTGACATAGGTGAGGGAGTGATTGCCATGACTACGACAGGAGCTCAGTACGCGCTGGCAGCATCCGCTGGGGCAGGTAATGGCGGAGGTGTCTCGGCGGCAGTGGGGGTGGACACCAAGCCCAACGTCGTCACTCTCACTACGACCTCCACTGGCAACAGCAGCACTTGCCAAGCGCAGCCCACGCGAGGCCAGCAAGTCATCACCGTCGTCACGAGTCCAGACCCGTCGAGCCCCAACAGTCTCCAACCCATTCAGGTTAGCTATCGCTGCGGAGATAAGGGCCATCTGCCTCTACGCACTGATAAAGCGCTCCATTTCGCTTCAAATTTTAATGTTTTTCGCACAACAGCTGCTGGTCCAGGACACGCTCGACTCCACGGCAGACTCTTCGAATGGTTCCTCGAGCACTCCAGCGCACGTGACGGCTCAAGTGGTGGTCAACACGGCGCACACTGGACAGCACACTCTCGTGGACCCTGACGTCACCTCCACTTCAGCGGGCACGATCGTTAGTGGCTCGCCGCACTACATCACTGTTACAGGTAACAACCATTGTCTCTGTCCTTAGCTCATTATCACATTGAGACTTGCCATCTTTATTCTTGTTGAAAAACTCACTTTTCACTTTGAAATGCTATCATATTCTATTAAATTATATTGTAGCTAATGAAAGCTTCAAAAATGTGAGTTTCCTTTTTTCACAATGTGAGAAAGACAAGGAAGAACTAAAAGTATTTCTCTTCCTGCGATTCTTAGGGTCGATTTCACCAACACCGACCAATCATGAGCGGTTAAATTGACTTTAAGTCTAATCATGTCTCTAAAAGGACGCATATTATGGTGTAATTCTGATAAAAAATATTGTGTCACACTTTGGACACGTTCGATTTTGAAGGACTGGCCTTTATCTCAACCCCAACGCGATGCTCAGGGTCCTTGTGTTATAAACACATATCTATTTTCAAATCTATTTTCAAATTTTAAAAAACTCGAAAAAAAATATATAGGGAAAATTTATTATTAAGAGAAATTTTTCTACAATACTGGAATATTTTCAAAGAAATTTTAATATAGTACGTTGTTTAGTTTATTTTATATAAGTAACCAAAATCAAATTTTGTTGCTCCACTTTTAGTCTATAAAAAAATTCAAAATCTGGCATCAAATTCGCAATCAATTTATACCAAATTTTTGTCAAAGCTTTTTGAGATTTTGACCAAACTCCCATTTTTTAAAATGCTTAAAAAATATTTGTAATTAAATATTATAATATTATTAAAAACTCTAAATGAAGTCAAACAGTTGGAAAAATTCACTTTCAAATAAGATTTGTCTCGGTAAACCTGTTAAGAAAGAAGTGTTTACTGCAAAACCGTTTTCAGTTTTATAAGCAAAATTCACCAAAGTTCATCTGTTCTAGTGGCTGGAGGTCCCGAAGCAGTGGGGTCCGACTCAGTCTCTCACCCAACCTATGTACAATATGTCGAAGAAGATGGATCCGCGTATATTCCGGCTAATGGACAGATGTGAGTACTTTCTGTTCTTTTCCTGCATTCTGTTACTAACATAGAATATTTCTTCAGGACATATCCTGTGTACGCCGTGGGCGAGGCAGGCACAATGTACACACCATCCTCCAGTCAGTATTTCACGTCCACTACGACGCCAGTCACTTACGCTCAGGTATGTCGCAAAAGATAAACTGTTTATGATTTTACTTTCAAGTTACGAGTACTTCCTTCAAATTTATATTAGGTACTCTAATTTAATAAAATCCAAGTAATTTTCTTCAAAACATTTACATATTACAATAATCAACATTTGAATAAGGTAAAGAATCCATTGCTTTGTCATTATGCATTTACGATTTGTGTAAATAAACGTTCGGATAAATGAAGAGTGATTGAAATGGAAAATTTAAAATTCGGCCACTCGCTATTCTGTTAAATTTGATGAAATTTCACTCGTACTGGAAGCACGAAGGTAAACAAATTGGCCTAGCTTTAGTTTCTTTGCCACTTTCTCAACTGCCTGTTAGCCACAACTGTATTTTTCTAAAGCCGTCTTTTTATCAATTTTCAAGTTGCATTTCTGACTAATTTCCAGGTTCAGGGTTCAAACACAGGGCAGCTATTGTCACAAGGGAACGGCGCTTATCTTATACAGCAGAGTGTCGTGGATGGAGATGCCGCGACTCACGCGCTCATTTCTGCCGCGGCGGCTCGTTCCAGCCCACAAACCGACAGCGCGGTTAGTTAACGATTTCAAATTTATAGAGAATCATTTTTCAAGCTGATTGAATCCAAATAATAATATGTTACATTCCAAAAACTAAACATTTACTAACATTTACTAATTTTTTAACAAGGGATGCCAACTATCTGCTTTAATGAAACTAAATCCTGCTCTCAAAAGTTGCTTTCTGATTCAGAAGTTGAGGGATCAAAACCTAAAATATTTTATTTCTTCCATTTAAAAGAGTTGATTAGCAAATTTTGTTTTGAATAATATTATGATATTTAAGGATTAATTTATTACAAATCTTTCTTATTTGACTTGTTTGATTGAAAACGTTACTGGATTGATTGATTAAATGAAAAAAATTCATGAAATTTTCTTTAAAATGTATTGAAGCAATATTAATCTGATTTTTACAAATTTTAAAATTCGATCAAGTTTTGGCCTCTTAATTCTGATCTTTTATTAAACATATCTGCTTTAATACATTTTCTGCAAATTCTTTTAAAATTATTTTTTCTTGTCACATTACATTTGACAAGTTTCAAGCAATTTTTAATTTCAAGTTTTCTGCATTGTTGAAATAATAATTGTAAAATTTTCAACATTCTAACGATAGTTAATACTTTTTTTTCATAGTTATTAATTATTTCGAGAGTCAATTTTTGTCCTAAATGGATTAGTAAAAAGTATCCCTTAATTTTGTTAGTTCTACAAAAATAAATACGATAAATATCGTAAAGTTATTCTATTTTTAATTGTAAAAAACTTTTATTCCGTTGCTTAACTAAATGTTTCTAATCATTTAATTGTAAGTGGATTTAAAAGTATTTAAAGATATTAAATTTTTACTTTGAAAGGGATTTTGAAATATATAGCTGTATTTACTAAGAAACGTTGAAGACTTTATAATAAATTACAAAAAGTGTAGTATTTAGAGTGAATAGTTTTGAAAATTGTAGAGTAGACTCAATTGCTATTGAGTCGTTTGTCTTGAAACGAAATGAAAGTTTTTGATTTTTTAAGATTGTTTAATTGTTGGCGTAATTGCACGTGAAAAGCGTGGGAATTAACGTAGACATAGAGTAAAATGGGCTGTTTAATAGGAGGCAGTGGTTAGCGGTGGTGGAGGGGCATACTTGATCAGCGGCAATACAGGGGGCGCGACAGTCAGCGTGGAAGAGGCCGCCGCCGCCGCCGCGAATATGACACACGCTACTAGAGTCTCCCAGGCCACCGTAAGCCATATCGACTCCCCATTTGTTAGCTACTTTCTTATACTAATATGTGTTATTGTCTGCATGCTCACAAGTCACACCTCGCTATGCACATTAGTTTGCAATGTGGCGCACTCTCAAGAAAGGCAACCGAGCAGACTTTATGTGATAAAAGATTCGACAATAAGAAACCATAGTATTTTCTAACTAACTAATGATGACTTGAACATTGACTGATAGTGCAAAGTTGATTGCTTCTTCATTTTCTTAATCCTTACTCCTGTTGAAGTAATCGTTCACTGCGACGTACCTTTCTTTAGAGTAAAAACTATTGGTGAAATTTTTTTCAAACCTACTTACTGAGTGTTGCTGCTCAAAAAGCTGCCTCTCTCATCTTTAGTACAATCAAGAAATAAGAAATACTAACCATTTGTCACACAAACCGACCTTTTCTCTATGGAAACAAAGACAAGATTCGTTTCTGTATAAATATTTTACTCTTCTTATTCATTATACAGACAAATGTTAGTCTTTTTTACTTCTTCCAGAATAACACTTTTTTAATTTCTCAAGACTCGGTCACGTATCTTGGAGAAGAAAACTTCTAATTCAATCTTTTTTCTTTTATATTCATACAACTTTTTAAACTTTTATGGCTTTTCTTTTCTATAATATTTATCAGTGTCTAGACTTTGGAAACACTCAGTATATATATATATATATATATATTTATAATCATTTGCTTTCTTATTTTTATCAGCAAAATATTTGGTTCAAAGATATTACTGACTTGTAAATTGAAAAATTATTTTAATTTTACTACGTTAATTTTCAAATAGACGCAAATGATTTTTAAATTTAAATTTAATTTTTTATCTACTTATAAAGCAGTTGTCAATTCATTATTTAATTATAAAGTCTGTTCAATCTACCGCAAAAGTTTTTTCTGCGGCAGACCAAAAATGTATTTTAATGAGCTAACCACAAATCTAGAGATAATTTTGCTCCAACAGGCCGGGATTTTTTAAATTTTTAATTGATTAAATTAACTTTTGTTATTATTATTTTTTTATTATATCCTTAAGAAACACACATTGATAGAATAAATTTCTTGGTGCAAATGCAAATGACAGTACATACCTAATCTGCTACACGATAAACTCCTATTTATTAAGTTTCATAAAATTATAATTATTACAATAATTGTAAATTTTATACTGAAAGCTTACGCGATTTTGTTTTCATCTTCTATTAATTTAAATTTGATGAAAGTTGAAATTGTTTTTCAATAATTTCAGTTAATGAAAATTTTAAATTAATAGAAGATAAAAACAAAATCGCGTAAGATGTAGAATGGATTTTCGTTAATGATTTCCTGTTATGTCCATAGGTGCAATGGTTGTTAGAAAATTACGAAACTTCAGACGGTGTCTCTCTTCCAAGATCAACGCTTTACAATCATTACCTTCGCCATTGCTCGGATAATAAATTAGATCCTGTAAATGCAGCGAGCTTTGGAAAATTAATTCGATCAGTATTTTTAGGTTTAAGGACACGACGTTTGGGAACGCGGTGAGTCACTTTTTAAATGATAAATTACAGATTTAGGGGATAATTATAAATAACAGGGGGAGCTAACAAACACCTTTTGGAACTCTAGCGGAAACTCCAAGTACCACTATTACGGCATTCGAGTGAAGCCCAATTCGCCACTGATCCTGTTGAATGAAGACGGAACTTCTCGGCAGCAAGCAACTTCAAACTCCCAGGCGAAGAGATTCAAGTTTGTGAATCAGAAGCAAGACCCAACGTACGACGCCAATACACACTCCAATACGAATATTTCTTCTCACAATTCTCCGCCCCAGTATCAGCAGTACCTCGGAGAAGGGGGCAATGCGATCCCAGAGTTTCCGGAAATCATAGTAGGTCACGGGTCGTCTCTACCCGAAGATTGCACTCTGGAGGACATCGACACATTCCGCAGTATTTACAGAGAGCACTGTGAGGCCTTTCTGGACGCCGTTCTCAACTTTGAATTCGCCACAATCGAGAGTTTGTGGAGGGAGTTCTGGCGCAGTCAGGACAATAACAATGGCGATGAGTGTGAAGAAGAAAAGTATTTGTCAAAGTAAGACGAAAAAGCTACTTGAACTTTCTTACATATCCTAATGCAACCAAATTTTCAGGACTAAGCTCTACCAGATGTGCAAGTGTTCCGAAGTACAAGATTTCATCAGACAAGTGGATTACAACTTTTACCAAAACCTAGTTGAAGTTCTCATGCCCGATGTTTTGCGACCTATTCCCAGTAAGTTTATAGAAAGCCAATAAATTATTCAATAAATGAATAAGAGAATTCATGCTGAATTCATGTACTGTTAACAGGTTCATTAACTCAATCCATAAGAAACTTTGCCAAAGGTCTCGAATCGTGGTTGACGTCAGCAATGAATGATTGTCCTCAAGAGATGATGCACATAAAGGTCAGTACGGAATAATGTAAAAATCACAAATAAGCCTTTTTCGGTTGTCTAACGATCATGTTTTATCATTTACAGTTGACTGCTGTGTCTGCGTTTGCGCAAACACTGAGGCGATACACTTCTTTGAATCATCTAGCCCAAGCTGCAAGAGCTGTTCTTCAGAATACTAGTCAAATTAATCAAATGTTAACAGATTTAAATCGAGTAGATTTCCACAATGTTCAAGAGCAGGTGAGTTTATTATTTGGAACCCAACCCCGAAAAGAATCAGAAGTGCTACTCTTTTAGCGGCCCAAATGATTTTCGGTGTAGATTAATTTGTTCCTTAGCTGAGAAGTTCTTAACGCTGTTTTAATTGTAGGCTTCGTGGGTGTGCCAGTGTGACTACACAGTTGTTCAACGTTTAGAAACTGATTTTAAAGTAACACTTCAACAGCAAAACTCGTTGGAACAGTGGGCGGTATGGTTGAAGGGAGTGGTCACTCAAGTTCTCAAACCTTACGAGGGAAAACCAACTTTTGCTAAAGCTGCCCGTCAATTTCTCCTCAAGTGGTCATTTTACAGGTAAGACCTACAAAGTTTTTACCTACAAAGTTGTAACATTCCAACTGATGAAAAATAAAATCATTTTCGTCAGTTGATTGATTCTATGCAATTCTATTTTTCAAGTTCAATGGTTATACGTGATCTCACATTAAGAAGCGCTGCCAGTTTCGGGTCTTTTCACCTTATTCGCTTGCTGTATGATGAGTACATGTTTTTCCTAATTGAACATCAGGTTGCTGTGGCTACAGGAACAACTCCCATTGCCGTCATGGGTGACGTGAGTACTTTTTGGCAAATACTTGTGATAAAAATTTAATCGGACCTATCTCAATTTCTAATGACTAATATAAACATTTTTACTTCAGAAAAATCAAGGTCCACCTGTTTTCTATACTTTTGGGACGGCTCCAAATGGAGGTACTTTTATTCATAATTAAATTATATATAAATACTCTATTGCTTACTCAAATGATTGATATTGACAAAGATAAACCTTTTTCTAATTAAAAAATTCAATTAGAAATTGTAATAGTCCAAGATCCCCCCGCCGCATAATTTCTACACTTATAAGTTTTATGAATTAAATTTACCGTAAATAAAACAACTTTTCAATCTGCTGAATTAGAGGTTGAATTCCTCATCAAACATGTGAACAGAGAAATTAAACAATGTTTGTCAATAATTGTCAAATGATCATTAAAATGGACCTTAAAAGGTCAAGCATCCAATAGACTTTAAAAACCAAATGATTTTTACGAACACACACATAATGCCATAATAAAAAGTTTGCTTATTTGCTTACCGTATTTAAATATTTTGCAGAGTCAAGTCCATCTAAGCGCATGAAGATGAGCTAACTGCACTGCGGAATAGTCAGAAGTTGTTAGAAGTGAAGGAGCTCACAAAAATCGAACAGGCCTACTATACTTATACATACATATGCTAGTCTAGTAAGTTAATATTTTATATAAAAGTGGATAATTTATTGTAACTCTATGAGGGTTACATACAATAACAGCCTATTTAAAATAGGCTCTTTCGGTCAAGTTTAAGAAAAAGAATTGAAAATTCTTTCCTCATTTTTTAACGATCGAATGTTATATACGAGGACAAATGATTTTGCAATAGATCCAATCAAGTTGTTCATTAGCGTATGAAGTGAACCACAAATTAAATTTATGTACATACACGGGACCATGTCCAACACACACTCTACTCTTTATACATAACATATGCAACTATTCTCAGTTTCTAGAGTTCTTCACCAATTACATACCTTTTTTCACGTTTCACAACCATTTCGTGTTTTTACTTTTCTAATAAACATGAGTTCACCTTGTAAAAAGTATTCTTTAAAGCGTTAAAGGTTGCAAAGTGATTGAAAAATAAAACGAGAGTAATGTGAATTTTCACGTAATGTAAAAGTGTACTTGTCTTGTTTCGAAGAGGACGTAATTATCTGAGCTTATTTTTGTAAGTGAAAAGTAATGCAGAAAGATATATAGATTCGTTTTTATAAATTATTATAGGTCAAATTTATTATTCTCCATTCTAAACCCAACTATTTTCTTAATTCAACTTCTCTTATTTATTTAAACACTTAACATTTCATTTCATGTTTTGTTTTGTTTTGTTTGTGAAGTGAATAATTATTTACCACTAAAAACATTCTTTTATTCCTTGCAATTTACTCAAAGGCATTTAGAATTTACAAAAAGTTAACTCCTTTTCTTAATTTATGTGTAAAATATATTTTACAAATTTCAATGTATTTTGAGTTCCAATTTATTATTACACTGCGTTTCTGAAATATAAAAATTCCCCAAACATTTACAACATTTGAATCGCGAATTAACATGTTTCATAATTTCACTACAGGCAAATGCTTTATGACAAATTTTGCATTATAATCAATTATTATAATAGAATTTTTGTACGTCGCAAATTTAATCTCAGGACTAAATTATTTTATAAATTTCTTCAAGTTTAGATATCTTATCTATAACAGAACTCAGCTCTGTTAGTAAAACTTTTAATAAAATATATATTGTCGGATAAACGAAAATTATATATTACCAAATAATTCTGTAAAAATTATTTTCTCTTGATAACAGTTTGTTTTATTGAAAATTATGACAAGTTAAATTTCTATTTTATAAACTTGTAAATTTTTTCCATTTTTTTTATTAATTTCTGAATAATTAGGTATTTTTACTGTACTTGCAGTTGACTTGACTGCTAATGGAAAAGACAGAAAAAACATGTCTTGTCTTTCTAACAATAATTGAAAGAATATTCTACTTTCTTATCGAAAATGACAGCTATTATATAGTTATTGACGGTATTTTCATTTGGATTAGCTGAAAATTGCACGCCTATAATTTCTTTGATGTATTTACTCTGTATAAAAGATGACGTTTTATAATGCTTAGTCTAAGTTTATATAATTGATTAATAACTATACTTTAATATCGACCTTATAGGATTTAGTAATTAATCATAAGACTCTAATTTTCTTTCGAGTAATATTATACATGGTAAAGTTGAACCTTGATTTATCGAAACTTGTTCAAAGTAGGGATAAGTAAGTAAAATCTTTCTGTTTTATTTACATTGAATGATTGAAAAACCTTCCATTCGTTAAAATTTTGTTTACCTCAATTCTGAAAGAGTTTCTCTGCAAGTTTGATTAATCAGGGTTCCACTGCTTAATTAGGTGATAATATTTTATTATAAAAATACGAATTCGCGCTTTATAAAAAAACTTATTGAATTAGAACTATTTATACTGAAATGAATTCTATTTATCGAATGATTAAACTTTTTTTAATTAACCAAAGACGTATTTTGTAAGAATCTCTTGTGATTCGCCATTGAAGAATGAATCAATGACTGCAGAAGTAACGCACCAATAAGTAACTCGTATGGATTTTAGTTTTACGACAAATAGAAGGCAAGCTCTTTATTTAGTTCTGTAACAATTGTTCTGCAAATTAGTATAAATGTTTTCTGTGGTGATTTGTTTACATTGAATTGTGCAACTGATAATAAATAAGATTCTAGCTCTATTCCGAATGGTAGTCCACACTGAATTTAAACTAAAGAGAAGCTCTTCATGATTCCGTTCTGAATGGTTCTAAATGTCTTTATCCCATAAAATTATTATGTTCCTCATGTTGTAGAGCCCTGTTTCCTTAAATAAATATCCGTCAAAGTGAAAGGCAGATTTTCAAACTAATGGTAGCGCATTCTCAATGCAAGTAAACAAAGGTTATTTTCTTCTTTTAAATGAAAATACTTAACGTTTCTTTGAAACTTTAATTTAGAAAATAATTATAAAATAAATTATACGACACAACAGTATTTGTATTTCTGAGATTTCGTATGGTAGTTTTTGTAGGTTTCGTACAATGAACTTTTATGAATTTGAGTAATGGAAAAAATTAATTTTATTTCTTTATTTTAAGGAATGGACGATTTCGACCATTGTCAGTTCAGTTTAGTTCTCAATAGTGAAAAACATAAGAATAATCATACACAATCCCAGGAATTAAATAATTTGTTGTAAGGTGCTATAAGTGAAATAAACCTGGAAATTACTTTTCAAGCATATTGTGTATGAAATTGATGAAAAAATTTGCTCTGGTACTTAATGCGCTGTAATTCTTTTGAAACACAAGCTTTGTTGAGAGGAAACCCTACCTTATATTAAAACGTTTGACACGTGAATCTATTCTATAAAGAAGAAATGGAAAGTATAATTTAATGTCAATTTTACAATGCATTTTTAGTTTAATAAGACGTTTACTGAATGTATAAATGTTTCTAGAAACTAGTCAAACACTGTAGATACATACGTATGTTAAGAAACAGGGATTGAATATTAATTAAATGCCGTGCAAAGATTACAACAATGATCGATCGCACTTATAAAGGGAAATGTTTATGTTTCCATAAATAACTGTAATGAGCTTATAAGTGTAAAAATATTAATTAAAACCTAAGTGTACCTAAGCGTAAGAACATTATAACAAAAATTCATAGATATTTAATTTGGAGCGCAGAAGGTGTGACGTGTGAGGGATAAAAGGAACAATAGACGTGAATAAATGTATAATAAAATGGCTGCTTAATTAATGAGTTCTTATGGATATCACTAAACTTAACATTATTTTGTTATTAATAGATTGCTGGAAAAATTAAGCCCGTCCATTTCATCGCTACGACATAATAAAAACATTTTTGGGGAAAGTTTATTGCTTTTTATAAATGAAATATTTTATATTTAACACTCTCCAGCTTAAATGATAATTTACAAATAATATGTATATATTGATTTACGTATTGAAACATTCTTCATTACAACATGTATATTCGATACCACTGTGAGTCAATGTTCTTTCAAGTAGGTAGTAACTTTTTTTTAGTTTACAGCGTTTACAGCGTTTACAGATGCTTTTTTTTTTTTTTTTTTTCCTTAGGGCGGCAATTTCTTCCATAAATAAAATACTTGAAAATTATAAATTACAAACTAAAAGTAGAGCAAACCATTTCCGAAACTGTGTTGGAATCTAGAGAATTTGAATTTAGTTGGAAATTGAAAAAAGATTTTATTCAACTGTCACTTGAATTACATACATGGAGGCATGGAGGTATCGACATATTATAATATTGAGTGAAATGCGAATTTATTATAAACTCTTACCTAAAAATGAAAAAAGAAACACATTGAAAACGGCCTTAAACGAACGAAATGTTCTACGAAAGGCCTGAGAGATTATGAAAAAGAGATCGTTTTATATTGCTTAATAAAATAAACGCATGGGTGAGAAGAATGATTTCTTTGATACGTATAGAAAATATTTTGATACTTCCGAATTTGCACAAACAGATAACCATTAATTACCGTTTAAATAAGATTATTTTTACTGAATGTAGCTCAAAAAATAACAATTGTGAATTTTCTATATGTTAAGAATGTCCAACGACCATATGAGTGTGCAAATCACAGAAATTGATCGAATAATAAATATATGTTTAAAATTAAACATTTTTATTACCTATGTTTCTAATACCTAACTGATTATAGGTACCTTCACTGTCCAAACAGTTCAAAAAGAAAATTGTTTAATAACTGTGCGACAAATTCTATTATTTTCTTTCAAAAAAAATAAATATACCTACAACTGAATCTTAGAAAACAATTATTAAAGTTTCCGTTTTTCAAACAGCGATAATATTGTATGAGTTGCAGATTATTAAATGTATTAAGTGAAAGTTGCGGAAAGAAAAGAAATCAAGTAGTAGGTTATATTTTTTATTTTTAAACAATAATATTTCTCCAAATTTTAGTAAATTTATAAGTTTACATATTTATTTTATTATTCAATGCTGAAAAAATGTGTCAAAATCCAAGCAAAAATGACACAAGTCATAAATTGCTTCTAAAAAAGAATATTAAATATATTGTTTCATTTTTTGTGCATTATATAAAAACAATTAAATTATTGTTGATAACACCAATAATTGTGAGTCATAAAGCATATAGAAAAAATCATTGTCTTCATCTCATCAGAAACTACAAATTTATTTTAAAAAATTATTTTGCAAATACCTATATGAATTTCTACAATAAAATTCTTAAAAAATAATTTTTGTATCTTTTTATAATTCTGAAAAATAAATCTTTCGTTTCCGATGAAAACGTCTGTGCCGTTGAAACGTAAAAGATACTGCTTTTTCAATTGTAATTATCAACTGCATTATTGCTTAATTTAGTACATTAATTCTCTATTTTTTTGGACGACTGACGTCAAAATACTCCAGAGTCATTATAATATTAAAAAATTGTAGTCAGGATTATTCTGGATCTATTAATTCTCTATTATTCTGTGACTTGTGTCGATTTTGCACTGACGTTACCAAATCTTTATTTATTGAGTATTTCATATTATTAGGTATTATATAAAATAATACTTCCTGTAAAAATATATTAACGTATAACCAGTAAAAATATATTTGAATCTACGCCTCGTAAAAAGTAAATAAAAAATAAATGCTGACTCACATTTCAAAGTAATTAACTCCTTCATCATTTGTTAAATCCACTGAATTTACTTTCTTTCAAATATATTTCCGGTAGTTACAATATTTTTTAAGGCACTAACACGCAATAAACTCTTCAACGTTATTTTAAGTTGAAATACGTTTGCTGATGAGTATTAAATTTAAATAATAAAAACATAATTGAAGCACCGCATCTCGTCATGGTATACTTGCAGTAAAAGAATAATAATTATTGTTTTAATGTTATGTAAATATAATAAATTATGTGCAGAATCTTTACACATGGAATATTTTGCGAGAAACTTGTAACATTTTTTATAATTTACTTTGTTTGACTGCAACATTGAATTAATAGAATTCGATTTTAATTTATGCATAAGCTAGCGTACACAACAAACTTTAAACTTTTTTGAGATTCAAAACGCAGAGATACATATAATACAAGTACATTTTTATCTCCATAGAATAATCAGGAAGACGGATTACAATCATGCGAAGAACACTTATTTATTAAAAGAGAAACTTGGCAGCTAGAACAACATAACATCCATGACTTTACTTTTTTTACATCATTAACGTTTAGAAGGAAATTCACTTTAAAAAATCTATAGAAAAGAAAATTTTACATTCTTGTTCCACGCTTATACTTTCCAAAACCATATTTTTAGACTTAAAAATAGATAAAAATTTGATTCATGCGAGGAATCTAAAAAATTAATAATGCATACTAATTTTAGTTGTTTCAGTAGATTATTTTCCAATGAATTATTAAAACCACCTCCCACTGAATCCGATGGATAGGTGTGTAATGTCTAATGTGTATACGACTAAGATATTTATAAAGAGAGCTTTTCAATTTAATTTCTATGAAGGAGGATAAGAAGATGAAACTCCATATTTTTATTGGTCCCCATTTAGGGAAGTGGGGTTGCAGCTTCTCCTTTCCCTAATAGCTTGAGTTTCTCTTCTGCGAGAAAGTCATCAAGTAATGAACATTTAAATAATTTTTCTTCAACTTCCTCTTCGAAGTAAGTCATCAAGTTTTGGGTGTTTTGTTCACAATTTTGTCAGTAGTTTCAAATTATTTTCCCATACTTGTTTCATTTCTCTATCGTCCTTCATGATTAATTTTTAATTTCTTTCAAAAATAGAACGGGAATTATTTCTGAAAGTAATAATAAATTTTGTCTTAAACTATTTTCGATGAATTCACTGGTGTATTTATGTTGTTGAATTTTCGTTGAAGCTTATTAGCAATAAAGTGTTTTTTCCGCCCATTCTTCCAATGTAAAAGTTGCGGAATTGCTGTGATGAGGATCCTTTTCTCGAAAAATATCTTCAAAGAAAATTTCAAATCATTAATTAGTAGAAATTAGTTATCATAAACTCAATTCGCAACAAGCGTTTGCCATTTTCATATCAGGCTTACAAATATTTGTCGGAAAAATAAATGTTTATATTTTCCGAATTTTTTCTTCTTTATGATTCTGAAAAATAGACTAGCGAACTACATTCAAAATTAATCTTAATTAATTGAAATCCAATTGCCATATTAGACCACTTCTTTTTTAATTATTGGAAAAGAACATGAAAAATGTATGTACGAACAAAAAAAAATTATATTATAAACATAAATTCCTACCTGAAAATTGATGAAACTTGAAAAGAATATCTAAACTAAATTACATAACAAACTGTAACAGCGAATTGCATCAATTTCCGGGAGGGAATGAAGCTGATGAATTAGACAATTGAAATTAATATGAATTACTAAAAACACATTATCTAAGATTTTATTGATTAATTTACTTTCCAGACAATTAAAAGTAAACCTAGCTTCACCAAAAATTATAAACCAATACCTGTCTAATGTGCTCATTACAGATTATTTGACTTGGTGGGTGACAGGAAAGTTAGTGAGGAAAGTTTTAATGGATTTTTTAGGTTTAGAGTTTAGAAATTTTGAAAAATTGTTTAAAGCATTGCGTTTAAAACATTTTAAGTACAACTAGTGAACTAATTGAAAACAACAGAAAAGTCGTGTTTACATCCCAATAAAAAATCTTTGTTAGGAAATCTTTAAGTAGATTAAAAAGTACCGATAATTTATAACTTCAATAAGATGTTTAATAAAGGATGATGCACCTCCAATAGAAATAAATTTTCGATGAAGAAGAAAATAATTAGGTAGTTTGATATTGTAAAAGAAAATCTAAAAGCCACCAAGGGAATCCAGCAAGTAATTAAAAACATGTTATTCACGGACCCGAAATCTCCGGTATAATAACTTGCAAATATATTTTTAAAAAATGCGCTGTCATATATTTATTTCCCAACACCGCAAAAATAATAAAAGAAATTCCAAGTATTATTGAACTTAATAATAGTGAAGGACTTTCATGAATAGTTTTATATCATGTTTTATATGCATTATGAATGCATATAAAACTAGATTTCAGCGCTTTTGAGAAGAAACTGAAACTTTTTTTCAGAAGAAAGCTATCCCTTCTGAACTTTTACAACTTTTAACCCACAGGGCTGTACATTCAAATTCATATCTATAGAAACTTTTGGAAATAAGTGCAACTTAAAATAATTATCTGTACTTATTAATCAAAGAATGATTCGTCAAGTTTAGAATATTACTTAGATTAGAGTATTTTTTAAAGGAAGACATAGTTAAGAAGTAAGTGACAAAAGAAATTATGTGATGATTTTTGTTTTAAACTCAAAATTTAGATTAACGTATACCTACGAAATATAAACAGCTGTTAAGAAATTAATATTCTTTGAAGGAGTTTTGATCTGGAAAATCGGGATTTTGGTCTAGAAAATCTAAATTTCGGTCTGGAGAATCTGTAAAAGTCAAAGACAAACATAAAACAGCAATTCTTTCAGAGAACCGCCAACGGAAAAAAGTGGTACAAACAAAATTTCCAAAAATCTTACATACTAAAAACATTTTCTATTTCTATTAATACTTTTTATAAATCTTGGTATCTTTAAGCTATCTTTTTCGCAGACATATTGCACACTTATTTCATTAATTAACTAAACTGCGTTTCATCCGAGGATGCAAGGAGAATTGTAAAGAAAACAAAAATCCGTCTCACTATATATAGTAAGGAGACCAGGACGCAATGGATTATTTCAATTTATTTAAAAGCGACAAGTTGAAACAATTTCGCTTCATTTTGAACCAATAATTTGTTTTTTTAAGGATTTGCTTTTTTAAATTTATTACAATTCTTTATATGATTTATTTTCAATATTTATTTTATAAATATTGAAGTTGTTATATGGTGCGTGATGTGCGAAAGTCCTACGCAAAAGGTAGCTTAAGAATTAAAATTCTCTTTAATTTATTTGAATTAAAAAATAAACAAACATGTAAAGCCGAAAAACAGGAATTTTAAAATTGACGTTGCGAATCTAGCACAAAAATTGAGTGCTTTTCACAAGAATGACCTAAACCGGTATGAACTGCAAAACAGTCAATTATAAAGTGCAAAGTAAACAATAAAAAGAATGTAAGCTTACAAATATTCATTTGAAACAAAGAAAGAAATAGTACATTATTAAATGTCCTCATCTAGATCCGCACATTTACTTAAAGTGTGTGCATTGAATTTGTATTACTATTACGTACCAATCATAGTTTTCATTCGAACTGCACACATAATGTAGTCATCAAATGAAATCATCCCCTCTTTGGTACTATAACGATGTACTAGGATATTCAGTATGTGATTATTGAGTCTGTAGCCTGCACTGTTTAAGGCCTGTCTCAACTCAAATGCACTCAGATACCCTGAACCATCTCTGTCATACAGCCGAAATACAGCCTAAAATAAAGTAATTCGATTAGGTAGAGAGTAACGTTAAAGTAAAATTCCATTGTGCTAAATTTCTTCTAATTTAGTAATTTAATTAGAAAATAAATAAAATGCAGAATACGTACTCTCCAGTTTCTAATGTCATTCCACAGAGATTTAAACTCTTCAAATCCCAGTTTTCCTGAGTGATCAACGTCCAACATTGCCACCATACTGCGGCAAATGTCTTTGCTGAATCCTTTATTGTGCGTTTCTAGAAAGTAAATGAGAATTTTTAAAATTCACGATCGGTCAAATTCATTAGCAATTAGGTAGTGTTAAATTGAAAGTTTTCTAATATAAAAGAAAAGACCATGCACAACAAAATAAAGCATCCATTAATAATATTGAAGCGGAAGATTTAGTAAAAAATGGAGAAGGAATGAATTTTCTATTTCAGATATAAAAAATGAATCAACGTTTCTTGCAAAAGAAAGTTACTGTAGATCGGAGTAACCACGTGAGATATTTGGATTTGTTGCATTATTATACTTTACCTACTGATTTATTGTACTGCTCATTATTACAAACAATACCACATAGCAGGGAGATGAGAGTGTCGATGAATGAACCGTTTTCCACAAAGGTTTCATTCGTTTCACTTCGAGAAGGCGTAGTCTGCGGTAATTCTATCCTCAACATATAGCAGTTACTATCAATATACAACAATGTAATCAGATTAAACTAATTCGAATTCAGTTCAAAGCGTACGTGTCTTGAATTCAACAAACAAATCGTCACTAAGTGGTGAGAGTGTACAAGTTATTTTCACAGAAAATATTCAAAAATAAACTGCCATCATTTGGAATATCATGTAGTGTTGCAAACTGAAATTCGCAAATTTGTGCTAATTCAAAATTAAGTAGCTCAACGAAAACTATTGCAGCGTATCACCAACTTGTTGAAAAATGTATAAATTGTTTCAAACTCTTATTTTACTAAATTAAACTTAACACCTTATAAATAATTGAAAAACGTATTTACAATATCTTTGACTTCATGAAAGAATGTTTAAAAATCAATGACCGTAAAAATTTACGACTTGAGTGAATCTGTAGGTTCAACATATGGCATATAGGGAAGGTGATTTAATTAAAGCAGATGACTTAGATAATTTACGGACATTTCTAAAAGAATTAGACTGCTTCAGAAAAAGTATTATGATGTGAAAAGAATAAAGCTAAAAGCACAGAGCAACAAAAATAAACACTTTATTTCTTAGACTACGCACTTCGCAATGGACTTTTCTCTAAAGTTACATCTATCATCCGAATATGTGACATTTTACTAGTTATTTATATAGATTTAAGGCAATATTTTGAAAGCGGAAAACAGCAAACATAAATTTGTTTTAAATAATCAAATAAGGTAGAAATTTATTTTATTACGACTGTGAAATAATTCATTCAATATATTAATGTGATTTAACGTTTAAGAAATAAAATGGCAGTTTTACTAGGAAATTAAAGCAAGTTACAACATGCAGTTAAAATAAAATTGTAAATAAATTAAGTACTACGTAACTATGGCTTTAAATATATTCCTCGCTCAATAATTCACTAAAACTAATTTTCAACAAAATCATGTTCATGTGTTTCAGATTATTTGACTTTGAAAAAACTTGTACGCCAATGACATCGATTTTCTTAGGCGACTTTGTAAACAATTAGATAAATATTACATAAAAAAATTATTTTAAATGACTAAAAAAAGTTTTTTCTTTCAGTCTAAAAGTGTCTTGAGAGTGCCAAAAAGATTTTATTTAGATCAATATATTCCATAGGAACTGATACAGAATTTTATAGAAAATAGACAATTGTTTGAATACGAGGGGTAAAGTTAAAAGTAATTTCCAAAGATATCAATTTTTAAAGTATTTGACTAAATAATAGCAGATATTTATTTTTCAACCCTCATTCACAGACAAAAGTCAGTGGATTCCTTTATTTACTGATAAATATTTATTATTCGATTAAACACTAAATTTTCTAATAGTTTAAAAAACGGTGTTATTGTGAAAGTAGTGCGGGTAGTGTGCTAAATGATTTTACGTTAATAAATGGAACCTTACCTTTGCGCATTGCGTAGTCCAGAATTTCTTTCAGCTCCATCCAGTCAACTTCCATGTCATCGCCAGCAAGTTTTCTGAAGAATTCTTTAACTTTGTCCTCATTTGTCTCAGGTTGAGGTTGATCATGGACCTTTAAAAATAAAATTAAAGAAAATAGTATATTGTTCAGTTATAAATTTAAAAAAATAGTTTTAAACAAAGGATTCAAATAGAATATTCTGAAAAGATTATTCTTACCCTATCATCCACTTCGCCGACACCAACTTCTTCGTCATTCTCCCTGGGGAACAAAGTTTTCCATTTAAATACAATTCAACAGATGGGATAATTTTAAACACTTAGAGTGTTACACAAAAAGTCAATAAAATCTTTAACTAAACTAAAAAATCATCATATCAATTAAAATTATAAGGATTATAAGTATACCGAAAAAATGAAAAGCCACTTACTCCAAGTTGTTTTTGTTTTCAGAGAATATTCTCAACAAAAATTCTCCTTCCTCGTTTGGGTCGAAAGTGCTGGGAACAATGCAATAAACTCCTGGCGACAATTTAAACCTACAAGTGACTTCTCGTAAATTAATAAATGAAGGCGTGCTTGCTGCTGATCTAGTGTATTTAAAGAAGTTTATATCCAAAGGCTTCGGTAGTCTGTCAGGGTCTCCCAACTAAAACAATTTAAGGTTTAATTCTATTTTGTACAATCTTTCTATCACAGTTACTTATCTCAAGACATAATTTATGTGCGGTACAAATATATTAAATAATAAAGATAATAGGTCAATTTGGCCTATTATCTTTATATTATTTAACATATTTACTTAATTTGAATACATAATAGAATTTTAGTCAAATATTCATGTAGTAATTGTACATAATAATTATTGTAATAGAAATACTCATTATTCCATTATTTTAACAAATTGTTACCAAACATTTTTTACATTCACAATTGTAGTTTCTTTTGTTATTGTTTTTATTACCCTTCTTTAGAAAAATCAATTTTCATTTTCATAAAAGTTACGACTTTTGTAACTTATTATTTTCGGATTATTATTGCATTGGAATATCTTCAACTGTCTCTAACGAATACAAATATCGCAAAAAGAAAAAAGTATTTATGCTTCAACTTATTTATAAATAGCAACTCGCAAAAAGTGAAGCAAATTTCACTAGATAAAGATGTTGAACAAACTTTCTTAACACAGCATTCATATGCTGATTTTGTTTTTAACGAATGGTCATCTCAAAGAATTGTCCTTGTATATTGGAAGCAAAATTATTTTGTCCTAGAGGGACGTTTATTAACATGGCATTTCAAAATATTATTATTTGCTACGATGAGTAGAGTAAATAATGCATGTCACAGTGTTTGACATGCGAGAAAGAGTGGTTTTTTAAATTAAAAAAATAGAGTTACGCAGTTTCTGAAAAGTCTCTAGGGAAATCTATTAAAAGCAGTGAATTTGTTCTATTCCGTTCCGTAAATGTAAATAATTACTTTTCTGAAACAATTTATTATTATTAGAAAATAGAAAGTGTTTAATAATTGTTTACGTAGCAGTTTGGAAAATATTGTCGTAAATATTGCAATTAATAACCATAGCAACAATTTGGTCAACACTGTAACAAGTAAACATGTTTACAACTTGAATAGATTAAAGTCTGCTCCCCTATCTTCATAAGCGATCTTGAAGGGAAACAACTTCTTCCTCAAGTGTAAATCAAACAAGAAACCCCTTTCACGAGTTTTCACGAGTGTGCTAATACCCACTTGTAATATCAAGCAGTCGATGAGTCGACGTTAGTAAGCCACGGTGGTGGTGACGATGAAGTTCGTGAGCATGTACTTAGTTAGCTGCATTTTTGCGAGCGAAATCTTGGGAATGTCTGCAACGAGTCATCATTACGAGGGATTGATCAAGTATCTAGAACAAGTTTCCAAATTGCATCAGGTACTGTTCATTCTCGACGATCGATTGAACAATATGGACACAATAATGAATTCCCTTATGTCAGCCATCAATTTGCATTTTCCGTCTCTGAGCGTCACTTACACAGAAATAAGGTCGAAACTCAAAAGGCCCCACTTGATGTTCCTTAAACAACCCAGAAGCACTACACTGTTTGTCTTAGAGTGGACGAGAGAAAGCACCGTGAAGGAAATTGACATTTTCCTTTACAGGAATGATTTATTAGTAGGATCATCGAAACCAAGATGTCTAGTTCTGAACTCCTTTCTCTCAACTGAGAAAGACATGAGGAAAACCTTGGATCACTTCTGGCAAAAGAAGTACTTGGACATTACTTTGCTGACATACAGTGATGAGTCGGGAGGAAAAATCGAAACAAGTTCCCACAAATTACCTCTTTTAAGTCAATTCAATCCTTTCACCAACAATTACTCTACTCAGGTGGTGTCGGCGGAAAGTCAGTGGTTTCCAGACAAACTACTGGATCTAAACAAACGGAAATTAAACTTCACCTGTCCACTTGCTAATGATTCATGCGAGTTCGAGTGCAAGAAAATGGTTAAATTTTCAAAAGTCTTAGCTCAAGGAATGAATTTCGACGCTGAAACAGTGCCCTTGGTGAATCCCGACAGTCAGGCGAACAATGGAAAAAACAAAAGTGAAATTAAAAAGTTTGTGAAGGATTTTCAAACCAAATTTAAAGAAATAGATCCCGTGATTAGTGGAAATTTCGGGACATTCAATAGTAATTATTCAATGAATGTGAGGAATCTAAGAATTCTTAAACTTAATAGTGTGAAAGTCGTTATTCCGCAGACGGCAATACTCACAGAAGAAGTTCAAGTTTCATCAGAATTTTGGTACATGATTTTGGCAACAATTGGCACAATTACCGCTGTACGAATCACGGCATTTTTGTTGAAATTCAAGAAGAGAATATGGCAAACTTTGAACATCAGTCAAATAATAATAGGAATGACAACTGACCAAGAGCCTGAGAATTGGATGGAGAGGTTCGCTTTTGGCTCACTACTGATTGCATGCATTGTCTATTCGGGCTACTTCTACTCGGTAATTGTCGACATAAGTTTCAGACCGACTCCTGAAATTTCAACTCTTGCTGAACTTGTTAAATCGCGTTTGACATCGTTGATGACGCCGGCTATGAAGAATTTACTAATTAGCAGTAAACTTTCTGACATTCGAAAACTGTCAAAAAGATCTGTAAAAATTCAAAATGGAATGTCCGATAAGTGCTTGCAACTCTTGGCCAATTACAAGAACGTAACGTGTGTGTTTGAAAATGCTGAATATACTGTTAACAGACATGAAGCCAAGTTCGGTGAAATAGATGCGAAAACACTGAAAGAAACACTTGGATACACTGTCACTTCCTTCTGGTCGAAGCCCTTCTCACCCTATATCGACCGCCTCAATAAAATCATACTGAAAGCTGCAGAGTTCGGCTTACTCAAGGACTTCTATCTGCATGACGAACGTCTGCACGGTAACACTTCGAAACCAGAATTTATTGCAAAAGAAGAACTTCTATTTGTCTTGCTTTGTGTGTCAGTGATTGGATATTCTATTTCGATAGCCGCCTTTCTTTGCGAAGTAATATCAACGAAACTTAGAAGCAAGTTTTGCACAAGTCGAAATTTCAATTTGTAAATTAACCTCAGCACAACAAATTTTATTAAGTAATTCTCTTTTAATTCTTTGTTGGTCTTTTGAATTTCAATCTTTACGAATATATTAAATAAAAAATTTTGCACATAAAAATATTTATTTTCTTTATACAGTGAGTATTATATGAAAATTTGTTCTTGTTTAAGTTAATTGAAATTTCAACCCATGATTGATTTAATCGTCTATTTTTGTTTATTTTTTCCAAATAAATTAACCAAACTTTGAAAATTAATGTAACTAAGAGTGGTAGCAATATATTACATGAATAAATAACATAAAAATGACTATAAACTGCTTTTATTATATTTTATACTAGCTGTCGTACCCGTCTTCGACGGGTTGTAGTTTCTGATAATGCACTTAACAGTGTATCTACCAACCTAGAAAACCGGAAAATAGCCGGGAATTTGATTTGACAGGGAAAAAATAATAATTAGTTACTATTGTCTATTTCATTAGGAAAATAATACCATTTGAAACAGTGACCGACTTTTTATTATCAAATTAGTTATTTTTAACTAATTCAAATGCAGAAAACAATATTTCTCAATTTGTAGTACTTCAATCAATATAATGTATTAAAATAAATCTAAAATTTCCTCCAGTTTTTTGAGTTATAGTACAGTCTAATTCGAACTAATTGTATAGCAAGTAGATCCAGTTTTTCTCGGTTACATTAAATTATTATTATTAAAAAAAACCCGTCCAGTAAACCAGGAAAAATTTGGACAAAGCCGGAAATTGTTTTAAACCAAAATAAACACCGTGTTTAACTTTTGTCTTTACATTGATCAAGATATCTCTAAAAGTTAAATCAGAGAGCCCACAAATACTACTGAATTAAGCTTCTTAGTAATTGGTATCAATTATAATTTTTTCAATTTTTTGATATTCAAAACATTTTTATACTTACATCTTCGTTATAAGAAAGTATTTTTGAAAAATTATGCTAAAATGTGACTAAATAACATGTAATACTCAACTATAGAAAGTTTAGAAGCAATCCATGAAAAAATATAAAATTTAGAAATTATTTGTGTTAAATAAATTCATTTATTAGAGTCAAGTATTTATTTAATTAATCCAATTAAGATTTATTTGATTCAACTAAATAAAATTATTTAAACGAAATAAATTCTTATTAGATCGAAATAAAAACTTTTTAAATAAGATATTATTTTTCAAATAATTATAATTACTTGAATCATATAACTTTTTTTAGTGTAGCTATAGTAAACTAAAAGTTATTAATGTGAACGAACATTATCTATATTAATAAAATCAGATTACTATCTGTACATTGCTTCAAACTTGAAAATTTTTATATATTTTTTCGTTTTGAGACATTAGAATTCTAAAAATGTAAAAAAAATTTCTGTCTGTCTGTCTCTGTCTGTATGCAAAACTTTGTTCGCGCATCAATTGAAAACGGTTCAACCAATTAAAGTGAAATTTGGCAGTCTATTAGGTATTAAAGTAACTTACAATCATAGCCTTATCCGATTAAAAAATATTAACTTGAACAAAAGTTATGACATTTTTCCAAAAAATTCAAAAAAAAAAAAATGCAAATTTTTTATCTTTTGTAAAATGAATGAAAAAACTATCCTTAGCTAACTTTTTCAGATAAATACAACCCATTTCTACGATAAAATTTTTAAAAAAGATGTATTTTGAAATTTTTTTTCGTTTTTTTAGATCAACTTTTTTCTAAGAAAATAGTGATTTTTAATCTTTAAGCAAGCTTTTCAAGAAAAGTTATTAAAGTTTTTTATTTAAAGATCAGTATGTAAAGTAAAAAATTTGCTACATTAAACAAAAATAATTAGCTAAATGCCATAAAAAAGAAGGAAAAATGTTGAATTTTAAGAAATTCGGTTTTTTGAATTTTTGATAATTTTCCATAATTTTAGATTTTTTACCGAAGGGTGGAGACTATTGAATAAGTAAAGTATTTTTTAAGAGCACAAAAATAATAAAGCTAAATGCCATAAAAAGAAGGAAAAATGTTTAATTTTAAGAAATTCATTTTTTTGCATTTTTGCTATTTTTCCATAATTTTAGATTTTTTACCAAAGGGTGGAGATAACAAATTAGGTAAAGTATTTTTGAAGAGCCCAAAAATTTGGTTTTATGAATTTTTGCTAATTTTCCATAATTTTAGATTTTTTACCAAAGGGTGGAGACTATTAAATATAAGTAAAGTATTTTTTAAGAGTACAAAAATAATGAAGCTTAATGATATAAAAGAGAAGAAAAAAATGTTAAATTTTAAGAAATTCGGTTTCTCGAATTTTTGATAATTTTTGATTTTTTGCTAAAGGGTGGAGACTATTCAAATAGTATAATTATACTACCGAAATAGCTAATGGTAACTAATTATTAATTAATTAATTATTAACTAATTATTAATTATTATTAATTAACTAATTATTAATTATTAATTATTAATTATTAATTATTAATTATTAATTATTAATTATTAATTATTAATTATTAATTAATTTATCCCGGGTATTTTTGATTTTCCAGATTGGTAGAAACATTGTTAAATGTATTGGTAGAAACTAAAACCCGTCGAAGACGGGTACGACATGACAGCTAGTGCTATATATTTTCAAAATTTTTAAAATTCAAAATTTATCTTTTGAAATAATTATTGTCATTAATTTTACTTAAATTTTATACAGGGTTAATTTTAGTATTTTTTATTACAATTTAGTCATCAGAATGAAATTTGAGTTTTTCATTTTTTGATCATTAATTAATAAAATATAATAGCAATTTTGAATTCTGTGCAACCTACTGACAAAAGTCTCATATTAATTATATGGATATTGTTAATATTCTGACCTAATAGAATTCTTTTAAGAAAGTAAACTTATGATTTCAACAACAAATTTTTATTGTTGACCTAAGAAATACAACCGTATAAAAATTAATTACAAAAAAATTTCAATTTTTAAACTTTTTAATTTTTCAATATTTAAATCTAACACTTTTTATTTGTTATTCAAAATTTTATTATTCTGACGATTAAATCTTCATAAGAAACACTAAAATTAACCCTGTACCAAGTTTAAGTACAATTCACTAAAGTATATGAAAAAACTAAAAATTTCGAATTTTCGAATTTTTGAAAAAATGGCATAACTTTCGTCCATATTAATATTTTTTAATCTACTATCTCTAGGATTTTAAGTTAGGCTAATGCCTAAAAGACTGCCAAGTTTCACTTCAAACGATCGAACCGTTTTTCCGTGATACGCGGTCGAAAATTTGCGGACATACATACACACATACACACATACACACATATACACATACACACATAATTTTCTTAATAGTATTTTCGCATTCCTTAGAGTGTAAAAAGAAGGAATATAATAGAAATTTTGAATTCTATGCAATGTACAGACAAAAGTCTGATTTTATTAATAAGGATAATTTGGAGAATTTTAGAGAAATGATTGTTTATCACAAATTGTATTTCATTGCCTTCTATTTCTAAAACCTGGCCACTGAGTTCAAGTTAAGTTTCTCTACCAGTGAAATTTCTCCTTTAAATACTATTTAAAAAAGTAAATAAAATGTAACACTCACATGATAAACAGCAAACCCAATTGTTAAACAGTCAGCACCCATTCTTCTTTGCGCTCTCCTATTCTTTTGCATTAAAGCAATAATGACGGTGCATTTATCATCGCCTTCATCGGGACTTTCAAGAGTGATGCGGTATTGAGGATTGTGCCAAAAAGTTTCTACAAACACAAAGTATTAAACTAATCAAGTACTAATTAAAAGAAAATAAAATCTATTTAGAAAAATCGGTTTCAAGTAGTACCTAGGTAATTTCTGCAACCACCAGCAGTGACACCGCGTACCCACTCGCCTTCAAACACACTCGTTTCCCACTTTTTCTTGCCCTGGTTGTAGTCATCCTCTGTAAGAGAGTCTGCATTCAAGTTGCAAATTTCTAAATTTGTGAAATACGTCTTGAAGTCTTGGAACGACATCCAAAATTCTCCGTCTACGTCAAACGTCAAACCCAACTCCTCCTTCTCGTGGTCTGGGATGAATCTCCATTCTGGTGACCTGTTTCCGATAGTTTAATTAGCTTTTGAAAACTGGTTCCATTTGTTAAGCAGTAAAACTATTTACGCACCCATCACTCCAGGGACCATTCCACTCGGCCTCATTTCCCCAAGGATTCCTGATTCTCAGTAACGGAACTGTGCCACTTCGATGGGGCATTTCAATGTGAACATTCTTTATTCTCGTAATACTGTAGGCGTGACCCCTAACTAGACCTTGCGGTGTCCTAGCCTCCAAGACACTGGGATCTGGCTGCGTAGTGAAAAAAGCGGTTAAAAACTTTTTTTTAATTCTCCATGTACACCCTTTTTCCGTTTTTTCGGTTTACTCCCAATGGTTAAAAACTTATTTTGCCTATTAAAGTTTAGAGAATCGCTATTACCTCAATCGAACAACCAATTAGGGAGTTTCTCTCGTAGGCCTTCAGCAGCACACTGAACAAATTTGACGGAGTTTTGTCCATGTCGTACATTTCTGTAACGCCGCCTGTAAAGTCTTCCATGGCCTCCACCGCGGTACCACCTTTGAGGGATTCATAGGAGCCATGCAATTTCGCGTATGCTTTCTCGAGCAGCGCACTCCAGAACTCGTTGGGCTCTGGGGATTGAAGGAATAAAAGCTGTCCGTGGTAAGTTGGTAGTCTGTCGTCAATCACCACATCCACCCACTTCCCATACTGCCAAAATCTACAACAAAGAGTCCTTTTATTCTCAACAAGTCACCGCATTTGAGTGAAATACTAATTCTCTACTCATATTTGCATGTTTACTTACTTGAAGTGGAAAATTCCTGCGTAGTTTTCTTCAAAAGACTGTTCCTCTGGTACAACTTGATGAAATAAATGAGGATGCATAGCTAAATTGGCAACAGCAGCGAGCAGCCAACAATCGCCCAATTCTCCTTGTTGAACATCGAATCTTGAATAACCTTCGACAAAGAACTGAGGATTGTCTGCAATTTCCTAATAAATAAAAAAATAATTATACTCATTTAATCAAATCGATTTTGGAAAGACTCACTGAATGTTGGGAATATCTTTATTCTGATAATTTAGAAAAAAGTTAATTATAATACCAATTATAAGAAATTATTATATTATAAAAAACAAATAAAAAGTTCACCTCGTTTTTAAGGTGTATTTTTTTTAACAAATTAGCTGAAATTTTCTAAAATACTCTTTCTTGATATGTGAGAAATGAAACTCGAAAATTGAGGACCGAAAAATTGTAAAAACCATTTACCATCGGCCTTCTCCATTCAATATATCTGTCAGGCCTTTTCGAGAAATATAGTGAAGAATCAGTAGCAGGAAAAATTGGGTCCTCGAATAATTGTCCCCTTGATAAACACTCATCTCGAATTTGATAAAAATCTTGTATTGGACCTCGTGTCCTGTGATCGGAACTTTGGTCTCCAAGCTGGAAATTAATTTCATTAGTATACATTTTCACCGCAATGAAAAGGTTTTGGATTGTGTTTTACAATCCTCAAAGTTGTATTAAAGTGGTGCAATTAATATTCTGTTCATGACAAAGTAATTTGTTTATCTTGCTAATGCAAAAGGAATTAATATGATTCATGAAGGTCTCTCTGTGCAGATGCATTATTGCATTTCCATGTCTCTGTGTGAAGCGCGATGAAAAATCCCTCGAGGCAAATATACGCATTTTAAATAATTTCTACTATATTTCTGCATTCTTGGAACAATTGAAATTCAACACTTCACTTATTGCTGAGCTAAATTATTGAAATACTACAAATTAATTATTTAGTCACGCAAATTTACGGACTTTTACATAAAAAAAATACATTGTGTCACGTTTAGTAGGGACTCCTCTGCCTCTCATAACGTGACATCATTTGTGAACGTTCCCTTAATAATTATGCAAAAAATGAAAGAAAAAATTTGAAAAGTAAAAAGTATAAAAAGCTCTTAAAAGTGACTGATATTCAGGGTTTTTTTACCACAATATTTTTAAGGTTGCTTGTATCGCATTCGATGTCAGTTCTCAAAATTTCAAAATAATTTATCCAAAATAGCAGGAGAAACTTTATAAAAATCCAAATTTCGATTATTCGGAAATTCTTTAATTATAAAATAAAAACTTCAAAATATTAAAAAAAAAAAATTAATTCTACAGAACTGTTAGTTAAAAGTATGAAGAGAAGAATTGTATTATTTATAATTTATAAAAATAATTAAAATTTTGACGAGAGTTTTACAAATTTTTGGAACATAATTCAATTTCTGTAGTCATTGGTAAGTTCTTCAAAAATAAATTTTTTTTCGTGTTTTTGACTAAAATTCTTCTATATTTTTGCCACACCCTGTACTGTACTTATAATATGAATAACTATTTATTTTAATGTTTTGTTCTACATAAAATGAAAAAATTGATTTTTAGATTACACAGCCACACAAAAAAAAAAAAAAAGTTCTGATCTGGGGGTCTCACTATGTAGACTTTATGTTTTTTGGGTCGCTGAATCCGAATCCGAGGTCCATTTAACCCCATCAGATCAGGATTTTGACATAACCTCAAAAAACCAATATGGCGGACACATTTTTGAAAAGTTCATCGGATTCGCTTGAAATTCGTTACTCGGGGGTTTTTGGGGTCGCTGATTACGAAAATGATGTCGGTTTTTCAAAATTCAAATTTTTTTTTTTTTTTCAAAATTTTTTCAAATTCAAAATTTTGAAAAACCGACATCAATTTCGTAATCAGCGACCCCAAAAACCCCAGAGTAACGAATTTCAAGCGAATCCGATGAACTTTTCAAAAATGTGTCCGCCATATTGGTTTTTTGAGGTTATGTCAAAATCCTGATCTGATGGGGTTAAATGGACCTCGGATTCGGATTCAGCGACCCAAAAAACATAAAGTCTACATAGTGAGACCCCCAGATCAGAACTTTTTTTTTTTTTGTGTGGCTGTGTTATAATTTTAACTGTTAGTTAACATTTTTACTAATTCAGGTGTAGAGAATAAATAATTTTTTTAATAAAAATTTTATAAGGATAATATTTTTGTTAAAAAAATGTTTATGACTTTTATAATTTGGAGAATAGAGTATGCTTTATTAATTTTATATAATCTAAATTTACACAGAATTTGATGTTGACATTTACAAATAAAACATTTTGTAATTTGCATAATAATAATTTGCTAGTATGAATAAATTAAAAATTCGAGATATTCTTATCATAGTAACGGTCAAACTTAATAAAGTTATGCTTTTTCAGAGAAATATACATTTTTGCATTTAATACGCAATTTTAAATGTATTTAATTAATTCAACAACACTTTTTATTCACAAGAAATAATTATTTTTAACTTTTTTGTACCGTCTGCTACAGGCTCAAAATTTCTTAAGTGGGCCGGCCACTAATTTCCTTGAGACGATATTTTTATGTGTCGTGTCAATAATTTTATAGTTTTTGCGAATATAAATATCTCCCTAAAGTTTTTTTTGCAAAATTTAAATTTTTTTAAGAGTTATTGTTTTAACAATTTTTAAGCATTAAATTACTTGATGGATTCTGCTGAAATTTTATAGACCGATTGTACTTGAACAAAACCGTATTGATATTCCTGGATGAGATATTTTAAAAGGTGCGCAATTGTCCTACATACAATGTAAAGATAATAAAAATGAGCATAATCTAGATTGTGCCTCACGCACCTAATCCGTTTTTCTCCGCGTGACTTTAATAATAAATACTTAAAAGCATATCACTTATTGTTTCCGTTCCAACTTTTTTCTTTTGGTCGACAGTTTGATTTTTTGCAGATTCTAAAAGAGAAAACCTATAAATACAAATAAGATATAAGATCTGTTAGCTCGACAACGTGGAAAACGATGAGCGATAAAAGAAGAAAATAAAACGAGCTAAATGGGTTAATTTTAGAAAACAGGTTTTTAACGTTAAAATAAACGAAACTTTTTTCTCAATTTCAAGGATTTTTGGAACATGCTTTTCGGAAATTGTGTCCTCATTTTGGCAAATGTCGCGACGCAATTCAAAATAACATTACTAAAAAAACTCTTTTTTATTTTACACTATATTTAGATCGGAGATAAAGCTGCAGCAATTTTAAAATGTCATATTGAAGAGAGCTCAATAAAAAGGATTGAATTAAAAACAATTCAAATTTATTTATATTTAAGGGGACTTTTTGGTCAAGGATTTCAAAAAAATCGATTTTTCTTTTTTTACTTTTAAAATGTTCCTTAGTATCCTAAAATTCCTGCCCCAAAACATTTTTTAAAAAAGATGCAAAAGAAAAAAGTTATAGTAATTTTTATGACCTTTTTTTATATACATTATGAAAACGTTAAACGCGTCTTTATTAAAAACACATTTTTGAAAACAGGGAGACACTTTTTTCAAAATTTACTGAATCGATTTTAAGAAATTGAAAACCATTTGATTTGTTATCTAAAAAACTAGACAATAAACGTCTAAAATTTTACATTTTTACCCCTTATTATTTTCTACTCGGATAAAATGACCCAAAAACACAACATTTTTTTTTTAATTTTTAAGAATGTATATAAAAATTGTAAAATATTTAAAAAATTGTTTTTAAGGTTTGTTGTCTAGAAACAACCCTTCTGAAGAGAATCCAGTTTGAATTTCTCATTTATGTAAAGTAGGTTGCGCCCGGAAAGTGTCTCCCTGATTAAAAAGCACTTTTTGGAAGACATTACCTGCAATTGCGAAAAAGAACTAAAAAAATTAAAGAAAAAAGGTTTTACTTCTCTTCTTGTAATATTTAACAATATCCAAAAGGAATTTTTGAAATAATTGTAATATTTGTAATACATTTTTTACAACAAGAGTATAAAAAAGTGTGTTTTCTTTATCAATTATGCACCAGAAAGTCCCCTTAATAAAAGAATGACATCTTATTTTCAGTTTTCTTAAATCGAAAAGAATTTAATTCGATGTAGACTTAACTAACCATTCAACAATTGGGATTTTCTTATACAAATTTGTTAATGAGGGGTGCAATTAAAATAGAAAATTTGAAAAAACTTTAAAGGAATAGATATTTAATTTTTTCTGCATTACCTACTTGCATTAATAGCAATAAAATGGAAAAATTTAAATTTGATTGTTCAACATTAGTGTATTTGATTAAGTACACTTTGTAGATTCTTTTATAAATACCACATAACTTAAAAAGCGATTTTTTCAAATGATTAAAAAATCATTAACTTTTAATCCTAAAAACTTAACTACCCCTTTAAGAATAAATTATTTTTATAACTTTTTTATTATATATTTTTAATATCTCAATGTTTGTCAAATTTTTGACGATTCATGTGTGTTTTTAAAGTAATCTAAATTTATTAAATGGAAGGAAAATTTTTCAGTCATTTGACAATAATCGATTTGCAGGAAATTTCCAGCAGAAAAAACAGTTGTTGCACTTGATAGTAATTAGCAAAGGACCTTGGGTGACGTTTCGTCAATTACTGAGGGCACCTTCAATTGTACGGGTGTCTTTTGAAATCAACACAATTAAATTCTGTAATGAATGAGAGTGCATACAATAATCGTAGTTTGGGTCTAACCGATATTATTCTTCTCGCAACATTTTCGTCAAACTATCAATCTCGCTTTTCCAATATTTTGCGCATTTAAATCAAGTGACATTTGACCACGTGACAAACACGTGCAAGTGAAGGCACCTTTGCAAACCCCAAATAAATTTAATAATATTGACAAGAATTGAATAACAATTACTCATGTTACAACTTTTAGAATTTAAATGTCTGGGAATTTATATTTTGGTACAAACAATTTATACAATATATTATTAATTTGTAATAAAGCAAATACTCACCACTTTTATATTAAAGAGAGAAGGTAAAAATCTTTTAACGACCGCCGTCTGTTTTGTAAAAAAATTTCCATCACCAGTGTCTTCTCCATAAGAATATTGGTCGCCCATTGTGGCTTACTGTTTTAATTAAAAATAACGATTTAGTCATACACAAGAAATCTATTTATTAATAGCTGTTGACACTGTCTCTTTAATAACAAAATAAATTTTATTTCATTTCTTTAAATTACTATAGGTTAACCGACTGTCAAAACTGCAAATACTATTTAATGCACCTTTACAGACCTATATGTGAATTTTACAGATGGAAAATTTAAAGGATAAATTTTGAGTATAGGACTTAAGTTAAGGGGTCAAAAAGAGGCGCAAGAAGACTCTTCTTGAATAAGGGTGGAGTCCCATGGCACCGTTTTGCGTTGCGTTTTGTAACTAGGCCATAAGTGCAAATATAGCGAACGTATATCTCCATCTCTCTCATACTCATGGCCTAGTTACAAAACGCAACGCAAAACGCTGCCATGGGACTTCAGCCTAAGGCTTAAAGCACAACTGGGGTTGAATCCACAATAGACAACTTTTCCTTAAAGCATTCTACATCGATTTACATTGTTTTCTATTGTAAGAATGAATATGGATACGGGAACAGGACATGCAAATGAAAATGACAGAAGATGTCTGTGTCCTTTTCTTTCTCATGCTCCGTTCCCGTAACCGTGTTCATTCTGCGTAGGCCTTAAAGGTACTCGCACACCTCGGCTGTCTGTCTGCCTGCGCAGGCAGAAGATCGTTCACACCTCACTTTTCCCGTTAAAAAATGAGGGAAGATTTGAATTTTAATAGATATTCAAATCTTCCCTCATTTTTCAACGGGAAAAGTGAGGTGTGAACGATCTTCTGCCTGCGCAGGCAGACAGACAGCCGAGGTGTGCGAGTACCTTAAAGGCGCTTGCACACTTCCAAATTTTTAGGCGAGCAGCGAATTTTCACGGCCTTGAAATGCACATTACTAAATATGATTGGCTCTACAAAAAGCTGCGTGAAAATGTACTTTGTCAGAGCCAATCATATTTAGTAATGTGCATTTCAAGGCCGTGAAAATTCGCTGCTCGCCTAAAAATTTGGAAGTGTGCAAGCGCCTTAACTCTCTGCTGATGCTAACGACCGTTAAGGCGCTTGCACACTTCCAAATTTTTAGGCGAGCAGCGAATTTTCACGGCCTTGAAATGCACATTACTAAATATGATTGGCTCTGACAAAGTACATTTTCACGCAGCTTTTTGTAGAGCCAATCATATTTGTGACTGTCCACGAGAAAACACGGCTTACTCCCAAACGTGAATTTCACAGGGCGAGCGATTGAAGTACTACGATTAAAGTTAACTACGCTTGAGATACCCATCTTTAAAACTGTATATTGTCGAAAGTAATTAATATTTTTAACTTTTGACTTTTGCATTTGAAAAAGCAACATAAAATCTGTCGATTACAATAAAAAAACTCAAAATTTATTTTTTGGACCTAAGCCGTGTTTTCTCGTGGACAGTCACATTTAGTAATATGAGTTTCAGGCTGGAGTCCCATGGTAGCGTTTTGCGTTGCGTTTTGTAACTAGGCCATGAGTGCAAATAGAGCAAACATATATCTCTGTCTCTCTCACACTCATGGCCTAGTTACAAAACGCAACGCAAAACGCTGTCATGGGACTCCAGCCTCAAGGCCATGAAAATTCGCTGCTCGCCCAAAATTTTGGAAGTGTGCAAGCGCCTTTAGGCATTCTCTTCTTCACTTTTATGGATAACAGCGCCTCTAACGGGGAAAAGGGAAACTAAATATCGTCTGCTACTGTCTGCTGTGCGTTGTGTTTATTTATTTTTAAAGTTAAAAAGTTTTTCAGTGTTTACATAAATTATTCAAGCGTTCTTTTCATGCATCGTATAACAAATAATTAGTTCTTGTGTGTAGACGAGTTTGTCTTCGACATTAGTTGGAAAAATTGAAGGGATATCTCCTACTTTTAAATTTGCCTTATCTCTTTTCATTTCATATTCTTTGCCGTTTATTACATTCTTAAAAGTTTTTTCATTTTCACTTTCTTTAAAATGTAACTCGCAAATAACATATGTCTCCTCAGCAATTCTTTGTTGTTTTTTGTAGGAACAATTTGCTTCCAATATTCATAAGTGTTTTTTTGGTGGTTACTTTATTGTTTGACCACAACGACTACAACATTTAATTAATAGAATTTGATTTTAATTTATGCATAAGCTAACGTACCTACACAACAAACTTTAATCTTTCTTGAGATTCAAAACGCAGAGAGACATATAATACAAGTACATTTTTATCTCCATAGAATAATCAGGAAGACGGATTACAATCATGCGAAGAACACTTATTTATTAAGGGGACCCGCACCCGAAATTTCAACTATAACAGAATATAATTGAAAAAATTTGGTATATTTTTTTTCTGACACTATTTTGATTCAGAAATAAGGTGAACAAAAAAAAAAATTTCATGATTTTGTCGAAAATTAAAAAATTTTTTTTTTGGATTTTTTTTGTAAGTTTTGACAAAATTAGAATTTTACAAAATCTATCCCCTTAATTGTACAGGGGGTTGTAAGGAACTCATTAAAACAAAAACCATTAAAAAATAATAAAATTTGTGAAAGAAGAAACATTTTTTATAAGTTTATGGTATAACATTATAAACCATAAATTTACAAAAAAATTCTTCTTTCACAAATGATATTATTTTTTCATGGTTTTTGTTTTAATGAGTTTCTTACACTTGATTTTATAATTAAGGGCCTGGATTTTGTGAAATTTTAATTTTAATTTTTTCGAAATGTTATACCATAAATTTACAAAAAATGCTTCTTCTTTCACAAGTTTTATTATTTTTTAATGGTTTTTGTTTTAATGAGTTCCTTACAACCCCCTGTACAATTAAGGGCATGGATTTTGTAAAATTTTAATTTTGTCAAAAGTTACAAAAAATAATCAAAAAAAAAAATTTTTTAATTTTCGAAAAAATCGTAAAATTTTTTTTTTGTTCACCTTATTTCTGAATCAAAATAGTGTCAGAAAAAAATATACCAAATTTTTTCAATTATATTCTGTTATAGTTGAAATTTCGGGTGCGGGTCCCCTTAAAAGAGAAACTTGACAGCTAGAACGACATAACATCCATGACTTTACTTTTTTTTACATCATTAACGTTTAAAAAGAAGAGAAAATTTTACAATTTATAAACTTAAATACATATTTTAGTTTTATTTTTGTTCCACGCTTATACTTTCCAATACCATATTTTTAGACTTAAAAATAGATAAAATTTGATTCCTGCGACGAATCTAAAAAATTAATAATGCATACTAATTTTAGTTGTTTCAGTAGATTATTTTCCAAATTCCAATGAATTATCAAAACCACCTCCCACTGAATCCGATGGATAGGTGTGTAATGTGTATACGACTAGGATATTTCTAAAGAGAGCTTTTTAATTTAATTTCTATGAAGGAGGATAAGAAGATGAAACTCCATATTTTTATTGGTCCCCATTTTGAGCGCAAGAGGAGAAATGAGAAATCCCCACTTTTAAGATTCTTCATTCATTTTTTTTAGTGTTTACAATTTACATAATGTCAAAATTACAAACGTAACCTAAGTAATTGATATTTTTAACTTTTGACTTTTGCATTTGAAAAAGCAACATAAAATCTGTCGATTACCATAAAGAACTCAAAATTGATTTTTTGGACCTAAGCCTTGTTTTCTCGTGGACAGTCACATATGGTTAAAATTCCCAATGCTTTTAATTCCATATCAATGTCATTTTTGAAATTTTGTGTAAACATTTTAATCTATTTTAATCAACCTCTTCTTACCGGGACTGCAAAACAGTCAATTGAAAAGTGCAAAGTAAACATGAAAACGAATGTAAGCTTACAGATATTCATTTGAAACAAAGATTATTAAATGTACTCATCTAGATTCGCACATTTACTTAAAGTATTGGAATGATATTTAGTATCAATCATAGTTTTGATTTGAACTGCACACATTATGTAGTCATCAAATGAAATCATCCCCTCTTTAGTACTATAACGATGTGCTAGGATATTCAGTATGCGATTATTAAGTCTGTAGCCAGCACTATTTAAGGCCTGTCTCAACTCAATTGCACTCAGATACCCTGAACCATCTCTGTCATACAGCCGAAATACAGCCTAAAATAAAGTAATTCGATTAGGTAGAGAGTAACGTTAAAGTAAAATTCCATTGTGCTCAATTTCTTCTAATTTAGTAATTTAATTAGAAAATAAATAAAATGCAGAATACGTACTCTCCAGTTTCTAATGTCATTCCACAGAGATTTAAACTCCTCAAATCCCAGTTTTCCTGAGTGATCAACGTCCAACATTGCCACCATACTGCGGCAAATGTCTTTGCTGAATCCTTTATTGTGCGTTTCTAGAAAGTAAATGAGAACTTTTGAAATTCACGATCGGTCAAATTCATTAGCAATTAGTGTTAAATTGAAAGCTTTCTAATATAAAAGAAAAGACCATGCACAACAAAATAAAGCATCCATTAATAATATTGAAGCGGAAGATTTAGTAAAAAATGGAGAAGGAATGAATTTTCTATTCCAGATATAAAAAATGAATCTACTAAATGAAAAACTAATTTACTCGAAGCCATCATTTTCACTAACTTGCAAAAGAAGACTTACTGCAGACCGGACTTGTTGTATTATTATACTTTACCTACTGAAATGATTTTACGTTAAAAAATAAGACCTTACCTTCGCGCAGTGCGTCGTCCAGAATTTCTTTCAGCTCCATCCAGTCAACTTCCATGTCATCGCCAGCATGTTTTCTGAAGAATTCTTTAACTTCGTCCTCATTTTGCTCTGGCTGAGGTTGATCATGTACCTTTAAAAATAAAATTAAAGAAAATAGTATATTGTTCAGTTATAAATTAAAAAAAATAGTTTTAAACAAAGGGTTCAAATAGAATATTTTGAAAAGATTATTCTTACCCTATTATCCACTTCGCCGACACCAACTTCTTCGTCATTCTCCCTGGGGAACAAAGTTTTCCATTTAAATACATTTCAACAGATGGGATAATTTTAAACAGCCAGAGTGTTACACAAAAAGTCAATCAAATCTTTAACTAAACTAAAAAATCATCATGTTCAATTAAAATTATAAGGATTATAAGTATACCGAAAAAATTAAAAGCCACTTACTCCAAGTTGTTTTTGTTTTCAGAGAATATTCTCAACAAAAATTCCGCTTCCTCGTTTGGGTCGAAAGTGCTGGGAACAATGCAATAAACTCCTGGCGACAATTTAAACCTACAAGTGACTTCTCGTAAATTAAAAAATGAAAGCGTGCTTGCTGCTGATTCAGTGTATTTAAAGAAGTTTATATCCAAAGGCTTCGATAGTCTGTCATGGTCTTCCAACTAAAACAATTTAAAGTTTAATTCTATTTTGTAAAAACTTGCTATTATATTTATTTAATATATTAATATTTTATTTAACGAAGTATTTAATTTATTATTATTATTACTCAAAAAACATTCGATTCTCTTTACAAAATTTCAATAAAAAATTCTTCGAAAAATTTATGAAAAATTACAAAAATGTTATCCTAGTATCAATAGATAATTAATAATAATGCCTATTAACAATAAAAACGGGTACCTAAATACGTTTCATCACAAAAAATAATTCAAATATTTAAAAAAAAACAAAATTTTGTGCAAAAATTATGATTATAAAATAAGAATTATGCCTATTTTTTCGTTTAGTAAGAAAAATGAATGTCGTTAAAAATTGAAATTTACAAAATTTATCACTGCTTTGCTAACTTTGCATAAAATTTTATACGTACTTGTGCCTTCAAAAAATGATTTAATTAAAGTTTTTCGAAATGTTATTTCAGTTTTACTTTATACGAATGATTCAATCACTTTGATCCGAAAAATTCCTGTTATAAATAACAAAAAGAAAACTAAAAAAAATTTGTGACCAAAAATTTTAAATGCTTTGCTAACTTTGCACAAAATTTCATTTTTAAGCCTCCCAATAACAAATTGAATTTTGGAAAAACTATAACTGATTGCATAAATCAATTATTTAAAAATGTTTTGATAAAATTCTTTATGAGACTTCAATTTTAAGAAATTTTAATTATTCCATAAATTATTTATTTTTGCATTTAAATTATTGAATTATCTAATAAAAATTTATTTTAAATTGAATTTCAGTTAAGGTTTTACATAATAATATTGAATATTAAAAGCATATAGCATGAATTTTAAGAAATAATATTTCATACTTATAACTAAAAATTCTGTAGAATTTAATATTTTAAAAGAATTTAATTGAATTTTTTTCTGAAATTATTTAAAGTGATTATTTTTTAATTCGTAGGGGAGAGTGGGGCAAACCGGACCCCTTTCAATATTTCCGAAATGGCGAAATTGAAAAAAGTGTTGTTTACAAATTTAAAACAACCATGTTTAGTATACCTTATTTTTTCAATATGACAGTTTTAGCTTGCGTTTGTGCGACGAAGGGAGCAAAAGTTTTTTTTTAGTTTTTTTCTACACTTTTACGAATTTTTTCTTAAGGAAATTCTGAGGAAATCGTGCAATGTTTCCAAATATTAGGTCTTGGGTTTTGAAGGTACACACCTCAGGAATATTTACCACTAAAAACTTTGATGAATTTGCAAAGCGTTTCTTTTTGACAAACATTTATTCTCAAAATGGGCCTGTGGGGTAAACCGGACCGTTTTCGGTGGGGCAAACCGGCCATAGGATATTTCCATTGAATTAAAGTTTCATAAAAATTATTTTTAATTAAAATGTTTCTTTCATTAAAATATTTGCATACAATGAAAAATAATTGTCTTCCAATGAGAATTGGACCTTTAATATTGTTTCTCTGATAATGACAAACATTTTTATTTTTTTATTAAAAAAAATATTTATTTAATTAAAATTCAATCCCATATTATTATTTTCATTACTACAACCATTGTTTACATGATTCTTTATGTTTTTTATTATTGTAGATTATGTAAATGGGGTCGTTCACAAACTACGTCACGCTTTTTCGGACTGATTTTTACCCCCCCCCCCTTCATCACATTTTTTACATACAAGAAAAATTTTTTTCCACACTTCGTCACACACAGCTTGACACCCCCCCCCCATCCCTAGGAGTGTGGCGTAGTTTATGAACGACCTCAATGCAATATTATAAATAAAAAACCAAACGGTACGGTTTACCCCAGGGGATGGGGCAAACCGAACCGTTTGCAAAATTTTTTAAAGTTAACACAGCAACTAAACAATAAAAGATAAAGTATAGGTTTCTCTAGAAAAAAGTTGCGCAATTAAATGATCTTTCAAACAAGCTATCGAAAAATGAAATCGGTTGATTCGTTTAGTCACAAGAGTCAAAAAACCGTTAGGGGGTCCGGTTTGTCCCACTCTCCCCTATTTAATTGAGGCCTTGGATCCAATAACTCGCCCGACGCTCGGAGGAACGCGCTAATACCAGTCGGGTAGCAGTGAGTGGCCCAGAGGCGCTCACTGCTCACTGACTGGCAGTCGCGCGTTCCTCCGAGCGTCGGGCGAGTTATTGGATCCAAGGCCTCAATTGAAGAATTTCCGCACTCTAAATCTGAATCAGTGAAAATTTCACTGATTTCAATTCAGTGGCCCAGTTTTCTTTAATTCATCAGTGGGATTTCACTGACAATCAGTGGTTTTTACTGATTCTCAGTGAAATTTTCACTGATTCAGATTTAGAGTGTGAATAATTTAAATTTCGTAAAATTGATTTGTAAACAAATGGATTTTAAAATTCTCAAAGAACTTTTTTCAAAACTTATTAAAAATAATTTATTCCTGTGGGAAAACTCACATGATAAACAACAAACCCAATTGTTAAACATTTAGCACCCATTCTTTTTTTCGCTCTTCTATTCTTTTGCATTAAAGCTACAATGACGGTGCATTTATCATCGTCTTCATCGGGACTTTCAAGAGTGATGCGGTATTGCGGATTGTTCCCAAAAGTTTCTACAAACACAAAGTATTAAACCAATGGAGTACTAATTAAAGAAAATAAAATTTATTTAGAAAAATCGGTTTCAAGTAGTACCTGGGTAATTTCTGCAACCACCAGCAGTGACACCGCGCACCCACTCGCCATCAAACAAATTTGTTTCCCACTTTTTCTTGCCCTGATTGTAGTCATCCTCTGTAAGAGAGTCTGCATTCAAGTTGCAAATTTCTAAATTTGTGAAATACGTCTTGAAGTCTTGGAACGACATCCAAAATTCTCCGTCTACGTCAAACGTCAAACCCAACTCCTCCTTCTCGTGGTCTGGGATGAATCTCCATTCTGGTGACCTGTTTCCGATAGTTTAATTAGCTTTTGAAAACTGGTTCCATTTGTTAAGCAGTAAAACTATTTACGCACCCATCACTCCAGGGACCATTCCACTCGGCCTCATTTCCCCAAGGATTCCTGATTCTCACTAACGGAACTGTGCCACCTTGTTGGGACTTGTCGTCGGTGCGAACATTCTTTATTTTCGTAACACTGTAGGCGTGACGCTTAATTAGACCTTGCGGTGTCTTTACCTCACAGGCATTGGAATTTGACTGCGCAGTGAAAAAAAGTGGTTAAAAACATTTCTTTTTAATTATTATTCGGCTATTTAAGTTTAGAGAATCGCTATTACCTTAATCGAACAACTAATTAGGGAATTTCTCTCGTAGGCCTTCAGCAGCACACTGAACAAATTTGACGGAGTTTTGTCCATGTCGTACATTTCTGTAACGCCGCCTGTAAAGTCTTCCATGGCCTCCACCGCGGTACCACCTTTAAGGGATTCATAGGAGCCATGCAATTTCGCGTATGCTTTCTCGAGCAGCGCACTCCAGAACTCGTTGGTCTCTGGGGATTGAAGGAATAAAAGCTGTCCGTTGCAAGTTGGAAGTCTGTCGTCAATCACGACATCCACCCACTTCCCGTACTGCCAAAATCTACAACAAAAAGTCCTTTTTATTTTCAACAAGTCACCGCATTTGAGTGAAATACTAATTCTCTACTCATATTTGCATGTTTACTTACTTGAAGTGGAAAATTCCTGCGTAGTTTTCTTCAAAAGACTGTTCCTCTGGTACAACTTGATGAAATAAATGAGGATGCATAGCTAAATTGGCAACAGCAGCGAGCAGCCAACAGTCGCCCAAGACTCCTTGTTGAACATCGAATCTTGAATAACCATCGACAAAGAACTGAGGATTGTCTGCAATTTCCTAATAAATAAAAAAATAATTATACTCATTTAAGCAAATCGATTTTGGAAAGACTCACTGAATGTTGGGAATATCGCCTTTATTCTGCTAAATTAGACAAAAAAGTTAATTTATAATTTATTCATTAAGCAAATTTATAAACCAATTATAATAAATGATTATAAAAAACAAATAAAAAATGAACCTCGTTTAAGTGTATTTTTATAACAAATTAGTTAAAATTTTCGAAAATATTTGATATGTGAGAAATGAAACTCGAAAATGGAGGACCAGAAAGTTGTAAAAGCAGTTTACCTTTGGCCTTTTCCATTCAATATTCTTGCTTTCTTGAAGATATTCAGGCTTCTTTGAGAAATATAGTGAAGAATCAGTAGCAGGAAAAATTGGGTCCTCGAATAATTGTCCCCTTGATAAACACTCATTTCGAATTTGATAAAAATCTTGTATTGGACCTCGTGTCCTGTGATCGGAACTTTGGTCTCCAAGCTGGAAATTAATTTCATTAGTATACATTTTCACCGCAATGAAAAGGTTTTGGATTGTGTTTTACAATCCTCAAAGTTGTATTAAAGTGGTGCAATTAATATTCTGTTCATGACAAAGTAATTTGTTTATCTTGCTAATGCAAAAGGAATTAATATGATTCATGAAGGTCTCTCTGTGCAGATGCATTATTGCATTTCCATGTCTCTGTGTGAAGCGCGATGTGAAATCCCTCTAGTTAAATGAAGACCTCCACGGAATAACGATCTATGGCACATTTTTACATATAAATGCAATTGTAATGAAAATATGAGCACGTATTATTAAATTTTGAGCCTAAATGAATGAAACAGTGTAATTAAATAAATAGATAATGAAATGTATTGGTTTTCATTAAATACTATAATATATAGTTGGAATAACGATTTATGGCAATTCAAAGTTGAAAATTGCAAGCATTTTCAAATGTGCCATATATATAGATCATTATTTCGTGGAGGTCTTCAAATATTGGCATTTTAAATATTTCTACTATTTCTGCATTCGTGGAACAATTGAAATTCAACACTTGACTTATTTTTGAGTTAAATTATTGAATTAAATACTACAAATTGATTATTAAGGGAGTGTTCACAAATAATGTCACCCGTCTTTTTCAAATTTTTAAATGTGAACGTTTCCTTCATAATTATGCTAAAAAAATAAACAGTAAATTGTTTATAAAACATAAAGTTATTTACATCCAATTAAAAAATCCGTACGTACTTCCGAAGGTGACAGTATATAGATTATGAAATTTCTTGTGGGTTTTTGTTCCAGGTCTTATACTTTGTATATTTGTAGTAAAATTTAAATAAAAAAAATGTTTTTACACTTCAATATGATGTATTTAATAATAAACCCCCTAAAAAGAAATCCTATTACTTTTTCCATTTTTCCAAAAATAAATCATCAAATATAGGTCTTTTTTTCTGCCTCTATAGAGTAGTGTTACCCCTTAATGTTATCAACAAATGTTTAAATAATTGAATTTTTTTTAAATAATTTTAATAACATTTTTAAGAATAATTTCATTTTTCCAGGAATTCGATTAAAATTGTTTTAAAAGTAATTTAAATTCTGTGTGATGAGTTTTATTATACTATATGAAAATAATTAAATTCCTAATAAGAATTTTATTATTTATGAAAATAATTGAATTCCTGAGAAATTTTCATTATTTATTATAAAAATATAATTACCTAAATATTTGAGTGCAATTGAAAAAAGTTTTCTTATAAATATGTATAGGTATAATTGAATTCTTTTGGAAATTTTTATTAAAATAGTAAATATTGAAAATTATTGAAAATAATTGGAATTTTGCCAAGAATTTTATTAAAATTTTTAAAAATAACTGAATTTTATTATAATTTATAAAAATAATTTAAATTTTGAAGAGAATTTTTAAAAATTTTTGAACATGAATGAATTTCTGCAGTAATTATTTGTAACTACTTCAAAATGTAATTTTTTAAAATGCATTTTTGACTTAAATTCTTCTATATTTTGTCACACCCTGTATAATATGAATAACTACTTATTTTAATGTTTTGTTCTATATAGAATTAAAACTTTAAATTGTATTTTAGATAAATATAATTTTAACTGTTATTTAACATTTTTACTAACTCAAATGTAGAGAATTAATAAGAATAAGTAATTTTTTAAATAAGTATTTTATATTGATAATATTTTTGTTAAAAAAATGTTTATGACTTTTATAATTTGGAGAATAGAGTATGCTTTATTAATTTTATATAATCTAAATTTATACAGAATTTGATGTTGACATTTACAAATAAAACATTTTGTAATTTGCATAATAATAATTTGCTAGTATGAATAAATTAAAAATTCGAGATATTCTTATCATAGTAACGGTCAAACTTAATAAAGTTATGCTTTTTCAGAGAAATATACATTTTTGCATTTAATACGCAATTTTAAATGTATTTAATTAATTCAACAACACTTTTTATTCACAAGAAATAATTATTTTTAACTTTTTTGTACCGTCTGCTACAGGCTCAAAATTTCTTAAGTGGGCCGGCCACTAATTTCCTTGAGACGATATTTTTATGTGTTGTGTCAATAATTTTATAGTTTTTGCGAATATAAATATCTCCCTAAAGTTTTTTTTGCAAAATTTAAATTTTTTTAAGAGTTATTGTTTTAACAATTTTTAAGCATCAAATTACAAATTATTTTTTTTCTGTTGTGTTTGATGGATTTTGATAAAATTTTATAGACCAATTGTACTTAAACAATACTACATATGTACAATGCAAAGATAATAAAATGAGCCTCACGCACCTGATCCGTTTTTCTCCGCGTGACTTTAATAAAAACTACTTAAAATATATCACTTATTGTTTTCGTTTCAACGGTTTCAACTTTTTTCTTTAGGTCGACAGTTGGATTTTTTGCAGATTCTAAAAGAAAGAAAGAACCTATAAATACAAATAAGATATAAAATCTGTTAGCTCGACAACGTCAAAAACGATGAGAGTGATCAAGGAAGAAAATAAAGCGCAACTAAATGCGGGTTAATTTTAGAAAACAGGTTTTTAACATTGAAATAAACGAAATTTTTTTCTTAATTCCAAGGATTTTTGGAACATGCTTTTCGGAAATTGTGTCCTCATTTTGGCAAATGTCGCGACGCAATATTCAAAATAAAATTACTAAAAAAACTCTTTTTTATTTTAGATCGGAGATAAAGCTGCTGCATATTTGAGATGTCATATTGAAGAAATCTCAATAAAAAGGATTGAATTAAAAACAATTCAAATTTATTTATATTTAAGGGGACTTTTTGGTCAAGGATTTCAAAAAAATCGATTTTTCTTTTTTTACTTTTAAAATGTTCCTTAGTATCCTAAAATTCCTGCCCCAAAACATTTTTTAAAAAAGATGCAAAAGAAAAAGTTATAGCAATTTTTATGACGGGGAGACTCTTTTCCCGAAATCTACTGAACCGATTTTAAAAAACCATTCAATTCTTTAATTAAAAAACTATAACAAACGTATAAAATTTCACATCTTTACCCCCTGTTATTTTTTTACGTGGGTAAATTGACCCAAAAACACAACATTTTTTCCTATTTTTTGAGAAAAATGTGTTTAAACAATTGTAAAACATTTGAAAAATTGTTTTTGAGGTTTGTTGTCTACAGTAAACCCTTATAAAGAATAAACAAGTAGATAACTTATTTGGTCCTATTTTATATAAAGAAATTGTTATTTTGTAGACAAATTTAAGGAATATAATACAATTTTAATTTTTTTGTTAGGACGTGAAGAACATATTTGTTTATTAACATCTTATTAACAAATAATATAAAAAATTATAAAAATAAAAAAATGTTTTCAAATAGTGCAATTTAAAATCAAAAAAACCCTTTTTTGATTTTTAAATCCGTCAACTGGAACTCGAGAAGAAAATTTTTTAATTTAGCACTACTAAAAAATTCAATTGTTAATAACTTTTACAAAAAAAATTATTTTTCATAATATTTTCAGGGATATTAAGATACTGAACCATACTAAGCGAGTCAAAAAACAACATTTTTCTTTAAAAATAAAATTTTTTAGTTCTAAGTGAACCGTTTGAGAAATTCTGACTCTCAATAAGAGTTTAAATAGTGTGTTTTTTATTAATTCTGTTTCCTTAATCCCAAGAATGACATCTTATTTTCAGTTTTTTTTAAATCGAAAACAATTTAATTCGATGTGCTAAAATGGGCACTTTTTGCACCTTGTTATGAAAAATATCGTTCGTAACTTGTGCGAACAGTTGCCAATTTTTGAATGAGCACTTTTTTTGCATTAATAGTAATAAATAATAGAAAAATTTAAATGTGATTCTTCAACATTAGTGTATATGATTAAGTACACTTTGCAGACTTTTTTAAAAATACGACATAACTTAAGATGCAATTTTTTTAAATTATAAAAAAATCATTAACTTTTACTCCTAAAAACTTAACTTAACTTTTGCGCATTAAAATCAAATGACAATTATTTAACCACACGTGACAAACACGTGCAAGTGAAGGCACCTTTGCACCCAAATCAATTTAATAATATTGACAAGAATTGAATAACAATTACTCATGTTACAACTTTTAGAATTTAAATGTCTGGGAATTTATATTTCGGTACAAACAATTTATACAATATAATATTAGTTTGTAAAGAAGCAAATACTCACCACTTTTATATTAAAGAGAGAAGGTAAAAATCTTTCAACGGCCGCCGTCTGTTTTTTAAAGAAATTTCCATCACCTGTATTTTCTCCATTAGAATATTGGTCGCCCATTGTGACTTATTACTATTTTAATTTAAAATAAGGATTTAGTAATGCACAAGAAAGCTATTTATTAATAATTTTTGACACTGTCTCTTTGATAACAAAATAAAATTTATTTATTTCTTTAAATAGCTTTCGGTTAACCAACTGTCAAAACTGCAATACAGGATCTATATATCTGAATTTTATATGAAAAATTGAAAGGATAAATTTTGAGGATTTTGAGTATAGATATAGAACTTATGGTGCATTTATACGACTATCGGTAGAAAAAAAATTTACCGAAAGTAAAAAAGTATGAAATTGTTATTAATATTTTTATGAACAATATAAATTAACAAATTTATTGTTAGAAAATAATATTACATTTATTCATTTCAATTTAGATCATATATATTAATAATCGTATTCCGGTATAGTAATCTGTTCGCAGTTTAGTTGTTGTTCGCTTTTTTTGTTTCCTAAACGTATTAATAATTTTTCTTATCAAATATTTTTAATTTTAAAAGTAGATAATCTATTAAAAATCATTGAATTCTTGCAAAAAATTTTGTCACAAAATTTGAGAATAATTTAATTTCTTCCCAAAATTTTATTATATTGATAAAAATAATCGATATCTCGCGAAAAGTTGTACTAACATTTTTAAAAATCCTAATTAAATTCTGTCGAATAATTTCTTAAATTTTTTTTTAAGTAATGGAGTTTTTTTAGTAATTTTAATTGCATATTTTGAAAGTAATTGAATTTTATGAACAATTTATTTCAAGTTTTTAAAATAATCGTGTTTCTTAATAATTTGAAATGAAACATTTAATTATTGAATTTTATTAAAATTATTAGAAAATAATTAAATTCTTCTGAAGAATTTCTTCATGTGTTTTTTTAAATAATTTTAATTCAACCTTTTAAAAATAATAGAATTAAACAAAGAATTTTTATCAACTTTTTAAAATAATCATCGTGACTGTTGAAAATTATATAATGAAATATTTGATTTTTGAAGTTTATTAAAATTGTATTGGAAGTAATTGAATTCCTCAGGAGAATTTTATTATTTATAAAATGTAATTTAATTTTTGCTATTAATTTTATTTCGAAAGGATTTCTTGACAAGAATATGTTTCCAATTTTTAAAAATAATTGAAATCCTCCGAAGAATTTTTTTAATGTAAATAATTGAAATCTTCCAAAGAATTTTATTTTTTATGAAGATAATTGAATTAATAAAAAGAATCTTATTTAAAATTTAGAAAATTATTGAAATCCTCGGAAGAATTTTATTATTTAAGAAAATAATTGAAATCTTCAAAAGAATTTTTCTTTTTATGAAGAAAGGTAATTGAATTCTTATTTAAAACTGTGTTTTTTAATTTTAAATAAAATATAAATTTGAAACTTCCCGCTAGAAACATCGGAAAAGCGAAGTAAAGTTTTTGAGATTCTACCGACAGTCGTATAAATGCACCCTTAAGTTAAGGGGTAAAAATAGGCGAAACTTTTTTACTTTAAGGCCGCTTTTACAATAAACTGGTTTATAGTACAGCATCCAATATGTGCACAAGACTGAATAGAATTTAATCTCTCTATCCTTTTATATCTGCTCCAACAACTCGGCGGAACGGAAGTTTTGATATCCAAGGTCCGAATTGATTAATTTTTGAATGTGTCGAAACTATACCGATACGATATAAATTTGACTTTTGATTTTGATAATGTGCTTTGAGATTGCATTATGTATGCACCTGTATTGGACATGCGCAGACAGACTTTCAACATAACCTCCTTCAGAAAATTGCATACGACATGTTATTTGATGGTTATATGAACAGTTTGCATTTGCAGAAGGTAAAATTATGATAAATATGATATCGCAAATATTAAACATGATGGTCGAACCATTCGACGATGAATACACTCATTTTTCACTGAATTTCATTTGAAATTTTATAAAATTACCGCCAAAGATTAAATCAAGTACTTTTGAAATTCGATAAATTTATTTACAACTTGTTGAAAACTCGCTGTGGAAAGTAAAGCATTATTTTATATTTTAACGCACTGATTCTTTCTTCCAGTGTACTAATGTTGCTTGGTTCTTTGCTGAGCTACAAGAATTCCTGTAAGTTCCGTTGCATGTAAAAAATGTCATTAATGCAAACTGTATGGCGTTGCACATTCAGTCCTCGATTGTATAAAATCTACGAATTCACATGGCTCAATAATATTGTGGACGTGGGTATCATTCTTCTCGCAAATTTTAAATAAATCGTTTCTTCATATAACTTGTACAAACTTTAGATTTATTTTTGTCTTGCAGAAACCGTACGAACCTAAAAGTTTGGAGCGATGGGGAGATCAAGTAATCACGTCTGTAAGTTTTATAATCAACTTGAAAAATATTCAATTCACTTCAATTTTATTTTTCTTTGTAGAAAAAGAGTACAAAGTATTTCATCCAGTAAGAAAGATAAAATGAAAAAAAGTTGAGGTTTCTTTTCAATTTCATTTTTATTTATTTCCGATTTATTTTAATATTGAATTCGAATCTATTACATTAATGACTTTTGAACAAGAGAATAATTTATAAAATTTTACTGTTAATCTATGAGTGATTCTTCTTGAACATTTTTTGCGTAAACTAGAAGCGAATAAATAGAGAGAATAATTTTTACAGGCCCAAATAAATGATTTATGTTAGATCTTCAAAGATAAAACATCTCTATAATTGGCCGTGTTAATTTCTAGTTGTCAAAGTAAATATTCCAACTTGAATTAATTATAAAAACAAATAAGTTTTTATAAGGTAAATAAAAACGAAATCATTCGGACCAAATGTTAGCGTATATATATATATATTATTAGTAATTTTAATTTACCTATTATTGATTTTCTTTATTATTTTTCCATTTTATTCACTGATTTATTTCTCTAAGAAAATTTAACTTTTAAACTCTCTTTATTTTGTATTTATTTTGTATTTATAGTAATTTCATAATATTGTATATTAATTTGTAAATTCGTTTATTATTTTTATCTATAATATATTACTATTTGGTAGACTCTCTAAAGAGGAAATCGTTAAGATTTCGAAACGTTGGAGAAAAAATATACACTAACATTTAGTCCGAATGACTTCGTTTTTATTTACCTTATAACTAACTGCTCGGACGTAAAAGATTGATCATAAATAAGTTTTTCTTTGATGTGCAAAGTTAAGAGTTTTAAAAATAAAATTTGTTAAATAATTAAGATGAAGAAGTTTAAAATTTTTTGCTAGGCTGTACCTAAAACATAGTATTTATAAAGATCCTAGATTTGAATTAATCTTTTGAATACATAAAACCATAAACTCCAAATCGATTTTGATTTCAGTTTGTGACGATGTGGTCTCTCAGCTTGTACACTTTTCCTCTGATGGCAATATTGATTTATCGTCGTATCACTCCAGTTTTCGATTTTTACTCACTGACAAAGTTTGCAGCGGGAGCTGGGTTAATTCTTGTCACTTCTTTGGTGGCTCGAGGTTATTCAAGAGCTAGCAACCCTCTTTACATAAAATTTATAAAGGTTCTTGAAGAGGCCAAGGCTAGAAACGGATCGGAAGCCAGGAAGGAGTTGAATAAATATGACTTTGAGTTTTGGGCTAGTCCCGTAGATTTTCAAGTTGCAAAAGTAGACGGGTAATTCATTGTTTATGTAATTAATTAATGAACAACTAATTTTTGTATTATTTTAAAACGTTAATTGTAACTTTCTATACTCCCTTTCCAGCGGAGTGAGAAAACAAAAGCAAACTTTGGAGAGCATTTTCAATTCAAGAAGTAGCAATCGACGACAAACAAGCAAGGAATACATTGCCACACTACCATGTAAAATAATATCCTACGTTACTGCTCATACTGTCGCGGTCAAACTAATGTATCCTGGAAGCATTGCTTTCATTAATTGGATTCTCCGTAAGTTTTTGCACTTAAGTCTCGAAAAATAAGACAAAAAGATAATATTTTCTTTTTCGGATTTCCAATTCAAGGAACAGCTCAGATTCAAGGTAGAAGTGATCTGATCAAAAGAGGAGCCGAAAGATTTAAAATTGGTACTTCAGATGGAAATTATTTGGACACTATTTTTATTAATCGCAAAAATAGCAGGTACATTATTTTTCAATACCCAAAAATGAGCAAAAGATTCATAAGAAGAAATTTTAAAGTTGTTATCAATATTATTGTTATCAGATTTGCTAATGGAGACGTGTTAGTAATAACTTGTGAAGGAAATTGCGGGTTCTATGAAACAGGGGTTATTGGAACTCCAATTGCTTGCGGTTACTCCGTTTTGGGATGGAATCACCCTGGCTTTGCAAATAGCACTGTGAGTGTCAAAGTTTTCTCCAGAGTGTCTCATTTTCATTAGTGCAGTATCTCCTTAAATTATTCGATTTTAGCAATTGAAATATCACACTTGAATTCGTGGAAATTTCTCAACTGGTATTTACTATCTAATTAAAATGAGACATTCTGTAAGAATTGAACTTAGTTTTTAGAAAAAATGTAAAAATGATTTTTAGATTTTGAAAATTTTTCAGTAACAACTAAACAATTTTATAATTTACAAAGGGAGCTCCGTATCCTGCTCAAGAGGAGAACGCTATTGATTGTGTTTTGAGATTCGCTATCGATAGTCTTGGATTTCCAGAGAACAAAATTATCCTTTATGGATGGAGCATAGGAGGTTACACTGCCACTTGGGCCGCTATGAACTACCCGACAATAAAAAGCATGGTAACAAATTTTCCAATGAAATATGCTTCACACTGTAAATATAGACCTTTAATGGTGTCAATTGGTGTCAATTGGTGTCAATATTTTTCAGATTCTGGATGCAACTTTTGATGACGTTTTACCTCTGGCTACTTCCAAAATGCCAGTTGCAATAGAACATATAGTTCGTAGCACGATACGACAATATCTCAATTTAAATATAGTTGAACAACTTATTAGGTATTTTTTCAAATATTATAGTCTTCATTATAGTTGATCTCTTGAAAATTCCTGTCAATACCTATTTTAAACATGTTCAAAATTTTACAAATATTTCCTTCTATTCCTTTCTATTATTGAAATTGAAAGAATTTTAATAGAAATTTTTGTCGTCCTTGAGATTAGCACAATATGTAAATGCATATTTTCAATAAATTTACAAATTGAATTTCTATTTGGAAAAGGTACAAAGGAACAGTATTGCTAATCAGGCGTACAGAAGATGAAATGGTGTGTGCACCGTCGCTAACTTTGTCTGGAAACCGAGGGAACATCTTGCTTGCTAAATTACTCACGAGACGATATCCACAAATTTTTACTGAAGATTCAGATTCCAGTCCGCTATTAACAAGATTTTTAAATTCACCAACGCCCAATGCTCGAAGTGAGTTATGTATTTATTATTGTTTCATCTTAAAACTGTAATGACCTCTTAGTTTCATTTGATTGAACGTTCATTTAATGAAATATTGTCTTCTTAGAGACGATAATGGATTCAGTTGGAGTGAGTGAAGAAAGGTGTGCGGACTGGATAGTAACTGATTTAGCAAAAAATAATTGGGAGATAAATTACCCTTCTGACTTGGGACTTACTTCTACTCCAATAGAGAAAAGACAATTGGCTCTCTTTCTTGTAAGTATTCAAGCACCATGATATTATAAATGTGATAAATACTCAAGTGCATTTATTCCACAGGCAACCAAGTACATGGTCGATCAAGCATCTCAACATTGCGTTCCACTAGAAAATGAATTTTTCCATCCAGGCTGGGATCCCTCAGATTATAAAAAGCATTTCAACAAATTAAAGCAGGAAGAGTAAATAGTAAATTATGTGCATCATTCCCAAAAATTGATTAAAACCTATGGACATTAGGTTTAATCTGTTAAATTAACTATTTAATTTTGCTTAATTCTTATTTAATGAACTGGTGTGATTATTTTAAAACTCTTATAAGTAAGAAACTGAAATAACTGGTTAGACCATATCTAACAAATTATGTCAGTAAACTATCCTAAAGATCTTTTCTTTTTTCATATTTTTTTATAATTTATTATATTTATTATACTATCATCACTTTTTATTCATTGCTTTCAACATTGTATAATTGTCGGTATAACTATGAAATGTAAAAAAAACCAATTTGTACAGTGTGTTGTTATATATATTCTTTACTATTTCTTTAAAATGCAACTTGGTTCTTTTACACACACTGTAAATGTCCAATATTAATAAAAGTTTGGTTTTTTCAGTATTTTTTTGTATTTGTGAATGTCATCACCATTGGATTCTTAAAACGATAAAACGAATATACACGTGTTGTTTGACTTGAACACAAACTATTTTTTGCCTTCAATATTTATCCTTGAAATACAATATATTTAAAAAAAATACCGTTTTTATGATTTTCTTCGTTTTTCCTAAATTCTAAGACTTTCTTACTTTCTTCTCAATGACATGTTAACATTTTTATTTAACAAAACAGTCAAGTTTAATTTCTCTTGAAGAAGTTATTGTAATTAGCAAATAATTTCATAATTAAAACTGATTCCGCACCTTAAAATCTCTTGACTTGAGCCTAAAACAGCGTCGCTCCTTGTAAAGAAAATGTCTTCTGCGATTATAAGCATGCTGTTAAGATAAAAATGTTGCTTAAAGGTGAATAATTAGACATGTTCCTTAAAAAGTAGAATTTTCATTTCTTTTTCAATGTAAGCAATGAAACATACAATGAGTTATACTTGATGAAGTGTATATGATTTGCAGAAATTTGTTATAAATAAATAAACAAACAAATAGACGCATTTACAGTAATATTTTTTCTATAATTAAACGATTGGTATCCGTTCAAGAGCCGACTTTAGGGACATTTTCACATCTTGGAGTGGATCAGTTGCATGAGATCTGCCCTTTCTCATTGGCTTATCAATAAAAAGTCTTAACGTATCCTTTGTTTGGGAGAGAAAGTAATTCCTTTGGCAGATTATCTCTAAAGCTTTGAAGCATCCCTCCAAATTCACGTCCATTTTTTCATAATCTTTACTTTCACTCTGAAAGAATTCATTAAAATGTTCAACAACTACTGCACAAGTCTAACATTTCGAATCAATAAAAAAAATTAAGTTATAAAAATAAACAAATTGTACTTGATGCCTCTATGCTCTATACTTACTTTTAATAATCCTAAATTCACCAAAAGATTGTTATTTAAAATGTGAACTTGATTGGTTTTAATTGCGTGTGAAAATAACGCTGAATATAATTCGTCCGATAGACTTTCGGCAAAAATTCGAACATCCATGAATCCACTTCCGCAAAAGGAAGACACTTTCATGATAATGCGAAGTAATTGTTCACAAAATGATGTGTCTTGATTTTGTGTATCTACTTTATTCTGAAAGCATAAAAATATAAACGTGCGTTGGCCACTAATTTTACAGACTTTTAAATTAAATAAGTATGTTATTCGAAATAACTGACCTTCGCATAATCAATGAAATCTTGAGCTTTGCCTTCTTGATGCTTCAAAATGAGAAGATTTTCACAAGTTGGAGATTTCAGAAATCCAAGAATGGTAAAACGCTTTACCGTTTCTGTATTAAGAGGACTTTCGGTTATTGAATGTTCCTTTTCACCATCATCCTCATCGTCATGCTCGTCTTCCTCATCAGTTCCTTGATCTGTATCCTCAGAATCGTCATCAGTGGCATCTTCCTCCAAAGTGCCGAGCGACTCGAGTCTCCCACACTCTGAAAGTCCCTCCTTCAGATTCTCTCGACCTTCGCTGCCGAAGAAGTTGCCGTCGAGTATTAAACTCGTCAGTTGTGCTTTGTGGGCTACTGCATGCACGATGGGATCAATTGCATTGCTTCGTATTTCATTATAACTTAAATTTAGTTCCGTGAGTGATGGGTAATTCCCATCGTCTCCAAGGGCTTCTGTCAAAACTATCGCTCCCTTAGTCTTCAACAAACAATCTCCGAGATTAAGATTCTCAAGGCATTTCAAATTGGGCAAAATCTGAGCGAGAGCTTGCGCCCCTTTTGGCCCAACTGTGTTGTCGTTCAAGTTTAACGTTTTGAGGCCTAAATTCGCCGAAAGTCCTTCGGCTAAGGCTGATATGCCTGGGTGATAGATTCCATTTTGTGGCATAACAATTTCTTCTAAACTTTTAAGCTGCTTGAAAACTGACGCCAATGCTGTCGCACCCTCGTTTTCCAGACGGTTTCTTCCAGCAATGAAGACCTTCAACGCCAACGGACTTCCTAATGAATCAAAGAGTCTTGTTTAGTAATCTGCTTCTATTGGGTGTAGTTCTATTGTCTGTCTTACCTGCTTTTACGCTCCTCGTGTGACAGTCGAGCAAAGCCTGAGCCAACATTTTCGCACCGGAGATTCCGAGACCATTATTGTTGAGCCTGAGTTCCTGAAGACTGTAGCAGGAACTGGAACTCAAAAGAGCTGCTAGGCCCTTCACGCCGATGGGGCCGAAAGCGTTGTCACTGAGGTCCAGTTCGACCAGTTTCGTGCCCGCAGTGCACAGCCCTTTCCCGAGGTATTCTAGGGCTAATGGGATTTCGTCTTTCATGCGGCCTGTGAACATGTCCTTCCAAAGTGCTCGCTTCAAATTTGAACCATGTTCTTCCAAACATTTCGCAATAGTTTTAGCAGCCTCAGGACCCAAAGTGTTGCCCTCCAGGTCTAGATACTCCAACTTTGTGCAGTTTTTAATAGCCTCTACGACTTGCTTACCTGTTGGACATAAAATCTTCTTTGTCATGTTTTCAACGTTAGAGAGTACACCACTTCTTGCTTTAAAAGGGAGATTATTATTCTGTATTTTCTTAATCAATCTTCTGACTTCTGCTAATGATTAAAAACTTGTTATACATACAATTCTCAACGAAAATCTAAACTTTACTTTACTTTAGAATAACTGCGATTAGTCATAATGCAATTTAATTTTAGAAAACTTAAATTTACAGTATAAAAAATATTTCTGATGATACCTATTTCCTAAAATCCTGATGGTTGTCATGTTAAAAAAAGTTTTTTTTTGTGAAACCTAAAAAGATTTTCTTTTTAGAGATTTAGAAATATTACTATCACCTACTTTTCACACTGGCTGTAGTGCTAATAATATTTATGTTCACAGGATAGTTTTTTATAAACAATGAAATTGTAATATAGAAATAACGGAACACTAGAAACAGTTTTTCCAAACTATTATCATTTCTACTTTTTAGTGATTGTTTTAAAACATTGCAAGTATCTTGCTTCCATCTTCCATCTTATCAGCAAAATAAGACATATAATAATAAAAATATAAAAATTGTCAACATTTTCCAATACAATTTAACGGCACTTTCTTAAATTTCTCCTTGTACTTCTAGTTAAAATTGCTTTTACTTTTCGCCTGCTTTTCTAAATTATCTGTTGAATATATTTATAAAATCCTTATTAATTGAAACACAAAGAAAATAAGGTAACACCTTTCGGTCATCTCGGTAAACAATGACTGTTATCGTTAATAGTCTGTAAAAACATAACATAAACATCGGCTTCAAGTATTAAAAAAATATTCCAATACCCACCATGAGCAATCAAAGTAGCACAGATATAAAAATATCATTATTGAAATAGTTTTATAATAGATTTAAACAGAAATACACATACCATCTTCTTCGGAGTTAAGCTTAAGCGATTTTCCAGCAAAAGAAACACCTGTGCTGGCACTTTTTTGACTAGCATCTTTTAGTAGTTCTCCAATTTCACTCAAATTAAATGAAGTCATTGTTTACTTCTTTGTTTTACAACAAAACGAATCAAAATTCTTTGCAATTTGAAAAATTTCCAAAACAAACAGTCATCAAATGTCTTAAAAATGCATCAGACTCTCCACATGAAACTGTGGGTTGCGCGGGAAAACAAAACTCTGAGAGATCCACTGAAGTACTGACATATAGATACACCGACCAGTATCAGGACTCCCAATTCGATTGAAGAATTGGGATTAGTTTATTCCGAGTCCTATAGTTGCGCTGCCAACGCAATTCAATTTTGCACCTTTTGCACCAATTTCCACAATGAGAACGTATAACGTATCACGTTAACGTACACGTCTCCATGTATTGACTCGTTACGTATACGTTTTGTTCTAGAGAACACACCTTAATAAAAGCAGCAGAAGACTTGTTTAGTTAGTTGACAAGTGTCAAATGAATGTTTTGATTTGCAATTACAGTTCCTCCAAGTTTGCTAAAAAATATGAATTCATTGCTGAATAATGACGAAAACTTGGAGAATAAAGAATCAAACGATTCGGCAATCTTGGAAATAAGTTGTACTGAAACCGGGAGCAATACAAAACAAGGAAATCATGATATAGACAATTATTCAAATTACAGCACATCTGTGGAGGGATCTCTGGTAAAAATAATAACATATTTTCCACAATTGCTTCTGTATCGTAAAAGTATCGTAAAAGTGGTTAATACTTATTTTTACAATCTGTAAGAAATTACCGGTATTATTTATGAAAAATCAGATTTTTACTTTATTGCTTTCTTAAAAAAAAAATAAATTTTAGGCAACAGTTGATAACATTTAATTACATCAAAAGGTAGGGAAAATTCAGACAGTATTTGGACACTGTTATATATTTCTTGTCACATTAATTGTTTTATAAAATGTGTTGGAAGAGAGTGGTGCAACAAGTGAGGAATGTAAGTGATTGTCGAGAGACAATAAACACCCACGATCGACAATCACTTTTCTTCCGTGTTACAAATACTAATTTTTCTAAGACACGTATACCGAAAGTACAAACTATATTTCCTCTTTTTTTATATTTTTATAACATGGGGCAGAATTTATAAAAAAAAATAAATAACAAAAACTAAATCTACTTGAGTTTATGCTTAGAACTGCAAAAGTCAAATATTGCCCAGGTTTTTAATAATAAAAATCATAAAAAATTACTGTCACAATCTTAAGTGACATATGCATTTTGCGCCATAGATACAGAATAATGCATTTTCTGTGTGTATTCGATAATAAGACAAGTATTTTTATCAAACTAAGAAAAATGACTACTGAAACCATTATTATTAAAATAGTAAATTAATTAAAATTCATTCTAAATTCAACATAAGTAATTATTTGCAGGTCATTTCACCATCCGTAGACAGTTTTTCAACCCTTCCAGAACAGGAAGCTGCAGATTTTCAGTTAGACTCTCGTGACTTGCAGGTGAAAGTTGATAATCCTCAGAAACATGTAGAAACTTTAGAAACGTATATAACATTTCGGATCACCACCAAAGTAAGATATTTTCAAAAATTATATCTACCTATATATTAATTATTCTATTAATATTTGCAAAATTTATAAAGTGCACATAATGTCAGAAAAAAAATTGAGACTTTTTCTGACTTATTTTCAAAAATTGCGACTTTTTCGACTTTTCTTCCAAACATTGCAACAAAAAAGCACAATTTTTAGTAAAAAAAAAGTCCAATTTATTTTTATTTTTATAATGCGAAAAATAACTATAAACAAATCTTTCAAAAATTGTTTTTGAATCATTTTTTAAGAATAAAATTAAATTTTTCAAATGTATCTATAATAAAAATATTTTTGAATAGTTGATATTTTGTAAAATTTAATTGAAAATAATTGCATATTTCCAAAAATTCAAATACATACAAAAATTCAATTATTTTTAAAAGATTTTACCAAATTTTAATTGTTTGGAAATTTTTCAAAATTGAAAAAACTGTTATCTTTCAAAAATTATTTAAAAATATTTTTAAAAAATTAATCGTAAGAATTTCTTTATAATTTTTTGAAAATATTATAATATTTGAATTGAATTGAATTTATTCTAGAAGAACTTTTAGAAATTTATTTAAATTGATTGATTCAGAGATGAAGTTTAGTTGCAAATTGTAGAAAATAATTAAATTCAGGAAGGGTTATAATTGTAATTTTTAGACATTTATTAAGATTCATAAATTTTACTCGCATTTTCCGTAAACATTCATATTTTCCTGTAAAAAGAATTTTGTCAGGGAAAATAATTTTAATGTCAGTAAATTGTCAGGGAAATTGATAAACTGAAACTTGTGATCACCCTGATGTAGTTAATAATAATGTTATTTTGCGTTACTTGTGATGTACAGTTCTGTGTATTTAATTTAAGGGGCCTTACTGGTCAAATATTTCAAAAAAATTGATTTTCTTTTAGCTTTAAAATGTCCCTTAGTACTTATCATAAAATTAATGTCCTAATACATGTTTTCATTTTTTCCACTCTAAAATAAATTCCAGTCGGCGACATAAAAAATTGCAATTTTCGCAAAATAAGAACTAAAATTTTGCGAATATAACGAAGAGGCCAAAGTATTAACTGCACTTAATATTATTTCAAGTCCACGCGATCTGAATTCGAAGAGGGCGAATACACCGTCCGCAGACGTTACAATGACTTCATTTGGCTGAGGCAGAAGTTGGTGGAAGCGTATCCAACACACATTATTCCTGTAAGAGTATATTTATGAATTGCAGCCGTGCCATGTTACTTTCTGAATCTAATCAAAGTCGTTGCTTGATTTCAGCCAATGCCCGGAAAGCACTCGTTACTGGCTCAGTTGGACCGTTATTCTAAAGAATTCATCATTGCTCGCATGAAGCTTTTACATATCTTTCTCAATCGAATCGTTAATCATCCCATACTAAGTTATAATAAGAGTCTCATTATTTTCCTGACAAGTAAATCTGCGGTAAGTTTCACAAATATTTCCACTGTTCCTTCAACGAATTTCGAGATTGTGCTTTTATTTTATGTTGAAAAGGAATTTTCGGTTCACCGGAAAAATCGAAGCAGTGTTCTCGTTAAAGTGGCGGATTCACTGCCAAATATATCAAGCGTCTACACAACGAAGCAAAATAACTCGGAGTTTGAACATGTCCGTGAATATTGCCTCTCGCTGAGCGAAAAGTTGGCAACGATGGACAAAATAAGTCAGCGCATTTACAAAGAACGGCTGGGTAGGTTTATTTAGCAGAATACAGTTTAGTACACCATAGAAAGTGAAGTGAAATATTCTCTTTGAATAGACTATTTAATGGAACTTCATCAGCTGCACCCGATATTCACCTTGTGGGCCACTACGGAACCGGAACTGGAACCTATTCTATTAGCCATGGCCAAAGCAGTCGAGACGAACGCCGCAGCTCACAAGAAGTTGTTGGACTCTGTTCCTTGCGAAGAGAAGGAGTATGTCGCTTACATCGAGGCTGTAAAAGATGCTCTGAGTCGGCGCAACTCCATGCAGATTGAATACGAAATGACCGTCGATGAACTCTCTAAAAGACGGCTCGAAAAAGATCAGGTAACCTTGCTTCTGTCGTTACTGTCTCCTCGTTCTTCGAAAGCTTCTTCCCTTTTGCCTTTTTTTGAGTTATTGACTTGCAGGTGATTAACGCATCGCCAACGCAACAAGCCAACCAAGGCTGGGGAGGGTCCATTTGGAAGAGCGACTCTCGGGATGAAAAGTTGGAAAAACTGGACAACTCAATTTCGAGGCTGGTGAAGGGAGTCGAAGTGTTGCAGGATCGCTTGGAATGTGCCAATGAAAATCTGCACAGCGACTTGGAAAGGTGGAACATAGAGAAGCGCACCGACCTCAAGAACATGTTGATTGCAATGTCCGATCAGCACATCTGCCATTATCAGGAGTGTGTCACTGCGTGGGAAGACATTCTCGCCGGATTCAAAATTGACAACGTGGTATCAGAGGAGCTAAATGTTAAGCTCTCCGTTTGAAAAGGAACTGATTTCGGAATTCAGAGGTACAAGTGTTTAGAAAACTAAACGGTATCAACTCTCTGTAAAAGAGACACTATTTATTTAAGTTATTTCATTCATTTCTTTCTATTACTTCCTCACAGAGGAAACGTTGCAATACCAAAAATTTTCAACTTCAAGTTTTGAACATATCTTTAAATTTTAAGATGTTAGTTATCAAAAAATCACATTTTTTGAAAATATCATTCCATATTTATTTAGGTACATAATATCTCGAGTATTATGAAATTGAGTAAAAGGCAGCGATTAATTTATTTATTGCAAACCTTCTATGACCAAACTGTGAAAAGATTATAATATTATTTATTATCATTCAAATTATTTGCATAATTAAATATCAGAAAATGCAAGTACTTTCATTTTTAATCTTCAATTCTTTAGAAAATGTACGTTAATGTATGTACGTTTGTAAATGGTGCACAAAAATGTTGTTATCTTTCAAAAGTACTTGTTCATAGTTTACACTTATATAGTTTGCAAGATACTTTACTATTTTTTTAGATAAGAATTTTAAAAATTTATAATCAAGAACCAATATAGATTATAAATTTACATCTAATAAATTTTAATTTACACACTAACACTGCAGCACGTTGTGTTCTCAAGTTTCGGTAAAATATATATATCATTTTTTGGGGCTACCTATTGGAATGCGGGAATGTTATTCCAAATCTTTTACTCTTTTGTACATTCACATTCATAAATTGTAGGTATCATATCTTTATAAAAACCTGCAATTCCTTTCATTGTTTTGTTCTTGATTAAATAATTTAATTTTTTCAATACACGTTTTGTATTCGTTAATTCTATTTCCTTCCTGTATTTTTTCTCTCTTCTTAACATAAAAATGTTTCAAGTATTAAAAAACTAGTAAAAGACTTTTAAAAAAGTTTACTTTATTATGAGTGGACAAGAAATTACAGTATGTATTAATAAAACATGACAAATTTCATTTTTGATAATAATTATAAATAGTTATTTTGATTAAAAAAATTGAAATATTAATTTATATAAAAATAGAAATGAAAATTATTTCCATAAGTGAAAATTTATTGAAAATGTCGGAAAAATCATTTGATACCTACGTATTATTACACTGAATTTCTTAATTGAATAAACATCTTTTAAAATTGGGAATATTGCTGATTAAGAGAGAATTGCTGTTATGATTATTAATTTAAACTGCAAATTTATTTATACTAGGAGCATACATACGTTACAAAGTAGTATGCCTATCTGTGGTAAATCGTTGAGTAAAAAAATAAAAAAGACCTATCGGTTTAGTTAACAATGCAGTTTCATAAAAAATTAAAAAAAATCTTTGTATCGGATTTACCAACTCAGTCAAAATTAAACGTACTTAATTTTTGAACGAAAATTTTGTTAATGGTTGACAATTATAATTAATTCTCATTGTACATACCTATCTAAAATAAACAATAGAAAATTACATTCTCTAAAGTGGCCATCCAATTATTTTATGGATTGATAAATAAAACGTTGCTCTGTACACGTGGATTTGTTATCTGTTGCAGAAAGCAATCTGCACAAAATAGCTGTTAGTATTATCTAAATGAATGTCTTTCTATCGAATCCTCGATACATACTAGAACACCCCAAGTTTTGCACTCTGGCTGAAATAAAGTATGTTAAAACAAAAGTGTACAACGCGACAGCTTTCGATGTTATTTACAAATTTCATAATTAATACATACTTACAAGTGTATCTAATTAAACACATTAAGAACTTTTTTACACTTATACAACCAACATATTCTTCGTGTCTAAGAATAAAATCTATGTTTTTACTTTTCGCCTTTCGCCTTTCGCCTATTCATCACACATCGATGAACTTTGCTTAACTTTACTTCAGCATTACTATAAAAGGATTAACTTTCGTTACAAGTTACAATAAATTAGGCTTCTGTTCCTTCTATCTAAAGAATACTACTGGAGAAAACTGGTATTGGTGTTATGTAAAACTCGACAAGATTATCTAAGTCTTGTAGTCTACTTATTGATTCACCTGAAACAAATTTTAAATGAGATAGCACTTGTAAATAAATATGGTCAAAGAATTTTATGAAATAATTTTTGATTAAGATGCAATACTCACCTGCAAGAGTCATTTCGTTGTGTAGGAAGCGCACAGTATGAGCATACGGTTGTTGATTACTCTCTCGTAATTTTGGAGCGAATCGCCTGGTAGGATTCCAAATGGGATTCCGACCATTAGGTGATTTCACCGAATTCGCTTTTATCCAATCTGGCATCACCTCAACCATGGGCAACACATGTATTACTTTATATAAACCTGTGACTATGTTCCAAGTAAACTTGCAGCAAGCTTCATACTGCTTTCTTTCCTGTGAACTGAAAAAAGGATTTATTTGCATACCCGATTCGCCGGCAGTAATTCACTTTCAGGTGAACCAAAATACCTTTGTCCTTGATTACTATTTTCACTGGCTTGAATCTTCATTATGAGCAGAGAGAGAATGTCTCCCGACAACGCACAGACGTTGATTATTTCTATATCGTAATCGCTGCAGTACCAGTACTTCTTCTTGAATATTTTGCAAATCCAGTCAGCAATGTGGTGAGAGAAGGTTTCTATGTCAAAACTCAACTGGTTTATGGAGACACACGGTATCAGCTGAGGAAAAAAGTTTAACTTTTTAAGAAGCGAAATAAAAATTGACAGGGCTCGAACTAGGTCCGTAAAGTCCATAATTTCATTGAAAAAGGACGAAAAGTTGGTAAATTATACGATATAATTTGGAGAATTTTAGAGAAATTACAAATTATTGCAGAATTTCGCAAAATTGAATATTGTAAACAAATGTGTTTTGAAAATTATTAAAAATAGTTGATTTAGAGAAGAATTTTACATATTTGTAGTTAAGAATTCTTGAAAATAATTTTGATCAAGTTACATTAACAATATTCTTATAAAATATAAAAGAAAGATTTTATCACTGGGCCATCTTTAATTATTATAAAACATGAAGAAATCGACCACTCCGAGTCGAAGGCTCAATTTCAAGTTTTATGTAAAATGTTCTCTTAGTATATAAGATTGGATATATTTTTGCCAGTAATTGACCCGTAAAGTCCGTATTTTTAAATACTTCTACTGGTTCGAGCTCTGAGTTAATTAATAGTGCAAGTAAATCAGTAAAGTTACATTTTTTTCTGCCTTGCTGTTGCTAATCATTTGCATTTGAGTGTAGCCAGATCCGTGGACATTCATGGGCAAGACACACTGATAGCTGACGTACCCTCCAGTCTCATCATCTGCGTTATGAAAACAAAAACAAGTTCTTGAATAATAATTCGAAACAATTTTGGATATTGAATAACTTTAGTTCTTCTATTAAGAAAGCAGAAAGATTAACTTGAACAAGTTCAAACCTTCAACATCCGTAATGACAGATATCATTTCATCGTCTAGCTCGATGTAACTTCGTTTAAATCGTGTCGTGCACTTTATGACAGGATTGACAACACCTTTAGGGACCATAGATGAGGATGTCGAGTAGTTTTTATTTGATCTATCACGGGTTCCGTTGGACAACTGATTTTGATTGAGTGGCCTTAAGACGTTCTTCTCGACTGCAAAGATAGTTTATGTCAATGAAGGTGCAAATTCAAAGTGAAAAGTAAGCAAGTAATCATACCTGAATCTAAGGATTGCAACTCTGCGAAGATGGCGATGTCTTGAGGCTCCTCAGTCTCACTGAGCTCGGAATGTTGTCTGGACATAATTGACATGACGGGCGACCCAACCGAGCAGTCGGGATGCTTCGCTTGACCCCTGATGTGCTTGAAGGGGACGATATTCTCCGCGTCTTCGGCTTCGTCACAGAACTCATACTTCTTGTCTGCCAACCTGCGTTTCCTGAAAGAACTAAGTTTTTCGCACGTTTCTTGAGACTCATCCGTGAATTCGTAAGCCTTTTCGGCTTCTAAAATTAGTTTGTGCGACGCTCTGGTCCTCGGCGGAGTTGGAGACGGCTGAGCCTGCAAACCGGTTTTCTTCCTCGGACTCAGGTGGCGGAAAGACTTGGTAATTGGAGGAGACATCAACCTTGGCGAACACGAAGGCGAAGGGTTTATTGACAAAGTGTGAAGAGGGGAATTGATAGAAGTGATGCAGACAATCGAGGCGTCCTGCGAGACTCCGGGCTGGGGCGACTTGGGCCTCTGGCAGCGCAGGCTCTTGTGACTAGATTCCGAATTGCGGGTCCGCAAGATGTCGGAAGGAGGGTTGAATATCTGGGAGATCCACGACTGCTTCAGGTTGGAGGGCAGGCGCTGGGGCGTCGAGCGCGGCGAGCACGAGGGGTGTTTCACGAGAGTGATCAGGTCGCTTCCAATGTTCAACTCCTGGGACATGTCCTCGCAAAAGTCCTGCAGAATCTTGTCCCGAACGGAGGACGCCTGCTCCACTTTCGATGCCGAGTCGCAAGGCTTGTCGCACTCGCACCCACTCTCGATACTGTCTAGGCATTCGCATAATCTAACACTTAAATTATTAATACATTTAGTATCACAAATATAATCGCTTGGATTTGAGTTGGAGGTATTCGTTGATAGGTCTCGCCCCACCGAGTCGTCCATCCTGCCCACGTCGACGCAGAAGTCGTACTCGGCGACCGACTCGCACTTGGGAGACTGGTCCACGGTGCTCTCGGACGTGCTTCCCTTCTCGTACGAACTGTCGTAGCGCTCGGCTCTCAAGTCGTCCGACTCCTCGACGTCACTCACGTCTAGTGGGACTATGTCCGAAATCCTTGGCTCCTGCTTCTCGATGCTCCTCTGCTGCTTCACTTTCGAACTGTCCATGTCCACTCGAAGAATGTGCAGGAAATTGCCCGTGTTCACGACCACGTGGTTCGAGTAGTTCAAGCAAACCACAGCTCGGAATCTGGGAAAGGGCGAAAGAATTTCGTAGGAGGTGTGCACTGTTAGACCATGTTGAAGACAGTTGCACCGCACGCAACTGTCCCAATTTGCAGCCAAATCTGTAAAGAGAAGAAATGCATCAATTTTATTCTCTTTCTTATTTACATAATATTTTTAATTTATTAATTCAAAATAAATACCTTCTCCTTCTTCTTCGTAAGATGCTGCGACTTTTAAGCATTCTTTGCAATTATCTAAGGACGGAACGGTGGTTATTGTTAAGTATGCTCTGTCCACTCTTTGCAGATTAAGCCAATGAGAACTGTAAAAAAGCAAATTATTTATTTAATACAAAATATCGCAGTCATATTTCATGGGTAATTCTAATTATTAGAGATTTAAAGAAACGCGAATTCTTACCAAAGACCATGCACCACCAGCTTGTTACTCTCCATGGGCCATTGAGCTATAATTATACTAAGTTCTCTGTAGATGGTAAAATTGCCAAAAAGTGTAACTTCAGCTACTTTGCGAGCAACTCGGTTCGGCATGAAGGCCCACCAATGCAGCAAGTATTTGTAAATTGTGTTTGTACCGCTAAGTTCTACGTTGTAGGTGTAGGTCAATAGAAACTGACCGCATTGTGTCAGTCCCATAACGACATGTCTGCAAAGTTGAAAATTCCGTTAATGCTACTAAAATAGTAAAATATAACAGCTAATTGAACAAGAGAAAGAAATTATATCTTTATCTTACCCTGCCTCAAGAGCAGATTTTGGAATCACATATACTAAAGGTAAGCGTCTCCATGAAGGAATGGAAGAAAACAGCTTTTCTTCTGGAGCATTGCTGTGGACTGCAAACGAGCCCCTTATCTGTCAACAATTTATTACATGGAAACGGTTCAACATTCGACAAAATAAACTTATTCTTGAGTGGTAGACAATCTTCAATTGTTCTGTCGACAACAGCAAATTTCGATTCATTGCACTCTAATTACATACCAATACGAAACGACCGTGTTGAATTTTTACTAGGAAGATAGGGTGGAAAGCGTAAAACCGAAAGCAGAAAATGACACTACAATTTTCACTTTCATAAAATCGGTTTTACGCTCTCTGCTAACTTTTCAGTAAAAGGAATGTCAGAAAATTCAAAAATTAGTACTATATCATTCGAAAACTCAAAAAAAATCCCGGCTTTTAATTACATATGTATAGATAAAATTTTTAATAAATTACATAATAGCTCTAGTACTTGATAAGTGTGGAAAAAAAGATTTTTAAATTGAAAGTTTTTTTCAACTATTTTTCACCCTTTGCATATTCTAAAAAAATTGCAGAAAAAATTATAACTTGTACAGATATCGTCATTCAAATCTCACCTTTAAGTTTAGGCAAAAAAATTAAGAAATCTTATTCGATTCACAAGATATCATTATAAACGACAGAGCATTTTCAGTCAAAATCTGTACAAAATGGGCGAGCAAAAACCAACTTCTAATTTGATCCATAAATTATACAAATTTTACATAGAAAGTGCAAGATTTACTTTTTTTTTAAAGAAAAGCGTGATTTTAAAATGACACAATCATCATACTTTTTAAAATTACAAGACGTAAAAATTGCTTTATTTAGTGAAAATATAATTCAAAACAATGAATTTAATAATTAACAGTTCCATTGAAAATTTTACTAAAAAGAAATTAATTTTTAAACTCTAATAAAAATTACTAAATAATATACTTGTTTACTAAAATTTTTGACAAATATTTTATAAAAATCTCATTAGTTATTAAAAAATTAATATAATTTGTTAGAATCAAGTAAAAAAAATTAACATTGTCAGTAAAAGATTATTGTTACTCTTTACATTTAGATAACACAAATTAAAAGTTTAAACCAATAAAGTTAAAAATAAAGAAAATAAATTGTAATTTATCTATAGAGGCTAAAATATATTAAATTTAGTTTTATTTAAAAAAAAAAACGAAAATAAACCAAAATTCAGATTAGCATTGAAACTTTAAAGTGAAGTGACTTCTAACGTTAGATAGTTGTAAAATGAAATATTAAAAATTGATTAACTAATGCAGTTAACTTTTATTTGTAAACATGAATAGAACAAGAATTAAATCTGTATTACCAACACTGGTATCGATGTCATTGTTAGAGTGAAGCTAACCTTTCCTTACCTCTCTGGTAAATAACTTTTGAAGGAAGTTTCTTTTACTCCTACGATGAGTTAAACTCGGTTTTTGTCCCACTATAACGTACTCCAACGATTTTTCAGATGAAATGTCAGAAAAATACTCATTACAATAATCTGAACCTGAGGTAGTGTCGGAAGACCATGCATCCGCCATTTTTAAATGACCAAACACACCAGAATGATTAATTTAATGACAACAATAATTATTATTTGTGTTTGTGTGTGCAGCTTCTAGGAGTATAGCAGAATAGATAGATTGGAAGCGGAAGTGCAAAAGGGAAGTACGAGTTAGAGAAGGGCCGACATATTGTATCTCTTCTTTTCCAACTCGTACCTTAGTGTTTGCTTTGTTTAGAAAGACTGTTGTGTAGTGGGGCTTAAACCTTTTGTTGTGACTTGTGTCGAGACTCGAGAGGAAAAGACCGTAAACTTTTACACAAGGTAGAAAAGGAGGACACTGCATTTGTTCTTTTTTCTCATTCTTACTTGTTTGCAATTACGCTTCACGATTTTAGGGTGCAATTATTCCAACTAAGCAAAACCAAAAGTTCATAAAGCTGCAAGAAAGATAGATATTGCAGCAGGTATAATGAGGAGGGTGCAGACCCACGTTAGCAGAATTTCATGAGTGCAAAAGAGACAATCAGATAATACTATCCTTTTCACTCTTATGCAATTCTGCTTTCGATTTCACGCTTATGGACTGCACACCCTGCTACATAGAACTGTGTTGGATTATGGTGTGATTGTATTTTTACCCATATACAATATATAATATTACAGTGAGGTTGAAAACAACGTTTGGAATAAATTAATAATGGACATTAAATTTTGTTTCAAGATTATGAGTGTTTTGTAATTAATAAAAAATGTCAGTCAATTTATAAAAGATTTATTTATGTTTGCTGTATAGTCATTACTACATTTTAGGTAAGATCATTCAATTCCTATGGTTTTCAAAACCGTTAATAAATTATTGCTTCATTTTCAAAAGTCTTTTATTTCAGTAATTCACAATGTTTAATGAAATAAATATAATTTTGAAAAATATATGTACACATGCAATCCGAAATTAATATGTCACTCATCTGTGTCCCAGATCGTGTCGTCTGCTTGACCCGGTAAAAGCTTTTGCATAGTTGATTTATTATTTCATGAAAATGATAATATTATATAGTCTCGAATGTTATTAACATTAATAACATTATAAAATGATATGTCAGAAACAGAATGTTAAATTTTATTTTTGTATTTTTACAATTATATGTCATAAAGTAGCTTTGTTTTAAAAATAAAATTAAAATTTTTAAATAGGTATCGCAAAAAATTATTATTTCAAAAAATAAAGCATATAAGAAAAAAGTCAATAGCAGAATTTTAAATTTAGTTTCTTAAATTTTTGAAAATTTACATCTGGGTAAAATTACGTAATTAAATTTTTTCAAGAGAATTTATGAGAACTTTGAGGGTTTAAATTAATAAATTATTCCCCTTCTTGCTCTACATAAAAGATAAGCATCATTATTCAAAATTTGAATAAGTCACACTGTGAGTTCTGGCATTTTTGATAGCTTCTTTTACTAACTCTTGAGTACGAAAGATAGATATTGAAGATGAGACATGAGAGAATAGTATTGAATTCCAATAAGGTTTATTCTAATGATTATGCTTTTTATGTTTAGATTATAATTACAACAATGGGTAATACATTAAATGTTGCATCTGTAAATGCAGCGGATTTGATATATCCAATCACTGAACAAACTGCACCACACCATAAAGTTCATGAGAGAAGAAGTTTCAATCAAGAAATTCCTCCTGAGTGTCCTATGCACAAGGAACAACAACCTAAGAAAAATGTTAGCGAGTGTCCCATGAATCATGGCAAAGATTCCGACATAAATCCTCTCAATATGGTGAGAATTAAATTGAAGAAAATAATAACATCTATCTTCTATATTAATAATTGATTAATAATAATCGTTGTACATATTTCGGTAATCAGTTTGAAGTTAGTTACTGTTTGCTTTTTTGTTTCCCAACTTTTTAAATAATTTTTAATTTTTAGTGTTTAAAATTTTAAAATTAATTTACCTACCTACTGAAAATCATTGAATTCTTGTTAAGTATTTATAAAAAAAATTTTAATATAATTGAATTTTATTAACATTTTTCAAATAATTGAATTCTTTTGAGAAAATATAATTAAAATTGTATTGAAAATAATTTAATTCTTGGAAAAATTTATTAAATTTTTAAAAATAATTGAATTGTTTTGAAGGAATTTATTTCAATAATCTTGAAAATAATAAAGTTTTTTAAAATAATTTTTACTGAATATTTTGAAAATAATTGAATTTTAAGAAGAGTTTCTTTTAAGTTTTTAAAATAAATAATGTAATTTTTTTAAGGAGCTAATTTTAATTGAAAATTTTGAAAATAATTGAAATTTACAAAGAATTTTATTAAAAACTTTTGAGAACAATTGAATTGTTCAGAAAAATTTTATCACAATTTTCAAAAATAATTGAACCTGTTAGAGAAATTTTATAAAAATTATCTTGAATATAATTGAATTTTTCCTTTGAACTTCTATTAAAATTGTATTGAAAATAATTGAATTCCTTTCAAGTATTTTATTATAAATAAAAATAATTGAGTTCTTGCGGAGGATTTTACATTTCATAAAAATAATTGAATTATTTCGAAGAATTTTATCTCAATTTTTGAAAATAATTGAGTTTTGTGAAGGACTTTTATTAAAATTTTTGAATAATAATAAAGAAGAATATGTAAAACTTTTTTCTATTATATTGTGAAATTGTAGATGCCAGCTGCAAACCAACAACCTGCACCAGATCAGCCGTTTCCTCTGCCGATTGAGAGACAAATTTCAACTATACCAAAGGTTTCTGAAGAAGGCGAATTCTGGGTCTATCCCTCGCAGCAAATGTTTTGGAATGCCATGTTGAGAAAAGGTTGGCGGTGGAAGAGTGATGACTTGTCTCCGAAAGACATGGATGACATTATTAAAATTCACAACGCTAACAATGAACACGCGTGGATGGAAGTCTTGAAGTGGGAAGCTCTACATGCTCGCGAGTGCATGACCCCGAAGCTGAAGAGCTTTGGAGGGAAGGCGAAAGACTATTCTCCTCGGGCGAGAATCCGCCACTGGATGGGGTGTGTAATTTAATATTATCTTCTCAATAATTATTTCCCAGCAAATCAATTCCTGTTTTCAATCCGCCAGGTACGAATTGCCTTTCGATCGGCATGACTGGATCGTGGACCGCTGTGGCAAGGAAGTGCGATACATTATTGACTACTATGACGGTGGATCCATTGACGACAAGTACACGTTCGCCATTCTGGATGTGCGGCCGGCTATGGACTCTTTCGAGAACATTTGGGATCGCATGAAAGTCACTTGGTGGCGATGGAGATACAGTAACGAAGCTGAGCAGTCTGTTCAATGAGACGTACATTCTATCCATTATGTATAATAAAGAATAGTATTTTCGTTGAACCAACCCTCCGAAGAATTCTACCTCTTCTTCTTTATTTATATTTTTCATTTTCGACTGTAAACGCCAAAGCACATTTCGAGTATTTGAAAGGTTTAAAATTTAGCTTCAATTTTAGTCCAATGTTAATAATTGTAGAACCAATTTGCTAATAGTTATTTCTGAATAGTAATACAATCGACTCCTTTGCGCCAATGATGCGAACAAAATGTCAGTTGTAAAGTACATTCAACCCCAAAGACACTCAAGTCGAATTGAGATCAACCTTGGCGCACGGATTGTCTGATGGCTAAGGGTACGTCTCCGAATATTAATTTCATTTGGTGAATTTTTCTACTTGAAGTATAAAAAATTCTAGTGTGAATATAACAGGAGAGAAAAGAATGTCCAAAAAATGTCTACGAATAGGGAAAAATAATTAAAAATTGTTCAATCGGTGAGAAATACAGATTTTAAAAATTTTTTAAACAAATCATCTATTAATTTTTCTCTCTTACGCCAGTTTCTATAACGATTAAAAAATTCATTTGCCTGTGTGGTAAACATATTTTAAATATTATCACCGGATACGTGAGGGATCATCTTTGTAGATTGGACAACAAGCATATTCTTATTGCCATTAGGCAATAAGAAGGAAAAAAAAAATTTTGAGTTTTTTAAAAATAATTATTTTGACGTCAAATGTATAACAAGCATTAAAAATATATATATATTTCCGGTGTTGTTTATACACACGATGTATCTTACAAACAATGTACATTTTTTAAAACAGTTTATTTTTCTTTTCACCACTAACCTTTCTATTTCAACATTTAAAATAAAAGTGTTACACTTTCGTTTAACACAATTATTTGAATTTTTTAAACAAACAAAAATTAATAAATTTCACAAAAAACTTTCGTTGCTTTACAATTTCGTTCCTATTAAAAATGTATAAATATAGAAAATACTTGAATATTTTTCTAGTCATAAGAATAGCTCAAAATTTTACCCAACATTAAAGAAAGTTGAATCATTTTTAAAATCTGAATTAAAACATAAGTTGAATGTCACAATTTGTAACCAAACGTATTTTTCTTTCTTTCAGAATAAGAGTTACAATATCTAGTATTTAAATCTCAAGATAGCTGCGGAAAAGAAATAAAAATTGGTGTTTGTTTAAATGAAACATTTGTTTTAAAATAATTCTTAAGAATAACTCTAGAAAGGGTTGCAAACTGGGACATTCATCGTGTACATTATGAGTCTGTCAATTGACAAAGTCCTAAGTTTATTTTCCATGTTTTTTTAACGCCAATATAAGATTATTCACACCACACTTTTTCATCAAATTAACTAAATTAGAAGGCTTAGAATGTAAATAATAACATTATTATTCTCGTTCAAAAAAGCCGATTAATTAATTTAACTTATTATCAAATTTTAGTTTTATAATTACCCTTTGAAAGATTAATACAAAATCTGTTGAATATTGTCCTGCTTATCGAGAAGGTAAATGCATTAGTGACATAAACATAATGTTTATTTTGCCTTTGTGAAAATACTTTTTCAAACATTAATTAATATTTTCGAGAACCAAGTCACCTACTTACTGTAGATGCATTTACCTTTATACAATTTTATAAACATTTCAAAAATTATTCCTTGTAGACAATAATTTTTATTAATTCAATTACTTTATGTCGTTTAAAATATCTATTTATTTTTGTAACAAATAGGTACTTTATACTCTATTCTATTATGTTCTAACTAAAATTAAATTAGCGAATCTAAACTTTCAAAATATACACTCGTGTTTACAAATTCAAACGTAATGAATAAATAATAACATTTTTATATTTATAAATCAACTTTTGAACAAGTTCAGAAACCCAGCTGTAAAATTTATATAAGCTATATAAATTTAAAACGAGAGAGACTTTTATGTAAGACAATATATTTTTACAAAAAGGCAAGAATCTTTTGCGTCAAAAACATGTAAAAAATTAAATATATATAAATCTTAAAAAAAAAACTCATTACAAAAGGAAAGTTATTCTCGCTAAGAATTTAATGAATGGAGCTGGAAGTTTTGCGGTTTAAACTGAATGATGGGGCAAATAGCGGAGGCAAGTACTCGACCCACAGAGGCAGGGTGTTTCGCTGATGTTGTGGACGGAGGTCTCGACTCCATCCGCGTAGTTGAAAGTTACCTCTTCCCCGGGCTCGATGTCCCTGCGGGCGAAGAGAGCGACCCGCGGTGAAGCCTTCTCCACGCGCACGGGCACCAGGCGACTGTTCGCTTCGCAGCTGTGGTTGCAGAAGCGACCAACGTTGCCGATGAATCTCGGATCTATGCAGGTCGTGATAGTTTTCCCGCCGACATGTTCGTTGACGACCAGAACGTAGTTGTCGCCTCTTCCGTTCCTCTCGAGCCTCTTCTTGGCTTCCTCGAGCCCCACAACTTCTCCCGCGTACTCGCAGATGAACTGGCCTTTCCTGATGAGTCTGGAAGTGGAGAGACCGAGTCCCCGTCCCTGGGCCTCGACGACGTTGAGGCAGCCGAGTGGCCCCCTTTGAACCAGTCTGTTGCCGCAGGTCTCCCCGCAGAGGCAGTGCGAGTTGCACTCGACTGTCGGTCCCACCTTGTCCTCGACGAGACGGTCGTTCTCGTAGTTGGGCTTCCCCAGGGTGCAAGAGCAGTCGCCCGAGGAGCACTGCGCCTCGCACGCGCAGCCAACCACGAACTCCGACTCGAACTCCGCACCGTCTACTCCTGGTCCGGGGATGTTGCGCTCCGTGTAGATGAGGTCCGCTGTAGGGTGAGTGTATTCGTCTTCGCAGTTCTTCGCATCCATGCTTATTGCTTATTGCTTATTGTGAGTGTGTGGAAGACAACCGCTTCAATTCAAAGCAGCACAAAAAGAAAAGTTTCCCTTTCACGAAATGCTTTTACAACGCTCCTTCGAGTCTACTTGATTAAACTGACCTTAACAAGTCCCTTCACCGATGACTTGAGTGATTCTAGAGTCTGCACTGACGGCAGAGGAATGATCTTGTAACCAACGTAAATCACGACGCCCAGCAGCGTCGCTTTCGCAGTGAAGCGGATGATTTTGCTGGACAGCGAACGAGGTGGAACTCTGAAAGGAAAAAAAAAAAAAAAAAAGTGTTGCAATTTCACGTTTCTTACTATAATTTAGAATGTAAAGGGGACTCTTACATCATTATAGGTTGAATGTGGTTGACATTGACTTTTCCCCAGTTCTGAATTATGCCCGATATGTGTCCCATTCCCACGACTCCAACAGCTCTTGTGGGAACAATGGTGTGCTTATTTGCTAAATGTGGTTGACAAGACAATTGGAGAGAATATGTTAGGAAGAGATCTCGCTCTTTCACGAAAACTTCGGCCAAAGGCGGAAATTGGTCCGTCAGCTCTGCAATTACCGCATCCAAGTTCTCTCGATTCTTGCACTTTTCAACGTCCTCCTTGGTAATAGAATCTCTCGAGGTCAATATCTTCCATCCACATTTAATTTTTTGCCAAAATGAGAGAGAACTGAAGGCTCGGTGCATCGTAATGCTCAGCGGTCGATCGCCCAAGTGGAAAATGCAATTTGGAATCTTCTTTGCCTTCAATTTCAAGAAAGATTTTATATTATTATATGAATGTAATTTTACGGTTTTAATAGTCTGCGTAGGCGATAATTACAAGTTTACCTCGTTAAAAGCTGTGCGGAATTCGCTTCCTGGCGCCATTCCTAATTCTTTGGTCACGTGTTGTGACATAGTTAGAAGAATTATGAACATCAATCCACTAGTGACCCCATGCTTCTTTATTGCAGCACGAATGTCTTCTAGTTATTGGAAAAGAAGAGAATATTCATTAGAAAGCACGCTCATTGGCTTGGAGCCGCTTAAAAACTTACCGATCCCAATGTCTTGTGCCTTTTTAAGCAGAGTGTCCTCGTCCAGGTGCAGAGCTTGCATTCTCTGTTTGCAAAGTTCGACCATCACTATGTGTGGCTGCACAGCGTTGATAATCTGGAAGAATTGGGCGCATTCTAGAATATTTTCTTTCTGAATTTCTAGCCAAAGGTAAAAAATATTATTCAAGTACCTTGGAAACGTCATTTTGACTTTCTACACTAAAGTGCGCAGTTCCGATCAAATACAACTTCCCACCATCTGGCGTTGTGAGTATCGTAACTGTATCTGGCAAGTTGTCATCAATGGATGGATCATACTTTTTTTCATAGTTTGTTCCAGAATCACTCAAATTGTCTTCAACATCCGACTCTAGTCCCGAACCGATGCTTACTAAATTAATAGAAAACAATTTTTTATTATAATAAATAATTTATGTAATTGAATACCAATTTTCATACTCTTCCCTTTCAATCCAGGCCTATTTTAAATGTTGACTTATTTATTCTAGTTGAAATTTGAAAATTACCCCAATAAGAGTTTACAGCATTTTAATTTGTCGGTAAAATTAAATTTCCTGCAACTATATCAACATAATTTATTTTTGCAATCACTAACCTCTAGAGTTGAGTTTGCAGATGGAAAATTATTTTAGTGCTACAGGACGATGTATGTTGCAAAAAAATTAAATTTGCAACACGAGAGTTAGTGTATCGTTAAATTAAAAATAATTAAAACTTACTCTAGGTGAAACAAAACAAAAGAGTGCTTTCAAAGACACAAGTAATATTGAAATAAAATTTGAATTTGAAAATTAAAATTTGAAAATATTGAAATAAAGAAATAAAATTGATATTTCTTGAATATACATATAGTGTGGAAAAAACCGAAACTACGAATCACTGTGACATCCTCAAGAACATTTTATGCTTTCCGAGATATATTTTCTCTAAATCTAATTTATTGGATTTAATACCTTGAAATTTGGTATGTTTTCTTTTTTTTCTATGGTGAGCAGGCATTGTGAATTTTTCTACAGAAATTCACAATACTGAGTCTATTAAATGTCGATCACTAGTGTAAAGAGCGAGGTCACTTAACTTCATATTCTTTTATTTAATTAGCTGAGACTCAAACAGAGTTTCTGGAAGCCTTAGAAGGATTGACGGACAAATGGATAAACGACATATTTTCATTTACATTGTTGCTCTTTTTAAACATTAAACAATTACTCAATAAAAAAGGAAATTTCTTCGAGGTATGTAAATAGTAGTGGAAAAACTGTATAAAAACTCAAAAGTACTAAAAAGTTTATTCTCAAATACCTTTCTGGAGTAAGACAACTATGTCTCTTATTGGCAAGTGTTGGCAAGTGCTACCATATGCTAGCAATGATCTTTAATAAAAACTTACAATTTTTCTGCGCTTCAGACAGAGTTCCATCATTTTTCGGTGCGCACGTCTTGGAAGTATCTAGATTTGCCGATTGTTCTGGATTAGTAAAGATAAACATCCTTTGAGGATCGTTGTACCAATTAACGAATTCACGTGATAAATATGTTTCATGTGTTTGTTGAGGAGACTCATCTTTCATTTTCATTATGTTGCATCTATGAAGAAAAAATACTTTACATCAAATACAGACAAATTCTGATAGTTTCCACATTATTTCAACTTAACATACTATTAATATAAAAATACTCTTTTTATATACAGATAAATAAAATTCCAAGAAATAGGCACAAACAACCATACGGACAATATAAAAATCCAAATCTTTTTTTTATCATTCGCAACACATTATTATTCTGACTATAGTAGATATCTTAATACATAACATGCAATGTAATAAATATAAAACTGTAATATATTTGGAATTGGAACAAAAATATCTAAATTGTTGCAATTAATTTCTCAGTAATTAAAATCTATTTGTAATCTTATAAATACTAATTTTCTCAAATAAAATCAATGGCACTATTTTTGTTTTCAAAATAAAAAGACTTGATATTCATTAGATTCTACTCTCATAGAAAATGATGATGTCAACATTTAATAAATATTATTTTTACTTACAAATAGAATGTTATGTCAGGAACAAAAGAATTTTAAATATTTTAAGGTTCGCTCTTCGCTATAACGTTATTACGACAATTTTTAATTTTTTAGGTAGACAAATGAAAAATTTAATTTCTTATTGTGAAAAATTAAAAATAATTGTCTGTTGCTACAAAAATTTTGTACTTCATACTAAATTAGTAATACAATAAATTATATGTTATAAGATGTCAAAATTTGTGATAAGAAATATTCAGAAATTATATATATGTACATAGTAGGACATGTATTTTCATTTTTGAGTAGTTTTTTTATTTTTCTCTTCTTTCTCAACCCAACTCTGCTATGAAAGGTAAGGGTGCATCACACTTCTGTTGGTAGAAAAAAAAATTTACCGAAAAATGTCGAAATCGCATTGGCGTTCACACTCTGCTGTAAAGGTGTTTCTACAATACCTTCAAAACTCATTCATGCAGAATTTCGTGAGTGCAAGAGAGATAGTCAGAAATCACTATCCTTTCCACTCTCACGAAATTCTGCTTTGCATTGTGTTTTCTGCTCATCAAGGGACCGTACCCTAAAGAAGAAGAGACAAACTTTTGTGTTTACTAGTCAAAGCAATGAGTAAACTAAAGAAGAAGAAGAAGAAGAAGAAGAAGAACTTTAGTGTTGTTTTGTGTTTGGCTACCTGCTTTGCAAGAGACCATATAACCAACAAAAAAAAAGACAAACTTTTTGGAGTCACTTATTTTAATTTATTATTAATTAAAAGGATAGAAATCGGTTAAAAATTGTGTATTAAAGTTTTTACAAAATAATTATTAAAGTACAATATTTTCTCTAGAAAAACAATAATGTGAAATTAGATACTGCTGAAATAGAAGAAAATACTTAGAATACACCTCATTCTTGATACGATAAACTAAGAAGTGAATTGGACATATCCCAAATATCTGTCTCTTTTAATTCAACAAGAACGGCAACTTTCTTCAACAATTCTTTCAAGTTTCCTTTCTCCATATTCATGAAAAATACCGAGGAGAATATAATAGAAGCTCCTAAAACTAATGCATTTGATTTGAGCAACAAATTATTCCTATCATCGAAGAATTCCGTTCTTGAACCTTCGTGAGTTATCGTTTTTAAGTTGGAATGCAATTCTTCATGCTGAAACAAAAATTTTTACATTTTAATTTTAATGTCTCGTTATTATTCATATTTAAAATTGAAAATATTAACAAAAATTGATTTAAACTGTATTTACACAAACATAAGATAAATCCAGAAGCTTTGACGCTGATTTCACTATTTCAAGCGTGTTGCGAAGTCCACTTGCAGCTAACAAAACATCAACACAATTTTTCGTGGTGTATGTAGGTATTTCAAATTCAACTGATTTAAAAACATAAAATTCAGAATCCAAAATCACTTTGTTTGGATAAATTCTATCGGGATCCATTTCCTTTAGGATTCTTTTTATCTAAACAGAGATGGATTTTTATGTTACTATTAAATAATAGAAAAAGCAGAGTTCTGTTTAAACTATTACTTTTCTTAATAAATTTTATTTCAATCGAAATTCTGTAGATGCGAATGCATAATTAATTTATGTATTTTTAGAGTGAAATATATTTCTTGAAAAACTTCCGTCCATAAAGTAGATGTGCGTACGTACATGAGATATTTTAAGATAATCCTCATTTGAGTCCATTTTACTTGCGAGCTGTATGCATGACAAAAGACGCAATTTCATTTCTGATTTGTTTATTATATAATTTGGATTTAAATCCAAATTTTGCTTCATTTTAAAATTCACATACTTTTCAAATAGGTGCACGGCCAAATATTTTGCGTTTGAATGACATTTGAATTGTTCAATTATATTAAAAATTAATCTCACATCGCTGTCGTTCAATTCTAAACAGAACAATGATTATATAATTTTAAAAAGCAGTTTGCATTGTTGTAACATAAACTTGTGAGGCTGATGAATCAATATTCATGTTGAAAAATACACTCAGTAAAAAATTAGGTTTGTATAGAAAATTTTCCACTTGTTTGTGTAATTTTAGATTTTTTAAATATACATATAGTTAATAACTTAATCTACGGACTGTGATGAAAGTTCCGAAAGCAAAAAATGTTACTTGCATGAAAACGAGTGTAAAAGTGTGTAAAAGCATTATAAAGTTGCAGTTTTCATTGCTTTTTCGCCTTCGATTCTATAATAAAAGTACAAAATAAAAAAATCTTTACAAACGTTTCAAAAATATTAATGCGATACAGAAAAGTCTTTTCAGGTTCTCTGTTGTATATGGTATATGAAACAGATATAGGTTGCTTGTAAATATTCATTTTTTATACTTTTATGAAATAATTGTAACAAACTTCCGAAAATTTAAAACTTTCTCTACATTAATTACATTATACAAAATAATTGTAATCAACCATTCGAGTTGTTGGTATCCAGGAGAAACAAAAATAGTTTAAATTACTCCTCTAAATGTCTAAATATTAGGGAATAAACAATTTGTCAATAATACCCATATAGCTTTAAAATACCTCATTTCGATCGCTTTTCTATTCGAGGATTTATATACTACTTATAATATTCAACCTAAACAATAATTTTTCAAGAACAAAAATTACAAAAAATAAAACAAATATTCACCTATATTTGGAATAAAAAACTTTGATTTTTCCAAAATAAATTTTTCCTGTTGTCTAGATTTTTCTTGAAGACATGACAACCATTCGTCTAAAAACGGATCTAAAAATAATAAATTATCAATTTACTGCATCCTCATATTTATATAAAAGTCTCTTTCACTTTCCGTTTATAAAAAATGTATTGAATTAAAAGAAATTATAAAACTACTGAGTAAACTTATAAATTGGCCAGTAAAAACGTTTATTATTCAAGTATTGAATATCTACCAATGTAAGCACTGTCAAAATCCATTCTTTAGATTAAATTTTCCTTAAAAATTTCGTGAGCTTTAAATGACACTTTTGCAAAGTCTTTCTACAATATTCCGAAATCACACACTATGCAAAGATTAGGCCAACGCACAATAGTTTCGCGAACGTCATTCTCGAACGCAAATCATAAGCGTTAGAAAAGGACAGAAACTATTGTTATAGAAAAAACATTTAATTTGAATTTTCTGACTCTCTTACTCTTATGTGTTACCATGACAACCTGCAGGTTAAAATTAAATTTTGGCTAATTTAACATTTTCGACAAAATAAGAAATCGACCTTTTTAAAATTCTATCAGTTATTATTAAGTGAAAATAGAAATTATGCCAAATGTTAATTCGAGAAGATAATTTTCTTTAAAAATTTAAAATTCGTTCAACTGGTTCAACTAGTGGTGATTCTACAATTGTGAATTCGCCATAATAGTCATTATGCTCTTTTCATTTTGAGACAAATCGAAAAATGTATGCATCCCCCTCCCATGTGAGCAGAAATTTACGAGATGCGCTATATTCGTAGACAGTTTCGTATCTAGGTATTTGAAGTAGTCGCAGACATTTTTTATAATCTCTCTTGTCTAGGAATAATTTGTGCTTATCGGATTATCTCGATGTGGTATTGCTTTGATCCTGAATTGTTGTAGCCATTTTCGGATATGTGAAAATATTCTGTTTGCGAATACGTACAATAAGATGCACTGTTTATTTGAAAAGAAAGAGAATGTTTGCTTCCGCATGGGAGAAACCAACCCACCGACTCGCCGAAGTACGTTCGCGAAGCTGTAAAGTTGAAAGTGCTGTTGATGTTACAAGTGATGTTTCCAATTAAGTGAGACTCTTCTCGAGGATTATAATAACGTGACTAATTGTGTTAGCAAACGCAACATTGGATTAATGCCGTGAGTTGTGGAAGCGATCGATTATGGTAAAAGTCGAATTCTTTGCACTCCAAGTATAGTTGAAAGTGTAATGGTGACATTGATGTTAGAAGTGGTGGAGTGTATAATAGAGTGTAGTGGCGTGAAGAAGTGGAAGTGGAAAGCGGCCGGCTGCTTGTTTGGCCGCTTTGTGTAATCGATTTGCGTTTCAAGCGTTTTATATAAATTTGGACGAACTCTCATTAAGCGTGAGGTATGTAAAAGATAAACTTACAACAATATAGGTGTGTTGGGTATCAAAATAATCGAGAAAACGAGCCGAGCGCAGCAGTAGTGTTGCCAGCTTGCGTTTTAAGAATGATTTTAAAACCGAGTGGAAAATGAGGGATCGTATGAGCGTCGCGTATGTTAAATTGCACCTTTTAAGTCGAGTAAAACTCATTGATAACACATGCCTCTGCATATGTGGGTCAAAATTTATAAGCGATGCCGCCTAAAGCTTTTTACCCAGAGAAGCTTCCAATTTTCTCTCCTTCAACAAGTACAGCACTTTTTGCTAAATGATAATCAGCTTTTTACAATTATTACAGAAAATTCATTTTATCATTGTTTTTACTGATTCCTTTTCGTATCAAGTAAGTTAATAAGTTTTTATTTTTTTTTAAATTTGTTTTTCTTAGAAGAAAGGATTTGAAGCCCACTTTTAGGATTACTTTTGTGATCTTAAAATAAAATTTGACTACATTTTGAGGTAAAAGAAAAAATTTACTTGTTTAAAGCTTTACTTTAAAAAAAAGTCGGTGCCACTTTAACAATGTGGAATTTTGCCCCATATGTTGTAGACAATGTGCTTTTAATTTAATTTATACTTTTAACCTATTGGACTGTAATCTTTTAAAACCAAATTAATGTAATATTTTGTTTGTCACTGAAACTTATACAATTTGGGAAAGCAGTGAAAATAATAATTAATTTGTAAAGTTAAATGAATTTTTGGGAATTAGAAATACAAAATAGAAAAGAAACCTTTTTTATTCATCAGAGAATACTTATTTGGTTTTAACATTTAAAAATGTAGAACATGTTGTGGTGGCACTACTTTATTTGCTCCCCTCTCCTAGCTATGTGAAAAATTGTTTTAATCGAAATGAGTTGTTCTGTTCAACCTGAATGACAGTTCAACTCGCAAATGGTGTGAAAAGGTACATATTCAAATTTGAGCCCAAAAACATTTCATCTCTCTTGTCTTCAATTTTCTATTGGTTTACACGGAAGGAATATAATTAAGTATTCAACCAAATATTTGAGCCTGAATACAAAATGTTCTATTCCATATTTTTATATTTTTTCAGCTGCGGTAGAATTCTAATCACCTGATTAGCATTGAGACTGCTTACTTTCGTCAGAAATGTTTAAATAAAATAAGTATTTTTAATTCAATTCGTATCGGGTTTGGTCTCAACCAATCAGGATAATTGAAATTCTACTGTATTAATTGTAAACCGAAATTTGCTTCGCGTGGGTTTTCTTGTAAATTGAATTCAAGTCCCGCTGTTCACTGAGAAAAAATGTAGAGTAAAAAAATCGGTCTTGTTAAAAATTTCTGTAACAACTTTTATGAAAATTTTATTAGAGTTTCGAAACTTACAGATATAGCTGAATAAAACTTGAACTACAAGTTTCTTAAAATTAAATTACATGTTGTTATGTAATATATGCAGGTATGAAAATAGTGTAATGTGAAGTTAATTTGTTATTGTGCATTTACTTTTTAACACAACAAACAAGAATATTAAATTTTTATAAAATATAATTTTTTTTGCTCGAAAATGAAGTGAAATTCTTAGAAACTGCCACGCACTCAATTTCCTCTGTTTTTTCGCTTTAGTTTAGTAGGGGTTCCAATATTACGGTTTGTTTAGAGGAGAACCCTATCATTTCAGTAGAGAGCCTAGCTTTATACTTATACCTGTACTCCCTTGGCGCTTTTTAATCAAGTTAATATTTACATATTTTAGTTTACGAATATCGAGTAATGTTTCAACAAGTTTTTCACTTTTACAAAAGCAAATTAAAGTTTTAAAGAATGTTGGAGTTATTTAAGTAATTAAATATTTAATGGAGTAGATGAAATGTATTCAAAGTTTAGGTACTTATCGAGCAACTTAATTTAACATTTGTTGACAATTTTTGTGAAAAAGTAAAAATTAAGTTTTTACTTGTTCATAATAGAAATGAACTTGATTATCTTAGAACAGAAAAATCTAATCGAAATCTATTTACACATGAAATATTGTACTAGTCTATTGGTTAAATTTTAAATGTATATAAACAACTTGCTATTTTTGTTATTATAAATTCAAGTTATAATTTTTTCAATTTCATGACATTGGTGAAGTTGAAACAACTGTCAACAACTGTCAACAACTGTCAACAACTGCAAAGTTGAGTTGAATTTAAACGAGAAAAGACATGAGTGTTTCATCTATTCTGTACCAAAAAAAGTTTTACTACTTTAATCAATAAGAAATACACAAAAGTGTTGATCGAAAAATTGAAAATGATTCTGCAAATCATAAAGTTTGATTTTTATTTATAGTATAAAAAATTGTAAGGTTTTGTGACACATATTAGACAGAGAAGGGGAATGTAGCCAGGAATACAAAAGAAGTGGATTTAATTGGATTGGAATAAGATAAGTTATTGATAATTGCTTGAGAAAAGAGTGCTTGTGTTGTGATAGGAGGTGATTTCGATTTCGGAATGAAGAGTGGAATGCTGAGCGAATGAAGTAAAAGCTGGCCGTGCACCCGCTCCTTGTCTCTAGGACGGGTTGCCAAGACCCTGATGAAAAATCGATTTCCCGTAGGGCACAAGGACGAAGGGGCAGAAGAGAGATGAAATTGGGGAAAATACGTGGAAAGAGAGAGATTGGTTTCTAGCTCGTTTCTGCGTAACCCCGTGCGCGCGTGTGTGGGTGGGTGGGAGTGGTGAATGGCTGATAGCCGAACTTGGCGGTGCGGGCAGTTGTAGCTGCGGAAAACACTAAACAGTAGCCAGCAGTTGCCAGTAGTCAAGAAGCAAGGCGAAGGCGAAGGCGGCGGGCAGGCCGGCGAGGAACAGGAACGTCGTTGCCGGGATGCCCGAGGAGGGGGGAGCGGAGCGTGGAACAAAGCACGATATAGGGTGAGAGGAGAAGTAATTAATGTGCGACAGCCCTCCTTACGTCGGGGCACCCTCCCCTGCCTGCTGCCGCTGCTTGCGGTCCTTTATGCTTAGCTGCCATTGTGCCGATTCGTGCGTCCGAATATCATTCCAATGCCGAACTAGTTCCCCTCGCACTTGCTCCAACTTGCGAGTCTGCAATTGCCAATGTGCATGTGAGGTTAGGGCGACACTTTTATAGTTATCGCCAGTTATCGTCTGTCAGGGACTCGGTTGGATTCGGCGAAACTCATGAGTACTTTACGATTGTAAGTACAAGGCACCCGATTGAAACCAGCGAAAACGCTGTCAATTGCCTTTGCCGAATCACTGCCTCGGAAAGGGAGACTGTTTGTTTACCTCTCGGTTGTCTGTTTTCAACAAATTTCCTTAACCTAACACTCATGCACACTTTTATTTTTATTCCCAAATGTTTAATAATCTTTTACCATGTCGAGAAATTTTTATTAATTGAGAACTTTTTTTTCCAGCAGGAAAGAATGGAAGCCATGGATCTGGACGGAGATGCTGTTGTTGATCTAAGTGTCAGGTGAGATGTTTTTTTGGTTTTTTTTCACAAATTTACTTTTTTTTCTTTTGCGAAAGAAAACGGTTTTCAATTGCCATTTCTCCAAAAATATCAATTATCTCAGAAGAAAATGTTGAAAATCGCAAATATTGTACTACACGAGTTATTTACTTCATTTAGCCATAGCAGCCACACCAATTAGTTGTCTCACTTGGTAATATTGTACCTATACACATATATTTTAGTAAAGTCTGAAAAAATCAACTTTTCATGAGAAAACATTTGTTCGTTTGTCAATTTTCACACTTATAAAAAATGCTCGATTAAAGTGCAACTTTTCGTGCAAAAACTAATAATTGTTTAAACAATTAAAAAAGCTGTTTTTTTACTAAACCAATAGGAGTATGCAAAAAAGCTTAAATCTCAAAAGAATTCTTATTCGAGCTTTTCGTTTTTCGAACCGAGTGGAGTTGTTCGAAAAGCTCCAAACAATTTCGAATACCTACTCAAGTAAATTCAAATTGCACTCAATTTTCCGGTAATTTAAAATTCTTAAATGGGTTCGCTTTTTGAAATAAAAAGAAAACTCGAATCCCTTCGAAAACTCAAAAGCAATCCAGTTCTAGAAATTTTTGAGTACTCAAAACATTGAGAAAGCCTGAGCCAAACTCGGTTGAGCTCGATTTTTTAAGGGGGTATTGGGTAGCGTATTGGAGGATATGATACAGACATAGAGTGCAGCGTGGGCTTCTCATATGTATGTAAACAGTAATATGTATGTGATTGAAAAGCACCAATACCCTTTTCGTTATTTTACCCTCTGCAAGTGGTAACAATCCCTTAAGCATGACCAATGTATGACCATTGCGCGACACATTTTTGGGAACTGCTGCGAGACTTTCAGTGGCTCGTTGTGCACCCCTGGGGTGCGCTGCGGGACTCATGTTATGCAATGGCACCCAAAAATGAGCAAAAGCTAAGCCTTTTCTTCGGTGTATAATATTTAATCATATCATGCCATTCTTGAAAACTACTTTTCACGAGCAAAAGCTACTACCAAGTGCCACCGAGTCTTGGCAGACAATACTGGGTCGACTCTTGTGGTGCTAATTGCGGTTGGACTCGGCAGACTTTAATGACTCAATATTGATGACGTGGAGTCGAAAGAGCAAGAAGGTTTCTATAAAAATTTAGGGAGTTAACGGACTCGAGAGTTGGGAGTGAACTTTTTCGAGTTAAAAATCAACTCCAAAAGAGAGTTAATTTACTAACTCCTACTAACTCCCTTCATCAACACCCGCGCGAGTTATTTATTCCTTGGGGAGTTGTTAGCATAGGGGTGTCAAGTTTTAACTCTCTTTATCCAACTCCCCTGGCATTAACTCCCCAATGGGTACGACTTTTATAGAATCCTCTGGGGAGTTATAATTTAACTCCCTTTTTTTACAGTGTAATTCAATTATTTTCAAAAATAAGAAATTTCGTAAAATTGAATAGGATTGTAAACAAATGGATTTGAAAATTTTCAAACAAGTTTTTCGAAAATTATTAAAAATAATCGATTTAAAGAAGAATTTTAGTTAAAAATTCTTGTAAATAATAATTGAATTGCAAATAATTTTATCACACGGTCATCTTTAACTATTATAAAACATGAAAAATTTAATTTATAGTTTTAAGTAAATTTGACTCGGACTGGTTATATTTTTGTCATTAATTGGTTCTTCAAGTCCGTATTTTTAAATATTTTCACTGGTTCGAGCCCTGGTAGAGTATATGGCAATGACAATTCAACAATATATACTTATCAAAATGAGTATCATACGGGGATCGTTTCAAGTTCAATTTATGTACTTGCATTTGAAAATATCAGGCCATTAATCGAATAAGTCGTTGGATGGCTCCTACATGAGAGCCCCGAGAAATTGGTACACGGATAGTCTGACCATTTTTAGGCCATTAAAAAACACTTTTCTTAGTCAGCTAATTATGAAAATTAAGTGAATTTTAATAATGGTTTCTTTTGAGTATTATTATCTTATTGCATATTATTGTCGTTAATGTAACAATTAGTATTTGAATACACTGTAAAAAAATCTTGTGTCAATTTACAATGTCCGACGCTGGAAAGTTTGGCCACTAGTCCGACGTTGTATTTTTACACGCCGACTGTAATCTACATAACCTGCAAATATTTTTGAAATAATATTTTCTATCGTAATTTTTTGTATTAATGAAATATAGCCCAAAACTTTTTGTAATATTATTATTTACTTATAAATTAGCATATACTTTCTGTAAATGTACATTATATACACTTTTTTAGAGTTATTTATAAAAACTTAAAAAATTTTTGAAAATTTTAAAGGAATAAGAAAATTGAGAAAATTACATTCGCTATGTAATTGTACAGTTCGTGCGACGTAATATGACGTAAAAATGTAAGAATACACGCAATGTAAAAATACATGTTGGACGTGTGGCCATACTTTCCAGCGTTGGACAACGTAAATTTACACAAACTTGTTAAATTACATAGTCACATTATGTAAAAATACTGTGAATAGTAAAACTACATTTTGGAACGAAATAAATTTACTACGTACAACCTATAATTTTGATGTGTGAAATTACAAGCCTCGTGTTATTCTATACCAACTTTTTTTACAGTGTAGATTACTTTAAAAATAAGCTATGGTTTCTAACAAAACCAAAAGTTTGATCGAGGCTAAAAATAATATTAATTGCGATTGAGCTTTCCAATTCAATAACTCGCTCAATTATAATGGATTAAGATTTGGATTTCCAACTGGAAATTGTTCAATTCGTCAGGTTAGCGCAACATCGTGCCTTTTCGGAAAATAAAAGTATACCTAACCGAAAATAGAAGCAAGAATCGTTTCAATTCACAGTTAATCTTTATAATTTAGTCAGTCTGGCAGCAGTATTACAATTTCGTATTAGAAAGACATTTTAATAGAAAAGTTATTCGACTAGCAATGAAACAAAATGAAAGTAATTATTTGTAAAATGTTGGACCAGTTTTGAAATTAATGCTTGAAAATTGCTTACGCAGCAGTGGCAGAAGGGACTGTCCGCAAGTGTCCATCATACCCGGCGAATTCGGGTCTCCAATGAATTTGGGAATGCATTATGCCGCCAGTCCTAATATCGAGAACAACACGTCTGAACAACGGAACATTCAGAACACAGCAAGAGGAATTCTTGCTCCGAAATCGTGCGACGACAGAAGATCACGCAGGAATCTTAGGCCCAGAATTGAGAGGAGCTACGCAGAGAGTCCAGACGAACCGAGGCTGAACGGTTATGTCAATGGCAACGCTTCTGACAGCGAAGAAGGTTTGCAATCCCAATCATTATTCATTTCCAAATCGACACTTTACGTAGTTTATAATTATTATTTTCATGTTTTTTAGGTGAAATGCCTCCACTGCTCCCGATAAAGGAGCTTTCGTCCGACGAATTGGCCGAAAGAGAGAGAAATCTTAGGAAATTGAAGGAAGAATTGCGATCTGAGGAAATGAAGTTAGTCCTTCTTAAGAAACTCCGACAATCGCAGCAGTTGAAGGAAAACATTGCGTCAGTACCGAAGATTACGAGTAAAATACCGCCTCCTGTAACTGTTCAACCTTCACCACATAGGTAAGCTATATGCGCACTTTTCGAGTCAATTTAGTTTCTATCAATTTGTTAATTTGTTTTGAAACAGCAATCTCGATTAGAGATATTATTTAGGAAACCTGGTTTTAGGTCCGCTGAATTCAAATTTAACTTGAAATTTTAAAAATGGCAAACACGAATTTTTAAATTTGTGCCGATCTTTATGAAACTTGGTTAAATTGTTTAAACAATTATTTAAAGTATTATTTCATATTTCATCTTTATCTCTTATTCATTAAGACTCGAGATTTTGCAAAATTAGGAAAAACCGACAGCTTCTTAGGTGCATTGTTGAAAAAGGTTGATGGAAAACAACAATTAATTATTCAATAAATTTTTTATAATAGTTTTAATAATAATAATGTTTAAACAAATTAAAAATTTGTTTGTATCATTATTATTATTAACAAGTAAAGCTAAACAAGTGACACGTACATTTTTATATTGGGTAGAAATCACTCCTTTTTGTGGGGGAGAGTAGAAGACGATTTTAACTAGTTTTAAAGAATGGTTTGTTTCCCACCCTTCCCCTAAAAAGTAGGAGTAATTTCTGTCATTAAAATTGTACTTTTGCTGATATGAAAAATGTCCAATAATAATTAAAAGCCTTAATATGTCGGAGGGAGTTTGAAAATAAATAATTTTGTTTGACGTCAGTCATAGAATTGGCAAAGCACCGCCACCACTGCTGAGAGGACAGCCCGCACCCAGCAGAAGCAGCAGCTTGCACGCTCCGCCGCCGGGGATGCTCCTGCCGCCCACAGCGAGTCGGAGTATAACCTCTAGTACTGGAATGCCGCCGAATATGGTGATACCTCAGCCCCCGCACCCCAGGGCAAGGCCGTCGAGTGGAGCTCCCAATGTCCCGACCTACCACTCGCCTGCGGATCGCACCGAGAGGTCTACGAAAGATCCCACTCCCACTCCAGCTCATCAGGTGCGTTTCTCTTTCTTTCCTGAGGCACGGAAGAAGAATGTTTCCAAACAAACATTCTATTCAATATTTTCGGTAGAGCGGCTCTAAAATGATAACAAAATTCCTCTTGTTTCGACCCGGGAAAAAGTTTTGCCCTTTTACATACAATTCAGCGCTCTCAATATTAACGTATAAGAACGTCCACAAAAGTTGAAAAGCTTTTTCCCGTCAAGTATGTAATTCTTTTCAATACAATAAAAGAGAACTGCAACTGCAACTACAACTGCAACAGCAACAGCAACAGGAGGCCAAAGGCAATCGGGCAGCTTTGGCCCCGTGTTACTTTTTATTTTTATTCCAAAGTCACAAAAATGGCGATATTAGACGACATTCATTGAGAGTGCCATTTTTGAGACTGTGAAATAAAAATGTATAAAAGTTGTATTTCTCAAGAATATTCTGCATTAATTTTTTTTATATTTAATCGTAAAGCAGCTTATTGGACCTCAAGAAAGTAAACCGCCTGCGCCTCTTAACACTCATACAATTCCTGAGCAGGTACAAACTTGAAATAAAAGAGAATTTTTTCTTTTACAATGTATTAAGGATTGATTAATTAAGAATTGATAATACGTATTTCAAATACCGGCTGGTATTTAGTAGTTCCAATTGAGCAATGAAAATTATTATTATTTCTTAAGGAGGGAGTTTAGTCAAAACCGCGGGTTTTTTCCAATGTATTTTTTTCGTTAAAATTGTCGGAGGAGCTCTGGAGTTTATAAAACTAAACTCGTCTAAAACATAAATCCCAAGAATTTTTGGTTAAAATATAATTTTAAAATGCGGATGATCCACAATTTGCACGCAAAAATGCGTGAAAAGTATACAAAATAATGAACAATTTTGTAATTTATTTTGCTCCAACTTTTTTTTTATAATAAAAATTCATAAATATTCAAGGTTCATCCGTATTTTACGATCATATTTTAACAAAAAATTTTTGGAATTTATGTTTTAGACGATTTTTGTCAACTCCAGAGCTCCCGCCGATTTTAACGACCCCTAGGCTTGTCACTACTATATCTATAAATATTTACATTTAAATTAAATTTTTTTTCTCAATATGTTCTTTTTTTTCTTTTTTTTTTTTTTTTTTTTTTTATGGTTTGAACAGACTCCCTTGTTAAACGTCCCTTAAAAGTTTTTCTAACAAAAATGTAATTTCAAAAGGCAATATTTCAAAAGTAATAAGTTGTCAGTTAGTTATATATATACAAACATTTAAGGAACGTTTAAAGGTGTTGTACTTTTTTCGAAATTTCAGTAGATTTAAAATAATAAAAAACAAATTTTGTGAATTAATTAAGATGTTGGTGATGCAGGAAAGAGTCAGAGAAGATAATCAAACTCCGGCTCAGCGTCAAGCAGCTGCAAAGTTAGCGCTGAGAAAGCAGTTGGAGAAGACGCTCCTACAAATTCCGCCTCCAAAACCGCCACCACCTGAAATGCATTTCGTTCCGAACCCGTCCAACACTGAATTCATTTACCTCGTTGGACTCGAACATGTTGTCGACTTCATCACCAAGGAGCCAGCGGTTCCTCCACCTCCAGAACCCTTCGAATGCACACAATGTAAGACTGACTTTACACCCGTCTGGAAGTGGGAGAAGCCACCAAATAGTAATAAGAAGGAACCCAGAGGGCAGCATGCAACTTTCCAGCGACCGCCAGCCGGCCGGGACCCCCGAGTCATCTGCGAGCACTGCGTCACGACCAACGTCAAGAAGGCGCTCAAAGCCGAACACACCAACAGGTAAGGCGAATTGGCCCTTCCTCCCCTTCCTCCCCTTCTCCGCCGACAAGAGCATTGCAATAAAACTGGCGAATTAAATTTCAGATTGAAAACGGCTTTCGTCAAAGCACTGCAGCAGGAGCAGGAGATAGAGCAGAGACTAGCTCAGGCGGCGTGTCCCAGTCCCGACCCACCAGTGGCAACGCCAAAGTCAATTCCAAAGGCGGCTACTCCCACCAGGAGAGTGGCCACTCCGCCGGCGCCACCTCCACAAATCCCCCAGGCGCCACCACCAGCGCCCACTCCGCCGGCCCCGAAGCTGCAGGAACATCCTCTGGTCAAACTGGCCGAGAGTGGAAAGTTCACTCCCCATCATGCAGCCGCGGCAGCGCTCCAGCAACAGCTGCTCAGAGGTACGACATTGGTTCACTTTTATTTCTCATTCTACTTTTACTCATCAATAACTCATGAATAACTCATGAATCTTGCAGAGTTGGCAAAGAACCCAGTAGGCTTGCCGCCTCACCAGCCACTCCCGGCGCACATGATGCAGCCCTTCAACCCTCTTCTGTACCCCTACCAGCTGGCAATGGCGCAGGCCGCGAGTGGCAAGGGCCTCGTCGAGCTCCAGAGGCAGGCTCAGGACCTCCAGCGACAATACTTGCTCGACATGATTCCTTCTCAAGCATCGCAAGCTCAAAGCAGTCAGGCTCCATCCAGAGCCCACCCCCACAACTGGAAGACGTAACTGAACGTCTCTGCTTCATTTTGAAAAGCGCTCTTTCAACTTAACAAAGCCGGAGAACCAAATGAAATGGAAGTATCGAGGCCTTTTTAGTTCAAATTACAAACTTCGGCTTTCGCCCTCAAGTCGTCCAATGGAGATTTTTATCAGGAAACAAAAACACAATATCCGAAAAGGAACAATTCCTTTCTTCCTTCAAGTGAAAGAAAGCTTGCATTGAAAGAATGCAGTTACTTAGGAAATCATCCAGAGAACATCGAGTCTTTGGAAGGCGGTGCTTCGAGTTGTGATAGGCGACAGTGACCAGAGGATTCCGCGGGTAGTGCATAATCAGGATGAGTGTGAATGAGTTTCAATTTTATCAAATAGAAAGTCTTTGTTCAGTAGGGAGTAATACGTGTGACATAATTATCCTTTTCGGTCACTGAGAGAAGAATTTCTTTAAACATTATTTCGAGTTTCATCACTGGTTTCAAACTCTTTCAAACTCTTTCAAACTGATAGACATACACGTCTATCTCTCCAATTGCTCCAAACTGTAAGTATTTTTAAGCCAAATTTTTTCTTTAGTTACTTTATTTGAATCCATTCACCGTGGCAGAAGTAAACAAAACTTGTCAAATCTCTAGATGTCGAACAAGACTGGAATATAAATACCTATTTACTATATCACATTACAAATATTTGTTGTAAAGGAATTTTCCAACTTTAAATTTTATGCCACATTTCAGTCTAGTCTCATGTTGACTTTTTTGCATTTTTAAAATTACTTGAGTGTAAAATGTGAATTCTTTGATTTTTAAATTAAAAATCAGTCAATATAGGTATTTTCTTTAGTTTCTATACATTATTATTATTATTATTTAAAAGACTGTCACTGAAGCAAATGGAGATTGGAAAACTGATCATTGTCTTCTTTTGTTTTGCGTGAACCATTTTTCATGTTAATAACAAGGCTTGAAATGAAAATGAGTTTTGCATCTTATGCGAGTGATATAATGCAAGTTGAAGTATTAAACTGTTTTAGAAACGAAAAGGAATTAAAACGTTCTTCTCACTTACGTTTAAGGTGCAACGTAAAAGTAAACATTCATTGCAGTTGATTGAGATTGGAGTAAAGCACAATTTGAATAATGACGGTCTTTGTCCAATTTTAACGCATAATGCTTAAACATTCGTGGCGCAATATTTTATATTTCTAACTGCAGAATAATTTAAAGGAAATGGTGTGATTGAGGAAATTTTTCAATTCTTTTTAGTAGATGGCTCAACATGCTGAATGTTGTTTAATTTTTCGAACCGTTATTTATTTACAATATGTCATTCATTCTTGAACTTGTCTTTCTGTTGAAATAATTTTTCAAATCTCTCGTTTCGGCATTAAAAATGAAATATAGTGTCAGAGCATCGAATAATTTTTAACGAAACGAATAATAAAAGTTGAAAAACTATGATCTGTTTTAAGGCGAAGAATAATAATGTGAAGAATACGAAAATTGTCAATCATACTAGAGTGTGGAATGATTGGACTACTGTAAATTTAATTAGCTGTAATTTATTAATTATCTTTATTTACTAAGTTTAAAAGTTTATTTAGTATAAATTGATCAAGTGAATCTTTGATGTATGTAAAAAAAGGTGAATTCGATGCTCTTCCACTTTATGATGTGAGTGAGAAATGAAAGAAAGAAGAGAAGGATTATTAATAACTGATTATTGTACCTGTAACGACTGGTCTCTTTTAAATACTTGATTCTATATAAAGACAAACAAGTAAATGCTAAATTTCAGACATAATTCTGCACATAAAATTTATACTTGTAGCACTCGTCCTATGCAATCCCTAACATTTCTTCATTGGATCATTTCGATCTGCTCGTTTACTCTTTCTTCATAAGTGTCCAATTCACATAATATTGATAATACTGATAATCTTGACATTTCTCGGTATATGATATGGTATATGAAACTGACGTAATCATCACTCTTTGTACTATACAATAGATTTCAATCTCGTAAGTACTCCTTATGAATAAATATACCGTATAAAACTACAAGCGCATAATAGATAAAGATCTCTTGGTTTGCATGACAAGTGTGAGTGAATTTTGATCGACTTCCTAAAAAGGGAGATTCAAAAATGAAATGGAAGAATGAGATGGAATATAGAAAAGAAGTTTAAGTCAGTGAAATTTTAATTAAGTAAGATTTAAAGAAATACTTGAAAATGGACTTTGTAAGAATAATTGTTAGAATTTTCTGTTTCATTTGTTTGTACACTAACCAAACTGAATAAATAATTGGAGTCAATTTATGCGCTTTTTACTTTTACCCGATAAATATTTATTTCACACGATCGAAAGAGTGTATTTACCTAAATGAGTAAATGAGTAAATGAGTAAATTACTCAGTCAGTCGTTGCGCTACTTTGGCTCCAATTCATTTGTCTCAGTGGCTAGTTTACCAAATTGAGGTCGAAACGACAAACGATTATTGTTTTATTTGTAAGGAAGAATTTATTTTGTCGATGGTTTGGGTAATCAAATGAAGCAAGTTTGGCTCAATTTCAGAAATGTCTATGTCTTTCTTTCACCCATCATTCCTAATATCCTAACTACCGGCCGTTTATATTATCAAATTATCTTAATGCAATGCTCTGAATGGTCACCTGCTTACAGTGAGACAAACAAATCAATATTAAAGAAAGAAAAGTGCACCTGCCAATTTTCAAGAAGAGAGCTTTCATTGCTTTCATTGTGACAAATGATAATAAGGAATTCCTTAGTTCGGAGCCTCCTACTCTGTAAATAAAATGGCAGATTTTAAAATTAAAATTGGTTCATTACAAGTCTCCTTCTGAGATGTAACACGTCAAATCGCAAATTATATTATCTTTTGCAAGCTGACCTTGCAACAACTATATTCAACTATTTACCCTTGAAAACATTACGCAAAGGTTAGGCTCGAAGGACATAATATTAACACATTTAGCTAAATTGACAGAGTGTTGTTAATTTTTTCTGCATTCAATAAGTAACAATAGCAGTAACCACATCAATCACTAATCAATTACAAAGAGAAGAAGGAGCTTACTCGAACGAGTTTCAAAGAAAGAAAATGATTCAAATTTTTAAAGTAAGTAAACTTATTTTTCTAAAAACGCCTCATTAAATACTATTTAGAGAATTGTCAAAAAATAAAAATTATTTAGCTACGAAGATGGTCTATGTAATTTGAATATTTCAGATTAGAAACATGCAAGTTGTGTACTTTGTATGTTTCCTGTTACACTTTGCGAAAACGAATGGAATCGAAAATAGGACTCTGGACGTAAACGCGCATGGTTTGTCAAATGACACTCAACACCTTATTAACAAAAACATCATTAAAGGAATTCAGGACCCAGATGTAAAGTCAATTATCAAATCTGCGTTAGGGAATGATTCTACATCCGAAGTGGTACTGAAGAAGAATTTGATCGTGTTTCCTTCGAATACTCCAAATTTAGTAAGTTTTAATTCAATATTAAATACTTGTACTTCAATTTCGATGAAATGAACGGAAGTCGTTTTCTTTAATCCTACTCAATTAGAACTGTGCAAAATAATCCGAACCCAACTGTTTGAAGCTTTTTGTCTTGTTGTTCGAACCAAAGAAAACTCGATTCGATTCGATTCGAATTTTGCACAGCTATCTAATTTCAATGTTTGCACATAGGTAATAACAAACAAACAAGAAGTACACAAAATTCCAGGGATGGCAGGAAAAGCAAGTAAATTGGGCAGTAATTCCACTTTTAGTGAAGTAAAAGAAGTTAATGAATTGAGTTTGGCAGAGCTGATTCCTCTGAACGAGACAATAATCAAGACAAATGGAACAGACAGACAAAAGGTACCTATATTTTTTTACTGCTCACCCATGTTTTTTGTTGATAAAATTTGATGAGATCAGCAATTTAGAATCCAATGTTTAATGTTATTGCAACGTTTCGAAATCCACGGAATTCCTCTTCAGGGAGTCTAATATATACAAAAAAACATATGTTGGATCATAATAATAAAATAAAGTAATCGAAATAGGTACTATACACTAATAAATAGACGTAAAACACAATAAATAGCTTACGCAAAATAAAAAACAGGGAAATTAATTCAAAAAGGAAAAATAATAATGCAAGTACATACAAAAAGTAAGCGAAAGGCTTGCAGGTTGTCTCACTTGCGTTTTTCTTTATTCTAGAAGTGGCATAATTAAAAACGCGACTGATATTGACAACATAATGATATTTGACAACAATATCAGTCGCGTTTTTAATTATGACACTTCTAGAATAAAAAATAATACAAGTGGAAAAACCTGCAAGCCTTTCCCCTACAATCTTACCAAATTAGATAAATTTAAGTCAAAGCTTAAAAAATTCGTCAGAAAATTTTTATTTTACGATAATTTGTTTATTGCATTTTACGTCTATTTATTATTGTATAATATTTCGAATTTCGATTAATTTATTTTATTATTGTGAACTAACATCTTTTTATTTTAATTGGTTTTTGTTGTATACAATATTAGATTAGACTCATTAAGGAATCTTTGTCTAAGTGTCTTCGTTTGTCTTATTATTCTTATAAATTAATCGGATTCTTTTAAAATTCGACATTCATGGTCGCAGTGACTCAGAAGATTCACTTAGCTTGTTGCAAAAAATAAAGTGCAATAAAAGTTAAGTAAGCTAAAATAAGATCTCCACTAAAAATTCCTACCTAATTGTATAAATGGGAATTCGTTTAGTAATTCATTAGGGATAAGATTAATGTTGTTTTGTTATACAATTTCTGAAAATGTTGGTTATAATTATGTAGAGAGTAGCTTTGATTTCAGATTCTATTCCAGTGACACCGCCATTGAGTTCAGACTTGGACACTGCGAACGATATAGTATTTAGACCTCTTTTCAGATATAGACAAGAAACGAGGTTGAGGGCCAAAAATACTTACAATCGAGAATACAGAAGATTTAATTACGGAAGGTCCAAATTCTCGTCCACCTTCTAAGCATCTAGTCTTCCACAAGAAGATGGCTAATTTCGCAGTTTAATTATCATGGAGAAGTAGCTTCCGAAGTAGCTTTGAGATGTTTAGCTAAAGTATGTAATTCACAATAGAGAATTATTTTAATCAATGAACAAAAATGTATGTCGAACCTCCACTTTTTATTCAAATAAGGTGCAAATCAAACCTAATATTTACATCAATAAAAATGTTCAATTACCTATCACTATTGTCTTATTGATAAAATGTACTAACAAAAATTACACTATATCATACGATTCGTACAAGTTTTGTTCGGTTTACATAATATTATACAATAATAAAGTATGCCATCAGAAAGTTACGCATATTGCACTTTAATGTGTATTAATTAATTAATTCAATTCACATACAAATTTACGCAACTATCATTAGTTGTCGATTATTTGCCTCATCTTACTTATAAATAGAAATAAAAGTAAACTTATTAACAACAAAAAATGACGGTCTTTCACGAATATTTAACTGATTTTGAAGTACCTACCTATATGATGAATGTTTGATGAAAATAGAACAATATTTCATTTTGCTTAGAGAATGTTAGTTTTTGGTGTGAAATTTTCAGGCAATAAATCTATTGACTCTTGAAAAAGTCATATAATAAATATGACGAGTGAAACAAAGTGTGAATGAAACGCACGTTAACGCACGTTATAGTTAACTTGGCAGCGGTTTTTAAAATTTATTCTCTAAATTTTCTTCTCAGTCGTCCGGGCAGCGTCAGTGTGTACAAAATGCTATTGAAAACGATGAGCCCTAAAGAAAATGCCAAAGATATGAGAAAATTAAAGTGGAAATTAAAGACATTTGTTTGGCTTTCCCCGTCTCTCGTGAATCGCTCGAGCAAGTAAGTTTTTCCATCCGGATATCTGCAGAGTTCTTTGTTTCCTGGGCAGCTGGTCGTTTCGTTGTAGGGCAAGTTTTGCAGTTCGGGACTGTCCAGAGCCAATTTGTTTAAGACTAATGAGGCATACCTGGCTGGCAGGCCACTCGAAAATGCAACCATGAACTCTGGCAAGTTTTTGAAACTCCTCATGGCCCCCGATGCAATTAGAAGAGAGACCAGCACGACACACAGCGCCGTGATTGCCCCGGTGAAGGGGCACTCGATCACCATCAGGAGCGCAATTGCCAGCTGCTCTGCCGCTATGTAGCTCGCCCAAAGAGTACACGAAATGTAGAACCAGGACGACAGGTTGAGATTTAAAAGTGGAACGAGGATTCCGATCGTGATCAAAGTCGAGATTAAACTGAGAGGTAAACTCAGCAGAGTATAAGAGAGGAAGAAAATGGTTCCTCCATAGAGACCTTCACGTTTTTCTTGGTAATATCTCATCCGGAAACTTGGAACTGTAAAATTAATTATAGACAATAATAGTGTTAAAGCGTTGAGCACGCTCGGAATTTCACTTTTTCACTTTCGTGTTAAGCGCAACTTACAGAGGAGGGCAGTGACTGTTATTCCCGACACGTAAAACAGGGTCAAAATGTTGAAAACTAGCCCACTGGTTTGGATGAATATTCTCGATTGAAAGGAACTCGAATTGGCATAGAGAATGCTGAGCAGTGCCGTGGAGAAGGGCAACAGCATAATCCTCGCTGCGAAATGACCTAATCCAGACTTATTCAAGGCAAATGTGGCAGCCATGTACCTTCTGAAAACATTCAAATTATGCATAACTCATTTTTATTGTTTCCAGGAAAAAGAAAGCACCAAGTTATTTAAAAGAATTCCACTCACACATATAGAGCTGTTACGGTTGAGAAGCTTCTCGGCTTGATCCCCAGACGCATACTCTTGTGCGTCATTCCCAAACGCGTCTCCTTAATACTGGTCGCGTCTTTCATGTAAACGACTCCTTCGGTTTTAAATTTTTCGACCAGGATTGAAATTTGTCTATTAGATTCCAGGAACTTTTCCCTCGACCGCCGATCAACAGTTGACAAACACACTGCGTGAGTAAGAAACAAATTGTAACGTTACAACAATAATATCATTTTCAAAATAAACGTTCAAAAATTGTAATTACAAATATATAAAAACAATTATAATAAATAATTAAGACAAAGTTTAGATATAAACTTTGTTTATTTTTATAATAATTAAATTTAATAATTATTATAAGATGGTAAGGTGTCAATTTAGCGGATATATATTTATTTTGCTTATCATCGATAAGACAGAAATCAATATTTCAAAATTAATAATTCATTAATATTTGAAAATATATTTTATTTTGTGCATGGTTTCTGAAAAAAATGAATCGTCTCTCACCGCTGGGGTATGATCCCAGAACCTTCCTATTGCCGGTAGGATGCTCTACCAATTGAGCTACAGAGAGATTCGATATCATTAATTTCAGAAACCAAGCACACGACTTAAATTAAATTTAATATTATTAACTTTATTCAGGAGTATTATTTAACAACAATTTAGGGAGAATTTTCTCGTCATTTTTTCGTCGTGGTCCGAATTAATTGTCACTAAATTGTCACCCGCTCTGATCAACAATTTTGTTCTTTTGTTTGATTTTTGGTTCAGCGAAGAGTTAGGATACCAGAAGCTTTTCCAGTAACAACGCTCCTTATTTTTCCCTTTTCCGGCGTAGGAATCGGTATTGTCATCGTTCTCTTTGAATCCTGTCTTCGTCACAAAATAAATAGTCGCATCTTAGCATCGAGTGAAGATGTACTTACGGTAATACATTAGTGGGTTTTCCAGCTCCGGGCAGGGAAATCCTATGTGCGTGAAGTAGTCGAGCATGCTCCTGGTGGGCCCCGAGTAGACCACGGTGCCCAGACAGAGCAGAGTCACTTGGCTCACGAATGGCAGAACGTCGGAGCGAGGCGTCTCCATAGTCAGGACCACTATCGACCCGCGCCTGGTCACGTAGGACCACAGCATCGACACTATCAGGTAAGTGTTGAGAGGGTCCGTGTCCCAGGTCGGCTCGTCCAGCAGGAGCAGGATGGGGTCTTTGGCAATCTGCACTCCCAGCATGAGCCTCCTGTACTCGGGCCCCGTGAGGTCGCTCACCGCCCTGCTCGCGACCTGCGAGAGCGCCAGGTCCGCCACAATCTGCCTCACTCTGGCCCTCCTGTTCTTGAGGTTGGCGAGCCACACGGCGTAGTTCAGCGTCTGGTGGACCGTGAGACTGGGCAGAAGGTGACACTGGTGGGTCACGTATCCTCCGTGCTTCCTGAACGCCTTTGAGGTCAGCAGATTGCCGCACAGCGATATTCGCCCTCTCGTCTTCCCATCCACTCTCCCTGCTAATGAACAGTGTGTTAAATTTAAGCTGCATGACAGACACTGAATAATTTTAATAGTTACCTATCACATCCAGAAGAGCACGTTTTCCAGAGCCCTTCGAACCCAAAATTGAAAGAATTTCGCCTCCATGGACTCTTGCCGACACGTCTCTCAGAATTGCCGTGGGTTCATATTTGCCAAAACTATTTCTCTCAGCAAACATCGAGGTGGAATAGAAGACATTGGAAATTTCAAGAACACAGTCTGAAGATTGCATTCCGCAATTGTTTTTCAAACCAAAATTCCAGAGGATTCTTCAAACTTTCCCACTAAGAAACCTAAACAAATACAAATCATTTTTCTCATCAAATGCGCTGTAATATCATCGAAAAAACGTGATGATTCTACCAGACAAAAGTGAGATTTTCAAAATAGCGAATCCAATGTGGTATCCAATGTGGTTGTATTGATGAGAAGTTGGTGTTTTGTTTCTTTTTTATTAATAAAATTAACCATTTATGTCCTTGTACAATTCATTGTTCTGTGTGTGTGTGTGTGTGTGAAAAAACATGATCTCAATTCCTTTTGCATGCTTTCTTATTTTTTGCATTTGGGAAATGTTGTGTGACTTTTCCAAAGTAGTGTGAATGTTCAGTGCCCCTGTTTTTATTTCACTAATAATTCGCATTCTTCATCTTATTATATTCCCAGTACTTATTTCCCAATTTAAATTTCAAGCATCCTCTTTACATTTAAAAAAGTTACTTTTAAGGAAGGATAAAGATAATAAAAGTTTGAATAAATTGCTCAATTGTATAATTTAATATTTGCTTACACCGGAAATTGGCAATCTATTAAAAACCCGATACTTTTAACTATATTGCTTCTCAATTTTGCAAACTTTGCACTAAAATACAACACGTTTCTAATTTTATTGTATTTTCAGCAAAAAAACTTTTTTAAAAAAATGTTTGATACATATTCTTCTTCTCCTAAAAGTATATACTCGCGCACTTAATTTGTTTAACAAGTAGTTTGAAAAAGGTAAAGACCCCGCAGAAAATACGTTGAAAAAAACTTTTGGTTAAATTAATTGAAATCTTCAGGAAAGACTAGCAAAATGTAATAATTATATTCTTAACCAATTTTTCCTCAAAACAAAAAGTCGGTTTACAGGTTCGTTTACTCGCAAAAAATGTAAATAGTTACTCATCACTTTTAGTTATGGGTAAACGAAACAGTAAACAACCGACCTTTTGTCAGAGAAAAAATCTTTTTCGGAATTTTTTTTTGAGTCTTTCCTGAAGCTTTAATAATAATGAACTTGACAGAAAGTTTTTTTCAAAGTATTTTGTGCGGGGTCCTTAAAAAAAATGAAATTAATTTGTTCCACATGTACTTACTTGAAAAATATATTTAAAGTGAAATGTTGTTGGACTAAAGTTGAGCATTATTTTAAAATAATGCAGTTGTCAGAGTTGTCTCGCTCCTTTGAAAGCTGAGCGAAGTGCTTCCGTTATGACGCATTCCTTCCGAACTGTTAATTTCAATATCACTTGAAGCAACTTTTAAAAGGCGTCGAACTTGCGTCGAACGAATACTCGAGTGCGCCATTCATCTATTAAAAGTTCAAATCCACGAGTTGCTGGGCACCGACAAACGAACTAGTCATTTCATTATTTTCCATTATTCGTTTCAGTCCGTCCATGGTCTGCCATAAAGTTCGCTGGAACCAAGGAAGCATGAGACTAACAACATAGTAAAGTACAAGCAGCAGATTCCTGATAGCCTCTCGGCGGGTAGAGGTGAATGTCTTCCCTTGAATTAACAACTTGGAGGGGATTCCTTCTGTTCTGAACGTTCTGATGAAAGAAGGGGCAATGCACTTTACTTGACTTTACTCCAACGTGACGATGACGATGACGATGAAGACTCTTGCAAGAAACGCAAATTTCAACATGTAAATGCAACTGCTCAAACTACACAGTGAATAAACTCTGTGACACATGTGATAAACCAATGACATTTTTTTAACTACTATTCTGCAAATTAAACTCATTTCAAGTGTATGATGTGATGAGTAAGGATTTATAAATTATTTTACAGAAGGTAAGAAATTTTAATGTACGTAATATTTTATATTCGCTGCAGAATGCGTTTAAAAGTTTTTTTTATAAATTCTTTAATAATTGCTGTAATATCATTCATTTTTTAACTCAATATATAAATGCGTTTCGTAATGTTTATTTTTACGTATAAATAAACCGAAATAAAACTTGGCAATATTGTTTTTTCTATCTCATTTTAATAACTTTTAAACATAATTTATTTTGAAATTAATACTTACCTCACACATTATTTATAACAAACGTAAATTATTTCTCTTTGTTCTCGCCTCAATCGAATGTACCTTTAATATAATTAAAAATACGTAATAATAAATACTTATTTTTGGTATTCACCTTATTTTCTTTGATTTACTATCTTATAAGAGAGTAAGCAGAATTTGACATGAAAAGAATTTCATTCAATGTACACTTAAGACCACGTTTAATTTCAGCTGAACGCAAACGCAATGAATGCCGAAACTTGGGAATTGGAAAGGCGTTACTCGGTGCCGGGAGCGCTAGACACTTCCGGCCTGACACTGCCTGCAAGTGAGGATTTGCATGCATGGTCCATATACAGGTGAGCGCAAATGGAATATATGTATATGAATTAAATGCCAACTGCCTAATGACACTCAACTGTTATTCGTTTAGACAAAACTTGAACTCGGACTTTACTGATTCAGCGCTGGGGTCAGCCGAGAAATCACCTCTTCCCTATGGAAATTTCCAACTTCGAGATTCGACAGTGCAAAGCATTTTGAGACATCCTCGGTACGGACCAAAGAACCACTTAGCCAGCAACTCTTACACCTATTTGAAGTTTGGACTGCCAAGAGTGTTGCCACCTTCGAGAACACAGGACTCCAGCGATTGCAATTCCAGCGAGGAAGGTCGCAGGACTTCCCAGATCGGAATTCCAATTTCTCACTACAATACAGAGATGAAATCATCTCGAAGTGATCCTGACTTTAGGCTCATTCACTCGAGTGAGAACGTCCTCTCGCCGCCGACTGTTGGAGACAATTTGAGACTCAGATGTGTCAGCGAGGCCAATCTCCTGCTCGCGGAGAAGGCGAATAGACGATGCAGTGTCGCACTGACAGGTCCCCAAAACAGTTCTGGAATTTTGAGGCCCAAGAACAACACTGCCGTCTTCAGACCGTCGCCATGTCTTCAGCATCCCCACCTTCAGTTTCGCAGAATCGAATCCTCTCGGTCCGACGGGTCAGTCGTTCTGAGCGGAATATCTTTCGAAGCCGGAGCAACCGATATTCTTGCCATCATGGCCACCACTGAGAAGGACGGCACTGCGATTATGGAGACAGTTTCTGGACGGAGAAGAATTCAAAGTGGAGACATCTTACTGAATGGAAGATTAATTTCTTCCCGGACTTTAAGGTTCGAGCGCAACATTTTAAAAATTTTTTGTCTCTTTAATTGTCTCTTTTATTGCAAGAAACCACGCGAATTCTCATTATAAAATGACTTAAACTTGCAGATCACGGGTGGCTTACCTGCCAGCAGAAAGTAATTTGAATCCAGATCTGACAGTTCAGCAAGCATTAAATTTTTACATGTTGCTTAAAGGTGGCTCGAGAATGTCTTCTCTAGACGCAGAAGCGATTCTAGGAGACTTGGGATTGGAAGCAACCAAACATTGTTTAGTTGACACCCTAACAGCATCAGAAGCCAGAAGACTTGCCTTAGCTTGCAGACTGTTGCAAGACTCTCACATTCTTGTCCTAGATAAACCAACTCACGGACTCGATATTTTCGACGCCTTTTTTCTCATGGAGTACTTGCGGCAGTGGTCAATTAGAAAACAAAGACTCGTTATTCTCACACTCCAACCTCCAACTTATGAAATACTGACGATGATATCGAGAGTGACTCTTACTTCGGGAGGAAAAATAATGTATTCGGGAGCCAGGAGAGACATGATTCCGTACTTTTCTCTAATTGAATTTCCATGCCCGCCTTTCAAAAATCCCTCCGACTACTACTGTAAGTAATTCTCAAGATTATTATTTTATTCTTCATGATGTAAACTTTATAAACATGTATTTGATTGCATCTGCAGTAGACTTGGTCACGCTGGACGACTTATCGACCGAAGCAATGTTGGAATCATCGCAGAGAATAGATCACTTGGCAGAACTGGCCAAGGCCAAATTGCCGCCTCTCAGTGAACCGGGCATTCCCGGAGCTTTGCCTCCTTCCAACACTAATGCAAACGTATTTCTGCAAATTTATGCCCTATTTGCAAGAGCTTTAATTTACAGTCAACCTTGGTCGCTGACAAAGTTGATCAAGAAAATCGTCATATCCGCCACATTGAGCATTATTCTCGGCGCTGTCTTCTGGGACGTAGCGAACGATTCCAACGTAAACCTAAGAGATCGAATTGGCTTCTACTACTCAAGCTTGGGAATACTGCACTGGCCTCTTATCCTAATTTCCATTAGAGAAGCTATTAAAACCAGGGTCAAAGTTGAAAGAGAAATGAAAGATGAACTATATGGGAGATTGGTCTACATTACTGTCAAGGTAAGTGTACAGAGAATTTGTTTATTCTTTAATCTTTTTGATCAATCAAAAGTGTCATTCTAAATTCCAAATTTAATTCCTCTCTCAGCTCCTCTGCAATATTCCCTCCTGGACTGTCGTCTATGCAGCCTACTTAGCTCCAGGGTATGCGATGTCGGGGTTACATTTGCCAGCAAAGGAAGAGTCTTTAAATATAGTGTGGCATTATTTCCTCACAGCAATTATTTATTTATTGCTTCTCCACCTGATCTGTCTTTTACTGTCGCATATTTGTAAATGGACCATTCTAGCAGTTCTGACTTCTGGTTTCATCATTGGACAGCTGAGTGTAACTGGAGGGGTGACTCTTCACATAAAAAACCTACCATTCTGGTACTTGGAGTATAATCCACTTCGTTGGGTGCTTTCAAGTCTTTTGTCTCAAGTCTATGAAGAAGAATATTTGAAAAAGTTAATCAAATGCGAAGGCAAACAAATTCAACAACACGACATTATCGTCCAAGAAAATTGTGACACTCCTACGATGTCTATCGGTGTTGTAGCTTTAAAAGAAATTTCACTAAATCAAGTTAGGAGTGACATACTAATGTGGTTGGGAATTTCCATAGCAGTAACAACAGCTGTCATAATGATAACATTTTCTCTTTTCAAGTTCGCAACTCTAAGAAAAACAAGAAATACACTAAATAAGCACTGAGAATTGGAAAGACGCACTTCCACTATACATATACTTATAGGCGCTCGTCCGCAATTATGAATAATATGTAAAAATATAGATTTTTCAAGTCATGATGATAAAGTGATAGCAATAAACTAATTTATTTGACAATGACGTTTTGCTTCTGCAATCTTTTTTTCATTGACATATATATGAATAGAGACACTATCAAAACGATGCACACAAACTTTCTTGTAGAAGCACCATGATAATGAAAAATGAACTACATATACATATATATATATATAAAGGTGCGATTTCTTTTTATAAATTCCCTTCAATTGTCACGCCCTCGTGCTGAATAATTTTCTTTTATTGAAATGTTTAAAATTAAGAATATATATATTATATTTTCAAAGCATTAACCTTTGTACTTGAAATCAATGTAACTCTAACACGTGTCGCAATCAATCGAGGGGTCAACTATTCTTATCATATAATACAATGCTCGAGGGCTTACCTGCGAATCTTTGATTCATTTTTCTACGAAATTTAACCCTCTTCTTAAAATAATGGGCTGTTGCTCTGAAAATGGAATTTTGGTGGGTTCCCGCAAAACCACCGTTTTGCGGGACAAATCAGTCTTGTAGCAGCCCGGTTCCAGTATCTATCGTCAGTCTAAAATTCGTCGTGAACCTGTCAAGTACTTTGTCTGTGCGTGTTAAAGTTCTTCGTTACCAGTAAACAGTGAACAGTGAACCACATCTTTATCTACAAGACTCTTGCACGGAGCACGGCCTTGCAGTATATCTTAATAATATACTTAATAAAATAGTAGTCAGATGTGATTAGTGCAAGAGACAACATTCAATGAGCTTATTAAAATTAAACTATAATATATAAATTTATTAGCTTTAAACTCCCTACATTTGAAACCTGCTTTGAACATTATACTATGTACAGACATGTAAGTAAAAAATCTTATCCCTTAAGTCATCCAAATATTTACGTATACTTTCGCACTTGTATTTAATACTGAAGTACCAAAGGTGAATACTTTGGTTGGAGTTTGCCAAAATTAAAAAGAATTAATAAAAATAGAAATCTGTAAAATTGCAAAGCCCATTATAAAAGTACTCTTCTTTGGCACTTAGTTAATATCAATAGTTGAGTCATGGATCACTTGAATTTTCAAATGGCACACTTGTTCCGAGTACCATATAGAACTTTCAGTTCCGGCACAATAATCTTTCTTATCAACTGATTAGTTTTGGCAGTCAACATATCTCGTCTTGCGTCTTTTTTATACACTTTAATTCCAGGTCGGTGAACTAGAAAAGCGTTGTCCAATATTAGAAAATCGTAATCTAACACACAAAGGGCGTATCCCTGAAAAGCAAGACAAAATTTTATTTTATTTTATCAATTTACTCAATTTACTCAATTTACTCAATTTACTCTCAAGAAAGGGAATCATAGATTTCTTTTTAATATTATAATTATGTCAAATCGAATTGAGTTTTTATCGAATATTTTTGACGTAACTTTGTGTTAACCCCTTAATTTTGTGTTTCACCTCTAAAGAGACCTCTAAAGATCTGGCTGGAAATTCTCACTCGGGAGTTACTTCTTTAAAGTTTGTTTTGTTTGCTGTGATTTTTCTATTGAAACACTAAATAATTGTATTTTCAAACATTCATTCTGGTCTTACACTGAAATAAATTCAGTTTTTCATTTTTAAATCAAGTTTTTTTAATTTAGTTTTGCATCGACACGAAACTAAATTCAATTTGTTAGTTTAGTTTTGTATCAACTCAGAAACTGAAACGAAACTAAACTTTCCTGACGGTCCCTGATACGTAGTGTATGGTTCTTATGCTGTGCACAACAACTTAATAAATGTTAACCCGTGCCACCGAAGGGTTAAAGTTTAAATGAGATTCGACATGGGTTTAGTGCACTTCTGCAAACTTTGTGTCACAACTTTTCTATTTCTCAACAATGTGAACTGTGGCTATGCATTTTTATGATTTTGGATGCGCCGAACACGAATCTGATGTCAAAAATTACTTCTCACAATAATGATAAAAAGTCTGATAAAAAGTTGACAAATTAAAAAAAAATTAAAATTTTAATAAATTTTACATTTAGGATTTATAAATATGACAGTTTTTTTTTATAAATTTCAATTCATATATTTAGAAATTCAATACATGTGGAGCAGATAAAAAAAACCGTCAAATTATATAAAAAGGGATTTCTTAAGGTCAATTTATTTTCATATATATAAATATATGAAATAAATGAATAATAATAAATAAAAATTAATTTAGTGATAATTAATTTGAAACTTCTGAAAGAATACGAACTGAATTTTCTCAAAAACTTGTTGAAATTGTCAATTATATAAGTTTGATAGCTTGTAGCTGTTAGAAGTTATTTTTGACGTTAGATTCGTGTTCGGCACATTCAAAACCATAAGAATGCATAGCCAAAAGTCACATTGTTAATAAATAGAAATTTTGTAATACAAAGTTTGCAGAAGTACACTAAACTCATGTAGAGAGAAAAATGAGATTCTCGCGCATCATCATCAATAAAAATAATATTATTCAGTTTAATTTATAAATAAAAAATGATACCTGTGGCATTTTATCACTTCTGCCCTCCCAGCTAAGCCTCTCATCATAAAGTGGATCATTATTGGTTCCTATAAAAATTGGTTCCCAGTGAACGAAAGTACCTGCTCTCTTTCCCACGTGAAATATATTTAAACCTTCCGTTTCTGCTGCTTCTTGCCACTCTTTACTTTTTGGTATGTTGTGGCATCCAGGACACACTTTTTTGTGAAATGGTATTGCTTTTCCTGATTTTAACATTTGCAACTGAAAAATACATACATTTCTATGAATGTCTACAGTCTGTATGCACCGAATGATAATAATTTTTCATTTTTTCAACAATGAATACCGTCAAATCTTCCATTTGATAACTTTATACAAGAATCTTTTGTGCTATAAACCTCCAATTGTGTAAGTACAATAGTGTAGTGGTTCTTATTTTGGAGAAGTTCATAGAGAAAGAATCAACAGAATCGACTAAAATTTCAAATGGTAAACACATGTATAATTTTTTAATGAAAATCACCAATATTTTTTCAAGTTCATAAAAATTTACCAACAATTCTTAAACTCGGCATTTTCGTGATACATGGTCATATATGTTTGAAATAAAATTTTTACAAATCTATATATTGGAAATATTTTCTTCACTACTTACAAGCTTGATAAATTTCTTTAATACAAGAGTAGATCTGCAGTTGACCGTATACACTACGAACAAGTTTTGGATACTTTTTTAGCAGGGATGGCCTCACTATACATATACCTATTATATTCCTGATAAAAAATATACAAATCTTCTTCGTAGTGTAAACGGACAAAAGCAGGTATATTAATATAAATTTTGATTAATTTTCCAGGTGGAGACTTTTGAACTTTGCCAAAATAAGAACACTAACAAATAATATGATTATTACCAGTATTGTCTTATTGGTAGGCGGTTGAGCTGTTTTAGTTACTTCAAAAATAGAAAGTACGAAAACTTTAGGATTTGGTTTCGAAAGCGAAGGTTGATTTTTTCTTCGAATCATTTCCAAGAACTTTTCTGGTAGATTCGGACTAGGATAAAGTTCAATGTCACTTGCGAGTACGTAATGCGTTACAGCTGACTCTCGAGCAACGTTTCGACCCAAATTCACGGGATAAAGTAATCTCTTCTCAGTTTTATATAGTTTGGAAACGGAGACATTGACCCATGGAGGCGTCAACGAACAATTGTATTGTTCCGATATTATCTTATTTCTCGAAGGAATCTGCAAAATGACAGTAATTGTACACTAGATATTACATAATGTGTGCGAAATGGAGATTTAATAAGGTTGAAACAAACCGTTTTCGGCATATGCTTGCTGCTGAAGTATATGTGGAAGGTGACCAGCTGGCTGACCAAAGGACTTCCGCAACTGCGAGCGTACTTGATGGAATCGATGGTTGGCTGAAAGTCTGTACCAGGCGCATGGAGAGCTATAGATATTGGGGCTCTCCACCGATCGAGCAGAGGCTCCAAGTTGTCGAAGAAGGTGTAGTCAGCGTGCGTCGAGTAGGTGACGCTTTCCCAGCAGTGCACGAACATATTCATTGGCACGTAATTATAGAGAACCCAGTAGTCGCCTCTTTGGGATATTCGGGGCTCCATAGACTTTTCTCGGCAAGGTATTGCCTCTTCAAGTGAAGATGACGAACGAGTCTTGGCTCGAATCTGTAAAATGTAAAACAGTTGAAAGTTTAATTCAGACATATGCTGAAGAGATGTCTATTCACAGGAGAGCAAAAAATTTAGTTACCGTTTCATTTTGATGATCCGTGTTATTGTCATTTAATTTGTTTTCTAAATTTGTCTTGAGTATTTTCTTCTTCTTCTCTTCGGGAAAATGGTTCGCCGACTTCTGAACTTGCGAAATATCTTTCTTGAAATGATTTGCAGAATGCTTCTCCTTGCCGCGAGAAGAAATAGTTGAGAAAGGCAAAGACGAATTGGAAACGTTTATATTATCTATAAATGCTAAAGGCTGAATCTGATTGAGACTCCAGTTGCTTGGCGTTTCGTCCACCCAGGGTCCGGGTGTCGTTCGGTAATAGACGCAGACATAAAGAATAACACATACATTAAAAACTAGCGACAAACGAAGGGACCAATTCAAACGTCTTGTTCCACCTAACATGTCAGTGAGTTTCTTCAGGTTCGATTGCAATAAATTTTCGAAAATTTTCGAAAACTTTTAGTCTTTTTTTTCTACTTTTTTCCTACTCTTTTTCCAGCACCGCCACCGCCTGTTCTTCGTAGCGGTATCGATTCTATTGGTGGCTTGTTCCACGACGTGAGTTCTTACTCTATTCTTTAATAATACTTATTCACCCAAAATCTCTGCTAAATACTGTCAATGTTAAGTTAACTTAAGTGTTTCGCAATACCTCCTTATTCTAAACCATCTTATCAATCTTCCATTATTGTAGATCAGTAATTCAAAACATAAATAATGCATTTAATCTCTTCAGTTAACGCTTCTCGGTTGTTTAGTCCTGAAACATAAAAGTATCAACATTAATCTTTAGTTTTCATATAAAACACTTCTTTATAGGTTAACATTACTGCGATGAATCCAAGTAATAATTTATAAAAATATTTCACTTTAGGGGAAAAACACAGAGGAAGCTTCCTTGAAAATTGAAAATATTTACATAAAACGAAGAACATAAAATTTGTTGGAATTCTCTGAATGAATTGTTTTCTATAGACAGACACTTTTAAAATTATTACAACATCAAGAATTACATTCTCGATTTGCGATTGATCATGATATTAATTCCACTTGCGAGTAAGGAGAAAAATGATGCAAAACTCGTTTTAAAAAAAGTAGAAAAATTATTTAGTGCCTTAAAATTTATATTTAATGGCAATTTTCGGATTGTGAGCACCTCAAAAATTCATGTTTTCTAATTTCAAGAAACTTAATCGTTTTGCGACTGCCTTCTAATAAAAATAGTTATTTATGATACAAGTGCGTAAAATCGTTGATTATACGAGTGTGACGTTTGCAGCTCGAGCCGAAGGCGAGTGCTGCAAGTCACACAAGTATAATCTGATTTACGCACGAGTGCCATACGAAATTTTTTGCAACACTACAACAACTAAACTTGCAGCAATATTGCCAATATTACTGTAACTTTAGGTGTAGTGGGGAACTGTTAAATGAATTTTTCTAGAAGCTAAAATAAAAAAATGTGATTGTAAATTGTTAATTAAAAGCATTATTTCATTGTTTCTCATCAAACAGTCACAAGAATGCGTAAAGTAACCTTTTTACGCACTGAAAATCACTTTACACACTGGAATTCACTTTACACACTGCTAGCGGTGTGTAAAGTAACACTTTACACACCGCTATAAAAAGAAGTACTTTACACACAGTTTTCTGTGTGTAAAATTCAATTTTACAGGTTAGTGTTGCAAAAATAAAATTTAAGAAATTTCAAGAATTGAGTTAAGAGCGAAATCTTCCTGGTGGATGTTTATTCGGAGAAATGAAAATTCTGACAATTGATCTTTCGACATTTTAATCAAAATGAGAATTCGTGGAAAATGAAGAATCTATTAAATGAAAATTCTGAAACTTAAAAATTCGACTTGGTAGAAATTCTACATTAATTATGGTTCTTATAAATATTTCAAGTATATAAAGTTGGTTAAATTTTTCATATTACAAATTCGATTACATAAAAATTCCAAGTAAAAAATCAGGTAAATTTAAGGCGAAATGAATGAAAATTCGAAACAATGAAAATCAAAGATAAAAGGAAATTATGACAAATGAAATAAAAATTCTGCCTAATGAGTTGTATTCATGCGTGCCCTTTTTTGTGGACTGTCTTTAAAGCACCTTTTGCAGTCTTATAAGGTAATTGTATAAGGTCTCTGATGGGTAGCGAAAAACTTGTTAAAAAATGTTTGTTACTAATTTCACTTCAGTTAAAGTTAAAGCAGTCAGTGTCGTTTCTGTTGGGCGATAATCGGAAGTAATCAAGAAATTCCAGAGAAATTATCGAAAGTCCTATGATTAATAAATCTTTTTAATTAATAAACTTACTGAGTAACTTTCTTCTTCTTGTGAACGTCACTGAAAGCCAGTTTGAACTTTAATTAAAAAACGATTACTCTGTTAAATTAATAAAAGATTATGAAATCGTAGAACAGTGATTGAAAACTCATTACATGAAGGAGATCGCCAGATAACTTGAAATAAAAGCGGTTTGTTTCCTTTTTTGTTGCTTAATTGAAAAAATGGAAAATGTCATAAATCGCAGTTTGGCAAATTAAAAAAATCTGCCCGCCTTACGGCTAACAAGATTACTTCCTCATGGAAATAGAAAGATCCTAAAGTTCTGAACGTTCAAATGAAGGAAATTTATTTATTTCCTCTACAAATTAAATTTTTATTGCAATTATTTTGCGTCACTATCCAAAAATTTAATAACTGAGTTTCTAACCGTAAATATTTCACTTTTTAAATTTTTTGTGATTAGTAATATTTATAAAAATATCTTCAATAAAAAATATTTCGTTCATTTGAACGTTCAAAACTTGGAGATCATGAAATAGAAACATAGGAAAATAGGTTTCTACATCTGTCTACATACACCCATCTAAAACCAATTTTTTTTATCATTAGGAGCTCTCAAAATGTAAAGAATCACTAGAATTAGAGTATGCTCAAAATCGCACAAATCGAATGCTTAAAAGTTAAAAAGAACAAAGTCCATATTGCAAATGTGGTCTCGGTGGTGATAAAACTTGTTACTGTCTTGAATCCATTTCAAATCAGGCAAGTCGACTAACTTCAAGTTGTAAATTTAACTGTCAATAAAATGTCTCATTCCACGTATAAAAAATAAAGAGACACGTATTTTTTATTTTTCCTAAAAACTATTTTTACCGAATAAAGATAAAGTTATGCACATTTCAACTTTGAGTGGTAGAACTCAGAAAAAGAATTGTTTTATTTGTAATTTTTTTTTTTTTTTAATATAAATGTACGGTAGCTTTTCCTCTTTAAAGTACTGTTTAAATTTTGTAAAAAGCTTAAAAATTAACGAAATAGGGAAAGATTTGCCGAAAATAAATAAGGTCAATTTTCTTATCAACTTTTTACCAGAGATTCTTAACATAATGAAGAACAATTCATATTCGTTTCAAGCGGCTAAACCTTTCCGACAGCCAGGAGAATTTTCTTTCAAAATATTTACTGTTATAAACTTCCAAATGAGAATATAAAAATTATATTTTCAAAAAATGTTAATTTACATTTAAGGTACCTATAAAAAATATTATTGTTGATGTCAGAAAGGTTTAGCCCTCTTGAAACCTATATAGGAATTGCTCTTCATTATGCTGAGAATTTCTGATAAAATGTTGATAAAAAAGTGGTGATTGTAAAAGAGAAAAGTAACCTTATTTATTTTCGGAAAATCATCCCTCATTCCTATAATTTTTAAGATTTTTACAAATTTTAAATGGGATTTCGAAGAAGACGGGATCATCTACAAGAGCCAAGAAAACCAATTCCATTAGATTCACTGTTTTTCGAAATTTCTAAACCACTGAAAATTTAAATGTGCATAACTTGGTGGTTAAAAACAGTTTTTAGGAAAAATATATACATATACAATAATATATTTTAGCAACATGTAAATGTATGACTTGAATTATTTTGTCGACTTGTGTGATTTAAAATGGATTCAGTCTACTGACAAAAACAAAAACACTAACGTAAACAAATTGAAATATTCCCTAAGGTATCTAGAGACAAGGTCAAAAATATACTTATTTATTGAGCTGAATAAAATTATACAAGGTAAAGTGGCTTGTTTTTTCCTTGGGAAAACAATACTATCCGTGTTTATTCGAAGAAACTGATGGATGACTTTCGACCTTATCTTCAATTTTATTATCTCTCTAAAAGTGATAGTTCTCTATCTAAAATGATTATTTTAGGTGTGTCACCAACCTAAATTATTTTCTAATCTTTTCTAAAAAATGAAAAGACTCCCTTGACATTTGACATATATACATTTATTACGTATATTGCAGCTTAAAATTAAAATATGCCTACTTTTATAATATAATATGAAATTAAATTAAATGATTATTTAAAGATTGAAACTATTTAGCTACAACATAATTTTCACCCGCCGGATTCTATATTATGCACTATTAATTTACAGCAATGTAAAAGTTAATTAATTTAAAAATAAAAATTTCTGCAAATCGTTTTCATAAAAAATGAAATAAAATGTTTCTACTTTCATTACCATTCAAAGATGTATCAGGTGTATTGTAGCAGGTGAATTATACATAGGTAGCAAAGATTATCGTCACGCGTGAAAATGTGTAATATACATCTACATACCACTTGTCACTTGAAGTTAGAAATTTTATTGCTAACAAAACAATCAACACGGCAGTGACTTGGAGAGGCAGTATCCTTTTGTAAAATAAAAAAACAATCACAACCTAGAAAGGTGCACAGTCAACGTATTATTTACATCTGCAGCACTTGTCAATTTCTCCTTATCCATTAATGTTAGTTTTTCATCTTAAAATTCATTTAGAACACGACACGACACGTTTGTTTATAATTCATCCTTGAGTACTGCAAACACAGAGAATACACCGCTGTCTGCTGAGCGAAATCAGAGAAACAGGTAGATTCAAGTTGACATCATGTTGTCCTTCTTTGACAGATTCCATTAAGGTGAATACACTCGAGTGCGCAGCAAAAGCCAAAACAAAATAGATTTTTAAACGGGAACGACGGAACACAATCATAATGGTGCGGTCACAGCTCGCAGCAATGGGAGTGAAAGAGTTGGACAATTGGAGTAAACGAGAAAGAAAATATTATTGCTGCTGCTTACGGCTTACCCCATCATCAAACCGAAAGCAGAATTTTATTATAAGTGGGAAAAGCCATCTACTATCCTTTTTATACGAATTGCCGAAAACCGATGAAAAAAGGCCAAAGCAGAATAGAAATGTGGTTACGTTTGTTTACGTAAGAATGAGTTTTAGGGAAAGATAAGTATATTGTTTTTTTCTTCTCTAACTCATTCTTCCATTACGATTTACGACACGGTTACATTTCTATTCGCTTTGGCCTAAAAGGTGGTTGTAGAAGAACCCTAATTAAGAATATTATCGCTAAATACACTTACAAATCTTACAAATATTCATGTCAAGCAACAGGTGTTTTCGGTTCGGAACAGTGCTTTATGGTGCTTTACAATATCTTTACTAATTTATGCAGGTAATTATTACAATTATTGTTTATATTCAAATATACATACATGTTCAAAGTTAGATATTTAAACAATTATATTTATTTCATATCACCAAATTTTGACAAATTTCAAAAAGTCTTTTAAGTTCTCTATTTTCAAAGATCTGTTTTCAAAATTATATCTGTGCTGATCAAATAACAATAATATTTTTTTAAAGCATTAAACATTCTAAAATGTAATGTTAGTTTTTATAATTTTCTCTATTGTGGACTGGATTTAGGGTATATAATTTATAAGTGACATGTGTATCGATTATTTTAATTGATTTGCTGTCAAACGAAATGTATATATATTGAGCAGAGTATTCGAAGGACCTGTACATTTTTAAGCAGACGATTGACAGGTTGTAAACAGACAGGCACCACAGTCAATTTTGCTCATTTCCCACATTTTTTTTAAAAATTTCACTCCCACTTATCTTTTTTTTTATTCTTCTCTTCTATTATATTCATTTTATATAATTTTTTCTATTCAAGTTTTATTTTTTTTTAATAATTAGAATTTGTTTTATATTTCTTTTAAAAAACAGTCTTATATTAATTATCTATATAAGCTTTATGTGAGATTATTCTTTCTATGTTATATTCTCAAAAAAAATTTATACTTTTTAAATTCAAAATAACAAGAATGAATAATTATGAATAATATATATACTGAATATTAATATTTTATAAAAATGCACTCGTCTGTGGGGGATTCTCTGTAAAACGTACACCCCCCTCTGCCCAAAATGAGTTTAATAAAAATAAAAGACCATTCAAAAAGAATGGTCTCTTATTTTTAAACCCATTTTGTGTATTTGTATGAATATACATATAATAGATTTAAAAATGTTCAAACCCAATTGAAAAAAGTATTGGTATTTTTTTGACAATAAATATTTTTTTCTATACATGTGTACATCCGCATGAAACTTTGGCACTATTGAACATTATCTATATGAGCATATTTTTTATTACATTTTCAACACTTTGAGCTGCCTTAGTAGACCCCTCTAGGTGGGAAATTCGCCGAGTTATAGAGATTCAAAGTTAGAAGTGCAAAAAACTTAATTTAGAGAAAAACGAGTTTAAAGTTGAAATCTGCATTAGTTCTCTTGTTAACTAAAAATTAAAGTTAAGATTATTAGTTGTTTTCATTACGATAAAGTCATTGTAGACGCATTATTTACTGTGGGACACTTTGGGGTTTGGTTTCCAACAATAAAAAAAAATCAAAAGTCTGAATCACTTTTCGAAGGTGGCGATTATCTCCTAAAATAAAATCGACAAAGTTGCTCCTTTTCATGCGAACGTACATAATATATTAAGAAAGCCTTTCAGGATTATTTACAACATTAATTATTTCAATTAGATTCTTTGTGATAGTAACGAAATTTATTAATTATAGTTGCTTAAATGTTTTCTCAAATGATGTACTAATCTTATTAAGAAATTAATAAGAAAATAATTTTAGATATGATTCAATAGAGTACCTAAAAATACTATCAAAATCTGAAATTTAAAAATTTTACTTAATATATAATAAAGGGATGCAATAATAAAGATGAGTGAGTAAGACATCACATTATCATTTCTTTTGTAAAAAGAATCGTACTGTCATATACATATAAGCTCATACTTTTCGTAGATAAACGTAACGTTTAATCAGTAATTCTTCAACAATGCAGAGATAAAGTTTCTAGCTTCACATAATCACTGTTTAAAAAAATACTATTTTTCAATTATCAAGTGACGACTGACGTGTCATAATGTGTAAGGCAAATTTAATAAGTGTAATTTTACTCGAACGAGAAACCCAGTAGAAACAGCACAGTAGATTATACAATATAAATTATATTTTTAAAAGAAAAAGTTTAGTTTCTTACTTTATTTGAACTTGATATTTATCTTCAGAAATGCCGCTATTCAAACATAAAGCTTCATCTAGAACTCCTGAGATGGAAAAGACAAACAATGTGACTGGTCAAATTGAACCTAATAATATTAATATCGGCAATCAAAGCAATGTTTCACGAAATAATTTAGAGAGTGAGCACCAACCACTGGAGTTCCATTGTCAAATGGCTCACGGCAGTTCTACAAAATTAATTTCTGGTTTTAGTAACGTACGAGAGCTCTACCAAAAAATTGGAGAATGTTATGATATACCTTCAGAAGAAGTAAGTAGTGCAATTGATTTTCATTTTTGTTTATTCACTTGACTCTTTATTTAAACAATGGAATAAATTATTATTTTCATTATTCCCAATTATTTGGGTAAATGAATTAGTTGTCGCTTTTAAAGTTACGTGTTATATCGCGAGGTTAATTAATTATTACATCAAAATCTACAAGTGATAAAAAGTAAATGTAAGGAAATGATTTAACATTTAATTAAATGACAATTTACTTCATTTTTTATTTCAGATAATATTTTGTACTTTAAATACACATAAAGCCGAAATGTCACAACTACTGGGTGGACAAATCGGCCTAGATGATTTTATCTTTGCTCACCGAAAAGGTACTAGAGTAGGTTCAAACAAAGGCACTAGAGGTGGAAGTTTAATATGTATTATATGAATTACAAGACAATGAAATGTTTTAAAAATTTCAATAACTTGCAGGTCAGTCGAAAGAAATTGAGCTAGTCAAGTCTGACAATGCATTGGGTCTTACAATTACAGACAACGGCGCTGGATATGCATTTATTAAACGAATAAAAGAGGGCTCCGTAATTGACAAAGTCAAAGTTATTGAAATCGGCGACCACATTGAGAAAATTAATTCCACCAATTTAGTTGGAAAACGGCATTTTGAGGTTGCTAAAATGCTCAAAGAAATACCGAAAGGTTCATTATTTACTTTAAGATTGGTTGAACCTTTAAAAAGTGATTTTGAGGGCATTGGACCAAGAGGGGATTTCAAGAAGAGTAGGAAACCAATTATTAGTAATTCAGGAAAAGAAACTCTGAGATTTAAGGCTGATGGTAGCGTCAAAATAGAGAAAATAGTACGTACGTTTTTATCTTCTATCACTCCGCTCTTTATCTTAATAATTTTAATTATACTCTGAATTATTTTTCACCCTAGAACATATGATTTTTTAGAAAAATGAAGACATCATGACACTTGGCGTTGAAAAAATTAATACGATTTTAGAGAGTTTTATGGGTATAAATGATACGGAACTAGGTAATTTAGTGGTTATATTCACCAAGTAAACTTTATTAATTAACAAAATTAACAAAATTAACAAAATTAACAAATGTGTTGTTGGTATTAATTTGTCTTATTTGAAAATTTCAGCTACAAGAATTTGGGAATTGTCAGACAGAAAGCGCAACAGCATGGAGTTTGCGGAAGCAATAGATAATTCAGACCTAGAAGCTTTTGGTTTTACCGACGATTTTGTCATTGAATTGTGGGGAGCTATAACCGACATAAGATCAAATAGACATATATGACAAGACTAGACGAATGTATTGCTATTGCAGTTGGTCAACTTTACAATGGTGCTTCACTATGCCAATGCCATAAAAGCTCCTTAAAGCTTACATGCTGAGGCGATAAAACCCGTCCTTGTGGCGGAGCACTATACATAATATAATATCCAGTATAACTACGTGTAAACTCTGTATAGATGTAAACAATTCAAGCCTACATATTCGCAGATAGAAAAAAAGAAGAGAGCGCACGTTTGCGTCAACTTTGCAATAAGAAAACTTGGTGCAAGTACAAAATTGTCTGCATTTTCAGTTGACTGTATAAGAAAAACATTAATTTCAAGCCATGTACATACAAAAGTTTGAGTATATGATGCAGACAATTTTTTGATAATTATTTTATACACTACTATTAAGAGATAATGACTTCTTTTATAACTTGTAGAATGATTCTTAACAAGGACCCCTGTGTAACAATTTGTATAAAGAATATTCACATACAGGTTCTTTTGAAGGAAAACATAATTAGTAAAATCCTTTTAAGGATCTTATTTTACAGATTATTCCTGTAGAAACCTATACAATAGGTCATACATAGGAACTTGATCTTTTATAGGAATTTACAGGGTATCTCATGAAGGATTTTGAAACAGGAACTTGAGTAAAGATCGTTCTGAAAGGTTTTCAACGGAGTGTATCTTGAGAATATCAAAAGTTTCGTTTACCTAAAGCTTCAGCGTCAGTTTTGACTGACAAAAATTCCCCAAAGTTTTCTAAGAACTATATTACTCTGCTGATGGAACAAAAACGTACGCTGTTAAAAAATATGACTCGGTAATGTCCGGACAGAAGTGGTTCCTGTCCAAAGAATTCCTGTAATAAGACTTTGCTCTCTCGATTGACTGGACGTTAACGTTAATGATTTATGTGCAGACAGCAATGGGAACTGTCAAAATCAATTGTTTTTCTTTTTGGATAGACATTTTTGTGCGGACATTATGCATAAAGCAGTGTAGGAGATTTTCACGAACCTTTTAAATACAACAATATTTATATTCATTTAAAATAATGATATACTTTATTTTTGCGAGCATTTAACAAACATGCAAATAAATAATTACACTACGATTTTTTAAATTTTTTCTAAATAAAAACCAGAAGAGATCACAGTTATAAAACGAGCCTCTGATTTTCTTTGACCTGTTTCCTGCTCACTTCAATGGACGAAACAAAAGATATTTAAGTAATTGAGTGCTTCCATAATAATGTTGCCATTAATCTTTAAAGTTAGCACTTGAGAACGTTAAGGAAAGATAAATTTGATACTGAGTGTGAGTAAAGAATGTTTTACAAAGTATGAAGAATTAAAAAAGTAATTTATTGTCTACAGAAAGGTTTCATGGTATACCAGTAGGAATAATGTAACTTATAGAGTCTCCAAATTCTCCCCACAGTGCTCTGTTCGTTTGGAAAATCACAATCCATGTCAAAAATACCACTGAAAACAGTAAGGCTCCTATTGCAGAGAGTATTACGTCTGAAAAAATACTTGATCATTATCTACGAATTTCTTTATTCGTTTTGTGCCTACATAAAATGTGCCTTGGGCAGTTAAATTGTCGGAAAACAAAATGACAAAACTTGGAAGCGTAAGCGTCATCTGCACTCTAGGGCCTCGGATCATCTTTAAGGAGCAAAAAAAGTCGCTTTAGTCGATAAAAAATACAAAAAAAGTCGAAAAAGTCGTTTCATTTAATTCAGTGGTGACACAAAAATTTTATTTTGTATTTGCGTGACCTTTTACTGATTTCGAAATTCAGTTAATCAAAACTTGATTAATTTTGTTAAATAAATATTTAAATACTACTTATTTGTTTTTCTACAGGAAATAACATTTTTTAAATTTCAATTTAAAACCTTCTGAATACCTACTTTTTAAAAATTAAAACTATAGTCCTTCCAAAATTCAATTATTCTAAAAATTTTTACTTATAAGTATATTTTTAAAATTTTATTTATGGTAAAAAAATTATATTCAAACATATAATTTTGAAAAATTTGTCATAATATCCGAGGCCGGGGTATAATAAAGGCCACCCAAAAAGTGTTGATGAATTAAACAACTTACTTTTTTATTTTTTATTCTGAGTATACTAAAATCTATCATATTGTTCTTTAAAAATAAACTAAAAATTTGCAAAAGAAGGTAGTTTTTATTATCTGAATCATGAAAAAAGTAAAAATTTATTTTTCAGACAATATTTAACTATTTTTTAATTGACCAAGGCAGATGTGTATGTTTTAAAACCCTTTCACTATACCGACGACAAAAGCAGTTTGGTCTATTTTCTTTATTTTATAATGCTCTCTGCATATAGAAGAAAGTCTAGCGCTGACTGTGGGTTATTTTTACGTTATCTTTAATTTTATTCTTCTTTTACAGACCAATTCAATTACTTTAGTAATCGTTGTGAAAGGGTTGAACCTAAATAATAAGATGTTAAGAAAACCTGACTCACATTTACGTATTTGTTTTTGTTCCTCGAAGTATGGTTCCAGAAATGCTTGCCTAAAAAACCAGATGCTGTTTATAGCCCATAGAAATGGAAGTAACGCAAATCCTGCTGCAAAATAAATTTACATTTTCTAAATGAAATAATATAATAAATTTCTTAAAAAAAATTTTATTAACCGATTGCAGTAGAATTCCAACTGTCTGGACGTTTGTTTAACAGAATTTGTTTTATGTTTGAAATTAAATAATTTTTTATGCAACTTTGCAATTTTACTTTAAAAATCAACCATCATAGGAAAATTATGACTCTGCGAATTTAAAAAACTTTGTCTGGAACGCTTGCAATGAATGATTGTACAAGTAAAGCAGATAAATAAGTATTCCATTAGAAAAAACACTTTTACATGTTATAAAATAAGACTTGACCCTCTTATTTCAAAAAGAAACAGTTTTCTCTGTAAATTTAAATTGCATTTTATATAATTATTTATTGTTTTAGTGATATTTGGACAATAATTTATTCTACATTTTAAGCATGTATCAAATTTTAGCACGGCACATAATTTTTAAGTGAAAACACGAAATGTAAATTTACCTCGAAAATACCATCGACAAAGATACAATTTTTTGTCATTTGGAGTTTTTGACAGATCCATGATTTTTATTTATTATTCTCTCATTTCTTGATGCTAAACAGCTACACACTCTGACAGCTGACGCTGAGGCCGTTTTACAATAGAGAAGGAAAGAGAAAAAATTGTGCTTTTGCGCGCTCGCTCTCTCTCACTCTCATTCGATGATGCAACCAATGAGAAAGAAAGAAATTACTAAAGGTGAATTCAAAATTGGTGCAAAGCGTGCAAAGGCAAACGCTTGTAGGTCTTGTAGAGAAGCGAAAGGAAGAAAGAAAGAAAGAAAGAGAAGGACAGATGTTGGGCAACTCTCTCTGTCTATTGGCTGACGCACGCCCTCCATGCATAGAATTTAGAATATAGTTCGGACGGCCATGTTGAATTGTGTTGAATTTCGCCCCACCCAACCTGAAACACATTGTACTGTGGAGCCAATGTAAAATTGTAATATCTGTTAGCTATCAGTGACCCAGTATTCTGTGGCTAGATTGTATTTGATTGTTAATTCTTGCATGTATGTTTTGTGCGGGTATTATTAATGTTATTGTGAAAGTGCTTGCAACCTTGCAGTTGATGAGAACTCTTCCCGAGAAGAGTTGGTGTTTGATACTAAAGAGGAAAAACCTGATAAATCATCATGCTGAGCATAGGAATTAACTTGAGAGTGACAGGACATTGCAATCAGGGCGGACGTAAATATATGGAGGATATGTTCAGTGTTGCCTACCAACAGTCCTCGGGTGATAGAGACTTGGAGTACGCATTTTTCGGAATTTTCGACGGTCACGGCGGCGGCGAGGCTGCTGCTTTCGCCAAAGAACATCTCATGGACATTATTGTCAAGCAGAAAAACTTCTGGAGCGATAAAGACGAGGATGTGCTGCGAGCCATAAAAGATGGATACGTGAATACGCATTATGCGATGTGGCGGGAAATCGGTCAGTAATATTTCCTATTCTCCTTCAATTCACATCTTTCTCAATTCACATTTTTTTCCTAGATTTCATACTCGACTCAACTTTTTATTCTCCTCCCAGGCTCATCTGTTATGATCTGCTCCGATCTTGCCTTCTCCCACCATTTTCCTCTCCTTCCTATCGCAATTTAGGTTATGTAACGTTAACCAACATTCTAAACCACCTTCCTTTTCACAATTTTCCAAACAAATTTTTAATCAATTTCATAAAATTTTTCAATTTCATTCGAAATCTTAATTGTTAATTTCACTAATACTCTCTTTTCTTTTTCTCTTTCTCTCTCAAAGTACATATGGGTCACTTGATGCGTAGTGTCAATGTGTCATTTTCATTCAATAGTTTCAGTTTAAAATCATTTTTTTATTCTACATAACAAATCAAGAGGGGTAAATTTTGATGATACATTTTTAAAAATTAAGATGCAGAGTAATTTTTAACAAATATGTTAATTCGTATTAGTTACTGTAATATGTAAACAAATACATTTTTCAATTACGTAAATTGAAATCGAAAAAACAAGTCCAAACAAGTCTGAACGTGACTGTGTGTTTTGTATAAGGTGTTTGGCCAGAGCTCTTCAAATTTTTAGTTTGGAAATAGGTAACACATTTTTTAAAAGCACAACTTTCTTGGAAACATAAAATGAGGATTTTTAAAGAATTCTATCCTGAACATCATTTTTATGTTTAAAGTCTTGACGTTGTATTTTTAAATTAGCTCGTTAATACGTCTACGTCATAGCGTCCAAGTGGGCAAAAGAAAACATTTACGTATTCGAGTAACGTTCGTAATACGTACACTTCACGTCTGCCAAATTAAAAGTAGGGAGGAATATTTTTTATAGTTTTATAGTTTTTCTTCTCATATCGCTTAAATATATTTTGACATTTTTTCTTTCTTTCCAGATAAATGGCCGCGTACAGCTTCGGGACTGCCGTCTACAGCTGGCACTACAGCCAGTATTGCATTTATTCGGAAGGGAAAAATTTACATTGGCCATGTGGGAGATTCTGGGATCGTCTTGGGATATCAAGACGAAGGAGATCCTCAGTGGAAAGCTAAAGCATTGACAAAAGATCACAAGCCCGAGAGCGGACCGGAAATGACTAGAATTCAAGAATCAGGTGGCAAGGTCGTCAGCAAATCAGGTGTTCCAAGGGTGGTCTGGAACCGGCCTCGCATCGGCCACAAAGGACCTGTCAGAAGGTCGACCCACATAGACGAGATTCCTTTCTTGGCTGTAGCAAGAGCTTTAGGTAACTTGCTTCATTTAAGTTGGAACTGACAATTCTACTGGCTACTTGATAAATATAATTACCCAACCACTCCCTTCGTCTTACTTATTTCACACAATTTTATTAACAATGTCTGTTTCATCTGGTTAAATGACTTAAAGATCAAAATATTCATAAATCCACGCTCTTTAATATCAAAAAATAAAATACCAGGGTTGCCACTGGTCAGGGATTTTTATTAAAAGTACTGTCAAAAATTTAATCTTTAGAATTCATAAGAAAATTCTCAATTTTTTATTTTTATTTTTTTTTTTGTTTGCCTCATAAACTATAAAATTACCAAGAAACCTTCAATTTTTTCTATTTCTCATAATAATTTCTAATTAAATAACTTGATTCATAAATAGATAAACATCAAAAGGTATTAATTTGAAATTTTATAAAACTTTAATTTTGAATTAATTTAATCATAAATTTTAAAGAAGTCAGATTTTTGAAAAATTGTAATATTTCAAATTCTTCTGAAATTAGTTAAATTAGTTAAATTAAAAATAATGGATTTATAGAAGAATTTTAGTTAAAAACACTAAAAAATTTGCATTTTGGAGAAGTTACAAATGATTACAAAAATTCAATTATGTTCAAAAGTTTAAAAAAGTTCTCAATGAAATTTCAATTATTTTCAAAAATTTTCTTCTATTCAATGATGTTTAATATCTGCTATTTTAATAAAATTTTCCAAAAGAATTCAATTACATATTTAAAACAAATTTTGATAAAATTCTACGAAAAAGATTAATTATTTTCATAATTATAATAAAAATATTACAGGAATTCAATTATTTACAAAGAATTCAATTATTTTCAAGTTTGTTAAAAATTTCTTCGTAATAATACCATTATTTTCATAAACTATACACTTTTTTACAGAGATTCAATTATTTGCGTAAATAATAAAAATTTTTTTAGGAATTTAGTTATTTTCAGAAATAATAAAACTCATAGAAGAAGTTGAATAAATTATTTTTAATTCAATTTTAATCGAATTCCTCGAAAAATGTAGTTATTCTTAAATTTTTTATTAAAATTCGTCGAAGGAATTTAATGATTTAAAAGTTTATTGATAAAATTCTATATAAGAATTAAATTTTAAGAAAAATTCAATTATTCAATAAATTATTTATTTTTATATTTAATTGATTGTAAAATAATGAAATAAATAATTGAATTCTCGTAGAATTTTCTAACAAATATTGATTAAAAAATGGATTTCAGTTAAAATTTTAGATAATAATTGAACATTAAAAGCATTACGCGTAAATTTTTAGAAATAATTTAATTTTGAAAAGGTTTTAAATTAAAAACTTTGGAAATCTGAATTTTTTATACTTTTAACTAACAATACTGCAGAATTAATTTTTTTCAAAAAGTTTAACTGCATTTTTTTAAAAAATTATTTCATGCTCTTATTTTCTAATATACATCCTATAATTAATTGAAGAATTTTTGAATAAACGAAATTTCGTGTAAAATTTAATTGTAAACAAATAAATTTGAAAATTATTAAAAAACTTTTTCAAAAAATTATTAAAAATAATAATTGATTTAATGAAAAATTTTAGTTACAAATTCTAAAGCATAATAATTGAATTGAATTGATGGAAATAATTTTGAAGAAGTTACAGTAATAATATTCTTTATAAAATATGAAGAAATCGGTCACTCCATATCTTCATGTTTTATAATAATAAAATTCTTAAAATTTATTGAATTTTAAAAGGTTTAAATTTGAAATTTTTGAAAATCTTAATTCCTATGGAAAAATGATAATGATTAAATATTTATTTATTTATAAAAGAAGTTATTGTTCTAATAAATCTAATAATTTTGAGAGTGATTCAGAATATTCTTTAGGGTCAGAGAAAAAGACAAAATTTTGTCTGGAAATCAGGGAAAAGTTAGAAAAATAGAAAATTAAATTTTTGTAGCAACCCTGAATACTTTCTTAACATATAAATTTCCTCATTATTTAAATAATTGTTTGTGGATTAAACAATCAGCATATTGTTTGGAATTACATAAATGACACAATTTGACCCCACCGTAAAAACATTACAACTTGAAGAGTTTTCATAAATTCTTTTCACCAAAATTTGGGGATGTATTTCTAACTTTTAGAAAGACATTATCTAATTCATAATAATTATATACCTAAATAATGATTAGTTCTAAAATTTCCTCACACATGAAAATTATACATAACAGAAATCAAAACTAAAAATTGGTTCTGAATAGTGGATAAAGCAGAATTAATTTTTGACAAGCGTTTAATTAGACACCTCACTCGACGGCAACTATAGGTAGAGCGGCAAATTATATTTCAACCGGAAAAAAATTGGAAAATTAAATTTGAAAGATCAAAATGGTGGTCTGAAGTCTAAATGTCCCGCAGTGTCATTTAAGGGTCAATTTTATTCTGGAATAACACAGGACAAAAGTTTTGTCTCTATTTGCGTCATTTTAGAAAAGGCAATAAATAGGCTAATGTATTTCAGGCGATCTGTGGAGTTACAACTCTGAATTAGATACTTTTGTCGTGTCTCCGGAACCTGACGTGAAAGTGGTGTCCATTGACGTCAAGACACACAGGTGTCTGATTTTCGGAACCGATGGTCTCTGGAATATGCTAACTCCCCAAGCTGCTGTCGCCATTGTTCAAGCTGCGGAGCGACACAACGAAAAGCACTTAATAGCTACGCAGGGGAATGACGGAAAGGTGAATTGATACTACTTTCTAACGAGGCAACGAGTTTGACGCCTTACTTTCATTTTAAAGATTAAAACTTGGATTCTGTTTTAGCAAAGTGATGTTCAAATGTGGATCAATCCGTCAACAAGTTTAGTGGACAGAGCTCTGGAAAGATGGTCTTCTACTAGGTTGAGGGCAGACAATACCAGCGTTGTCACTTTAATGCTCGATCCGCCCGGACCGTCTCGGAGCGAGGTAGTTTTCACTTGAATTAGAAAAGTACAGACAGGGAGACGCGAGTGTAAACATTTTAAAAATGCTCCTTTTCATTTTCTTAGGTTTTTCAGAACCAGAAACGAGAGCAGGCTGCACCGACTGATGCTCCTCGTCGGCCAGTGTTTTGCCCGGTTAATCCTCACAATTCGGGGGATGCTGTTAGAAAGCCAGACGAGAATTCAGAGATATCGGACTTGATGAAGTCTGCGCTCAAGACTTGCTTCAACTGCGCACAGGCCGACAAAAACGCCAATTCTACGACTGACGAATCTGCAAGGTATGAAATACCGGAAAGTTCTCACTCTCTCAAGTCGTCCAAGTCAGAGTGCATACAAGTTGCGGAAATATCGTCGAGCAACACTCTAGAGGGCGAAAGAAGGAGCGAGTCTCTCGAGAGCGGAAGTATTTCTTCAGAATCAGAAGGTGATATGTCGTCCATGGACAGTATCTCCAATTTAAAGAATCTTATCGAGAAGGTGCCCAAGCCGGAGCGATTTCAAGTAGAAGCAAGAAATAGTTCAATTTATTCTGATGAAGAGGTGGACAAATTGTTTTCTCTGACTCGCCATAAAGCTTTTTATCACAGAGAAATGTCAAGTTTGGAAAAATTAGAAGCGAAACTTGCGAGTAATCAGAGTTCAAGATCTGAGAATGCACAGGAATTTTCAAGTGAGCATAAAGGAGTCTCAAGACAACTCACTCAAAATGAGAAATGCTCCACTGATTCAGAATCAGAATCAGTTGCAGAAAAAGCGCAGCACAATCTCAATTCCCCACTGCGTCAAAATTCTTTTTGCGAAAAGCCAAAGACAGTTGCAGGTTTGAAGCAAAAGAAAATTGACTCCGCGACGGACAATGTCAAGCCCGCTGTTCAGTACTCGAGGCCAACGATTATCACCGACACGAAGCGAAAACAAAACTCAATTTTGCATCCGGAGAAAGCTAATTTGTATACCAACGAAAATTTGAAGAAGACCAGTCGCAGACACAGTATAACTGCTGTTTCTCGGAACACGTTGGCGTCGAAAGCTAATTTGAAGGAGCCAGGAATTGCTTACTTGGGGTGCAGAATCAAACGCGAGTCTAAATCATTGCCTGGCAATGTTTTCGATGAGCCTCGAATAGTTGAGAATACAACTCCAAGAATAAGCAACAGTTTGAGGGGCATAAAGCGAAGACATAGTTCAATTACTAATACTAATGATGGAGTCTGTGGTACGAGTGAGTCGTGCGCAAAGAGGAGAACGAGATCCGAGGACCGCCTCAATCCAATTGATGAGAATGATCCCGTTAATAAGAAATTCCAAGCTGACGAGGCTCATAGTCGACTACGGTGGCCAACAAGTAACACTAATTTATCTCGATCAGGTGATTATCTTTTATTATCCTTCTTTATTTATACGCGATCAATCTTTTTCTACTAATAAGTATTTTCATTGTTAAAATTTCAATTGCAGGTGCAGTTGTGAATCCAAATTCGGCAGGAATCCAGGAGAGGAAATTGTCATCCCCCAACTCCTTTCAGAGAAGGAATTTGGAGAAGAAGGTGACTCCAGTGAAAGCGATCCGGAGGCCATCCATCAACGGCTCGAATCGAATACAGCTGCGGGGCATTTTCGGGCTCAGAGACTGGGAGCCAACCAGGTCTAGTCGCAGCGCGAGTTGCCAGAGTCGGCATCGAACGGTGGTCGGGCTGCTGAACGAGTCCACCACTCAGCGCTGGTTGAGGTCGGACACGATCGCGGCCACCCCAGTGAAAACTCTGCGCTCGAGGAACGTCGACATCACGGGCCACACTGTGTCCGCGCAAATCGCCCACCAGTACCCCATCAAGCAGAGTCGCCTGCCTCTGCCCACCAAACTGAAGAGCACTTCATCCATTCTCGCTGCGGCGGCGGCGACGCCGGCAAAGGCCAAGGCCAGGCAGAGCAAGTGCAACACTCCGAACGGTGTCAGCGAGGACTGCAACAATCTGATGGCCATCGCCGGAATCGCCAACGACACTGCTCTGGCGAAGAGGGTCAAGTCGCCTCACTCCTTCTCCTCTAGAGTCTCCTCAGTGTCGCCTCTTAGCACTAGGTCCAGAATTAAACGCCTCGGAAAGTAATCCAACAAACCTTGTTTTTTCAGAGACATATATAGAGACTATATATATATATATATAGTCAATATTTACTATCGATTTTGATCAAATGTCTGTCAATACACATACTCAGTAATTATCGACACCACGCTCCCTTTTCTGTATCGATTTTAATAGGAATCGTTTATTGATATCACTTTTACTATTAGATTTCCTGCTTTTTGTTTTTCATCTGTCTGTTGATTTTTACACCCCATTTATACATAATTATATATTCAATTGTCGACTAGTTTTTCACTTAACAAATACTTTTGTAAATTTTTTGTGCAAAATGTTTGCTTTTTATTTGGATAAGGTTTTGATTTTTCAATTTGCACTTTAATTATTATGCTTGTAATTCTAAGATTTTAATGATAAGCCCGAATGTAAATTCTCCATTCTTTTTTATATTTTGTTAGAAATTATTTTCTAACGGGAATTTACATAAAATACAAAAAAATTACATGTATTTCAGGAATTCCAAGACGAATGAGAAGGAAAAATTTATTTTCTTAACTTTTTGAATAATGTAGGAGAGAATTTTGAAAAATTAGTATTATATGTTTAAACTATCTGGTTGGTAGTTTTAGAATTAAAACAATTTTAATTTTGTACAACTTTCGAGTGGTTTATTTGAATAAAAAAAAAATGAATCTTCTAACTTCTCTATTGGTTACGAATATTTAAAAATATTGTTGCAGTAGTGTGTGAATTTCACGTCAACACATGAAATAATTATTTAACGCATATGTTGTAAGTGTATTTTTTAAATGTGTTTGCATTTAGAATAAATCTGATAAAGTTTAAAAGAAAATAAAACATTTTTCTCAATAGGAAAAGTGTTATCTAAGCATAATGCTCGATGATAATGATACAGAAAAGGAAGAAATTTAAAGGAATACGTGCTCATCGATTTGAAATTCAATTACAAGTTTAGTTGTAGTTTTCAAGCATATTGTCGTATTATTCTATTCGTGTTCTGTATGAATATTTTCAGCATTAATATTATTTTCGTCTTACTTTTAGGAATACTTTTAAAATTGTCAATATATATATATATATATATATATATATATACAATCAATTTGAAATTATGCATTTACAAATGGTGATCGTATAATTTGCTTGAAGCAAATAAATAGCATTAAACAATTTTTGCTTTAAACATTTAGCAATAGTCACTTTTACAAAATATTATATACGCAACTATTATCTTTTCGAAAAAATAACACTAATCGTTTTTTAAAAATAATTTTATTTATTTCTCCTTCTGTATTTCATTAGACAATTAATTGAAGGAAGATACTTGAGTGACTCAATTACGTACCTATATTATATCTATATCACAACGAATGAACTTAAATACTTATTTCCTTTCTTAAAGAAGAAAAAGAGGGCTTTTATTGTTTCAAAACTCCATTTCTCGGTGCTAACGAGTCTAAAAGATAAAAATAAAAATAAAATAACTTTTTCAATGCAAGTCCTGCAATGTTATTGTTTGAGATGAACTGTGGTAGAAAAGTAAATTGAAAACTTTAAAGAGACGGGAAAGAAATACATTTTTAATATCAAATTTTTTTTAAATCGAATACAAGTTTATTGAAAATGTTATTGAAATTAATTTTTGAATAAAAAGAATTTAAATGTCTCATAGAATAATTTTTATCATTGTTGATTATTATCGAGATTCTATCAGGAAACTTTCTTCAAGACACTTTCCAATATTCCCATTAAACTGCAGCGTTACGGACTACCTTTCGCCCACTTTCGTTTTGAAAACTGTAAAATTTCCCAAATTTCGTGGCATTTGTAATTTGATTTATTTGCAAACTGTAAGTGCCATTATTACATCTGAATCAACTCTCTCTAATTGTTCGCTTCTTCAATTTTCGTTTCTAAAGAGAAACTTTTATATTATATACATATATATAGTGTGGAAACTCTATTTTTGCATCAGTCATTTTAACTCTGAAATGAAATGATATTGATATTGTAAACAAACCAAGTGGTAATAGAATGTCTAAATGTAAAAAATTTATTGTATAATAGATGGAAGAACAAAACAACTGTTGATGTTACGAGAAAAGTCTATCAATGTGCCTATTACACTGTTCTCAACGTATGTACACATGTTTGTGAGAGAGACAATTATGTATTGTTAAGATTTTAGGACTATATCCTTTTATCCTTTATTTATGTATAAAGAAGAAAGTATGTAACCATATGATGAAGTGATAAAGCTAGAAGATGCTCGTAGCAATCGTGAGTTTGAGTGTTCAAGTATTTTTGAATAAAATGACTACAAGATAGCAATTATTATAAAATATATATTATGTATAATAATAATAATAATAATATACACGGTAGAGGTTTGTTTTCCGATTAAAAATTAAAGGAAATAATAAAGATATAAACAAACACAAAAGTGTCACATCATTTACAATTCATTTATTCTGATCTGTATTTGCTTAAAATTATGAATTATTTTGTCCTGATGACGCAACTGCAAATTTATGGCGGTTCTGCTCTTAGAACGTAACAAATTCAAAGCAATCATTTTTTGACGTCTTTACCAAGAATTATTGAATTGCTTTAATCTTTAAGGCCCATTCTATTTGAGGGTCTAGAAGTCTGTAAAATAATATCCACAATGGGGCGTCAAAATCTGTGAAAAGTTATTGTCCTTGTGGTACAAAAACGGTCGTTTTAACATTTATTTTATAAAACTAAATGCCGAAGGGTCGATCGTCGATTTTTTGGTCGGTTCACATGAGTTGGCTTCACCTTCAGGGCTCATCTGTGGAAACCTGAATCATGTCCTTTAATTCATCTGAAACCGAGAATTCACAGCCAGTAGAGCTGACGATTTCACTTATGTCCACATTTGGTGCCTTTTCAACAAGTTTTAGACCTTCTCCTTTAATGACTTCAAAGACTGCCAAATCAGTAATTATTAAATCTACACACTCCTGACCTGCAAAATATAATAAAATTTAATTTACAATTTCCATAATGGAATCAAAAATGGATTCTTTAATCAAAAAAAGTTTTCTTGACGATTGTTATTTTCACACATATAGTATGAAACAAGTGGGAAACTTTATAATAGTAGAAATTGTTGCGTTACCAGTAATTGGTAATGTGCAGTTGGCCAGAATTTTCGGGCTGCCGTCACGAGCTCTGTGCTCCATTGTTACCACTACCTTCGTCTTCCCGGCGGACACGAGGTCCATTGCTCCTCCCATGCCTTTGACCATTGTTCCGGGTATCATCCAATTTGCCAAGTCTCCATTTTGAGAGACTTGCATTGCACCCAAGATTGTCAAATCGACGTGGCCCCTGGACATGTAATATTTCAGTTTAGTCATTTTCTTCAAGACTTTGGGTAACCAATTTTTAGAAAAACGCTACCCTCTAATCATGGCAAAACTCTCTTCACTGCTGAAGAATGAGGCTCCAGGTAGAACTGTGACAGTTTCTTTGCCAGCATTTATCAAGTCGGCATCAATTTCAGACTCTCCTGGAAACGGACCTAATCCCAGAATTCCATTCTCAGATTGCAAGGTGACCTCAACTCCTTTTGGAATGAAGTTACTGGCGAGCATCGGTATGCCGATCCCCAAATTAGCTGCAACAAGCAAAATTACGTGCACTTTTACTCAAGGTGCTTCTTCAAGAGTCGTACGAGTCTAACTAAAAGTCGGATATACGTTTTCTTAATTTAACCACAAAGTGAACCGTTTATAGATCTCCACAAACATTCCACAAACATTCCACAAACATTCCAACAACTCACCGTACATTCCATTTTTAAATTCTGCAGCTGCTCGTCTTATAATCCTTTCTCTAGCTTTGCCAGCTGGTGTTGATTTTTTAGGCTTCACTGATTGCTTTGTTAATCTTTTCTAATAATAGAAGTTTAATTATTAAATTTGAGCAAAAACTGGGTTTTAGCATTGAAGCATATTTTGCTCTATTTTCAGCAGCGGAAGTAAACTTGGACACTGTGAATGGAAGGTTTTTTAAATTTTTTTCTCGAACGGCTGAGGTGAGGTTGAGTGCACAATAGACAAGTATATCTTAAGCAATGCAAAGCCTCTGCAGAGCTCATAATATAAAAACAATGTTTAAGGAATAGTTGTCTATTGGGATATAAGCGTTGATTAAAAACAGAAAGAAAGAAAGAAAGAAAGAAAGAAAGAAGAAGAAGAGTAAGATAGAGTGAAAGAGAAACAGGCTATCTGAAATTTTTATATTGACTCCACTTTCATATGGGATCAAGTTGGCGAAAATCTGTGAGTATGTGTTTGACGTTACCTCGATGCGTTTTTCGTACGATGAACCTTTTATGATTCTGTCCACATATATCCCAGGCAAATGAATGTTATCGGGGTCCAGCTGTCCCACTTGCACAACTTCCTCCACTTCTGCTATTGTAATTTTCGCCGCTTTGCACATTACCGGGTTGAAATTTCTAGCCGACTTTCGAAATATTAAATTGCCGGCTGTGTCGGCTTTCCAGGCCTTGACCAGTGCAAAGTCTCCAGTTATCGCAGCTTCGAGAACGTAGTTGCGCCCGTTGAAATCCTGAGTGGCTCTGGCATCCCCCGATATTTCCGGCTCACCTGCCTTGCTGTACTTGACAACCACGTTCCCCTCCTGAATAATAGTTCCCCATCCGGTGGGTGTGTAGAAGGCTGGAATCCCGGCGCCTCCCGCCCTTATGCGTTCGGCCAGAGTGCCCTGCAAGGGAGATTGATTGCCTCCGTCATTACTATTTCAAAGCTCATTTTCTCTCAGTGGCAAAATGTCAGATTTAAAATAATAAACTCATTTACTTGAGGTGTCAATTCCACTTCAAGGTCCCCTTCGAGATACTGCTTTTCGAATTCTGCGTTTTCGCCGACGTAAGAAGAAATCATTCTCCTTACTCGGCGTTCCTTCAGTAGCTTTCCAAGTCCAAAGTCATCAACGCCAGCATTGTTTGAAACAACCGTCAAGTCTGTAGATCCTCTTTTCAGAACAGCGTCTATGAGATTCTCGGGTATCCCACAAAGGCCGAAGCCGCCCACTAAAAGCTTCGCGCCATTTTCAATGTCCGACACAACTTCCTCAGCACTTTCGAATACTTTTCCATCTCTGTTTCCTGAATGAGACGTAACTGAGAAGTTACTAGTTGATATCTAGAAGAATACAAAATTCAGATATGTATATGTTTTCTCGTTCAAAACAGTACCAAAAGTCCTATAATTATGTTTTATTTCAAAATAAAAAAGTATAATAGTGAATAAACTTTTAAAAAACATTCCATTATTTATGTACTTTTTCAAGAAAACAGCAAATATAAATTTCCATAATCTTTCTTTTGGACATTGTCCCTATTTTCTTATACTTGAATGTTCCACGAAGAACTCAGGATGATTTCAACTTGAATCTTTGGGAACTGAGAATTAAAAGAAAGTAAGTGCCCCATTTTCCCTCAACAAACACACAATAATAATTATATACCTTGGAAAATATATTTAAAAATCTTCAAAACTATATATTGTACTGATTTTTTAAAACCGATGTCTGGAAAATAAATATACACACCTAGAGATGGCAATATACCATTAATATTATATGAAAATTAAAAATTTAACTCTCACTACAATTAGATACATATTCAAATGAGAACTGATATTTAAAAAAATTCGTTACTCCTTTATTATATTATTAATTATAATTATAGAAGAAGATACGAAACTTACCTTAATGAGTTCATTTTGATTAAATGAACTTCTGAGTTCGGCTATACAACGGAAGAAGATTCTACTTGTTTTGCCAGCTATGAAAATCATATTTTCTGTCTGTTAGACTGTTTCAGTATCGAAGCTTTCTGCCCAAGATATGTATATTATCGTATCGTGGACTTTAATCTTAACCTAAAATTTATGGGTGTATCAACATATATGCTCATTGAGTTTCTGTAAAAAGATTCTTTTATTTATCGCTCAAAACTATATACTTTCTTAAAATACACACTTCTGTATATATATACTTGCGACCACACTACAATTTTTTTCTTTAAATGTCAAGGACATCCACATATTATTTGCATTTATCAAGATAATCTAAATTCTGAATTCGTCAACTCATTTCTTTCTTTATTTTTAGAGGTAGATGAATAATTAAGAAAATAAAAACATTAATTAAATAAAAAATTTATAGAAGCCTAAAAGCTCGGCAAAAAAAAACCACCCTAATTTTCCATTTGAAAAGCCTCAAGAAAATTTTTCAACCTTAAGATAAATTAGAAAAAGCAGTCACACTTGTTCATTTACATGTTTTTAAATATATTTTCTGATACATAGGTATATTCCATGTATAATAACAAGAATAACGAAAAATTTGCCCTGATATGTAGTTTGAAATTCTGTATAATTTTTCACATATGGACCTAATATTTATAAATTATTATTATTTAGACTAATGCTTTGTAAGAAATTGTCCACTTTGTTTAAAGCTTATTCATTTCTAATATGTAAAGTTAAAATTTATTCTAAAAGTTCAATGTTATTTTTCTTATATTATGAAAAATCAACTTAAATCGATCGCACAAAAATCAGTTCAAATAAAATTTTTAAAATTACTCTTACTCTAATCCTTCTTTAAATTATATTTAATAAAAATTTGTTCAAGAACCTCTCTTTAAAGTTTTCAATTTGCATTAAATGACTTTTACAACTTCCAAATGAATATTAAATTTAAGTTTTCACAAAATGTCTTAAAAAGATTTCGGCGCCGTGTTTTGAGAGAACGCTTTATTTGTTAGTCATTTTTTTTAAGTAAATACCACATTGTACGACATTTCTCACACACTGCTAAGGATTAAACAAAGATGTATATTTACTTGTACAGTACTTCTCAGTCAACAAAATACTCGACAACACTTTTGGAGTATCACTCATCTAAAATAGTGAATAACTGCTGGGTCCTATCTCTTAAATTAATATGTGGCAATCAAGAATACAAATCAGTGTTAATGCGTTTATTTCACTTACACAGATAAATTGAAAAGAGATTATTTAACAGCATATCAAACTCGAATGTCTTTAGTATGAATTATTTAAATATATGCAAATATAAGAACTTATTCTCACACATGTTGCATTAGCCACATATTTAATTTGTCTTTGCTTATATTTAGTTTACATGGTATATTATCTAAAAATTGCATCCTTATTTAAAAATCATTTTTTAAGATTTTTAATTTTCTTATTTATTATTATTATCATATACATAGTAGTGGTTATAAATTACCGTATAAAAAAATATGTATTTGATTTCTTGGAAAAAATTAAACAAGTATTAAGTTTTTAAAGGTACGGTCACAACAGTGGTGTGTAAAGGTATGGTCATACGACTTTTGGAAAAACCATTCTTGTTCTTGTTTTTCTTACATCTATGAGGGTGGAGTCCCATGGTAGCGTTTTGCGTTGCGTTTTGTAACTAGGCCATGAGTGCAAATATAGCCAACATATATCTCCATCTCTCTCACACTCATGGCCTAGTTACAAAACGCAAAACGGTGCCATGGGACTCCAGCCTAAGCCGCAGTCCCATGGCAGTGTTTTGCGTTGCGTTGTAATAAGAGAGAATGCAGCAAACGTATATTTGCGTCTTTTTCTCTCCCATTACGACGCAACGCAAAACGCTGTCATGGGACTCCACCCTGAGTTTGTCTCACTTTACATTTTCCGTTTTTGAAAAAAGTAAGAAAATGTAGAGTGAGACAAACTTATGCCTCTGTTATAGGATAGAGAATGACAAATAATATACCTATCCTCCTCACCCTTAGGTTGAGTCCACAATAAAATAAATCGTCTCGATTTCGATGCGCAGTAAACAAAAATGTATGTACGCGCATCGAATCGTCTTGTAAGTCGAGACGATTTTTAGCTATCTGGAATCAGCCTTAGGGTGCGATCTCATGTAAAAGGCCTAAGCACAACTGGTTCGGTTTCGGGAGACCGAGAGCAGAAAATCATGAGAGTGAAAAGAACAACAATATCTACCTATCTCTTTTTCACTCATGATTTTCTGCTTTCGGTCGACGCATTCGACGTATTCTGTCCACATGGGATTGCACCCTTAGGGTAGAGTCCCATGACAGCGTTTTGCGTTGCGTCGTAATGGGAGAGAAAAAGACGCAAATATACGTTTGCTGCATTCTCTCTCATTACAACACAACGCAAAACGCTGCCATGGACTGCGGCCTTAAGGGTGAAGTCCCATGACAGCGTTTTGCGTTGCGCCGTAATGGGAGAGAAAAAGACGCAAATATACGTTTGCTGCATTCTCTTTCATTACAACACAACGCAAAACGCTGCCATGGACTGCGGCCTTAAGGGTGAAGTCCCATGACAGCGTTTTGCGTTGCGCCGTAATGGGAGAGAAAAAGACGCAAATATACGTTTGCTGCATTCTCTCTCATTACAACGCAACGCAAAACGCTGCCATGGGACTGCGGCCTAAGGTTCGCAAAGCAGTTGTGCATTGACCTTATTTTACGGATTTTACGCTTTACGTATCCCCACTACCTAAGACTAGCCCCCTGGTTTCAAAACTTCTAATAAGGCTATTCAAGTTGGGTGGGGGAAAATTCAAGATGGATGCTAACTGGTGCACAAACATTGTATAGAAAGTGTATGGGATAGAGTCTAATTTTTTAAATATCTCGCTTAAACGAAATTTTTAACCATAAGTTTATTAGGATTTTATGTTTCATTTTTAAAGAACTATTTTTTGCAATAATAAAAATCGATTTTTATTTTTTATTGATTTTATTATTGCAAAAAATAGTTCTTTAAAAATGAAACATAAAATCCTAATAAACTTATGGTTAAAAATTTCGTTTAAGCGAGATATTTAAAAAATTAGACTCTATCCCATATATACACTTTCTATACAATGTTTGTGCACCAGTTAGCATCCATCTTGAATTTTCCCCCACCCAACTTGAATAGCCTTATCTTCTTAAAAGTGAAGTGTGTGCAAGTGCTTTTTGTGGAGTTGTGGACTCTCCATAATGTTGGCCTTATGTGTTAATAGGTTAAGAATGTGTTGTCCTTTGTCCTTTGACGTTTATATTGTATATTTATCATTTCTATTCAATCGTACAGTTGTTCGTGAGAAATATTAAATTTTCATAATGAGAATAGTTTTAGACATTCGTGATTAAGTTTTATGGCGGAAGTTATAATATTTAATCAATTTGATTATTTGCAGCTGTCATAATTGCATAAATATACACAACAGCTTGTGTTTACAATAACAAACAGGATAAGTAATTTGTTTCGCATAATATGTCCAGAACAAAAGATGTTCCGTTTGGTGCACACATTGTCTCGAAGATTACGAGCAGATGTTGCCCTTGTCATCAGTCAACACGTTTGTTGTGGAACCAAGGCGCTGTTTTGGTGCTCACCTTTCTATCCTACATGTGCTACCACTTGAACAGAAAGCCAATCTCTGTCGTTAAAAATGTACTGACTGTCAATTGCAGTAACTTATCTCCACCACCTAATTTCCCTGTAAATTCTAGCAATCGAGACACTTGGTGTGATTGGGCCCCTTTTGGTGAGTTACTTTTAATAATATATATTTTTCTTTTCAATAAAGTTGCAAAAGTTTTGGGGGCGAGTTTCAACTTATCTGCCTGTTATTGTTTAAATGTTTATAAAATATTCTTTTTAAATTACAATCTAGTCCATTTTCAAACTACAATCTGTATTTTCCAGCTAAGAATTTTTAGTTTTATATAAAATAATTTTTTAATTCTGAAAATGTCACATTTAACCTTTCTTATCATTATCTATGAGTAATTGTTTCAAGATTAAATTTTAATAACAAAGTTATATCGTCATTAAAAGTCACACACACAACATTCTTTAATCATATACTTTTACATTTTGTTTATGAAAAAAGTAATAATACAAAAATGTCACTTAATCAAAAATTATAAAGTCTTGTTTCTCTTTTATAATGTCTTAATTAATTGATCGAGATAACAAGTTATTGTTAAAATCTATTTCTATTAACATTTGTTTTAATTTTTAAGAAAACAAGAGAATATAAACAGTTTTCTGATGAGGGATGACAGGGTTTCTACAAGTCATGGAAATCATGGAATTGTTATGGGATTTCACTTTGATTCATGGAAATCTCATGGAATTTCTCATCGGATCATAGAATTTTTTAAATTTTTCTTGTAAACCCGTGTGATTGAAATTCGCGCTCCTTTATTACTAACTCGGGGTGGTCACAAGTTTCAATTTGTCAATTTCCCTGACAAATTTTTTTTTGAAGAATTTTTTTTTCATGGTGAAATTTATTTACACATTTTAAAATTCATGTTTTATAATAATATTCTTATATGTTATTGAATAAAGATTTCCAAAAGTTTAAAACTTTTGAAACTATTAATTTCTATGAAAAAATAATAGTGATTAAATATTTATTTAAAAATAAAGTTCTTTAGAATCAGGGGAAAGTCAAAATTTTGTCTGGAAATTAGGTAGTTATTTAATTTGGTAAAACGGGTAAAATATAAATGTAGTTTTAAAAACCTGGAAAACCTGGGAAAGTCAGGAAATTTGAAAAGAGCAGAAGCGTGGCAACCCTGGATTCGTATACTATTCTCTTGGTAGTTTATTAAAAACAAGAATCTTAAATTCTAATTGACAGAATCATTACTCATGGATTCCTTGAAATACTTATCTATTTACCGTAAGCTGCTCTATTGCAGACATAGCAACTGCTCGTCAATTGTTTTGGCAAGGCTTTCCCGCTTCAAAACAAAAAATGTTATAATAAACACAACAACAACAACATCCAACTTGCAAAATTGATGACACGTGTTCAAAAAAGTGTGTTTTTAGTAATGCAATTTTTTACATTATAAAAAAATATACCCAATACAGTTTTCTTCCAAATGGTTGCAAAAATAAGTTTTTTAAATTAATTTTTCACAACATAGTATGTACACAGTGATTTCCGTATTTTGCAGATACTCACGATTCATCGGCATTACTTGGAACACTCGATTCAGCATTTTTATTTGCATATGCTGGTGCGATGTTCCTTAGGTAATTAAATTCATTTTTATTATTGTAATTCGATTTAATTAAGTAAATCAATTATTTTATCAACAGTTGACTCTGAAATTTCAGAGACAAGATTAAAAATTCAATTTTTTAAATTTTCAGTGGCTTTATTGCTGAAAGGGTAAATCTACGTTATTTTTTGGCTCTGGGAATGCTTACATCCGGAATTGCATCTTACTTATTTGGAATAGCAAGATCATATAATATACATAGTCTTTCTTATTTGATTCTGGTCCAGGTAGGTTTCACGTGATGAATACCTATTTTAAATTTAAACAGCCTGAAGAATAAGTCTTTAATTTCTAATATTACCAAACTTTTGTTATTCCCGGTCACATGGTTGTAACCGCAAAATCGCAAAATTTGTTTTCTCAAAAATATCATGTAAAGCAAAGTGACGGAAATACTTTGGAAATGTTGAAAATTGCCAAAACTTTTGAAATTAAGAGACTTGAATCTGAAACATGCGTTTCAGACATTTGGTGGAATATGCCAAACAACTGGCTGGCCAGGCGTTGTTACAGTTGTTGGAAACTGGTTTGGAAGAGGAAATCGTGGATTGATATTTGGAATTTGGAATTCACACACCTCTTTAGGGAATATTTTAGGCACTTTGATTGCAGCTTACTATGTCCAAAGTGATTGGGGCTTAAGCTTCATAGTTCCTGGAGCCATAATGGGAATTTGTGGCTTTCTCATTTTCTTATTTTTAGTGCCTCATCCAGAAAATGTTGGCTACTCAACACCTGGACCACTGGGATATAGAAAAATTGAAACACCTGGAAGTTCAGATGAAAGTAGTGGTGGAGATGAAGAAACACGAAATATTGATGAGGTATGTGCTGAAATCGCAACGAAACCTGAATTTTTTAATTTGTTTTAAAAAGAAAATTCGTGTATTTCTTTAGTATACTTGGGTAGTTTCTAAGCTTCAGAAAAGTTGCAGGATAGAAAGAGCTTTACCATAGAAAATTGATTAGTGCACTTATAAATTTTCACTTTTAATACAAACTTTCAAGAAGCTCATCGAACTTTTCAGTGCTAGATTGATTGTGTTCTTTTCCCTCTTGACCCTATTAATGATTTGCACATAGATTATTATTGTTGGTTATTATTACAAGCATAATACTCAGCAGCTGAAAATATCGCTATTGCGTCCATTGTTTCATATTTCTTTATGCGCAAGCTCACTGTGGGAAAAAAGTGCACCTCTTTGAACAAAAATCTTATGATAACAATGCAATGTCCTATTAAATTTAATATTTATTTATTCAATTTACCGCAGTTGTGCTTCATAGACCAAACCTTCTTGAGTATTTAAAAAAAAAAAATATTAAAATCGGTTAAGATTTGAGTTGTCAGTATATTTTTGTCCAAAAGGTGGACTTTTTTCTCCACTGTGAAGCGCGTCTGTTAATAGAATAACAAAGATTGGTCCATTTTTTATTTTCAGTGACAAAAATTCTGACGTGTTTAAGGTATAAGTCGCGTAAAATGGTTTTCGTCAGATTTTTTTCAAATTTTGCATACTTATTCCTCAAGTATTTATCTACAGAATGAGACCAATTTCATTAATTTTGACCGTTTCAAAGCTTCAAAAAATGAATTCAAAGTTCAAACGTTTTGCATGGAGAGAGTACTCAATGCATGTATTAAATTTGTTAAATAATTATTTATACATATGATAACTAATCGTCAGATTTTGAAATAAAACTGCCAAAGTATTCAATTAGATGAAACAAATGCATAAAAAAAACATGACCTTTTTTGACCGCACCAAACTATAAATATATTGACAGAAAGGTAAAAAAATAGTTAAATTATATGAAATTTCATACGAACGAATAGATTGGGGAGTTAAACTTTCTCTCTCACTCTCACTGACCCACTCTTGTAAGCGGCCCGGTAAACTTTTGGCCGGAGCCAGCAGCGCGACTAATACCTTAAATGTCGTAAATCTTTTACTGAAAAATTCTGTGAATCTTGTTGAAATACAATGCGCTGTATGGGTTTTTAATTTTAAAATAGTTTTATATTAGATAGCTAAAGTACGACTTGTCAAATTTTCAAGTTGAACGTAAAGTAGACTGAGGTATTTTTAATACACATTGTTACTAATTTTTGTAGGGGTTGCTGGCAATTTTAGTTTTGAAAAAGCTTACTTTTTGTTGTGTTTTCTGAAAGTGGGACTAATTGTCAGCAATAACAGAAATTTCCCAAAGTTAGAAATCAATTTTGAAATAGAGCCGTAAATATTCTTCTTTTCACTTGGAAATTGCCAGTTACTCTTCAATGAATAATTTAAATATTTCATGCAACCGCATCATTTGTAGTAATTAAAAAATTCTTGTGATTATATTTAATTTGGTATTATGATACATAACAGACACATAACAGCTTTTATCAGTGCACCTTCTATATATTGAGCATATTATGTATGTGGGTTGCTCTATGCACATAGCCATGGAGTAGTGTAAGAAAACCGAACGACATACACATTTCTTCTTCTTAAATGACTTTTAAATGACTTTTAACAAATTTTTATTTGTTGCGGGAACTTGCCTTCATAATTTTGTCAAATTTTTCTAATCTCAGGACGCGATCCCATGTAAGCAGTAAGCGTAAAACCGAAAGTAGGATTTCATGAGAGTGAAAAAGTCAGGAATATCTGACTATTTCTCTTGCACTCATGAGATTCTGCTTCTGCTCGGTTTTACACTTTCTGCTGACTGACAAACATTAATCTATACAAATTCCTTATAAAAGTTAGCAATTGGTAGGAACGTCTGATACACCAAATTTTTTCCGTCTTCTTATTGTTCATCATGGCAGTGCTCTGCGAAGAGCTTAAAAGTGTTTTACTGTTCGGTCTCCTTATGCTACTCTGTGCATACAGCATGCTTCACACTAACGTAGAAAACATCATTTTCTATACCTAGAATGTGGCTTATCGGCGTGGCTGGCACCAACACAGCGATTTTCATGTAAGTGCATGTTGATCAATTTTTTTATAATTTAACAGCAATAATGTCGAACACTTGTTGGCGTTTAAATAAAAATAATTTTTGCATTTCAACTTGAATTGAAGGGCTACATAAAATAAGGGGACGAACGCATGGTTGAAAGGGATAATATCAGTCAGGTAGCAGCGAGCGGCTCAAGGCCTGTCACTGCTACCCGACTGGTATTATCCCTTCCAAGCCTCGCGTTCGTCCCCTTATTTTATGTAGCCCTTCAATTGAGCAAAAAGCTCGTATATAGCTAGATAAAAAGATGTATCGAGTGAAATCGAGTACTCGATTGAATTCGAGCTTTTCAATTGCTCAAAAAACTATTAATAAGTAGAAAATTTCAAATTTATGCGGTATACTGAATCAATAAAGTAATTAGTAAATGAGTTTTCAATTTACTAATTAAAACATATGCGACGAGCTTTTTATATAGATCGACTTCAGCTCAAACTGATTAAGTTCGGTTCAACTCGAACGTACTCGATTAAACTTTTGGTTTTTTTGCACACGACTATTATTTTGTTTTTAATTTTTTTTATAGAAATAGAGCATCACTATTGTTGTCACTATTATAACCCTTATTGTATCACTTAATACTATGCATTACCACCGCACTTTTAGCGCTAGTTAAATTACGTGGGCTTTGTAGTGTACATATAATAGGCATGGACACCTAGTACACGGAGAAGAATAGAGGTTTGAAGAAACTACCTAGAGTGTCGATTAACTATATTTCAGGGTAAACAACACTTTAAAATTTAAATATAGTCACACAAGTCATACAAGACTTTTGGGTTGCTGCGGTTCAATTCAGTGCAATTTTGAGCGCGTGACTGTCTAAAAGTTGTTCAACAACACTACTTTGGTGAGCTGCTCACCCACATTTTGGACAGTCACGCGTCCAAAATTGTATCGCAGCGCACCACAACCATAGTGGAGCTGCTGTCACACACGTTGCTCCGCTACAGTCCAAAAGGTCTCTGAGTGTAGAGACAGGACGACACATGCGTAACTATATACATATTTTATCTGTCATTTGCAACAGCTGACGAAAAACAAACACTAACTCAAGAACACAGATACAGTGTATACAGTTAAGCATGTGTTGGCACTTTATAGTCTCTAGTCTTCTTGAACAAAACAGATATACAAGGAGAGTTCTCTTGACTACCAAAAAATAAAATCAGGACTACTGAACTATCACAATAGTTGGGTTGAACATCAATATTTTGACCCTCCAGTTTTCTCCGTGTAGATCACGTAGATCCACCTCCAAAGTTTCTTTAGTCGTCGAAGGTCAAAATGCCATATGTAGGCAGGGGTTATGTAATAATTTATTTTTCAGACACCCACAGTGGCTAATGTTCTTTCGCGTTAGGAGCGTTGTTAATTTTTCAGACAGCAAAATATTTTACCAATTTACTGTGGTAACGCTGCATTAAGATATGGATATTTATAGTATGCTCTGGAGATAGGTATCTGAGCAACAAAAAATTACAAGTTACTCATAATAGATTTTTCATTATTCTTTTGAAATGAAATATTGTTTTATTATAATAATTGTAAGCACTTTCTCTGCAAACTGTAGACATGTTAAATGCTGCTTGGGTAGCTTTCTTCAGAGTACGTTACTCATAAGTTATTTACATTCAAAATAAAATATATTTCTATGCTGTTTTTAATTTAGTACCTATTTTTATTATGGTGAATTTTAATATTATTATTCTAACGAGTAATTATTTTTAAAGGAAGTGGAAAATCTACGGACGGAAACGAGTCCTATGCTATGTATCAATAGACATGCAAAAAATGACATACCCATAGGATTTCTAGGAGCAATCAATATTCCAGGAGTTCTCGAATATTCCTTTTCCTTATTCTTTGCTAAACTTGTTAGTTACACATTTCTCTACTGGTTACCACTCTACATTGCTGCTTCATGTTAGTATTTCAATTACTTCAAATATTAATTTTTTAAACATTAATTTACACCGAAGTCATGATAAAATGATTATTAAATCTGTTGAATAATTATTAATGAAGGACACAAGTTTTACAGTCGATTTAAAATCGAAAATTGCGTTCTGTGTTTTTCTTATTTCTCAAAAATAAATAATAAATAATCTCTTAGCGCATGCTTCATTAAAGTCAAATGTCATGTTTTTGTTAAATTAAAAAAGAATTTTGATTGTTAAATGTATAAAAAATTAAATTTCCATTAATTATTTGCAATAGGATTTAAAATTATAAAAATTTGAAAACTTCATTTTGCCTTGACTTTTTAATATTGTAGATAAATGAAAGATTTTTTCTTGTTTGGCTTGGGTATATACATACAATTTAATAACAAAAACCACTTCAAGGGGAACGACCAGCAGAAAAAATGACGCTAATGTATGTAACATTAGCTTGGCATAAGTGTGTCTCAATCTACAAAAAGTAAGAAAATTTAGAGTGAGACAAACTTATGCCAATCTGTCGTAGAAAAGAGAAAGGCGATTCCAAAAGCCGTGTAATCGTACCCCAACTCGTTTTTCCATTTTCCTCTGTTTATTGCTTAAATTCACGGATATGTTTATATATGTATAATGAACAGCTCTAATAGATATAGATAATGGAAGAACATTGCATTGTGGAGTACTTTTAAAACGCATAAGTAAATAAGTTAGAAAAGGGATAGTCACTGGCAATCCTAGGAGAATTCCTACTTTAAGTAGCAAAAGTAAGCTAGAAAAGACGCGATTTATTTTAATTGTCTCTAAACCTTTAGTACAAGGGTACAAGAGTAAGCTTTAGGTTTAAACTTAACCCTCTATATCCGTCGTCGCAGGAGAGCAAACTGCTCACCATCATAAATTAGTCCAAAATTGTTATAAAATGCCAAATATTTTAGGAATGTTCATTAGAATTTCTATGAAACCTATTGGCAGTAAAATTAACTTCCATTTTCAATAACAAAAAAATAAAAATATAATTATATAAAGAAGAAGAAGAAGAAGAAGAAGTGTGCTGTGAAAGGTACTGAAAATATGGAATTATAATTTTTTGTATTTTAGCAGTTATAAATAAAAAAAGAAACTGGGTGAGGAAAGTCCTCATCATGCGACGGATGGAGGGTTAAACGACAATTCGACCCGACAAATGAACTAGGTTATATTATGTGAATATGCTTTAGTTGATGACTTATAAATTATTTTACAGCAACTTACAATGCAAAAGAAAGTGCCAACATTTCAACTGTATTTGACATTGGAGGAGTTTTTGGGGCCATTGCAGCTGGTATGCTGTCGGACTATTCTGGCATGAGTGCTCTAACCTGTGCTGTGATGCTTGCTCTTGCAGTGCCTACAGTAAGTAGTCCGAGAAGTAGTATAAAAAAGCCATCAGTAGTTTAAGAGCGAAGCCTCTTAAAATACTGTGGAGAGAAAGCGATTATTAGGCAAGTTTCTTACTCTCTAAATCTGAATTAGTAGAAAGTTACTAATGAAATGGTGAAAAGTCGTCCACCAAATGATTTAGTAATATATTACTAACAAATAGTAAATTTTACTAATTGATTAGTAGAATTCTACTAACAATTAGTAGAACTGTTTTATTAATAGTCGATAAAACAGTCTTACTAATTCATTTAGTGAAATGAGTGACTTTTAATTAGTGAATTTCTACTAAAATATTAGTAAAATTTTACTAAGAATTAGTAATATTCTACTAATTAAAAAGGGGAAAAGTCGTCCATGAAAACTACTAAAAATTAGTCAAATTTTACTATTTCTTAGTAGAATTCTACTAATTCAGATTTAGAGAGTATACTACTTTGTGGTTATGGTTATGCCATTGTACGATGGGAAACGTTCACAAATGATGTCACGTTTTTTGAGTGTTTCTACTAAACGTGCGATACAATGTATTTTTCTCATGCAAAAGACCGCAAAATTGCCTGAAATATAAAAAAAGTGCATGTCATCATGGTCATCATTTGTGAACGCTTCCATAGAAGAAATGTTTCAAATCCTCAATCTCAGGACTAGTGAGAGAACTTTCTTATTAAATGTTTATTCGATAAAGTGTCTTGAAACACTAGGTAATTAAACAGGTTGTAATTTTATGGAGAATATATTTCAGAGCGTTGAATTAAATTACAAAAAAGATTCTCTATCGTTTGAAATTTCTTAGGCAAAAAATGATGAAGCAACTACATAATAAACGTTTTGTATTCCAACTTTTCAGCTCTTTATTTACGACTATTTGGGCACAGTCAGTTTCGGCGTGAATGTATTGTTATTACTCACGGCAGGATTTTTAGTGAACGGACCCTACGCCCTTATAACGACCGCAGTGTCCGCTGAGCTAGGCACACATTCCAGTTTGGGCAACAACGCGAAGGCTCTCGCAACCGTCACCTCCATTATTGACGGAACGGGCAGCGTAGGCGCCGCAATTGGGCCACTACTGGCTGGCCTTGTCTCCAGCTATTACGGATGGCACAATGTTTTCTACATGCTTATGGCTGCCGACGTCTTGGCGCTGTTTGTAAGTTCTAAAGTTGTTCAGTCATCACGTTATTTCACGTTCAAATTAAAATTATGTATATATTTTTATTATATTTTTCAGTTGCTGTCGAGGCTAGTTTACAGAGATATCAAAATGTTGGTCCAAAGAAGATGGTCTGTTTAACCGTGATATTAAATTAATTATTAATAATAGGAATAATTCATTGAGTGGATTCTAAAATACATCAAGTATTTTACTGCTAGACAAAGACTTTACAAATCTGTTACAGTATATATTTTTATTTACTGCCAAATCGGCTGTTGTAAAAAGTGTCAAAAGTATTCATCTAGGGTAATTCAATCAATTATGTATAATTAATTGAAGCTTTTATATTAATCATTTTTAATGTGAACTCTTCGTATTCCACTGCTTGCTGAATAGAAGATTCACAAATTTTCAAGTACAAAATGCTTCAAGTTCTTGCTCAACAAGTATTCGCATACGTTCTTGAATGGTATCCTCCAATAATACCAATGATGGCGTTCGGTAAAGGAGGATATGTTATTGTGAATTCTTTATCACCCATATCTTTCACTGCGTACCCATCGCATTAAGATGACCAAGGATTGGCCCTGGCACTGGCACTTGGAGCGGTTTATTTGTGAAATATCCTGCAAATCTATTTTCCATAGCGGAAGTTATTTGTTTGGTTGCTGTTTTCAAGAAAATGATTCTTGACCAGAGGAGGCAAGCGTAGCTTTCATTAACTACTGGCAAAAATTGACTCCCTCAGGATTGGATTATTCTTGAGTGGTGCAAAATCTTTATTTAAATGTGTCAACTGTGGCCCTGATAATTTAGGTTTGATTTTTCCTTTTAGAAAATTATTGGCTTTAGGGAAAACTGAATTTCCACTTTTGTTTCAGTGGGGACTGTTTTAGGCAACTGCCAACTCAGTAATTGAAATATTACCAAAAATTGTGTAACTGCTCAGTCTGAATGACAAGTTCTATGGTTAACGAAATTGAGTAAAAACTTGTGGAGGATGCATTTCAGAAACAAAGAATTTTAATCTTTCTTTCAGCATTTCTCAGCTATAAGAATAACCTTTTTAAAAATAAATAAATTTTTTAATTTTCAATAATGGCATGTTTTAAACATTTTTTCTCAAGTGCGAATGTAAAGAGTTAATCTGGAAAAAATTAGCTCTTAAAAATATATTTTTCAATTGCATTTAGGTAAAATTGATACTAAAAATAAAGAAGAATTTATTATAAAAATGAAAAATAAAACACAATTTATTGCTTACTCCTGAAAATATAATCAAGTATTTGTGACTCTTGGCGAAGAAAGGGATGTAAGGAGCAAAATATTGTAAGTTATGTTGTGATTTTTGTTTTGAAATAAACTATGTGTCAAAATTTAAGAAAGTAAATCTGACGAAAAAATTTTACAACGTTCAACTTTATTTTTGAAAGGAATGTTTATCGTTTATGAAAACGTAACTAAAAAAGTCGTAACTTCTTGAAAAGAATCAGACAGTTGTCCACAGTTGTCTGTCGATGTTTTTCTATAACATTCGTTTATTTATGTTTCACTTGTGTGCATCTAGTTTACTTCCTATCATTCTATTTATGATTCAATTTTTAATTTCTTGAACGAAAATGAAAGTACAAGCATTCTAAATTCCAGATGTTTTTTTTTAAATATTGAGAAAATTGTTTGAATTGTGATATATAATATATAATCCATTTCAAATGAAGCATGAGTTCTGAAAGACATTTGTAAAAATTTATTTTGTTCCAACACCGTTAAATGTTTTTCTCTCACAATTTTTTTTATACCAATTGCAGCTGCGCTGTTTGCACAGGCAGGCAGGCAGGCAGGTTTAAGCTCCTTTTTTCGCGACGCGTCACATTTACCACAATATTGTACATTGAGTTCCAATATAGTTTTCAGACTTGGAGAACCTTCGTGTTTTTAAAGATTTTCTTTCTTTTTACACGCAGCAAATTCATCAGTTTCTTCAACTACATATTTGTAATAGTGATTATTATCAATTATTAAATTAAAATACTTTGAAAATTCGATTTGTTAAAAAGTTGAATCAGTGACTGATTTTTTACTATCCAATTAATTATTTTTAACTAATTCAAACTGAGATCAAACAGTATAAATATCTATAAAAATTGAAATAAAAAGCGATTTTTTAAAAACAAATTAAAATAATGAAACTTTTTTTAATTCGGTGAAAAAATGTCCTGTTTGGCATAAAATTCCTGGCTTATTCCCGGTTAATAGACGGTTAGTATTAGAAGGAAACTTTCTTATGTGTTTTAGTAACGAGACAGTTGATTTTTCACAAAAGCAAAAACAAATTTTTATTTTAATAATTTATTTAACATATATAAATCCACGTTTGACTTGAGATATGTATATTAAATACAAATAACTCGTAATACAAACAGAATATGAAATATTCCATTAAAAACATTTTACTGTTTGTTAATTATTTTATTTCTTATGAAAATAATTAATTTTTATATAAAATTAATTATAGATAATAATTGGAACACTTTGGGTAACTATAAAAATAGAAACATTTTCTCTTCTTATAAAATCATTATAGAAAAATAAATATTAACACTTACTGAAGCGCAAAATATATTATGATAAATGTAGTTTAATTTTTTGCATGAATTCTAATGATAATTTAACGAAAGAAATTTGTGAATGTAATGTAAAAGTGTAAGTGTAATAAATGCCTTTCAACAATTTGCTTATACATTTGTGCAATAATTTTGATAATTTAGCCTTTTCATTTACCATATAAAGTGTTGTAAAGTTATTAATATTCTATAGGAGTGTAAAGTTTTGACCAATCGTAAGGCATGTTCATTTTGTTGCCGGGAAGCAACATTGGCGTCGCCTTCATTCGAAAGGCGATTGGCAGGTACTCGGTGCAAAAATCTATGAAATCCTTGTCAGTAACAATGAGTCCTGCTTCAGCCATGTGTTTCTTCAGGTTTCCAAGCTCCTCCGCATAATTTTTGAACAACTTTGCTTTCAAGGTTTTCTTAACAACTGCAGCCAAATGATTAACAATATTGCCGGATTCTATTCTCGTTCTGATGGCATATTTTGGTTCTATCTTTTTCGAGATGTAGTCGTACAGTCTGTCTGTGGCCCAAGGCATCGGCCTAGGAAGTTTTGGTTGCTTGTAAACTTTTCCATTCACCAGATAAGCAGGATGAACAGGTTTTGGTGGTTTCTTTTCTTTAATTGGCTTGACAGTCTTCTTCTGGGCCTCAACTTTGAGCCTAGCTGCCGCTGCCGCTGCCGCTGCTGCATCCAATCTCTTTTGTGTCTGCCTTTTATTTTCTGACAATCTTTTATAGAATTCTTCCCATTTCTTCTTATCGTTCATCACTTCTGAAACAGTCATTAACTCACTATTATCCGTATTGAGTTTCGCAACTGATTTTGTTGAAGTAGCTAAACTTTCTCTAGTTCTTGATTCAACAAAGTCTTTGATATTTTTATTTTTCTCAACTTTATTTGGTTCTGGAACATTCTCCTTGTTTTGCTTGTTGCTTGTGTCAGCAGCTGGTGAAGAAGTAGGACTCTCTTCCTTATTAATTTCATCATCTTGATAATAGGTTATCAAAGGATTATCGCTATATTCGCTGTCTTCTTCGCTTTCTAATGTTTTTCGCAGACTCTTCAGGGAAGAATTGTGCTGCGTTGTGGACTTGAGCGTATTGCTTACATTATTGCTTACAAGGGTGGTACGATTTCGAGAATTGCCGGTTCGACCGTCGGAAGTGGATGGAACTTGATCGTCTTCAACTCCATGCATCAGGCTGAACTCTTCCTCAATTGTTGATACGCGAGGACGTTTCGAAAAAGTCTTGAAATTTCTGCCGGATCTCTCGAGGTTGCCCTCAACACTCTCCTCAGTCTGCGATTCTTTGTAATTTCCTCTCAGTTTGTTCAAGTCAATATCGTTGGGATTTACAATTTGAGAACTGATAATTTTTGGTTTTTGGGATCGATGCTCTGTGTCTTGGATACTTTTATTGGCACTTGCCGGCGCACAACTCTTTTGAGGGCTCCTCTTGAAGCTTGACGACAATCGTTGACTGCTGTTGTGAGGGAATTCCTCAACAGATCCCTCTCTAGATGATACACTTGCACGAAAGCTTCCTTCCTCAGATAAGCTAATTGTAAGAGACTTTTCGGAATGGTCATCTCCAATTGTCTTCGAGTTTGATTTTGGCCAATTATTCACTGCATCGCTCTTTCTCGACGTACTACTTTTAGGACTAGAATTAGAAGTAGTAACTTGGATATTGTAATTAGATGCCTCTTTCTCATCGCTAACATCTCGATTTAGAGTCTTGGAGTTATTAAGAGACACTGTTTTTTCACTTTGCACTGCTGCACTTGGCTTAATCTCTGAACCTTCATCAACAACTTGGATGCCACTCGATCTTGATTTCCTAATAGCTTCTCGTTTCCTTGGACTTGGCCTGTATTGATTCGAGTCTAATTTCCTCGTCGATTCAAATTGAGGCTCCTCAATGAAATTATTACTCAAGTGGCTGGATATAAACTGCCTTTCGAACTCAACACTTTTGTTCAAACGAGAACTTCTCCTCGGAGATTTTAATTTAATATTGCTGTCGGAAATACTGTGTCTATTGTTCACCAACTCCTCGCTTTGAGAAGCATTCAACACATGAAGATTATCAAGTTGAGCAATTTTTTGTAACGCATCACCCTTTAAAGTTTGTTCATTTCTCGATTCCACGTCAATTTCTGATTCTGAATTGTCAACAGCACTTTGTTCATTAATGACAAAACTCCTTTTTCCTGCACTTTTATTTTGAACATGAGTGCTTTTTTGTGAATGTCTGGAGATACTTTTCGACTGTAAATTTGAATCTTGAACAATTTCGGTGGTTGATTTATCGCCTTCAATAGGAGGAGAGATCAATACTTTCCGACTTGCTGTTGATTCATTTTTACCAAATCTTGCTTTACTGATACTTTCATTTAAAAGCTCCCTTAACTTCTCTTTCTGAGGTTGTGTAAACGTTTCACTTTTTTCTATATACTTTAACGACATAGTTGGACTATGTGACAGATTAACACTTTTTTCAGATCCCGCTGAGCTCCTTTTCTTGGTGAGTGATGAATTGTGACTTGTTTCAAGACCTTCTAACTTTCTCTTCCGACTCACTGATATAATTGCTTCAGTTTGAGACGCGTTTGCACTTTCGTTGGAGGTATTTCTTCTTCTGCTTGAAATTTCCATGGAATCTTGTTTCTCTCTAGACTTATCGTTTAAACTATCATCATCATCATCATCATCATCATCATCAAAGAATTTCTTAAAAACACTTTCTGTTGATTTACTTACAACGTTTCCAAATTTCTGTAAAGTTCTTGGTTTGCGTTTCTTAAGGAGCTTTTCTGAATAATCGAATTCAACGCTTTTGTCCGAGTCTGTCGTTTCTGAATTTTTCGACTTGCTTCTTTCATTTAATCTCCTTCTGTTTGAAATTTCCAAGGAAGCTTGTTTCCCTTTAGGCGCATCGCTTGAGCTGTCATCATCAAAGAATTTCTTAAAAACATCTGTCGATTTACTTTCAATGTTCCCAAGTTTTTGTAAAGTTCGTGGTTTGCGTTTCTTGAGGAGTTCTTCTGAATAATTAAGAGTAGTAGATTTGTCCAAGTCAGTCAATTCTGAATTTTTGGTTTTGTTCAGGGACTCCTCTTCGGATGGGGACTTGTTCGACGCAAACATTTCTCTTCCAGTTTGCTCTGCAACTTGTCCTAAAATGAGAAATTTTATTTTATTAAAAAAAACATCAAGTACAATACTTGAAAGTTTTAGGCTGTTGACAGCTGTAGTGCCGCCAAAAGTTTTGCTTTAGGAAGAGCTCTATCTCCTGTTAAAATACGAGTGGGGTGTCTGAACACCCCAGTTACTCCCTAGCGTTACAAAAATTATCAAAATAAGTAAATTTAAATTTTTTTAAAAAATAATTTTAAATCAGTTAAAATCATCTGATAAAGTATAAATTAATAGGTTATGCATGAAAAAGATGTATTTTATAAAAAAGGAACATTTTTATACAAAAATTCTATTTTTATGAAAAATCTAGACATTTTGTATTTGTAACTACTTATAAAATTTGAGTTAAGATTTAGGTATTAAAAATTTCTGTGCTCTCTCTACAGTCAGAGATTAAATTCTAAAACAAAAAAATGTGGTAAATGACAGTAAAATTAAAAATATAAATTCTATATTGTTAATAATGTCTTAACATATTTTAGATGCATTTAAAATTGTTAATTAAAACTTTGATTTAATATTAATTTACAGAATCACTTCATAAGTTATAAATTTTATTGTTAATATATTCAGATATATTAAGTTTGTAAACTTTTGAATTTATAACACTATTTTTAGTAAATTTATATTAATTGTTAAAGTCCATTTTATAGTTCATTTTTATGATTTTCACTATTCGCCAATTGTCTTTAATTTCTTTCACTTTAGTAGTTCAAATAATTATGTTTTTTAAGTAATACAAAAACTAATTTTTTTTTTCTTAAAATTGTATCTATTGAACTTTAAAAATCAAAAATATTTTTTAAATTAGTCAATTTTTAAGAAACTAGAACGTTTTTTGTAGAAAAAGTCATTTTGCAATTTTGCAATTTTGCAATTTTTTTTTTTTTTTTGTTGACAGTTTTGCTATCAAAACTCTTTTAATTTATCAAAATATGAATTATATCATTGTTTTCCTTACTAAAAAACAAATAAAATTCACTACTCATAATTGACTTTACGTCAAATAGAAACCTTTTAAAAGAAGCTTAAAGTGTGGGGTGTCTTTACGGACTAATATACAAAATTTTTGACTTTTACAGACTTCTCAAGAAAAAGTGATAAACTTTGCTTTTTAAATATTTAAAATAATTGAATAGAAAGAATTTCAAATAAATTTGGAGAATACAATAATATAGTACAAAGTTAAAAATGTCTTACCTGTATTTAAATGATGAGGATTACGCTTTGCAGGAGAATGCATTAATGTTTTATTAAATTTATCCAAGTTCTTGTGCCAATTTTTGGGAGGTGTTCCCGCTGATACTAGTGACTCCGAGTCAAAATGACTTGATTCTGTATGAGTGGCATCTAAGGAGCGCTTGAACTGTCCCATTCGATTGTAGAAAACAGGATCATCTAACATTTAAGAAAATAATTGTTCGATCTTCTTTAAATTACAAATAAGAAGTATTCAATTCGTTTCTAACCCCCATTTGTGACAAAATCGTCAAAATCTGAAAAAGGTGTTAACGAGTTAACCTCTTTTTTCTTTCAAAATCTTTCACGCATATATTTTAGAAGACTTGAATTAGTTATAAGAAACAGCAATATTTTTTCTGCTGTTTGTAATAAATATGTTAAAAAACCATATAAAAAAATTAATTTTTTAGTTAATTTTTTACACCTTTTCTGTAATAAGATTTAATAAGGGTAAGGGAAGTATATTATTACAATATTTACACATGATAATAATAATGGAATGTACAGAAAGCAATTTATTTTAATTTAATTTAATTAAGGAAGAAATATTGTATAAATTCAAAGGGTCAGTTTCTATAATGACTGATTTTATATTTTTTAGTTTAAATAAAGGGTCAATCTACTGAAAATCTGAGAGTGGTTGCTGGCATATTTTTAAAAAATCTAGTTTTAATATTTGTGAATCTATAGATGAATATCTGAGTTTATTGTAATTATTGTAATAATTTATTGTAATATTGTAATAGAAGGTAAGTTATATGAATATTAAAATATGTGCAAAACCCACAATTTTTTAAAGCATCCAGAAAAAAGTTACAAACTTTGCAAAATTGTGAAAATTTTTTTTTGAAAACATGTCAAAAATAGGTCACATTTACAAAGTTCAAGTCCACAACGTTGATCAACGAAATTTTTTTTTAAGTTTTCGAATATTGGTTTAAAGAAAAATACAACAATTATTGTTAAAGCAAAAATAAAAATCTTCTTTTTTTATACATTTTTGTGACAATATTTTTGCGTTCTCTTTGAATAATATACTTATTTAAAACATGTTTTCGTTGATCATAATCTTGTGGACTTTTAACCATTTTTTTTCTGAAGCATTTTAATTTTAAAAAAAATCTAAACTCATTTATTAAGTATTTTGAATAAACTTTAAACAAAAAAACTTTAACGCATCCAAGCGTGTGTTATTTTAATATACATAATATAAACAATAATTTACCATGTGTAGAGTGAAACAGTTTTACTTAAGACTGAAAATAAAGGAATCAAATTTGCCAAAAATATTTCCATGGCACAGAAATTTAGATGAATTTAATGGAACTAAAATTCCCGGTAAGAAGAGGTTTATAAAAATAGATTAAAATGTTTACACAAAATTTGAAAAGTGACATTGGTTTGGCATTAAAATGATTCAGATTTCAGCGATATTTGTAAAGATTTTAATTTTCTATTCAATCATCCTCTTTTTACCGGATTTATACGTTCAAGTATTAAAGTACCTACTGTTTTAATATGAAAGTTGGAAAAGGGGGTTTTATAGTATTTGTTATGTTACTCTCAATATATAAGTTTTCCCTCACAGCACCGGGATATTCAGGATATCCCAGAGACGTCCTGGGGATATCGATTTGTTTTCGGAAGTTTGGATATCCCTGGATTATCCTCTGGATATCCATGGACGTCCCTAGGATATCCCAGAGATATCCAAACTTCCGAAAACAAATCGATATCCCCAGGACGTCTCTGGGATATCCTGAATATCCCGGTGCTGTGAGGGTTGAAACTTACTTGCATTGAATACATTTGAATCGTCGTCAAGGCTCCCTGTAGTATTTATGCTCAATCTACCTACTGTAGAATAACGTTTTAAATTTTCACTTTTTCTTCGAGACATTTTTTTCACTATTAATTATTACACATAAAGCTAAAAAATATTTCAGAATTATTTAAACATTGTGTATAGCGTACATAGCATTGTATATAGCATAATGTTAGGTTGGGTAGCCAGACGGGCTTAAGGTATCTCTACATTAGATCCAAGATTAAGGTTGAGTCCACAACGAAACAATTCTAAGGGTGCGATCCCATATAAGCAAAATACGTCGACCGTAAGCAGAAAATCATGAGAGTGAAAAGAACAACAATATCTTCCTACCTCTTTTGCACTCATGATTTTCTGCTTTCGGTCGGCGTATTCTGCTCACATGGGAGTTCCGTTCAAGGTGCTATTGTGGACACAACTTTACTATATAGTTGCGGCTGCATGCACAGGCAGCCGAGCTGTGACCGTGCCATAACGGAAACAGAACTTGAGAAGGAATTACCATCACTGAAATTTATGGTTCATGGTTCAAGTTTTTACTGATTTTAAAAAGAATATTGAAGCACGTGTCAATGGTTTGTGCAGTTTTCTTACCTTTCTGAAAAGTGTTGTTTGGAATAATTTAATAAGTAGTTGACAATGAGTAGCAGCAATTCAGACTCAGAGATTTATTCTTCGGATGAAGAGGTATTTTAAATATTTATATTATTGAAAGAAGAAATGATATAAAATTTTTTTCTTTCTTAAAGATCAGTCTATTGACTTTGTGATACTGTTTGGGATATTCTTTAAATAAAAAAATCTAAAAAAAAGGCATTTTTAATAGTGTCTTCTAATAATTTCTAATAAATTAGTTACCGTGGACTTATGCGATTATGCATTTTTTTAAATAGAATCTCATAATAATTAAAATTATAATATGGGTTTGCAAATTCCTTTATAACCTTCAAAATTAGATTTTATTTAAATGCCGTTTCTATATTTCAATCATTTCAATTCATGCAGGGCGAATAGGTTAAAAATTCTAAATCAAGTTTAATGTGATTTTTCTTGTTTTTTTAGGACAAATAAAGAGACACGTATTTTTTTATTTGTCGAAAAAAAAATTTTTCGCTGAGTTATGAGTATTTGAAAATTTTACGACCTAGGTATCGTGATTTTAGAGCTAAACAGATGACAAATTATTTTCAATTTCAAATTTTTCTAACTTTTACAAAAATAAATATTTTTCAATTTTTTTTCTTGATTTTAGTACCTAGTGTTATTGGTATTTTTTCTTTGCAAACTTGAAAATTTTAAAAATTAGGGAAATTAACTAAATGGCGGACATTTTTTAAGAATCAAAAAAACTCAAATTTGTTATGTTTCTGAAAATATTTTGTGGTTACTAGGTAGATGAAAAAAGGGAATTTTTCCAAAAATAACCGCAAATCATTCATTAAGAAAGATTAAATAACTCAAATGTAAGTTAATTTTTAAACTTTTATCATTAATAAATATTACTTTAAAAATAGTTACTTTTTGATTTTTCGAAAAATGGCCGAATAATGAGTTTTGTTATTTTCTGAAAAAATATTATAGCGAAAATTATCAGCGAAAAAACTTGAAAAAAACTTTTTTTCGACAAATAAAAAAATACATGTCTCTTTATTTGTCCTGAAAAACAAGAAAAATCACATTAAACTTGATTTAGAATTTTCAACCTATTCGCTCCGCATGAATTGAAATAGAAAAAGCCTAAATAATGTAGTATTTCTGGAATATTTTAAATGTAATAAAGACTTAACATATAATTAGTTTGAATTGAGAGTTATCCCACTTTATGCATTTTCACCATTTTCACATAAAACATAACATAAACAATCACTATCTATATAATTTCAGTTGCAAGAAGCATTTGCTAATGGTCTACTGAAACCAGGATTAAATACTGTGGTACATAATGAAAAGCAAGACAATACAAATAATGTAAGTACATAGCATTAAATTCACAAAAACTCTTGTCAATGTAAAGTATTGTTCTGCATTTATTAGATAAATAATTTTAATAAATCCTACTTGATGTCTCTTTTGAATAGTTGTGCTTTAAATTATTGCAAGTTTACATAATACTACTTTAATCGTGTTTCCAGAAACTTATAAAGCAAAAATTGAGCAAAATGTCACTGAAACTACCTTGGATTGAGCGGTTAGATTTGATTAATTCTCTCGCTCCACTAGCACCAGAATTGGCCTTGCAGATGCAAGAGCAAGAAATCAAACGAGCCAAGCAGCTTAAAGGCAACAGGAAGCTTCCTCAATTCAGCCCAAGTGAGGATCCTGTGCTCAACGACTTTCGGAGGGAAACCACGTTCCACAGGCAAGCCCAGGGAGCTGTAATTGAGGGAATCGCAAGACTGCGTAAATTGAAACTGCCAACCATCAGACCAGATGACTACTTTGCTGAAATGGTAAAATCTGATGAGCAAATGCAGAAAGTCCGAGAAAATACGATGAAGAAACAGTTCGAAGTGCAACGTTCGGAGAAAGTAAGGCAACTGAGGGCTCAATCTAAAGTTAACAAGCATATGCAAATAGAGGCTACTTTGAAAAAGCACGCAGAGAAGAGACAGATGTTGGAGGAAGTCAAGAAGTACCGAAAGGGAAAAAGACAGGACCTTAGTTTTCTGGACGGTAAATCTCAGCAGTCCAAGTCTGATGCCAAACAGAAGATGAAGAACAAGAAGTTCGGCTTCGGAGGAAAGAAAAAGGATTCGAAAAGAAATACCACAGCAAGTTCTGCAGATGTTTCCGAATATCGCAGGCCAATTAAAGGCACAAAAATCAAAGGACATGCTAAGCGGTTGGGAAAGAGTAGGAGAGTGATAGTGAAAGGAAAGAAGAAATGAAAAAAGAGGTACTCACTTAGCACAGCATAAATTATTTTTTAAGTAAAATTCATTTGATACTTAACTTTTGTTTAATAAAGTATTTTTGCAAAACATTGAGATTACATTGTACTTGTCAAATTAAGAGATCATTAACTAAATTACTTTTCAGTGACTATACAGACCCAAAAGCTTTAATAGTAATAGTAATAGTAATAGTAATAGTCTTCATCTTACAGACTGCAAATATCAATTTAGGTCCTATAATTAGTCAAGTTCTGACACTTTTTTTATATCTTAAAGAGTTCAATTCACTCTAAACACAGCAAGGTTTTAAGTGCCTTTTAATTTTTGTGCTGTCGAAACGTAAAAAAAGATTGCTTCTTTAACTTTCTTGACTCAGATTGGTCGTTATATTGACCAATGATATATTGACTGATTGAATCATTATTCTTACATTAAAAATTGGACATTTTATTATTTAAAATTGAAGTAAAATTCTCAAATAAAGTTTTAGTGCATCCTAAAAATCCTCCGTTACCTGTGTTAGCTTTTATAACAATAAACAAATTTTCGACATCTCTGTGCAAAACTAACCACTTCACGTTGGTCGGCTAAAAGAACATTACTGTTCAGTTGTTCCTCTAAAGTAACCAAACTGCATTTTTTTTCGTAACTTCACCATATTCTCTTTCATGCGCTTTTCATTTGAGATATAAAATATTTACACTATCAATAGTGACTGTTTATAAATTGTGTTTACATTTTCTTGCAAATGACAACCATTAAATAAAAAATGTATAAAACAAAATATTACCAGGTTATGATAAAAAATACAGTTCGGTTACTTTAGAGAAACAACTGAACAGTGGTTTAAAATACACTATACCTTCGGGAATTATCGGCACGGCTGCACGCGCACGGTCCAAAAACATACCAATCTTTACATCACGATTTTTTTGTAAATACAAATGACAAAAAATTAACAAATATACCATTCGAAAGATAATTAAATTCTACGATTAATGATACATAACTGAAATTTTTTATAATTTATACAAAGATTTCAGAAATCGACAAATTTGACAATAAAATTTTTTTGGAAATTTTTTAAACTCTTGCATATAATATTTTTTAAAAATTACAGAAAAAATTTGAAACAATTACACATGTGTAATCATTCAAGTCTCATCCTTAATTACAAAACAAAATAGTTTAAAAATCTTATTCGGTTCGCGAGATATCATTATGCATTTGTCGTATCGATAATTCCCGACGGTAGTGTACCTGACTCCAATATGAAGTCCGTTTTTGTTGAAAATACTAGAAAATAAAATTACTATAACGCTTTTGAATTAATTTTTTCATAAATAAGTTTTATAAAGATGTTGAAAGAAAAAAATACATAAGTTGCTCAAAACTAATTCAAAAAATACGACCTTCAGTAACATTCTATTGCAGGGACCGAATTCTCAAAAATACCAATTTTTTGCTGAGAACAACTCCAATCATTTTCGATATATTTGCCTGAAATCTACACAATGAAAATACATAAAAAATGAAAACTGCAGGTCAACTAAGCCAAAAATTATGAGCGATAGGGGGAGGTACAAACTTTTTTTTTTTTTTATTAAATCGTAAAAAATTTCTAGTTTTTAGCTGAAAAAATGAAAGATCAATTCCAATCCTTTTCGCTGTATTTTTTCTGTAATCTACACGTGAAAATAAATAAAAATGAACAACGCCAGTCCACTAGAATAAGAATTGTGAGAACTAACATCAGGTAAAATTATTATCAAAAATTTAAAAAGAGATTATTTTAGTTTTTCGCTGAAAACACCGTAAAGATCAATACTAATAATTTTTGCTATATTTTTCCTGTGATGTACGCGCGAAAATACATAAGTATATAAATTTTCATCTCTAGGTAAAAAACTGTGGGCACCTGGGGAGAAGGGTTACGCATTTTTTCAAAACTGGCAAAAATTTCGAGTTTTTCTATGAAAACACACATATACTACAATTATGGGTCATGTAACCCCATTCTTTCATGATTTTTCTTCTTAACTTTTGTTGAACTGAATAAATATTAACTGAAATTCTTCCAAAATTCAATTATTTTTTTTCTTGAAATTTTTAAATAAAATTATTCAAATCTTTAAACATTTAATTTCAAAATAAAAATATAAATATATCATTACAGTTCTACAACAATTACATTTTTCAAAGATTTCAATATAATCGCAATATAAAAATATATAATTGAATTTTTTCAAAGAATTTTAATAAAAGTTTTAAGAATTTTTCGAGGAATGTCCAAAACATTGAATTCATGTCAAGTAAATAAACAAATAAATATAATAATTAATTTAAGTAATTAACTATTAATCATTATTTTTTATTTATTTAATTAAGATATCGTCTAATTTAGTGCATCAAAATAGTTTTCCATTTTCAGTTCATAACCCTGAATAATTATATCGCACGGAAATTTTAATAAACATTTTATCGTCGGGGCGTGTCCCGTATAGGGATCTATAATTATATAAATACACGTCATTTTCAAATGGGTTCACAAATGGGATTCTAATGCCAATTTTCAAATGGGAACCCATATGACTTGAAAAGTTTTCTTCATTTCATTTTTCATTGATTGGCCAATTAAAAAGTTACGGGAAATTTCTGTCACGCATATTGAAAATTTAAGTTATTTTTTAATTGGCCAATCAGTGAAATACAACTGAAATTTCAATCATTTTTAACTTATCTTCAGTGAAATTTCACTGATTCAAATCGCGAGAATAGAGTCACTGAAAATCAGTCAAATTTCACTGATTCAGTTTTAGAGAGTATACGTGATATCCTATAATTAGAAAAATAAATTAAGGTATTCAAATGAGTGTTTTATTCCTTTCTATTAATAAAATGTCTTTACTAACTAAACTAAGCATTGAAATTACATTTTTTTTTATTAAACCTCGGTCTCCCCTACAATAATTGGATACGCACAAGGACTTTTTAAGTGAGTTCCTATGCGGATGGTTTCCGAATGATTCCATATGCAATGCAAATTCCATTGATGCAGATTAAAAAGTGTGTATTCTTATATGTTGCACTTCCCTTAAAGAAGAAATCGATTGGTCACGATTAAAACCAACCGCAATATCTATTTTGATTTTCTCGATGGATACTGGGTCTAAGGGATTGGATTCTACTCTCCTCTACCGAGAATTGAACCCAGGACCATCGGGGTTAAGTCAATAATAGAATTCTTTGCAGTATCCCTTATCATTATTTTCAGTGTACTTTCAACAAAATTTTAAAAAACAATACAATACTTCTCCTACCTCTATCTTAGAAAAAAAAATAGAACGAAAATATGGAAATTTTTAAGTTACTTTCTCATGTCGAAAATAGGGTAAGTGCGTCAATTGCTGCGCGTTTGAACAATACGTGATACAGTTTTGTCTATAAAGATATACATTTAAAATAAAATTACTTTAATTATTTAACTTTAAATTCTGCTTGCCGTAGAAACTGAAACATGCTTGATATTCTTTTTAATTATTAAATTTAATGAAATGTTATAATTTTATAGGCTATTAAATTTTGTTAAAATTTCTTAAGAATATAAACAATTAGTTTAATAAATTTTAAATCTAATTCCTTTGCTATAAATATTTTTTTCTATGCGAAAGATATCTTGGCTGGAATGCCGCAGGAACTAGCGCACTTATTCTAGTTTTTCTACTATATTTCCTACAATAGTGAATGAATAATAATGAAACTTGGTACAAACTAGCAGTATACCAAGTACAATAACTTGTCTATGGAGCGAAATTATTTCGATTTACGATTTTTAAATAAATTACAATTATTCATTGCGCCCCGGTCTCCCCTACCTTTTATCTCGTGAATAAATTTTATTATGAGTTCTTTGACACGGTGGTCTTCAAGCACTTTTAGGTTTACCTAAAATGAGTCAAAATTGTGCTAACGCAGTTTTATCTGGAATCGTCCCAAGATTCCAAATTTTCATTTCCAAAAATCGTAGCTGATTCTTTTTTCGAAAAAAACATATAATATATAGTAATGTCACCTTGAGTGGACCGCCTACGCTTTTTTTCTAAAAAATTCTTTATGAAAGCAAATTAATCGGAGGTTTCTATTCCAAGCTTTAGTTTAAATCCATAGATAAGTGTTTATATCATAATAGCTTTGATTTTTTTATTGGAAAAAACAATTGACTTTTAAAAAAAGCTAATTTTTAAGGAATGAAAAAAGTGTAACCTTGAGTGGACCACTCCTAAAAAATTGTAAAAGTTATTCTAAATTCTTTAATGTATTTAATATTTCTGAGTTATATTGAAACAAAATTTATGCTTATGCAGCTTCAGACCATGTATGTGTCGCAATGTTTACAAGTGAAACCATTTTTAATAATTTTGTCACATAAATCACATCAATATCACAAAAAAATCAATAAAGAACATAAATCATATTTTCAAACTAATTTATTGTCAATTTATATCTAAAAAATGTTAAACTGACATTAAAAATGGAAAAACAGACAGTCCACTCATGGTTATAAACAGTGGTCCACTCATGGTAACATGAAACTTTTTATGGCAGCCACCACAATTTTTTTTTTAGTCAAAATTATCACTAAATTAAACTAAGACAATTAATTTCAATGTCCAAAGTAGTAAGAAAAAAATAAGTTACCTTTTAAAACTTAAATTTTACACTACTTTTACACTTCCAAATCACTTTACTCATTAAAAGAGCGACTTCTTTTTTGGTTTGTGTTCTCAAAAATGCGTTACATCAAACGGTAACGTATATGATTATCGCGGAACTTAATTTCTTACGGTTTCTAGGTGCGGTGCTGCTATTCGCACTATTTATTTCACGTTTCCGCTGGATTTTTTTACAATTAACTTTTAAAAACTGTCTACAGCGTAGACCCTTTAATTTAAAACAAAGAACACAAATATATTAAAATTTATACGCTGCAGACAGTTCTAAAAAGTTAATTGTAAAAATATCCCATGTGATGCTTGCAAGTGATTTTTGAAAATGTTTTAAAACTCATTTAACACATCAGGCCCATTTCGGGACTTTTTGGAAACTCTCCTCTATATTATAAGGTATAAATAAATTTTTAAAAAATTTTTTAAAATCCGGCCCAAAGTTAAAAACAATTAATTTGTTTATAAAAAAAATTTTTGTTTACATTTCTTAAAACTGGAAAGAAAACTAAAACTTTCATTTTTTGACAACTTTTTCCTAAACTCAATATTTTCGGAATTATAAGCTACTGAATATAAGTCTACAATTACAAGTCAAAAATTTCGAAAATTCATAACTCGAAAATTTGTACAATTAACCCTCACAGGCTCGAGTTCGATTTTTGAAATGCGCGCACAAGGTGGGTCCGAGGGACCCGGATGTTTTAATGCAATAAAAAATAAAATTTAATAGCAAAGTGCTTCATATTTTCCATATTTAATACAATTTTAATGATATAATTGCATAAAAAATTTTAAATATTAAAAAGTAATCAAGGTATAACTAAAATTTGTTTAATAAATTTAATGAGTCATTTTGAATAAATCGAACTACATACTTATTAAGCAAGATTTTTCTAATTTGTATTTTTTGTTCTATTAAATTTACTGGTGTATTAAGCATATGTTATCACTTATTATGGCAGTTATTGATAAAAATACCATAAATAAATCCAATATTGCATAAAAATTGCAAATTAAAAATTTTTTTTCATAGCCCGGGTCCCTCGGACCCGGCTTGAGCTTTTACGTATGTTCGACTTAAAAGGTAATTTACCAGAATATTTTATAAATAAAAAATTGTTTATATTGATGAAAAATGTGTGTTTTTACGTCCCCAAGCCTAATGTGAAGTTGATTTTCCAATAATATTTTCTTAACCGGAAGTAGATCAAAAATACTTTCCTCCGGGTCCGAGGGACCCGGCTCGAGCCCGTGAGGGTTAAACAAAAATAAAAAAATACGAATCTAATTTGTTTCGATACAGAATAGAAAAAAAATATTTTTTGGACGATTTTAAGAGATGGACTTAAATCTCACGTGGAATTGCCCATATATATGTTTTTTTCGAAAAAAGAATCAGCTACGATTTTCGGAAATGAAAATTTGGAATCTTGGGACGATTCCAGATAAAACTGCGTTAGCACAATTTTGACTCATTTTAGGTAAACCTAAAAGTGCTTGAAGACCACCGTGTTGAGTAATTTTACTCAGAGTTACCCAAATAGATAACTTTTTTGCTGTATTATATGAAAAAGAATCGCTCTATTTCAATTTGACCCACCCTTGTATTACATAATTATTTAAAAACTGATTTCAGTAAGGAACAAACATACTTGAGACGTTTTATATGAAACCTTATTCAATCATAGAATCCATTTTCTACCCTGCACAATAATGAAGCACACAGAGTATACAAATCGTAAAATTTTAATTTCTAATGATTTGGAAATTGTCATTTAGGTAATGAGAAATAAATATTTTGTTATTTTTTTCAAAACTGACATTTGAGAGTTACGACAAGTACGAAAAAGTTGGTGATCTTGAACATTGAAACTTGCTTCTGCTAAAATCCTTGTCTGGTTCTCTGAATATTTTCCAAAACTTGAAGAAGCCTATGAGATCAAAGTAAAACGTCAAATTTTAATTGAAGATATTTCTCTTGCTTGAACGCAAATGAGCTGATGTTGAAAGTCATCTCTGTCAGCAGTTATTAACATTAGCGATATGAGACTAGAGCGTAAGCACTGTACCTGTTGGCTGAAAAATTGTCACCACCACCACCACACATGATACATGACCACCACAGGTACCACCACCATTCTACATGTGGTCCAGGAGGGATTACAGACCGGTTGACCAGTCGGCGCAGGAAGTGGAGGACTTGCCAGGAAATTTTTGAAAACGACAGTGTCACACGCAGGCAAATGGTTAATCAACTCATGCAAAAAACAGCTTCTGGAAAGGCCACACCAGAAAGTGGCAGGAAGGGTCACGCGGGGTTATATGCAAGTCTCGATTAGTACACTGTCGAGTGCAAAGACGTTCTTTGAACAGAGAGGATTGACTGTAGTCGTTAGAGCGGGTTGAAAAGGCATTTTTTCATTTTTTCATTTGTTTACGTTAACCTTCAAATTGCTACTTGAAATTTCCCTCTTTCCATCTGAAAGTGTCTTTTCACTACGAACTCACTGTTTATATTAATCTCCAAGGATTACTGTGTAGTGCTTTTTCAAGTGAAAGGAAGAGTGACACTTGCTTCGCAAACTGCCTGTTTGAGCGGGAAACATCGGTTACTCTTCTTCACCGAAGCTGGCCGCTTCCGCTCAGTAGAAAAAGTAATCCTTAAAATCTGTGAGTATAGTAATTATGAAGCTTTCGTTTATGAGTGTTGTGATAATAAATGTAATGTTTTTTTAATCACATTGTCTTCAATCCAAGTTATTAATTTATATATACATCTCAGTGGAAATGGCTCCATTGACTTTTCTTTGGTTTCCTCTAGGAGCCTAAATTTAAAGAGTTAAATTTAACAATCTGAGCCCTAATAGTTTTAGCTGCTCTCTAAATCTAAAATATAATAATAATTTAAATTAGAGGACAACTTTTTACTATGATTCAGAATTGAAGGGCTACATAAAATAAGGGGACGAACGCGAGGCTTGGAAGGGATACTACCAGTCGGGTAGCAGTGACAAGTCTTGAGCCGCTCGCTGCTACCTGACTGATATTATCCCTTTCAACCACGCGTTCGTCCCCTTATTTTCTGTAGCCCTTCAATTAGAGAGTACATATTTCGTTTTGTCGCATTTTCTCCACTAAAATTGTAAAATACTATTACAAAATTTGATATTTTTCTTTCGATATATTAAAATAATTATTTATTTAAATTGAGACTACTGTAATGCACCCTAAAAAAAGTAATCTTCATTTTAGCCGATTCCTCTAAATTGAATGCATATTTTCCTCTCATATATATAGGAATGGATGCAACAAATTAAATGTTTTTAATCTAATAAATACAATTAATGATTAATAATTAATTACTTACATTAATTCACAAATTTATTAATTTATTTATTGCACGTGAATTCAATGTTTTCGACATTAGAACCTTAAAAAAATTGTTTTGTTGTATTATTAATTATTAAAGAATAAAAATCTTCTACATTCATGGTGAATGCTTTCGAGAGGATAAATTGAGACAATATTAGAAGAAGATTTTTACTCTAAATATGAGATTACTCTTTTGGGATGTCTATTTAGATAAAATCGGCGTAATAAATATTATGAAACTGCTACGCTTGGATCATCCGGAGAACGTATACAGTTTATGCTATATTTATGAGTAAGAATTTGGAGTAAAAAACTTTAAATATTTAAAAGCTTAATACCTCAACCCCACAGTAGCACGTAATGTTGAGAACATTCCAGCAGTATTCCAGTAACATCGACAACATTCTCTATAATTTCATATTAAAAATTTATAATTCAATTTCTTATGTAAGTCATTAATTATTATAATTACATTACTATACGAAAACCACGAAAACTATTTTTCTCTATGACTGGAAAAATTTCAAATGTCTTTTAAAATAAATAAAATGTGTATAACAAATTTTATTTATTTTTTTACATGTTAAAAATTATAGTATTTAATCACATTTATAGTTTTCATAAATCTGTTGAGCTGACAATTTAATATCTTTTTATAAATGATATTTTTACTAATATTTTTTGATAAGAAAATACTAATTGTTTACAGATTAAGACAAGTTTCTGCTGAGAGAGAGAGAGAGAGAGAGAGAGAGAGAGAGAGAGTATATTATGAAACAATTATCATATTGACTGCTCCCAAGTTAATAGTTAATACAGAAATTAATTGTTTGCTATAACTTTGCTGAAACTAATAGATCACTCATATATCTCTTTTATACCATTTGTTTTTGATAAATTATTGCTTATATGTAAGCATATTATAAATAGCATATTTTAAATATTTTTATATTTTAAATATATTAAGATTTTCATAACTATTTGCTTGTCCCAAAAGACAAGTGTACAAATGTGAAAATGTCAGTCTCATAGTTTGAGTTTACGTCAAATTTATAATGCAAATCGAAAAAACAAAATGATAAGTGTCGGTATTCTGAATATATTATGTAGCAATTACGTGTATAAATTAGTATTATTGTTTGAAATTAATTTTTAACATGCATAATAAAGTACTATGCAATAAAGTTGAAAAACTACAAAAGATTTTTAAATAAACAGAAATATAATATATTTAAATGAGTATAAGTCATTTCAAATTACAATCTAATTAAGAATGACAAAACCTAAATGAAACCTACGTACTAATTTAAATAAATGATAAAAGAGTTGACTATAAAAATAAAAATCATGGATATCTTAAAGTGTAAAAGTGCCAAGATCAAAAAGAATTAGTCAACTTTTTTTATAAATACTAATAGAGTACTGTCAAACTATAACTGTTTGTTTAAAACAATTTACCATGAAAAAAATTCTATTATTATACATATTTATGTGTGATTCTCCACGATAAGTGGTAACTTTTGACAACAGTAGTACATTTTTTTAAAATTAATTATCAAAAAAATGTTCTAGAGAAAAGTTGTTTGGTTTTTCCTAATCTAAAATAATATGCAATTCAAAATTTTAATTATCGAAAAAATTAAATTTATCGTGGGAACGTTTTGTCTCTACAGAGACAGACAAAAATAGGAACAGTGGGGAAGCAAAAGTGACCGCACTGAGTGAGGAATCACCCATATAGAAGATAGAGTCTATCAATGAACTTGTATCTCTTTTGATAAATTCTTCCCATAACGTTTACCAATTGGTAATGAAACTAAGTCCCCGCTGAGACACAAATAATAATTTGTTTAATTCTCGTGGTCATATGCAAAAAAGGTGATTCCTTTGAAGATAAAAGTAGCCGGCAAAGAGTTGATAATTTGTTATCATCATTTATGTATTTCTCCTCTTCTATTCCTCTTAATAAGAGCAGAGTACCAAAATATATACTACTATTGTTTCATGTCAATGACCACTTATTGGAGGGTGCGTTTTCGAAATTAATGATTCTACATTATTTAAAATTGTAAATAATGTTCTCAAGATAAATTCTTTTGAAAAATAAAAGTTTACCCAATATTTACTTCTCTTTTAAAACATCAGATATGTCAAAATAGATGTTTATCTTCAGAAAATTTTGCTTTGCTTACGAAATAACTCCCTATTATTTTCCACACTTAACAATATATATTGCTGTAAACCCTGATATCACTGTAATATACATGGTAATGTTAATGCAATATTCAAGTAATATAATAATCAGATACTTTGCGTGTTTTTTTATAATCTTTTTAACGGGTTTTCATTTCTATTTTTCCGCATGCTTACTTTTTGAGAATATCTAATTAAATTTTTATTATAAAAATTAAATGTATTTATCTGAAAAAATTGGCTACAGATATAGTGTCGCATCAATTTGTACAAAATTAAAAATTCACATTTTTCGAATTTTTTGATAAAGTGTCACAACTTGCGTTCAAGTTATAATAATTCAGTTATGGACAACATTTTAAATTACACTAATACCAAACAGAATATATGAAAATTTCCAACTTTGGAGCAAAGTACAGACAGAAGTGTCATTTTATTTTATCCTTATGTTTGGCATCAATAAATTTATTTTAGTTTCTAAAGCAGTGAGATAAGACACTTTTTTGTAACACTAATGGGATAAGTCTAAAAGGTATATAACTGAATACATGAGTTTCTTCACAAGAATAATTTATATTACATAAATTTCAAGGACCTGTTTATATAGTGGCTAATAACCTTTTCTTTCTTCTAATTAATTGTCTACGGAACAACATCTACCTATTGACTCTTGGACCTGAACTGACTATACCAAACTAATAAATAAGTTGCTATGTATAAATCTACTTCATAAAATGTTTGCTTAACAGAATATTATAGCTCAGCATGTATATTATACTTAATCCAATAATTTGGTTATAGTAGTATTCGAAGGTCTCTGAAATTTCTTGTTTATGTGAGACCTCCGATTATCGCCCAAGAGAAACAGCGCTGATAAGTTTAAATTGGTTTAAATGACATGAAATTGGTAAACAAACATTTTTTATTCATACAAACCGTTGCTATGGTTATATAACACTGTATAGAATAACTTAAGTTATACATTGACATTATGTAATTAATGAAAAAAAAGTTTGTCTATGACAGTCGTTATACTTTTGGAAAAACGCAGGTCATAGGATAATACTATCAATAGAAGATATTCTTTATATTATACTTATATATTATATTATCAAGCTAGAAAAGCATTACTAATTAAATATGGGAGCTGACTATATCACTTATATTAATATTACCTATTATATAATTATTTTAAATAATTTATGAAAAAAAGTTTATAATTTTAACAGCTTTTTAAAATAAATGCTTTCCTTTTAATTAAATAATAATTTTTAAATAATTTGTTAATAATAATTAATTATTAAAGGAGAAGAAGCTATCAATAATCCGAATCAAATTTTTACAAACAAATTAAATATCTTAAATAAATCTCTATAAGCTCATGGATTTCATATGTATCGACAGCACAGCTGCCCGAATACAGAAACCTGCTTAATCTGAAAAATATTTTAGAAATTAATTAATAATTAAATAAATAATTAAACGGTGTACAAGAATGTTTTTAAAAATCTTGGAAAAAAATTTGAAACTTATCAAATCAAACCTTTTTTTCAATATCAATATTCTTTTTTGGTGTATAAGGAATTAGAAAAGGATTCAAAGTAAAAATAAATAATGTTTATCGTCGGTGTTGTATTGCGCCAGTAGTTGATTCCGGCCAAAAACTGTAATTTATGATTGGGGAGAGAATAGGTATATATATTAAATTTGGTAAAAGCATTTTACAATTTGAAGAAAACATGCGACAAAGCGAAAATTTGATATAAAAATCAGTAAGAGAAGCAGGCGAAATTACAAATTATTTAAAAATTATGATTTTAGTTCAGGCTGTAACCACTTATTTTTAACTATATTTTAATAATCCATTTGAATTTTTTGATTCCGTCTGTTCTGACTGGAGATAGGGGTCGTCCATATACCACGTGGACACTTTTAGGGGGAGGGGGGGGGGGTTATAAAAAGTTTGAAAATGTCCACGATCCCATGTATTTTTGTGTCCACAAGGGGGAGGGGGGGTCAAAAATTTTTGAAAAACTGTCCACGTGGTATATGGACGACCCCATATTATGTCAACCAGATTTTCGAGATTTTTTTTTACAGTTGCCATTTCTTCGCTATTAACAACAAAAAATATAAAAAGAATTTTTTTTATTTAGTTTAATATATGTGTAAAAATATGTAAAAATTTAAAAATGTTTAAATAAATTTCACTATGAAAAAAAATTCTTCAAAATACGTGCAAAAGACCCGGACTGCCCCCTTAAGGTAATATTATGTGCTGCTTGGATTGTAAACACTTGTATAACTAAATGTATAGGCTAAAGATGGGTGTATAAACCAAATAAATAAAAAAAATTTATGTTAAAACTCACTTGAATAACTTTTGCAGGTTTTGTGGAGGAAAAACATTCAGCAACTAATTCAAAAACATGAAATCATCGGTTCAACTACAACAATTTAAAAGTAAGTTTATAGAAAACAATATATCTCGGTTACTCACGTAATTATGGGTAATTCCAACATATTGTATTGGTCAATATGGTACATACGCAGTGTAGTCTAGCCATGTGTATGTGAGAATCAGTAATACGTAGGTATATGAAGAACAATTTAATTTTTCTTGGTAAATGTTAATGATATAACATCGAAAGGGCCTACAGTCAGTCCAACTTGGAGGCGATTTACTTTTCGACGCCAACTCGTCCCCGTTTTACCTGCTCGGCGTCGAAATTTCGTCCCTGAGTTTTACCGCACTCTACCCACTATACGGGGCACTGTTCGCGAAGCAAATGTTAATAGACAAAAAATATTTAAACAAATGATATATTTAGAATATATAATTATGTGTTGAAGTTAACGATCACTCCGAGTCAAGCCAATGGAAAAAAATTAAAACAATTCCTTTAATTTTTTCCATTGGCTTGACTCGGAGTGATCGTTAACTTTAACATATAATTAATTTAAAAACCAGGTGATAGAATCATTATTATATTGTTGATATTTAGAATAAATGTGTGATAATTAAAGCAACAAAAAAATACCCAAAGCAAATGTAATTACTCAAAAAATGAAATTAAAAAAATTTTTTAATAATTAAAGCAAATGTAATTAAAAAAATCTGCCCGCCCTTCGCGCGGAGGTTTGCTTCGCTTGCAAGTTTCAGCGCGCCTCGGGGCGCGCGAACGCTATAGTCGTCGCGCTTCGCGCGCAAATATCTCACTTCGCTCCAGGTTCCTCTGGCCGTTAAAAACATATAAATAATTCAAATTGTTTATAAAATAATTATTAAAAATATGGAATTTTTAAATTTACAATGATGCAAATATTTTCATTTGAAAGCTTTTGAGTTTTAAATTTTTTTTTACAAATGTTGTAATATTTTGTTAATGCAAAAAAATAACAAAAATTTCAAAAAACGGTTAAAAGTGTTTTTTTGTTTTGATGTGAACTACAGATATTTATAAAAGTTTTAACATTTTTGAAAATCAATAAAAAATTTTTAACACAGTTTAAATGAACTGGCCCAAAAACTTTTTTTTTTTTTTTTTTAAATTTGACTTTTTGACAAAAAAAAGTTGTAGAGAAAAGTTGTTTGTATTTTTCTAATCTAAAATAATATAAAGTTAAATAATTTTGAAATTTGAAAAAATTGAATTTTCCAAATTTTGAAATTACTGTAGTTTTTGTAATTTTTGACGAAAATGTCTGGCTAACGAACTTGGCCTTCAAACTTTAAAATTAAATGGAATATAATTCTGTGTTTCACAAAATTTCTCATTGTTATAGAGTAAACATATATTTTAATTCTTGTTCTTCTTTTATCGTCACCTCGCACTATTTTTACAATCATGAAACATTCGCGTTTATTTAAAAAATAGAGAAATATTCATAACATAAAATATACTTTTCTCATGTGATAAGAATGTAACAATTATTTTTTATCCATACATAATGTCATTCTGAGTAGATATTATTCTTAATGCAAGAGAAATATTATAAGGTTCCTGCTTAAAAAGAGTTAATATACTTTTATTTCGAGTATAACATTGTAGAGGATTTTAACTTTACTAATTAATTATATAAAATACAAATTCAGGGACTAAGAGAGTTTTATTTTCTTTGGCAAAAAAGTTCTCAGGAAATATGAAGCAATCAATGTCGCAAAGGTTTTTTAAATCTCATGTTATCAGAAATGTCACCGCGTCATTGTTTTAAGTGTCATTATCAGTCGATTGTTGTTTATCAATTGTAATATATGCACAAGACAAACATTTGAAATTATAGTTTGAATGAGAAAGGTAAAAATAATTTTATCAGAAATTGTTATATTGACAGAATAATATATTAATAAATAATTCTTATCATTTTGCATTTAGTGTATGTTTATTCATGAAAGTTTGATAAATATCTAATGCTTTATATATACATACACTGGAGTCTTGGTTATACGGACAACTCGGGTGTGTGTCCGGTATAATCCAAATAGGTCACCTTGACGAAAAAGTATAAATATGCAGGGCAGTACGAAGATTCTTTTTGCCCTATCCGTTGAAATAGAGTCGCCTGCTAATTTTTCTTATATCTTTAAAATTTATTAACATAGTGTAAAATTGATAATTTGGATTTGTTAAATTACATTTTTAGACAAATAAATAAGTAATTAATCAATATTGTCTGATAGCTCACTAAAAATTTTGAGGTTAGGTTATATCAAGGGAAAAAAGGAACCAGTAATAGGTACTCTGCTGACATCATCGAATCAAGCACGACCCTTCTCTTCACCCGCCTTATACCGTTTCAGCGCCATCACATTCCGTATAACGAAGACTCCAGTGTATAGTTACAAAGATATTTTTAAGTGTAAAGTACTTTTTTACATCTAACGAAATAACACACCATATATATGTACTTGAGAAGAATCGACACATAATTATGTATACTTATGATTAATAAAGCTGCTTGACAGATATAACAACTTGGGTTTTTGTTAAACGCTAAAGCCTGTAATTATTATATCTATTGACACTTATGAGTTCTGAGGTTTATGATCATTTTTATAACACTTTTTACACAAAACAATAATGTACTTTTTATTGCACTCAATTAAAAGCGAAGTTATTTCTAGTCGTGCATTTTCAAACCGCAAGCAATTTTGTGATATCATCATAACATACTTGTCCAATATCAATATCTGAAATATTAAAACATCTTCAAAAATTTGACATGAAATTATGTATTTTGCTTCCAGTGCATATAGAAGGTCTATATATACATATTCCTAATTTTTATCGTAACATTGATCCACTTTCACCGAAAAAAAATTTATGGATCATTTTCTAGAAAATGACCAATGACATGTTCATCAATATAAAATTAATAAAATTTCTACCGGACATATTACAGAATTTAATGTTTTTTAATCAGATTATATGAAGAAACACATCGAAATTTAATATTATCTGAAATATTCATATTTATATGGTGCAGAAACTCCACTTCGTAACCGTGCATGAAAGAAATTTTATTTATAAACAATAATTATTATTTCTCTGATTCTGCAGTAAGATTAAATAAATCTATTGTCTATCATAACTATTAATAATTATATATTGTAATTGATTATTGAAGAGGTAAAGTAGAAAATTATAAATTTATTTTTTCTCCGTAACAACCAAAATTGTTTTTGTTCTGACAGTTGACAGTGCCTAAAGTCATTTAAGAAGAAGAAGAAGAAGTTTCTTAGTAAGAAAATATAAATAAATTTAAAACTCATTTATTCAGGGGTTTTTTGAGACAGACAAACTGTAAAATATTCATCTATTACCATATGCTTTAATGTGTCAGCAACGTATAATAGATTACAAGGATTTTGACGTTACCGATAGAACTTAATAATTCACTTTCGTTTACGTTCTCTTGGATTTCTTAAGTTTCTGACGGTAACGTCAAGCTCCTTTTATGTTATATACATTATGTGAAAAGTGTTTGTTCTAGGTAACAAACCTAAAAAACGATATTTTAAATGTAGTTTTTAGTTTTTCATATACACATTTTACTTAAAAAAATCACAAAACCGCTGTGTTTTTGGGTCAATTTACCCCCGTATAAAAAAGGGGGTATAAATGTGAAATTTTAAAGGTTTATTCCTAGCAGCTTTTTAGATAAGGAATCGAATGGTCTTTGGATTTTTGAAATCGGTTCGGTATAGATTTCGAGAAGTACTTCTTTTCGGGGAAACTAAATTAGCTTTAAAAAGTTTTTAAAATTCTTTCCACATAATGTATAACAATGTCCAAAAAGAATTTTGGGAACAGGGAAATAATAAAAAAAACAATAGCTTTTCTTACTTCATCATTTTTATTAGATTGCTATATCTATTTTTGTGCTTACACATAGAACTGGTTTTTCAGAAAGTTTGCAGCAAGTTTACAATACAATGGTTTGTACGTTTGAAGGTATTATTCTTTACATCTATATACAAACAAAACATGAAGTTTGCATTGCTGCAGACTTTCTGAACAATATTATGCTATATGTATAGGTATCTATTGCAATTTAACAAATTTATTAAATTATTCTTAACCACAGTAATAGTTTTTCTTGGTGTAGAATTATCTGTGATGAAATTTTTTTCACCTTTGAACATCAGTGAACTATTAATATTAGAAAATAATTTTTTTCGAGACAAGAAGTCTGTTTTTTGATAAAAAATATAAAATTTGTATATATAATGAGTGGTTTTTACTTCATTTCGTAATTGCCATTTAAACTTTAACCTGTTTATGACACAGGTTAATATTAAGGAAACTTCACACACAACTTATTTTTCTTTATTTTAATATACAATCGTGTGGAGCGAAATCTTCTTCGAATAAACTTTTCACACATGATTGTTTTTAAGAAAATGTATGACTGCGTATATAAGTTTATTCCAGGAAGACATTGTTACGCATGACTGTAGACTCCAAGTGACAATCTGAAAATTTCCAGTCCTTATAAAATATAAGGACCACCTCAAGGTCTTAAGGATAACCTGTTATAAAACTTGACTCTTTAAATGTTATTTTTTATAAAATGGTTTAAATATCTTTATATCTAAACCCATTTTGCAGAAAAAAGTTTAAGAAATAAAAAATATTTACGTCAGTACATAAACGAGCAGACCATAAGGTTATTAACAATAAATTTCTTTTTGTGCTAGAAAATATTGTTTACGAATTCTATGAATTGTTGAAGTCATTTTCCTGCACGTCATTAGATACTTGTGATTTACCTCTTTTATATCTGATCTCCAACTCTTTTAAACTAAATAATTATATTCTACGTAAGAAAATTATAACATTTCCTTAAAAGAATATAATTAACTATAGGTGAACTTTAGATATATTTATAACCTTGTAATTTAATTTTTTGCTCATGAGGAAGGGAAAGTTGAGCGGATCTCTGCCTTTTATAAAAATCAAATGGTAACACAAGTACATTGCGACCTGTCGAAAATCAGTCTCAAGATCAGACGATGTAGCTATCCTTGACTCAGTTTTTTCCATAGTGACAATGAAAGGTCGATATAAAACGATAAAAATATATATTGAATCTAAAATTTCCAGATTTGAGATCATTTATATTGGAATCTTTTCTCATTTATATAATAATGTTTTTTTTTACCTTATTATAACTTTAGGATGTCTACTCAATAAAAATTTGTGGTTGTCTGTTCCAAGTTCGACATAGCAGATTTTGAAGAGTGTATATACCCTATTTTACGCTGTTCAACATTTAATTTAACACAATAATGTTTATAATGTCAATGTTATTTTTTAAAGCTAATATGTTTACAAAACAATTGAATATCATGTGATGCTAAAGACTGGTACTAAATATTACAGCAATGTCAGAGAAATCTTATAGAGAAAGATTGCAAAATTCCGTCTAATAATTATTTTATAATTTTTCTTTGTAAAACTACTGCAACATTCTATAGAAATTTTTTGGCTGGGATGTCACCCATGAAGAAATTAGGATTGGAGTTTGATCCTGTATATTCTGGATTAACAGCCTTTGAAATTAAATATTAATAATATAATAATAATATAATAATATAATATTTTTTGTTTAATTTGACATAAACCAAAATTTATAATCTGTTATTTAAAATTGTTTCAGAATGTATGCTTTTATGTATGGCGGGAATCTTGTGCAGTGGATTAGCTTGTGCTTTGTACATAATAAATCCTGTGAAATTAATTCTGGACTACGTAAGTTTATAATATTTATAAATCTTATTCATACCATCATACTTTTAAGGTGATAATATCTTTTTTTAGTCTATAGTCATCATATAAATTATTCTTAATTTATGCGAATTTTTATTTCCAATAATAAGATTGTGTTAAAGTTGTACATATATATGCTATAGCAGATGTCTTTATAAATTAAGATATAACAAAATACATTGATTAGAATAATATAAATGACACTAAATAAATGTAAAACTTACACGGAGGGTAGGAAATCTTATCATCTGCGTATTGCTCGGACGAAACGACCATTTTAGACCACTTTTGTTACAGCTACAGAGCAGTTCTACTATTTTTCAAAATAGATCTGCTTGCATTACAGAACGCACCTGTAATATGTCACAAAGCAGACCGATGGTATATCACGGTAGTGAGGAGGCTCCGTGGCTTGCGATCATCGAGGCTAAGCATTCTTGAGTACGGTTTGTACTTGGATGGGTGACCACGCTTCGACTCTCGCTATAGCCCGGTGTTTTCTCACTACTTTTGAGATATATATCAAGCGGGAGGTTTGACGTCCAGGTATACTGATGTGCACTGTCGATTATTGTCCGCCGGTACACACCATTAGAACTCGCAGTTGCCGATAAACCGCGGTTGCACTCGGGAAAGGTTTTTTTTTACAGTTTCCCTCTCCTGTAGCGAGAAAACCCATTTAGACGGGTGGTCCAGGCAAATGCGAGTAAGTCGCATTCAAGTCGTTCTGTGGACGCAAAATTAGTATAAGGTATTTTTTAGCAAGGGTGATTTTACAAGACTGTGATTTGTCGTGAGTAAGGGAATGTTCATATTTTTCTCCATTTCTATTCCGTATTCAGTAATATAGGCAAATTTATTGAATCATTACAGTTGATATGGCTTTTCGTCCGAGCAGTACCGTGAGAGAAACATTATTGAAATATTAAGATCGATTCATAGAGTTTTTAAAATTGAATGCGTGAACGTTTGTTTCTGCGATTTAATTTTGAATGAAAAATAGTGTGTATAACAAAAAGGGTAGAATTATTCTATTTGAAGTCGTGAATTTTTACGCTCGGTAATCTTTAGTCCTTAAAAAAACTTTCTTCCCTTGTCATATATAATATACTGTTTTTGTGGGGTTTGTAATTATTTACAAACATGATTTTTCGTCACAAATCTTTGTAAAATAAAATTGATAAAACATTCATGCATTAATTACATCTAAAACAGTTATATATTATCCTAAATTCATTATCAGTATAGATTTTTGAAATTTTTAGCACTTGAGAATGGCACCTGGGACTCTAGCGTTTGGAATCTGGAGAAAACCACCTATTGAAGTTTTTTTAAAAGTTTATATATTTAATATTACTAACCCTAAAGAATTTCTAAATGGAGATGAACAACTGAAGCTTGAAGAAATTGGACCATACGTTTATCAGTAAGTTACTTTTGCTAACAACATATGAAAACAATACATCCAGAAAACGCAATTATCACTGCACCGAAAATTTTTAAAGTTTCGAGTACAAACTTTGGAGTATTGGTCCTATTGAGTTGTAAAGCTCAGTACAAATTGCATAAAAGGAGCACTATTCATATTATTTTAAAGATAAAGATAAAGTTGGATAAAACCTCGGCTTTGCAGATGCGGTAGGCCAAGCGTACTGCTTTGTTAGCGCCCGTTAGCCTGAGATTTTTTCCGGAATGTGAGGTAAACTGAGCGGGTGTTTGTGTAATATTCTAGACTTTGAATTTATACATCCGCAAGACTCGGCTGTCGATAAATCGGCTCTACTCAGTTCAAGTTTCCCTCAATAATATGGTCTGAAAGGGCCAAGTGAATACGAGTACAGATAAATAATATATTTATTTCCTTTTATGATAAAAAATAAAAATTAATAGAGGTGTGCAAAAAGCTCAAATTGCCGAGCCGAGCCCAAGCCGGCTCGATGTATCGAGTACTCGAATAGATTAAAGCTTTTAAATGACTAAAAAAAAACTATGAATAAGTGGAAAATTCCAAATTTATCGAATTACTAAATCTATAAAGTAATGTAAATAAATCTTCAATTTAAATTTTGCTAATTGTAATACATGCGAAGAATATATGAATTTTTAATGTTACGATTAATAATATTTTTCGTTTATTTAAAAAAACTAGTTAATTATTAATTAATTAATAATATAAAAAAGTTTCTTTACGTTCTTTAATTATATACAGTCGGGTCGCGGCACTGGCGAACTTTATACGAAATTTTCGTTTTTCTCTGACTTCGTACTGAGGAATGCTACATCACGCCTGCTAATTGTTTTTTCAGGGGCGTCGTTGTACATATTGTTTGGCCACTACAAATTATAGACAAACAAATGTAACAGAAAATCCACAGGAAATTTATTGAATACATATTTAACAAAAAGTAATTAATTTTGATGTTAAAAAACAATGTGTTCTAATTAAGATTATTACAATTAAAAATGGGAGCTTTTAAATTTCACGTACTTAAAAGCATTAAAATTCGCTGCAATGTCTAGAAAATCTTCTACAACCTTTGTTTATATAATTCCAAAACAAACGATCACATTCTTGACAAATTTTTAGTAAATACAAGGGAAATAGTAGATTGTGCAACGAGTGGAGAACAAGGGCGATTTCTCGCGAGCTCGAAGTATGCTGCGCAAGCGTAGCGCGCGCAGCAATCGAGCGAGCGCAAATCGCTGTTCTCCACAAGTTGCACATACTATTTTGTCCAACAATTGCAAAAAATTTTTTTTATGAATAATAAATTTAAACTATTAATTTTTCAAAATTTTAAGTTGAATTTACTCTTTATTATTTTATCGAAATCAAAATATTACAATGATGTTATAGCAATAAATGAGAGTGAAACAAAATCTAATTTTTAAAAAAAAATCTAACAATTGAAAAAAAAAAATTTGAAAAAAAATTTTGGAAAAAAATTTTTCAAAAATGAATGTCTTGAAAGTGTCCCCAAAGATCCCCAGAGTGTCCTCAAAATTCTGTTCCTAAAATGTTCTAATTCTAATATAAAATAAAAAATCGATTAATCAATTTCTCATTCCATCACTGGCCAATAACCACCATCAGTGGGGAAATGTACTACATTCCTCCATTGGTGCCTAGCGTACAATAGTTCTATTTCCACGAAGGCGTTGGACAAATATGTATTTTATGAGTTTTCGTTGTAAAATGCAAAATATTTCTAAACATCACCATAAGTAGTAAAAATCGTAGTATTTAGTTAGTTATGTTTTTTCATTATATTATAGGTGAATATGTGCAGATATGTTTACATGTATATAAATCGAGATGTAATAATAAAATTTGTTTATGTTTTTATTTTTTTATTCAAATTTTGGCCTGTAAAAATTATGTGGGGTAATGGGAAAATAAATGTCAGCCCAAAGAATTTTCGTTACCATGCTACGGCTTTCGCCATTTCTTTGAAAATTGTAAAAGATATCACCTTATGAAAAAACTTTTAATTAAAAATAATTTTTGGTGGAAAAAATGAAAAATTTAATTTTTTTTCAAAAATGTTTTATTCAATTATAATTTAGGAAAACATTTATTCCAAGTCTAAAGTTTTGACTTTATTGCATAAGTACTAACGCACGTTTTTCTATTAGAAAACAAAAAATATTCCTAAAAAATAGAAATTTTTTCAATTTCAAGTGAAAGCTCCTAATACCCCACAAATTAAGTGATGGCAAAAAATGTATTTTTTTTCCAATATACAGTAGAACCTCGGTTATCCGAGCCTCGATTATCCGAGATTCCGGATTATCCGAGGCACTAAACATGATCGGATAATGCGGAATAACTCGGATAAAACGGATCGAGCGACTAAATTTGGAAAAAAAATTTTACAAAACACTTTAAACACATGAAAAATAATTTAAAATTATGAAATTTTCATTTGTTCCGTGTTATCCGAGTTTTCGATTATCCGAGGTAAAACACCTCAAATGTTTCAAAAGTGGGGACAAAACGTCTTACATTGAGACACTATTGTTTTTACAGTGGACAGTGACACATTATATAGCGTGTCAGGAACGATGACACTTTGTGAGACCTAACATATACTATACTTTTAACTTTTAGGGAATTATTGGAACATCAAAATATAATATGGAACGATAATGGAACAATGACATATTTTCCAAAAAGGGATATAGTTTATGTCCCAGAAATGTCAGTGGGAGACCCGAGGAAAGTTACTGTCACAGTACCAAATGTTCCAATATTGGTAAGTTTAAAACGTAAATAATTCGTGTTTAATTTTTACATGAAAATCCACAGATTGTCTTGTTTTGTAAATAAAACTTACAAATCTCTTTTGCTTTAAAGTTCATTTAAAAATTGGAATTTCGTAATTAAAAATTCGATAGGTACCTTTTCACGTGTCGCGTCACATATACACGCATATTTTTTACGTGGAAGACTTTTCACTTGATGAGATTAAGAGAGCAGTATTTGGAATACTATAAAATGTCAAAAAGTTTCAAAAGCTGCATTCAAAAAAATCCTCAGTAGATTTGACTACTTTTTAACTAACTTCTACTGTGAGTTCAATTATAAGTCCCCAATCAATTAAAAAAAAACTTGTATTAACCATCAAATAGTAGCTATTAAAACTATTTAAAATGTAATTGAAGGAAGTGAATTTATCATTCGGTGATTAAATATTAAATTTGAAGAAGTTGCCAATTTTCCCGAATCAATCTACACAAATAAATTAAATATCTTAAATAAATCTCGATAAGCTCACGGGCTTCAATGTATCGATAGCACAGCTGCCCTAATACAGAAACCTGCTTAATTTGAAAAATATTTTCGAAATTAATTAATAATTTCAAAATTATCAAAGAACTCTGAAAAAAACGGTTAACTTCTTCAAATTTAATATTAAAAATGTAGTTGGTGCAGTCAGATTTTGTAGTTGTTTTTTTTTGTAATTTAACTACTTTTCTTAATTAACTGTATTCTAAATTTATTAACTGTATAATGTTTCACTTTAATAATTTAGCACTGTTACAATGAAATTCACACGCCGCGAAACATAACTGGCATGATACTGCGATTTATTTTGAAAGTCCGTAATAGAGGGTAGCTCCCTACTCCTGCAGACAATTGAAAAGATTAAGCTTTTTCAAATTATTTGACAAAAGTTCTATTCTTTTTAATGTGCTTTTGAAATTCAAAACTATCAATTAAGAGGAATAAACATTTCAGATTTACTCGTCGAATATTCTATTCTTTTGAATTGACTATACCTACAATCGTAAACAGTCAATTCAAAGGAATAGAACTCGATATTTTTTCAGAAACTTTCAATTCCATACAACTTTACGCATTAAGAAAAATATAAATCTCAAATCTTGGTAAATTTAACTATACATATCAGTAGTAAATTATATATACTGCAAAAGGAGACGTCAACTATGTATTTTCATAATCATATGTGACGCGATCTGAAGAAAGGGACCTTAGAAGCAAATCACTTTAAGGTTATGTTAGTGTTAAACTTTTCTTGATTGAAAGTTTCTTTTTACTTTTTTCAAACTAAAATCAGTGTTTATTAAATATTTTAGTTCTAATGAAGACTTAAAAATAAATAATTTTTATTGACAGTTGATCCTTTTTTTGTATTTTCATTTAAAAAATTGCAAACATAACCTATAATTTTTTGCTTCTAAGGTCCCTTTCTTCAGATCGCGTCACATATTATTAGAATTGTTCTAACTATACCTCAATTATCACTAAATTCTTTTATTTTTTATTTTAATAAAAATTGTAATAAAGCAATAACTTTGTAGGGAGTTACATCAGCACTTCACGACAAAGGCTTTTTATTAAATTTTCCTCTGACTCAATTCTTAAACGCTATGGGTGCCAAACCAATATTAAACATGTCCGCTTACGAGTATTTATGGGGCTATCATGATCCAATAATAAAATTGGCAGGCAGCATTGTACCAGGTTTTATAAATTTTCAGAAATTTGGCTTGTTGGATAGGGTAAGTAAGAGTTTACTGTAAAATTAATAATGTTCAGGGGCGTAGCCAGAAATAAGTTTCAGGGGGGGTTTTTATGAAATTTGATTAGAGGTATACTCAGAAAAAATTTGCACTTTTATAGGTTTTCCAAGATTTCAGGGGGGTCAACTCCCAACCCCCCCCTGGCTACGCCCCTGATAATGTTTACAAAAATTGCATGGATTTTTTAAAAATAAGTTTGACATCTCTCGTCGCAAACTTTTCAAAGAGAGCTTGATATCTGTACAGATAGCAAAGTTGGAATAGATAGAATAGATAGTAAGTTAAAACTTTAAACTCGTTTTTCACGAAATAGCATTTTTTAAATCGATGACCACGATTTCTCAAAACTACTGCACCGATTTTGCTCAAATTTGGTGGTCTTTTTTAGTATACATAAAAATCTAGTGCTTAATCGAAGAAATTTTTTTTAATGTAAAAATCTCTTTTTTACAACTGAGAAATCATAGTTTTTTTTTAGTAAAAATCGAAACTACAACTATAGGGTTGTCCCCATAAGGAAGAAGCTGTTTGGAAACTCGCAAAAAAATTGGATCCCACTCAGAAACCGCATTAACGTCGTGCATTAGTCTTATTGTTACAACAGTAGTATCTCCTCATGACATAAATAAGCATAGATTAGAGAAGATTAATTTCTTCGAGTGAATCCGCTGCGACCAACAGATGCAAATTAATTATTTAATTAAAACCGTTTTACAATATTAATTTCAACACTCAAGAAATAAGAAATCTAACTTTAAATTTATACAAAAATTATCAGTACATTTTGCTATTTAAAGAAGATTGATAAAAATTAACAGATTAATCAGATTTAGATGTTTAAAATATCTATTTACAAACTTGTATTTTAACCACAATAAATAATTAAAATATATTTCATTTATTAGATGTACGATGAAGGACACAATGTTGTAACAATGAATATAAAGCACAGTAAAAACATGACGGATGAAAAGGAGCGCTACCTAAGTATTCATACTTACAATGGAAGTCCAGGATTATCTCAATGGGGGTATATAAAACCTAATGGAAATGTTACTCCTGCAGAGTAAGTTTTTTTTATTTTGTCAGAATCTTGAAACAGCGGCGTCCCTACTTAAAATCCCCGTACAAGATCTTGTAGAGGAAAATGTACAAATTAATTAATAACTTTAAAGGCTGCGCAGTAGTTTTCTATGGCTTTCGCAGTTGCGCAGTTGTTTTTAGATCGCAAATGTAGAGAGTCTCTAAAAATAATACTAAAAACTTCCTTATATTTTGCATAAATAAAAATATTAATAAACGATAATAAAATATTTAGTGCACATGAACTTGTACAGGATCTTGTACAATTTTTTATAATTAATAACATAGGAAAAGATGTCCGGAAAATAATGAATTCCTAAAAGTGGCCAAAACTGGTGAATCTACCCTATATCGCTCAACGATATAAAGTATTTATTTCTGCTCTAAAAGTTTTCTTTTTCGTCAGTGCAAAATCATAATATAATATTCCTCTATTTCTCTTTATACTATTATAATTTCAATCACATGCAAACCGGATAGTCTTACTACCATATTGAAGCATTTAAACTAATACTTTCTTTTAGAGACGTGACATGTAACACAGTACAAGGAGCAACAGAAGGAACTTTATTCCCTTCGCATTTAAACAAGCAAGCAGTCTTCAGGGTCTTTAGGAAATCTTTCTGCAGGGCTCTTCCAATTATTTTTCAAGAAGAATTGGTATCAAAAGAAGGAATTTCCGTCTATAAATATGGATTTGCAGATAACTTTTTGGATCCACCTGATATTAATCCAGATAATCAATGTTTATGTAAAAAAAGTAATAAATGCCTAAAAAAAGGACTTTCTGATTTAACGCCTTGCTACTACAGTAAGTAAATTACATTTTTCAGTTGGATTTTTAATACAATCAAAATCAAAACACTTTTTTCATTTCGCTAAAATTTCCGCATGGAAATTGGATGCTATAAGGGAAATATTATTTTTCTACTTTCAGATATTCCGGTTGCCATTTCATTACCTCATTTTTTGGACGCTGACCCCAGTTTAACGAAAAGAATTCAAGGTCTTAATGCTGATCCCCAAAAACACAAGACCGCAATTTACGTGCAACCAGTAAGTTTTTCATTGTATGCTAGTTTCTATTCAAGTTGTATAAAAAATTATACTTCATTGCACATCTTCTTACACGAATAATATATCAATTAAAGTTTGAGCATGATTGAGGAAATAGTAATTTAATATTGCACTGTAAACATTCAAGTTGCAAAATGTTTCATACTGCTATTATTGTAATTCTATAGCAATCTGTCGCACAGATTTTTGTAAATCACCTGTACCGCTTCAAAAAATGATTTTGATCCACAACATTTGACGACTCGGGGTACTACTTTAACCCAAAACCCCCGTTTTCAAAATAATGCAGTATTGTATATGGGTGATTCTCCTGAAAGGGACCCTTTTTTGGTTGAATTTCCAAAAAATCAAATTATTCTTTTTTTGTTACTTTTCTTTCATAAATAAGTTTAGAAAATGTTTAAAGATAAAAATATAAGTTGCGCAAAATTAATTTTCAGAAATAAGACCTCCAGGAACATTTTACTATCATGTGTTCTAGAGGTTAAGTATAATTAATTATAACTTTTAAATTAATTATTTTGTAAAAAACACTCGGTAGGAATATTTTTTTTAAATAATAAATTGTTATGTTTCAATTTATTGCACTTTTTGCTTGTATATTTTATTTTTATTAAATTAATAATTTAATTTGAGGGTTAAATATTTCAAAACAATGATTAAAAAATTAAAAACAAAAGAAAACGCCTATCAAATATAAAAAAGGCTTCGGAGATGAATTGATAATTTAATGAAAAAATTCTCATTTTTTCTAATTTTAAAAATATTATAATTTTTTAAACAATATTTTTAGTTTTAATCATCAAATATTTTCACATCGATTACATATTATGTTTAAAACGTTAAAAAATATGATGTTATTATATAGAAAATGAGGCTTCGGAGATCAATTTAATTTTTACTCTCATTGATAATACTATTTTAATTAATAATTTAAATAACTTTTTTTACCTTATTTTAAACAAATTTAAGTAAAAAATAATCCTTATATTCTGAACTTTAATTTGATATATATCATAAATATGTTGAAATTGTTTAGGGGCCGTACACATAATACGTCACGCGATTTTTGACCATTTTTGACCCCTCCCTCCCCCTATGTCACACTTCGTCACAAACCTTGAACCCCTCCCTCCCCCTACGTCACGTCACACACGTAAATTTCACTGTAAATTTTATACATTGGACATTATATATTATATACAACACTCTAAATTATTGAATCAGTTAGAAATAACTTATTTAGAAGCAAGAAATCAGTCACTAATTCAAATAGTTATATTTTTTTCTGACAATTAGTTAAAAATAACTGATGTTTCAATAAAATTTTTTTGGATTGATTCAATTATTAGTCACGTTTAACTACCTACATAGCACCGAAACTTTCCTAACAATTTATTGAAGGCAAGCTTCGAAATATTTAAATGCAATGTTTAGTGAAAATTGTATAAAGATTTAAATATCCCACTTCAATAATTGTTTAGCGCGAAACTTTCCTGAAAATTTAACTTAAATTTTCAGCAAAATTTTTACGAAAGTATAGTCAAAAGTGTAATTAAATGTTCAGGAAAGTTTCAAGCTATATTTTTAAGAAAATTTGACGATAAACATTTATTGGAGTGAGAAATTTAAATCTTTACACAATTTTAAATAAACTAATTGCTAGTAAACTTTTCGAAGTATGCAAGCAAATCTTTAATATACATATATTTAGAAAAGTTTCGGTGTTTTGTGGATAATTTTTCAGTTATTTTTAACTGATTCAGATACAAAAAGACAGTAACTGCTGATTGCCAGTTTAAACCATGATTTTTAACTGATTCAAATTAAGAGAATATATTATTTATCATCATAATATAAATAATATGCCAATAGATGTTAAACAGGTACATATAATAGATATTAAATAGTTTAGAGCATTTTTAACTTGTTTTATTTAGAAAAAGTGCCACTGTCACATATAATTTCTTATAATCTTTGAATTTAAAAGATTGTGACGTAACACATGAGTTCACCCCCCCCTCCCCCATGTCACACTTAGTCACAATTCTCAGACCCCCTCCCTCCCCCTAGCCGCGTGACGTATTATGTGTACGGCCCCTTAAATACGTTAAAATATAATTATAAAATATACATTCTGTTTAACCAAAATTCGATGACAAAATTAAATATGTTTTTTAAATAGGAAGAAATTTAAATATAAGCAATAGAAGATTATATAAAGATAGATAAATCTTCGTAGATTATAAATAAATTTTTCAAAAAATTTAAACTTGATAAAATATTAATGAAAAATTAATTTAAATAATGAACCTCATGTTGGAGACACGTGAAGTGGTCCCTTTCAGGAGAATCACCCATATATAATCAAACACTTTGGTATACGGCTGCTAAAAGATAAATGAACCCTACAACAGTTTTGGCTGAAAGGAGGGCTTAAATTTAGAAACGAAATCTCTTCTTATATATTATTTTCACCGCTTCCCTTTTAATTTTACAATTCGCCCAACGCATATCATTTATTGCTTTAAAAGTGCGTAGTAAATTAAAATTGAATCATAATATATTATGATGAATCTTCTTTACAGGATATCGGAATACCTATGAAAGTTCAATCTAGATTGCAGATAAATCTTGTTATGCAGGAGTCGCCTTATAATCCAAAAATGGCTGAATTTAATGGCATGACTGTACCAGTCATTTGGAGTGAACTGGTAATTTCACATTTGTTAAATTTAATATCTTAACATTGGTCCATATGTTGTTCTTTATAACTATATAGAATACTACTCCAGTTCCAAAACTCAAGAACTAAGGAAAATAACTCATTAACTTAAAAATTGCAAAACACATGGGTTATTAAAATTTTCAATGAAAATGTGATGACGTCCACTTTTTAAAATATTGATCAGATCATGTCGGATTTACTTAAATCTTATTACACGAGGGTTTTCAAGGTCACTTATTATAAATATGACATCAGATTTTCAAAAAAATTTTATAGCTATCTAACAGGGAGTTGGAGAATTACAAGAGAAACTTTTATAAGTTCTCCAACTCCCAACTAGATGACTAGATCTATACATCTTTCGTGCACGACGCATGTTGGCGTAAAAACGTCAAAGCGTAAATATATGAGAGTGAAAGCAACAACCTTATATCACTGTCTCGCTCACTCACATACTTTAACGCCGACATGGGACGGTACCTTTAACGTTTAAAAATAATTGCAAACTTCAAGTCTAGTGCATCTCATTCTTAAAGGTTAAAGCGTTTTTCTGAAACTTGTTTTTGAAGTCCTTGCGTACGTCATAACTCCAAATCTACTGGATAAATCGTTTTGAAATTTGTTGTACTGAAAGCTTTTTCTTTTTTCGGAAAAAAAATTACTAATTTTACAATAACAAATTTTAGCCGATTTTTTGTACAAAAAACGGCTTTTTGGCTTCCAACTGCTAATAAAAAATTGAAACATAAAAATCCTCCCTGGGTTACTTTAAGAAACATCACCTTTAAGGGTGAGTATTAACCTTTGAGGCCTCTTTTAAACCTGTTTTTCATGAATTTTTTTAAGATACGGGAATAAAGTAAACAAAATTTGGTTTTAAGGGATTTATTTGTTAACTTTTTAAGTTTACAAAAATATATTTATACGTAAAAAAAGTTTAAATTTGTTGCCTATAGAGGGCGTCAAAGTTGGTCTCATTTCTCTGCAGAGGAAATCGGTGGGCCGTTTCTAATCCGGTTAGACCGTTTAATCTAAATCAAAAATTCAAAGTTTTTCTGAATCTGAGATAGATTTAGCTTTCGAGTACGTAGGATATTTTAAAAATATTAATTTTGGTGTATTTGGCAGTTGTTTGAAGTAAAAAGTCGATTTTTAGGGCGAAAATTTGTCAAAAAATCTGTTGCCAAAAAAAAAAACCAAAAAAAAATCCGCTACGTACTCGAAAGCATTAGTAAATGACGATCAAAAAAAAACTTTGTCCGAAATCAATCCGATCAAAACTGTTCTAGCTAGACGGCCCACTGTTTTGAAAAACGTTATTTCGAGAAAAACGCGTTTAAAGTTTTGAAAGCACTTGAAGCGCTCTTGGACACCTTTTGCAGATTTTGATTTTTTTCACATAAAATAACTTCAAAATCATCTCTAATGATATAATTTCTATTCTACACATTATAAAGTATCGTTTAAGCAAAAAAAAAAAAAAAATTCAATTTTTTTTGGGTCAAAGGTGTCACTCTTCCTTAACAAATGCATTTTGATTTTTTGGAGTCGCCTGAGGAGATTCACATCCTCTTGTTCAATTCTCAATATTTTTCCATGAAAATTTGAAAAAATATTGTTCAAATCTTGCAGTATTCTCTCTGTATCGACAAAAAGATGGTTAAAAATATGCATTTTTTCACCGAATATTATATATTAAATTAAATAAATTAAATAAATTTTACATATTAAATAATTAATTTATTGAATAATATACTCTCTAAATCTGAATTAGTAGTTTTCTTCTAATGAAATAGTGCGGATTCGTTTACCATTTTTGAATTAGTAACTGTTTTTACTAATTTTTAGCAGTTTTTTTTACTAATTATTATTAGTAGAAAATTTACTAATTTGAAATAGTAAAAAATACGTTCTACTAATTGAATTAGTAATTTTCTACTAGCAATTAGTAAAAAAAACTACTAAAAATTAGTAAAAAATGTTACTAATTCAAATTGGTAAACGAATCCGCACTAATTCAGATTTAGAGAGTAGAATTAAATATTTGCTTAGAAGGCATAAGCTTGCTATGGGTTAGACATTTCGTTCTTGTGGCAAACTTGCACGCAGCAAGTTTGCTGCAAGATTACTTGCTATTTAATTTTAATAGTAGAACAATACAACAGAAATTTAAGTACGAGTAATACTTTTTGTTTTAAAGCAATAAAATTTTTAGCTTATAGCTCAATTGCCAAGCGATTTAATGTGGATAATCCAACTTTCTACAAACATTGGTCCAAAGATAACAACTGCCTTTATTTGTATCTTGGTAATCTCTGGTGCCGGCCTCGTGTCATTATCCATGGCAGGTACTCTTTGGGTGTTAAACCAACAACAAGAGGAAGAAAGTGGAAGGAGGGATAGTTGCGACCTTAGAATTCCTTTGGGCTACGGTCAATATACAGGTATAAGAATTCTACCTGCAATCAAGAAAATCACATCTCGGACGGACATCTTCGTATAATCAATACATTAAAAAAGGTTTTTTTTTTTTGCTTGAGAGTGTGTATTTGTACGTATTATTAACTGCACAATTGTCTTTTGTTTTACCTCAATAAATGAAAGCATATTTGTAAATAGAAACGCGAACTGAGCAATTCATTGTGGCAGCCAATTACAACATTATATTTAGATTAGTTTTTATAATTTTTATTTGGTGTAAATAAAGACATCGTTAAAAATAAATTAATTTATATGTAATTCTATAACAATATCAACCAATAAGCTTGTAATTTTTTAAGAAGAAAATGGACTACAGTGAATTACTGAAATGATTAAAAGTTGTTCCTTAACTTTTAATGATAAATAAAGTTTCCAAAAACATATTTTTTTAAGCCAGTCACAATATTATATAAAAATGTGATTCTGAAATAAGTAAATTGTGTAAATTATAATCAATAAGTAATTTCTGCTTTAGTATACATATATGTATTAAATAAGTTTTCACCGTATTGTATAAATTATCTACAATGTGACAAAACAACTGAATAAGTTATTTAAATGTTAAATATTTTAGTTTATTAAAATGTAAATTATTTAATATCTATTTCTCCTTTTTCAATATTATTATTGATATATTAGAGGGAGAGAAATAATTTATAATTTTTAAAAAATCAATTTTCTTTTTTTGCATAAAATTTTAGTATCAAATTACAATGTAGTCAATTTTTAAACCACTTAAGGAATACGATTTATGTTGTATTTCTTGGTTACCGCGCGCCACAATAGTGATGTATAGAGATTCGATATAAATAAAAGTCTTGCCCTTTTACATGATACATATTCTTGGATATTCCGCATACACAGTAAAAAGTAAATCTTAATTTAAGAACGAGCTGAAATTAAACAAGTCTTGAAACTAAGATCGGTTTTAATTTAAGCTCAGCTTGCGCGTGAAAATGAAGATGGACAATCTGAATTGACAGTTCTCATTACTGTAGTGAATTTCTAAATAATTCACTGAATTTAGATTTATTTAATATTTAATCCTGAAGCAATTGACAGGTTTAGGTTAGTTTTTTATATTGTTGATTGATATACTTAAATACACTAGTATATAGTGTAAATAAATTTTGGAAAATAAGTAACTAACTGTTGATATTTCAACATGATTGCCTTAAATTCAGCACACTCAGTGCTGATAATCAGCATGCTTGGAACTTTAAATTCAGCAAAAAAATATGATTTTATATTAAGCGAAGGCTGTCTTAAAAATGTCATTAAGGTACCGTGGCCTTCATGCCTTAAAATAAGACTTTCTTTTTACTGTGATACAATTGGTAATAGGCGATAAAAATTAATAAAACATAATCTGAAACATTATTTTTTATAACTAAAATAAAATAGTGTTTATTTATAAAAAAATAGATGTTACAAATAACAGAAAACTTGACAGCAGAGATTAATTTAAACAAAAGTACATCTCAACATTTATACTTGGAAAATCTATGTTGAAAGAATAAAAAATCGGTTCCTAGAGTCACTCAAATTTTTATAAACTTGTTCCATTTCAGGTCTATTTTGTGCGAGTTTATTTGCACACCACTTTCCTAGTGTTATTAAATAAATAAAAGTTGATTGATTAAATCCTGCCTTCTTATCCACTAAAATGTCATATTCTTCATCTTCCCATTTATCCATTAACTCTTTCAAAAATTTACATTCTGATCTATTGTGATCATAGGCAGGTAATCCAGTTGCCAATTCAAAAATAACGATCCCAAAACTGTAAGTGTCAATTTTGGTTGACAAATTTCTACTAGAAATGAAATCTTCAGGGAGGTACGGTCTGGTTCCAAAAATTTTACTGACCTGCAAAATTTTAACTGATATTTTAGTTAAATTTCACTAATTCACAGCATATATTCTCAAAAAATCGGTTATTCTTTTTTTTTTGCATTTTACAGCTGAGAAACCATAGTTTTTTTTTTAGTAAAAATCGAAAAGTTGAACTTGAGCGATTGCCATTTTGTCAAAAAAGAATTTTTTTTAAATTCTTATCGATTAAGAAAATTATCTTCTACTTTAACTAAATTCGTTTGAATTTCGTGTTTCTGATAAACCAGCTCCTTTAAAATCGCGTGGTCACCGAAAACCATACTTTTTATTCAAAAATCTTGACAAGATCGTGCATCACATCTTTATTTTTAAAAATTTTTTATCGCCCCCTCAATTATTATTTTTAGTGCATATATTATAAATAACACAATTTATAATATTAATTAATAATTAATATTAATTATTCTAGCTATATATTAGTTTAATAATGCAACTTTTAATTAACCTAATGTTAAAAGCATTATTTGGTCCTTAATAACGTCTTTCTTTTAAAAGCATATAAATCAATTCGCACTTTTTAATTTTCCAACGCATAATTTCGCATAATAGTCAGATAAAATACTGTCCTTAAATATTTCATATTTGGGGTGCTAAATAAGTGGACAGAAAAAGATTTAAGAGTATATTGAGTGTTTTGCAATTAAGTTGTCGGATTGAAGGCAATTTTTACTAATTTTGGAGTAAAAGTTGCTACGATAATTTCTGTAAAATTTGGTATAATGTACTTTGAGAATAGCAAAATTCAGATTGAAAATAGTTAAAGTTGAGTGAAATGCGAAGAAGCTCCAGACAATTTTGGTTTTACTTTTGTATAAATAGTAAAAGATACTCTATATTTTTTCCGTGTAGTCATTCAAAAATAATCGTTAGATGGAATAAAAGGTCACCGAATTTTTATTTATACATTGTTTTTTACTTAAATAAAGAACTGTAATCTAATCGAATTATAATTCAGAAAAAATATCATTTAGCAGAATTTAAGTAAGTCAAACTTTTAAACATTTGCACGAATAATCAATAGTTGATGGAATTCTTAAAATTTCGAAACCACTCTTTCCTTATTATAATAGCGGGTAAACCAGACAGTACTTTTCAATTTTGAATAGCTATAAAACCGTATGAGATAAAAATAATTTGTTTTTTTTTACTAATCATTAATTTGTAAGGTACGGATTTTGAAAGCTTTTTTGAGTGTCAGATTACTGTCGTATTGTTTATTTACTAATTTTTTTTTTAAAGAATAAAATTGTTTTTTTCATAAACATGATTAGTTTAATAGTTTTGTGTGATCATCATATAAGGAACAATATCACCTGAAAGAATTTGAAAGCAAATATGAATTGCAGTTTTTAAACAGTGTTAATTAAAAAAAAATATTGCTTTAGGCGGTCAACTGGTTCTCCTAATTTATAGTTTTAAACCTGTCGCTGAAACATTTCTGCCGGATAATTTTTTAAATCAGCAATATGAATATTTTATCTATAATAAAATTCTGTCTATAATAAATATTTCAACTAATAAGTTTTATATTTTTATCGCGACCTCGAAATAATATTTCATTTCATTTTTAGAGAATATCTAAAGCTCCTAACAAACAATTTGAAAAATTAACTTGAACCAAATATAAACTTGATTAATATTTAGAATACCACAATAACATATATATATATATATATATAGAATTGAGAAGCCGGGAAGAAAAACTCTCCGAGTGCTCCTCAATTATTGTTCCATTTCAAATTAATTAATATGATTTGACATAAATAAAAGCAACTAATAATTTAGTCGAAAATTTTCCTGATAAATTTAAATCCTAAGAACGAGTGACATTTTTTAATAACTGGAATGGTTATATTTAAATCAGCTTAAGCAGTGAATTTTTGCCTATATTCTTGCTAGGTATTCTTAACTTGTGATATTTGGGCGAAATTTCAATGTTATGAATGAATAAATAAACATAAAATGAAAAAAATGTTTCTTTCTAAAAAATATACTTACTTTCATTGAACTTTCCTCTGGTCCTTCTCTGGCTAAACCAAAATCTCCAATTTTCGGCTCAAAATGTTTATCCAATAAAATGTTGGCACTCTTAATATCTCCATGAATTAAAGGCTTACCTCCAATAGTGTGTAAATACTGTAAACCCCTTGCGGTCCCAATGGCAATATTGTATCGTTGTTCGCATGACAAAGGTTCCGTTTTATGTTTATGTAATAGTCTATCCTCTAAAGATCCATTAGGCATCAGTTGGTATAAAAGACACGGCGCCTCTCCATTTACACTATAAGCATATAAGGCCAATATATTATCATGGGGATGCGAGTTTAAAATTCTTATTTCCCTTAAAGATTGTTGAAGTTGTGTTGCGTAGCTCTCGTCGGACTTTCCACTGCGACGTTCTATTTTCTTTATTGCAACATCAGTATTCTTCCAAACACCTGCATACAAATTTCACTGTATCAATTATAAAAAATTAAAAGTTATTAATCAAAGAATAACATTAATTTTGTCCCTTGAATACTCTCCTACAATAATGAAACTGACACCCAACTATCAGAACTCTTTGGGAAATTATTTTCAAGTTTTTTTTTTTGTTTAAAACCAATTATTGTGAAAAACAGTTACTGCAAAAATTTCTTTTCGATATTGTTACAAAAAGAAAATTGGAAAATTCTTTTCGAGTATTTTTAGTTCATTATTTCGTGACTGTAGGTGCGGGTCTTTCAAAAGGTGCCTATTATTCGGGGAGACAGTTTCCGGGAGCAACCTATTTTACATAAATTAAAGATTCAAACGTGATTCTCTTCATAAGTGTTTTTTCTAGAAAACAAAAACAATTTTTTTTACACATTTTTCTCAAATAATCGCGAAAATTCTATGTTTTTTGGGCCAATTTATCCCCATAGAAAATAGCACAGGGGGTAAAAATGTGAAATGTTAAGAAGTTTGTTGTCTATACATTTTTAGATAAAGAATCGAATCTGTTCAGTAGATTATACGAGAAAAGTGTCTCCCCGTTTTTAAAAATTTATTTACGAGAAAAATGCAGTTAAAGTTTTCGTAATGTATTACAGTGCGAGTTTAGAAATAGTCTGAAAAATTGCTATAACTTTTTTTTTTGCATATTTTTTCAAAAATGTTTTCGGGCATTAATTTGATGATTCGTTTTAATTTATATTTAATAATTATATGCTTTTGTTTTCTCTTGTCAAGTTTTACTAGATTATATTATGTGGACGTCCACATGAAAAGGGCCCATTTTGGCACTATTGGACTTATCTATACATGGGCACCTTAACCCTCTGCTGATGCTAACTTATCCCCACTCTATAGACAAAGAACGTAACTCCCATAGTCCCCACCAGGCGTCCAGAATGACGATTTTTGACGATAACGGTCGTTAGCATCAGCAGAGAGTTAAAGATGAAAAATCAAGAGGTTTTAAATTTTTCCACACCTCAATTTTTAAAATACGTATTACTTTTGCAAATGACCGACAAAATGGGCCCTTTTCTTTTTTCTAAAGAACCAATGAAATTAAACAGTTAAATTATCGATAAATTAATGAAAACCGCGTGATTCGACTTGTCAAAACATATAGATTGATAATAAAAAATAAAAAAAAAAATTAAGATTTATCCCAAAATTACTAAATTGCGATTATCTTGAAAACTAGAACCGACAAAATGGGCCTTTCTCATGTGGACGTACACATATAAATTGTCAATAAGAAAGAACATTAATTTTTATTTTTTAATCACGACTTTTAATAAAATTATGATTTTCTAAGAAAAAAAATTTCTACTTTATAATTACATTTTTTGTCAAAAGTTGTGTTTTTTTGTAAAAAAGGTCAAATGCGCATATATATATATATTATTACATACCTCTGTAAACTGTTCCAAATCCACCTTTGCCAAGGATATTCATTTTATTCCAATTATTAGTACCAATTGCAAGTTCATCAAACATTGCTAGGGGTAAATTATTATCAATCGGAGATTCATGTAAAAGATTATTTGAATAACTCTGAGGAAGAGGCGGGCTCATAAATTTCTTTGGTTGATTTATTATTTTACGCCATTCTTCATCTTCAGAATTCTTTAATACTACTTTTTGAACAATATTCTGAGTAGGAGAAACATGATTAAAATTTTTTGTATCAATACTCATATCCTTCTCCTTTGATTTTTTATGTAATTTTTCTTTGCCTCTTTTCCGCAAATTTCCTTCTCCTTTATCTATTAGAAGATGATATTTCGGATCTACCAATGGTCTCAAAATATTCATTGCCTGATAATGTTGCATTCTTGATAAAAGAATAAAGAGTTCTAAAATTTTGTGGTTATATTGACTCCACTTGGTTAGTAACTCGTCAGTCGGGTTTCTCTCTTTTCGAAGCTCATTGACAACTTTGAATTTAAATTGCATTCCTATTCCTAAAAAATTACAATACAAATCTTTAAATTAGAAGTGACAACTAAACTTTCTTATATGTGACAAGGACAGTTAAAAGGGGGGTCGTCCATAAAGCATGTGATACAGATTTTGGGTAATCTAGACCCCCCCTCCCCCCTCGTGATGCTTTTTCCATTAACAGTTAACATGGAGTGTGATATTTTGCTGACCTCCCCCCCAACCCTAAAGTATCACATGCTTTATGAATGACCCCAAGGGGCTACGGTTCGAAAAAATAAATTTTTTATTATTTATTGATTTTGATAGAAAAAAATTGCCTCTATCAGAATCACTAATCAATAAAAAATTGATTTTCTAGAACCGTAGGTCCCTTTTAACTGTCCCTGTAACATTCCATATGCAAAGAAGCTTTGTTCACCAAACAGTGATTACTTGGTTGAATAACAGTTTTGTTGAATTACAATTGTATAATTGCAAAGATTTTGTGTGTGTTTCTGTATGCCACATTGCGCAATAAAACTATAATGAAAGGAATTTTTAAAAACTATTACGACAGAGGAAAAGTTTATGCAATATGTAAAGTCAATTACTTCATATCATTATTGGGTGTAAAAATAAATGTTTTATTTCGTGCGTATAGAACTATAACGCAGTTGAATCGAACTTTTAGAAACTTTTTAAGAAAACAAATACCATATTAAATATGGATTAATGGAATTTATAGCATAAGACTCTTAATTTTTATTATTAAAAGAAAAAAAGTGAGAAGAAATTATTATAAACATATATGATACTTGCCCAATTCTTCCCACTTGTCATTCTCATTTAAGATTCTACATAATTCCATACGAATGAAATAAGGTATTTCGTAAATATAAATTTGTGCATTATGGTTGTCATTCATTCTTCAATTAACTTTCCACTTCTTGGCATTACTATAAATATTTTTTCAAAAATTAGATTTCTGATTATTGCACGCAAGAAAGGTTATGGTTATAATCAATCATAAAGGCGCAGACACAGCTCGACTGCTTACCTGCAGGCAGGCTGATTCCACACTTACCCAACGCTCCACTTTTCCGTGGCGCTTCGCGTGAGACAGAAAAAGATAGAGATAGTCTCTGTCTTTTTCTATCTCACGGAAAAGCGGAGCGCTGGGTAAGTGTGGAATCAGCATCAAGCGGTGTTTACACTCACTGCTCAACGCAAAACGTAGCATGGCACCATGGCACCGTTTTGCGTTGCGTTTTGTAACTAGGCCATGAGTGTGAGAGAGATACAGATATAGGTTTGCTCTATTTGCACTGGCACTTGCACATACATTGGCACCTATTGGAGACTCAGCTTAAGAAATAAGTTGCAAATATAAGGTTGAGTCAACAATGCACTGAAAAAAAAGTTCTGGTAGGGTATATTATACCAAGAAGACGTATATATATATATACATAGTTTATACATTGTTTATACAAAGCCACAATTTAGTCAACTACAGCCTCTCTGTAGTAAAGAAGAAGAAGAAGAAGAAGAAGAAGAAGAAGAAGAATTAACCAAAAACTTCAAGAAACGTTAAAATAGTCACAAAACATTAAAATTTCTGACATTTCTTATTATTCCTGATTTTATTTTTAGCAGGCATTGAATTTCACAAGCACATTAAAAAAGGAAAATAGAACTTTTGACAAATAATTTGAAAAAGTGTTTAATGTTGAAAGTCAAGTTTTGAAATCTAACCTCACTTTTATTCTATTGAGAATGCAAAGTGAAGGAAATTATTCTTCATAAGAGAGTGTTATACAGTTTCCAATAGCTAAAGTCAAAAATGCTTATAACACAACCGATCTGCATCTCAGAATAATTGTCAAGTCAAGTACTTTCTCATTCTTTTGAATGCGCGTTTCATATATATTTTTGTGAAGCCAATTCAGAATAATAAAATTTTCTGGAATTTTGATGGTTCCCGTGTGTGGAATAGAACTCTTAAGTAAATTCGCCTTTTAAGGAGAATACAACTTTTGAATTCTTTTCAATTTTCCGTTTCTTAACGGGATATGATGACAAAGACGTATATTAGAGAGGTCAAGAGACGAATATAATTTCAAAAATTTTCCAAGATTAAATGTTTTTATTAAATACTTTATATATTGAATTTCTCTTAGCAGATGTTGTGTTGTTACATTCTTCCCAAAAGTATATGAAGTAATAGCATTGTGTTGAATAAGACGCCATTATTATTTATTACATGAATATTGTAACTCGGAATCGTAATTCTCTTTCTTCCGCAGCCTGAAACATTAATTTAACAATTTTGAGTCACAAATGAAAAATAAATTAACTTTAATAAAATTTATTATTTTGAAACTCTGTCCTTGGTAAATTTTTGATAATTTATACCATGAAAATTTGCCAAGCTTGCAGTACAAGATAAGCTTGACAAAGACAGCAAAATTTCCACTATGTATATGTATACATTTTAAATCTTAATCGCAGTCAAAATTTCACTGATTTCAATTACAAGTGGATGGGGGTTTTCTTTGATGACTCTGTGGAATTTCACTGACAATCAGTGCGGTTTTAACTGATTGTCAGTGAAATTCCACCTGATGAATTGAAGAAAACTCTTATACTTGTAATCGAAATCAGTGAACTTTTCACTGATTTAGGGGGCGTCCATAAATCACGTGATGCTATTTTTGACCATTTTTGACCCCCCACCCCCCCCCCATGTGATACACTATTGCATGTATTAGCGCCATTTTATCTGCAAGTCGTGATAAATTTGTTGACCCCCCACCCCCCCTAAAGTGTAACGTGATTTATGGACGGCCCCTTAGAGTGTAGCAAGCTTTCGCAGTTCCGTCGAAATACATAATTTTTTGCTAAAAAATCAAACGAATATACATAATTAATAAAAATGAATGTTATAGAAAAATCTTCAATTTAAAATAATAAAAAATAAAACAAATTTTTTTTTGAAATATTATTGCAAGTGTGTTGCGCAAGCTTATATGGAATATTTGCACTATATACGTAGTAAGCTTCACTGCGCAAAAACTGGTATGTCTAATGGAGACACTTTTGTCCTCACTTTTAAGACGGTGTATAGAATATCTTTTTGGAGGACGTCAAAAGTGACTATTTTCAGACACTAAAAGTGCGTTTTTACATTGCTGAGAAGTTGATTGAATTTCAAAATATTTTTTGTTCAAAGTGTTGCATAATATCTTAAAATAAGACGTGTTTCAAAGTCACGAGTATTTTTGGTATTGCAGCAATCATTACTTGAAATCAATCTCTCGATTATACAGAAACATTTCACGTAAAGTTCGCAAGTGGACATTTTGCTGACTCTTTGTGACAATCTTTTGCTGTAAGAGTGCAATAAGGTAAGCTTATACAGTAATAAGCTTTCCTTTTATCTGCCGGGTATAAATAACAAGGCGTATTCAATAGGAAACGAATGAAAACACAAGTTTTATCTTTTTTTTATGGAAAAAAGAAACACTTACCTGTAAAAGCATTACAAAACGGCCGTTTTTGTCTAATAGATTCTTTCAAAAATTTGTTTTCCAAAAATGACAGAATACTCTAAAAAATTAAAACAGTTTCGTTAAATTATTAAAAATATGCAAGTGGAACGCGCAATAGCGCAGCATCCTGAACGAGTAGGGTAATAATAGTAATATGTACTGCAAAAACTCAGATGGTATCTCACTCGTGTCTTAAAATGAGTTGCTTTAACTAGTGTTTAAACCATTGAGGTAGAAAATCTGTTTTATATTAAGACATTTAATTTCATCTCGTGTCTGATTTTAAAAAATTAAAGATTACTCGAAACACATCGTGTCTCAAAATGAGGTGCTAAATATGTAAGACACTTTGCAACGTCTTAAAATCAGACACATATCTGTTTCAAAACATGTGGACACAAGACATCTCATGTGCTTCAAACATAGGGGCAAAAAACATATATTCGAAATCTGGATTTTTAATTAATGTTCGATGCGCGAACAAAAGGTGACTTTGAACATTACTTCAAAGTTTAAAATCCATCTTTTATTTTTATGCAGTCACCTTTTGTGTTGATCATAGAAAAACAGCTATAGTATCCAGATTTAAAGAATTACTTCAACTTTTGTGAGTTTTGAAATAATAAATTTATAATCATCACGACTCTTTATTACTTGTGCGCATGCTAAAACTGCGCAGTCTTTAAAGTTTTTACTTTTTTACACTTGGACATTAATGAATATATGGTAGTGTTGCACCAGTGAAAGAATTGATACCAGCAAAAGAACAAATTGTTTATTTATCACGATTAGCAGTAGTATGAAAAAAATATGTCTTCAAAATATAGTTTATGATAAAATAATAGATTCAAAATGCAATAAGTTATTTCTGAAAATAATTTTTTAATTTTTTGGTGGGTTATATGAACATGACAAATGAACAAAGCATAAACAGAAAATAGGCTTTTATTTTACGGAAAATGTAGACAAAATAATGGTGCTAATGAATATCTTACTAATTTATGTAAGAAAAGTTGGGGCACTTTTTAATTCAATAATATTTATAAATGTAAAGTTGGAAAAACATTTGAGATTGTGTCACTAACTTTAGCTATATATATTATGAGTATATGTGTGTGATATTGGATTAAAAATTTAAAAAAAACTATAATGTAAATATCAAACCCGTTTCTGAGCTGAAATAAAGATTATATTATTATTATTAGTTAATTGAGTATGTTCATTTACAAAATTCCAGTGTTTCTTAACAAAAATACCTTGTTAAGAATAATAATATATAATGTAAATGAATAAATAATATTAATAGTTATATAAATAATAATAATTGTTATTTTCGCTCGACGAAATCTTCTTCCCACAATACGTTCAAATACTAGCAACGGCGAAATATTACACGTTATAATAAAATATACTTGCCAATTTAACAGTAGCAACATGTAAAATGGTAGGTAAATGTAACAAACATAATGCAATAAACCATTTGTGGATAAAATTTTTCATCTGAAAGGAGAAAGTAAATGCGATGGAAATTATTTTAATTTATAAATCTTAATCATAGACAATTAAATCGCAGTTATATGTCTTGTCTTGACAAAAAAAAGCTTAATAGAAAAGTAATTTCTGGTTACACAAATCCTCATATATCTTAATGGTAAAATTGCAGTTGTGAATTTTGAGCTATATAAAAGGCAATATTATGCTTGGTTAAATTTCAAACCATTTGAGAGCGTGCGGTCTTGCAGACTCCTCTAATAAAAAATTCGCCAAGTTATAGAGATTCAAAGAATGTTATTTCGGCGCACTCACCCCTAACCCCGAGTTAACGATGATGATCCGCAATCATCAATAACATATTCTGTTGGAGATCTAATCATTAACCCAGAGTTAGGGGTGAGTAGTGTGGAAAATTGTTTTATTCTTATATATATTTACATTTATACTAAATTTGTTTCATATACATTATTATACTTTTTAATATATTGATGAAATTTCACACAAAAACTATAGTCACAAAAGTTTCTTATTATAGACAAATTATAATTTTTTAAAAAAAGATAAAAAAAAGTTTTAAGAATTTTTTTAGAAAAGTTATTTCAGAACAAAAACTTTCAGTTTCCATCTTATCAAAGCGATATGAATATTCTCAATTAGAGAATTTAAACACTTACTTTTTGCTTATAAACGATGAATGTGACTGCGACAAGTCAATTTCAAAGTTTAATATTTGACACAAAATTTTAGAAGGAAAAAATCGGAGCCCTAGAAATTTTTTTAATTTACTTCATTAATAAATATGTTTAGTCACACGTTTAAAAGTAATAAGAAGAATGAAATAACGCCTGCGTAAGGAGGTAATCGATAAGTATTAACTGAAACGTTATCTTAAATTCTCTCTCAAAATATATAATAGATGAAAAATTTAATATTAAAAAAAAAATAAAATTTTTCCTTCAATTCTTGTTTCATAAAGTTAAATTAAAGAATATTAGGAGGCCTCTCGCTATTTAATGACAGTCAGAAGTCTGCATTAAACGAATTTTTATTGTAATTCCGACAATTATTAAAAAAACAATCAGTCGACATATTTGTATATTTTTATATTAGTATTTATTAAATTTTTGTTATAAATACAATGATGTAGGAAAACAAATTTATTTATCACGTTAGTCACGATAACTATAATATATATATTTAATATTCTGATTGAAACGCTACGTTTTCCAAAAGGTGCGTACAAACTGCGAAAGAACAGCATATATGCAGTTACCTGTAATAGAAAAAATTTAAAGAATATGTCAGCCTCCACCCTGTCGTGGAAAATATATGTTGTATAATAAAAATGAGCTGTTTGTACGTTTTTCTTAATTTACCATATTTCACATACACATATCGCGCGCAAGGTGATTTTGTTATATATATATATATAATTTTATCTGTCCTAAAAGTGTTTTTTTTTACAAAATTTATCAGATTTCCTGAATTATTTTTACTCAAATGCTACGTATTTATATATTCGATTTTTTCTTAAATCCACCACATCAAAGTTATTGTAGAGAAACCCGTAATGTACTCTCTCTCTCTTCCTGCATTTTACAAAGTTGGCAACAGTGCGCGCGAGCTGAAAACTGAGTCTGGTATGAACAGCATGTGACCTTCACAAAAGTGATGCAGTCAGGTTTCTGCTTCTAATATGACGCTTGCGCAATTTACATAGCATCAAAAAGTATTTGTGACAATTTCAGTGTGTATTTTTTAAAACATAAAGAAGTGTATTTACTATTTTAGTGAAGAGAAAACTACAATATCCGCATATCAAATCATTCCAATTTGTTTTCGTTCCTTTGGAAGCCATCAAAGAAAGAAGGTTCTGCATATATACTTTTGTCATTTCTGCTACTGACAATCACATTGCGATCACATGTGAGATTTAACACTTTGAATTTGCAATCTTGGACGAAAGGTACGTCATTATATCTTTAACCTGTATTCTAATTTATTTTAATAATCATAGTTTAAGTAAATCATGAAATGTATTATATACACTATATGCTATGTTTGTGTCAAGTATATGAATTTCATGATAATATTTTTAGATTAGTATTTAAATACTTTAAGTTTATTATAATGGTTATAATGCTGCGAAATTTTTCTTTACAATTTTACTCAAGTATACTTTTCAAGTATAGTTTCATGTGATTGAAAGTGATATTACATATTATATAGGTTATATATGTTAATCTTTTTACAAAAATGTATCAAATAAGTACACAAGTTTGATGGTATAACTGCAAACTGCATTAAATATACCTATAGCTCTAAACACAGTAAATTTACAGAAAATAAATTTACAAAAATTACAAGATTAATCGCATCAGTGACTATATTTGACAAACAAATTTTTTACAGTGTGATTTAAATGATTAAAGGTTTTTTTGAGTTTCAAGATTCAGAGTTGTTTTTTAATTTAATATAAGGCAAAAAATTGTTATTGTATAAATTAAGAATAAAAGTATTGCTTATTATAATCAGAATTAGTAAAAGTCTATATTACTAACAAATGGTAAAATTTTACCAAGTTTTAGTTCATTTACGACTTTTCTACTTTTCAATTAGTGGTAGATATATATTACTAATTATTAGTAAAATTTTACTAATGTTTTAGTAGAATTTCACTAATTGAAAGACATTTATTTCACTGAATGAATATTAGTGAAACTGTTTTATCGACTATTAATAAAACAGTTTTACTAATTGTTGGTAGAATTTTACTATATAGTTGAGATCTACTAACAATTGGTAAAATTTCACTTTTTGTTGGTAAAATTATTCGAATTAGTCTATTATGATGGATGACTTTTCGTCATTTCATTATAGTAACTTTCTACTAATTCAGATTTAGAGAGTCTATATCAGTAGATGTATACGTATATTTATAATCCATTACAAAAGTTTAGTTTCGTTTTAGTTTCAGAGTTATTGACACAAAACTAAACTAACAAACTATGATTTTAGTTTTGTGTCAATAACTCGGAAACTAAATTAACAAACTGAATTTTTCAAAATAAAAAAAAATTAATTTATTTCAGTGCATAGATGTAAATAATAAGTGCGTCTGAGAGAAACTCAATTATTTAGTTTCAATTAAAAAATCACAGCAAAAAACAAAATATTATTAAAGAAATAATATTATTATTATATTATAACCTTAATAATAGATATAAAGTAGTATGTAAGGAGACTTTAATAGAAAATAAAATGGAAAAGTGAACCCAATATATTAAATATTTAAATATTTTGTTTTTTAGTAATTTTTTGACTGACACTAAATATTCAAGTTTTTCAGACCAAAACTATATGTGGACGTCCACATGAAAAGGGCCCATTTTGGCACTATTGGAGTTATCTATATGGGCGTAATCCTGGCAAAATTTGGAGAATTTTGAGTGGTCTTAGAACTTTTTTGGTTGAAAATTCGCTGAGTTACGGAATTTCAAAGTTTAGAACGCCAAAAACCTCATTTCGAGAAAAACGGAATTAAAGATTGCGATACCAATAACTAATTGTTGTATCTCTGGTTCTTCTTGGAAGTTATTCAGATAAGAATTGTTTCTAGTTCAGGGAACCTTGAAGATAAAAAACCAACAGGTTTTAAATTTTTAGAACCACCCCCTCCCCTTAATTAATTAATTAATAATTTAAAAACCGACAATATGGGCCCTTTTCTAAAAAGGACAGTTTTTCTATTAAAAAACCATTTTTTTACAGAATTAATGATTAGGTACAATTTTATTGTGTCATTTGAAGAAAAAGAATAGATATTAAACTTATTTAAAAATTTTTGACAGTCTCTATTATGAAAAAATTGACGAAATATACAAATTTTCATTTCGATAATTACGAAAAAAAGACTCTAACATCAATATCTCTGGTTCTTCTGAGAAGTTATTCAGATAAGAATTGTTTACAGTCCAGGACACCTTAGAGATGAAAAATCAAGAGGTTTTAAATTTTTCTATACCTCCATTTTTAAAATACAGATTACTTTTGCAAATGACCGTCAAAATGGGCCCTTTTCATTTTTCTAAAGAACCAATGAAATTAAACAGTTAAATTATCGATAAATTAATGAAAACCGCATGATTCGACTTGTCAAAACATGTAGATTGATAATAAAAAATAAAAAAAAAATTAAGAATTTGCTCAAAAATTACTAAATTGCGATTATCTCGAAAACAAGAACCGACAATATGGGCCCTTTTCATGTGGACGTCCACATAGGGTAAGTGCGGGTATAGTCGGACAGTACTAGTAGTCGGACACTTTCGTGTTTTTTGGCAAATAAATAATAATGCATTGTGATAATTACTTTAAAAAGTATACTAGACGAATGTGTGAAGTTTTTATTTTATTAAAATAGTGTTATTTTCGAAAATAATTAAACAAGAAATATTTTATTTAATGTTTTAAAAATCATGGTGTCCGACTATAGATACAACCATTTTCGAGTAGCGTGATGAGTGGCACAAAGTTTTGTTGATAATTAATCATAAATATTAAAACTTATAGGGTTTAAATATTATATTAATAACTTCTAATATGCTTTAATTCCATTTTCCAGCAGATAGCAATTAAAAAATTATCTTTTTTACTTTATACATTCAAAATATCTGACAGATGTCCGACTATAGAAACAAGGGGAAAAAGTGTCCGACTACTAAAGCATTCGTAATTTTTTATTAAAATGTTTATATTTTATTAAATACTCAACTATTTGTAACAAATTTATATGATTTTTAATCCTGAAGAACTTCTTTAATTAATAATGTGCTTATAAACACAGTAGATATTTGCTATTTCAAGAAAAAAAGCATAATTTAAGATTGTATCCTTAAGTGTCCGACTACTAGTGCATTTACCCTATCTTAAATTAAAACACTTTTTTTGGCAAAATATTTGGGCTAAATAAATGAAAGCGCTAATAATTATACCGCAATTGCTAATACAATCCCACTACCAATTTTTTTCCCATCTTTTCTATATACTCTAAAAGGTCTAGTTAAAATGACTAAAATTCTGTTCATTATTATCCAGAAAATTATACGTTAATAATACCCGTACTACTTTTTCTGGTTAAAAGTATTTGACATTCTAATTACAAAACTCTGATTAAATTTCTGCGGTAAATTTAACCCGAATTTCTTGTTAAATATTCAAAAAATTTTCTAATAAAAAATTCTAGTTTCAAAAAACCACAGTAGGATAAATGCTTTAACTTGATAAATTATATTTAACCAAAATTCTCTAGTTTTATGAATCAACTACAAGAGATATAGGTACATATAACAATATTAAAAAAAAGTGAAAAGGTATTTTTTTTAAAATAATTATTTTATTGATGTACAATATGGTAAAATTTGAATATTTATTCCTCTATACTTATTATTTACAATATTTCTCTTATGTTTGGGTTTACAAAATGATTTTAATTTTATGGTGTACAGAACCCGCCGTCATTTCAGTGCGCGAGTGCGCAACTCACACTTGCCCATTTTTTTCAATTTTGTTACTTTTTGTGCAACTCTTTTGTTGATTTGGTAAATTGTCCCCATTTTTCACCTTTTTCTAATATACATACAAAATTATAAAGTTAAAATTTTATTTGTAGGTTAGTATCATGGGAAAAGTTGCAAAAAGTTTCATCGAGGAAAGTACATATAAGCTGCCTATTAAAATGTCCCGCAGTGGTAGGCAGATAAAACTTCCACAAAAAATATCTTCTGATGAAGCTCCTTTAGTAATAAAAAAACCCAAACAATCATTAACAGTAGATGGTAAATTATATCAAAAGGATCAGTTAAAAACTTTGGAAATGTCCAGTACGTCGCAATCGTTAATTGATGACTCTGGATCCAACCCTCAATTTCTAATTCCAAAGGATCCTTTGTACGTAAGATTCAATTAATTTAGAATGTGCACGCATGCTTTAGCGTATCTAATGCTAATAAACATATATCTAATAAAACATATATTATGTTTTAGCATAATTAAAGTAAGTAGGTTAAATTAAAATGGAAATTTATAGCATAATTATTGATAATATTTGAAAGCAAAATTGTATCATGAAAGTGACAGTTTTCTGAGAGCATACGCGTCGAATTGTCAAATTCAGTCTTTAATTACCAACTAATTTTTTCGATTAGCAGAAATATACCAATGAAGAACTACACTGCTGACAACAAATCCAACTCTGAACTAATGGAGAAACAAAATTCATTTAAAAATGCTTCTCGCCCTTTTATTAGTCCACCACATGAACATGCTGAAATGTTTGATTTTGTGGATCTAGAATTGTTCCAAAGGTCTTCAGAAAAAATAAACGATGCATCTTTTAAAACTAGAGTGTTGGATATCTTGGAGTAAGTATAAAAATATTTATTTCAATTTCTTTATACTTTTCTTGCATTAATTGCAAGGTTCAAAAATGCATAATTTGCTCACAAACTAAATAATATGTAAAATTATTCTCCATACGAGAAAAGAAAATGTTTTCTCTCTAAATCTGAATTGGTAGAATTCTACTAAGAAATAGTAAAATTTGACTAATTTTTAGTAGTTTTCATGGACGACTTTTCCCCTTTTCAATTAGTAGAATATTACTAATTCTTAGGAAAATTTTACTAATATGTTTTAGTAGAAATTCATTAATTAAAAGTCACTCATTTCACTAAATGAATTAGTAAAACTGTTTTATCGACTATTAATAAAACAGTTTTACTAATTGTTAGTAGAAATCTACTAATCAATTAGTAAAATTCACTATTTGTTAGTAACTTTCTACTAAGAAATGGTAAAAATTTAATAATTTTTACTAGTTTTCATGAAAGACTTTTCCCCTTTTCAATTATAGTAGAATATTATTAATTTTTAGTAATATTTTACTAATTATTAGTAGAATTCCACTATAATTGAAAGTCACTTTTTTACTAAATGAAAAATTAGTGAAACTGTTTTATCGACTAATAATAAAACAGTTCTAGCTACTAATTGTTTGAAATCTACTAAGAATTAGTAAAATCTACTAATAATTAGTAAAATCTACTAATAATTAGTAAAATTTCACTATTTGTTAGTAACATTATTATACTAAATCATTTGGTGGAAGACTTTTCGTTATTTCATTAGTAACTTTCTACTAATTCAGATTTAAGAGACTATATGGATGTTTCAGCAGCTCAAAACAACTATAGCAAAATACGTACCCGTTTAAAAAAAATGCATTTTTCGCAAAATGGCATCGATTTAAAGCGGCGAAAAAGTTTGTATTTTTATGAAACTGAAGTTACCATAAACGTTTATTGTTTGACGAAAAATATAATACGTAACAATTTCCCCGCCTCAGATCCAATTATTTTTTTTCCACATTTATTATAGATACTATAATATTAGAAGTCATTAGAAATTATTTTCAAGTCGAACCAGGTCGGGGAGGGCAATGATTTTGATTTTTTGTCGCGAATTTTTCGGAAAAATTCGCGACAAAAAATCGAAATCATTGCCCTCCCCGACCTGGTTCCAGTTGAAAAATTGTTTCGAAATTTCTGAATTTTTCGAAAAATCCGTGACAAAAAATCAAAATCATTGACCTCCCCGACCTGGTTCCACTTGAAAATAATTTTTTATGATTCCTGACATTAGTATTTTTAATAAATGTAGAAAAAAAATTGGATCTGAGGCGGGGAAATGGAAAAAATGGTTTAAAAATTTCTGAATTTTCGAAAAATCCGTGACAAAAAAAAAATGTCAAAATCGTTGCCCTCCCCGACCTGGTTCCGCACTTGAAAATAATTTCTAATGTGATTCCTGACATTAGTATTTTTTGTAAAAGTGGAAAAAAAATTGAATCTGAGGCGAGGAAATAGAGATTGTAAACGTATTATATTTTTCGTCGAACAAATAACGTTGGTATATAACTTTAGTTTCATGTATATTTTTCCCAGAATTTCATTACTTAAAGTTGTCTATAGAAAATTTGAAAAATTAATATTTCAAAGAATCCGTACGTACTCTGCTATAGATAATTATATCACAACCAAAAAAGAACTAAGAGGATCGATTGAAATTTGTGGTAGCTATACGTATTATTTAATCAAAAAATTTTTTTTTTCGATTTTTTTAAAATTTTTAAGTATAGTGTAACCCCATTAACAAGAATGATACTACAAATGTTTAGCAACAATCAAATGGCTTCTATCTCATATTTAGTTTTGTAGTTATTCAAAATTATAAATACATAGTTAAATCTCTTGTCCTATATCGACTTTCCCAATCAATTTCATTATAAATACTAATTAATTGTGAATAATAATATCGTAATAATTTGCTAATATCATATTAAGAATATAATATAACTCTTTTTTTTTTTTTTTTTTTTTGCCATGATATAATTAAAATTTTTTAATATTTAAGTAATTATGCTCATTATTAATAAATCTAAAATTTTTCAATTTTTAGTGTTTTACGAGAGCAAAATAAAATGATTTTAAGACAACAAGAGATAATTTTAAAAGAATTATCAAAAAATAATAATGCTACAGAGAGAAAACTTTCAGAAAGTTTATTAACACCATTACGAGGTTTTCCTATTGAAACAGTGGAAAGATTTCAAGAGTTTGAATCAGAAATTGGTAAAGAAAGTCGAACAAGAGTCGTAAGTATATAGATGTTAATGTTTTTAAACGCATAATGTATAATTAAACCAAGAGAGTACAATAATAACTGGGATTATTATTATTATTATTTCCAAATTTTGTGTTTTTTGTTTTTGTATCATTCTTGACCATATTTTTCATCCCATTAAAAATTGAAAACGATATCTAGATATAATTTTTGGGGAACTTTTGTACTCTTATTTCTTGTAATTCTATATGTATAAGCAACACTGCAAAAAGAAGCATCTTGAAATATGCAGATTGTAAGTCACTTTCAAAAAGTTATTAAAACATTTTATTTTTCCAACTTTCATTTTGGAAATTAATGCATTAATTTAAGATGCTTTTAATAATTTTTTGGAAACAACTTTTAAATGACTACCAAAATATCTACGATGTTTACTGCGTTTAGCATTAAAAAAAAAAATAGTTTTCAATATTTTAAAACTCTTTTTTTTAGTACAATCACTTGGTAAATATGGGTGGTGCAACTTTAAGAAATTTTCTATCCAATTCCTTAAGGAGACTTTTAACTGACAATTTAGTATGCTCTTTTACGTGGAATGGAGGTGACAATACCTTAAAGTTTGGCGATACTAGAATTGCAAATGTTTTATATCGTAAGTACGAATTGTCAAAGTATATTTGCATGCGTGCACGGAGAAACTTTTTCTTTCAATACATTCAATATATTATTGGCTATATATCTTTATTCTAAAAGAACTTTAGAATGTTGATAAATTTCATGTGCGCACTGTATGTCAATAATTTCATCTTTTATAAAAAAAAAAAATATGTTTAAAGTTGTATTAAAGAATTCTCCGTGTGCACGTCTAATTAATTCTGTTTGTCACATTGACTATATTATACTCTACACGGAGAAACTTTTAATACCACTAATTCTTAAAACTGGTGAGACATTTTAGTATGTTAGGTTAGATTCAAGGGAAAAACGACATAGGTTATAGAAATTGCTATTGAGACTATCAAAAACACTCATTCAGTATATATTTTACAGTTCTTCATAAGGAAACTAACGAAAATTAGTATGTTGTTTTAGAAAGAAAATAATAATTTTTGCAAAGTTGGGAAAGCCATGAATTAAAAAGAAACACAACAAATTAATTGTCTATAGATACTCATAGAGACGATAGTGATACTTGGATCTGATGGTAGATGGCATTAGTGTATGTCACTGTAACTGTAGGTAAATATATTTAACACGACGTAAGAACCTAACCTATATTAAAAACGCACACACGCACACGCAAGTAAAGACACGACGATTGGTCACGGAAACCGAAAGATCGCACGATTCGTTAGAAGTACACAGCTGAATCGTCCTTATATATTAAACGAGTGGAAAAATATGTACCTTCGAGAGAGAGCATTTTTTTAAATAACTTTCTAATCAAATTATGTAAATAAGTAAAAGTCGTGAAAAAAATTATGTTATATTGAGGAACAGTTCTTGAATTTAATTTGGCATGAGGAGACATTCACGTTTATTAATAAAATGTTTTTTTCTTTCATACACGTGTGAATTTCAACTTCGAAAACATAAGGGTTAGTTCGCGACGTCAGGTGATGGACTCGGTGATGCTCGGGTGAAATCGGTTAAGTCCGCCCGCAGTCCTTCCAAAATTGGTATGTTACGTTAGAATGTCTCTTATATATTCTATCTATATGTGTAAAAAAGGTTAGAATTACCGTATTATTTCACAAACAAAAACTAGCATTTTATTCTTTTCTAAAGAAAAATAAGACTATTTCTAATGCAGATAGTAATTTTTGTACACCGAAGGTTGCTTAATATATAACGAACTTATCATATTTTCGTATTAATGTTGAAATTATTAGCACAACGCACGAAAAATCCTCACATTCTAACGTACTTTTAGAATAAACATAACCAAATATATTTAATATTATAAGAAAAAGTTTCTCCGTGTAAAACATTTTAAAAGTTGATTGTGCGACTTGTTGATAATTTTAATACGACTATTTTCAGAAGCTTCCAAAAGGTGTGAAAATTTCGATGGTCCTACCAATAAGGAAATTTTTAAACATCACATGTTGGAAGTTTTAAGACATACTAAGCAAAGGCACAGGAAACTTTTAAAGAAAAATCTTCCAATGGAAACTTCTGAAGATCATGACGAAGTAATTAAACTTCAAATGGAAACTTTGGAAACTGAACGCGAATGTGAGAATGATGATGGAAATGAAAGCTATGATTGTGAGGAAGAAATTTACGAAGTCAAAGAAAGTGCTTTCTTAGATACCTAGTTTATACCTCCATTTCTTTCATTCAATTGTTTTATCTCTATTACCAAATAAAACTTGATTTATAATATTTTTATTTCAATAAAACTTGTAATCTTCTTTTCAAATAATAAATATTGGTTATTTTTATTAGATGAGTGTATTTTACAATTCGTCTTATTTTTTGTTGACAAAATCAAAACCTTGATAATGAAAATTTTTTAAAAATGGTAAAATTCGAGAAATCGACTTTTATACACAACTATTTTTTGAAATGCATACCTCTGCGCATTTTGAACTGTATGTTGTGTGATTACCTATACATATTAAAAAGTAAGTCATTTTCGTAATTCAACATTTTTGGATAAATTTATATTTCATTTATAAAGAGTGATTTAAACATTTTTTCAAGTATATAGGTACACATGTAATTTCTATATAGAATGTAAGAATATTATATACAAGTGTATTTCACTTTTACATTTAATTATAATATATATTAAACTTTCTGCCGTTTATAGTTTATCTTTCCTGCAAAAGATCCATAGAGTTAAAAATATCCAAATTACTTTATTAATTATCAAAAAAAAAAAAACTATCCTCTCAAAAAGTGTTTTTCAGGTCTTGGATAATTGTTTTACAAATCATATTAATCTGAAAAAATTAGTTGGTCGCCCACATCAGGTTTATTTATCTCATCTCCTTGTCTCATTCTTATGTCGATTTTCCCCTCACCATTGTAATTTGGCGTTGTGTCTGCGAAAAAAAGATTATTAATTGTGATCTTGATATAAAAACCAAACATTTATGAATAATTTTAATCTATAGTAAAAGAGTAGTAAAAAAAAAAGTATCAATTTGCAAAGTTTTAATTTGTTTACCACGTTTTAAAAACAGCCGTGATCAAATTTTGTAAAAACATGCTTTTGCGATGAATTAACAATACATCTCGAATTTTACATGCGTATCTTTTGCAACATGCTTCTGATGTTGATTAATTTATTTATTTCAAAATTACGCAGAAATTGCAATTCCTAATTACAGTTTAAAGTACTAGTCTATCTATTACTTTGAATTTAGCTTTTCAATATAGGAAAATATTTCAAGGAAACGACTTTTTTTTGGAAGACTGAAGAAGACTCGCACATAAAAAGATGAACCTCCACTTACCCACGCGCGATGATCTATCTATGAAAATAAATGACGTTTAAAAAATTTCAGATTTATTCCAACCGACCGCAGGCAATTTTCTTATTCTTCTATTGCGTCATTTTTAATCTCTCTCTCTTTCATTTGACATCATTCTGAAAATCGAAAATGACAAACGCGCAAACGTTCCTAACCGAATATTGCGCTGCTTTACACGTCGCTAAAGAAAAGTGATGCTACTTAATATATAAGGACACTTTTAAGAATATGGTATACAATAATAACAAAAATTGTATAAAAAAGTAAACAACTAAAAAAATATGCATAACTCTAGTAACATTAAGAATACTTTAAGCAATGCGTGATGTACAAGGAGAAAATTGATTTCTTTTATGTTTTAACGAATCTCTATATGTCACGTTTTTCGTAAACTTTTAGTTCTAGCAACCATCATACAAATATTATTCTTGACCATATAGCAAATTTTTAGCCAAATTCGTTGAAACCTCTTTGAGTTATCGTGCGTTTACAAAAAAAGGAGCCACACACCCACACACACACACATTTGTTGTGTACATTTGTTCAGGGTCTTTTATGTATAACACATTTCTATATAGAGGAAAATTTTTTCAAGTATTTCTAAAAATTTTATAAATTAAATGATTACAAAGTGCTTCTAATCCACGAGGAAGCAAAACGATCGTCTCAACCTTCATAGTTCTTACACGCCTTTGCTTATAATATTGCCGTTTGAAATTTTAATTGCAAATTAAGAAAATTTAATATTTTTAATACTTGTGCGATTATATTTTTATTTATTATTCTTTGAAATTATTCTGAAATAATTGTATTTTTATACATTTTATAAATTTTTACTTTCAAATAATGTTCTTCATTTTCAAACATTTCTTTTTCATTTTCGGGATATATTATGTCAATTCGGTAAAAATGCATTTAGTACAATAGTTTTCGAGGGAAAAGTGTATATAGAGCTTTCGGTAAAATATTTTAATTCGGTTAAATGCGGATTCGGGAACCCAAAAAACATATGACATTAATATCTAAAAATAATATAAATTATTCCTAAAAAGGGATTTTTCAGATTTATCAATTACTGAAAATGCGAATTCAGCATCTATAAATTTTTACATCTTGGATACTGCTTTATTTCACATCGATTAGTCCTTCTCCACTGGTGTTTGCTTTTTTCTCTACGGGTATAAAATAAAATATCATCAGAATGTATATCAAGACTTTTTATGTTGTTATGAATAAACAATAACTTTATAAAGCTAAGCTATTCCAAGTGTTTAAAACTAATAATAATTTATTATCCCATTTCACTGAGAAAAATGACGTTTAACCGAGTGGCAGAAACAACTATTGGTTAAAAAATAATAATTAAAAATAAATATACTCTCTAAATCTGAATATGTGAAAATTCACATATTTGTAAGTTACAAGTCGCTCCCGCTCGTTCATCAAGTGCGCATATTCATTAATAATAAGTTAAATTTCACACAGAATAAGTGAAAAATTCACTTATATTTATAAGTGTATATGCACTTGATGATCGAGAAGACGACTTATAACGTACAATAAATAAAATTTCACACATTCAGATTTAGAGAGTAAATTGTTTAACAATAATTATTGTTCATTAGAAAAAAAAGTTATGTATAAGGTTCAATTTGATTATTTTGAATAAATATGTGATTACTACCAAATTATATCAAAACTCATGACCCGTGTCGTTGTATAATAAATAATAATAGTACATTGTGCATATCAAGGAGGCAAAACAAGCCTTTTAATGCCGAGCGAAATTTTACTATACGAGGTCCGGAATAGATGAGCGGCCAACGAGCAGAAGGCGAGTGATGGCTTCATCTCCGGACCTCGTATCGCAAAATTTAGCAAGGTGTTAAAGACTTGCCTCCGAGGTGCACATAGTGCTTTATATGTAACAAAAGCATGATTAGGAAGTGTTTTCGCTGCTATTTCACAAAGATTCGGCAGAGTAGATGAAATAATTATCTCTTGACTATTGAAAGAATCCATTTTAATGTTATTATTAATTACACATTTAAACTGTACAGGCGACGACCACAACACACGACGATTTGTCAAATATTATAATTTTATATTTTATAAAGAATCCTAGGTAGAGGACGCACCTGCGTAAGAAATCCTTAAAGGACTTTTCAGCAGCAGGAGAATAACGAATAAAGGTTCAATTTCATAAAAGAATTTGATCGTTTTTAGAAAATTAGTGTGGTACGTATCTATAAATAGGTTACCAATGTGAATCATATAATAGATGAAATTGACTTGCAGGTTATGTATAGTTGGTGATTTGTAAATGCAATCATTGAATTATATGTAAAATCAGGGATTTTATAATATATAAAGAAAATCAGATACTCTTAATGTGCTAATGAATTCGAAATTTGTTGCCGCGGTATATAATCGCATTGTCCTATGAAATGCTATATTTAAAAACTGATTTAATTATCACTGGAACGTTCATATAAAATTAGTCATATTTTCGGTGGGGGACTACCCGCCCTTTAGTCTCTATACACACGGAGAGAAAAATCTATAGTATGTAATAATTACTTTGGATTATACGTTGCCATATTAACGTTTTACAACAAGTCAAGCAGTTTCAAATAATATAATATAGGTAGCTCCATGTTAGTTTTAGTATAGGCCTCTTTAAATTCAAGTCTTTAATGTAAAAACTGGATTTTTCTCTACGTCTATATGTATTCTTATCACTTGTGTCTTTTATTCTACAATATAAAATAAATTACCTGGTGTTTGAAAAGTTGTCGTTTCTATTATGCCAACCTCTCCACACATTGGATGTTTCGGATAAGAATTGCAATTTAGTGGTGACTGAATTGATGGCGTAACAGGCAGAAATGGGTTAGTAGGATATTTCACTGTAGTCGAAGTAGGTGGCGTAGGTCTTAAATTATTATTTTCAAAGCGAAAATTATCACTACTAATGATTAACTGAAACATAAAATCATTCTTGATAATGAATATTGAAATAAAATATATTATATTATTATATAGAAATAATGTAAAAAATTAGTTTTGTCATTTACTAGAATGTCAATAATTATATTAGATATGGTAACACACAAGAAGATGAGATGTGGGATCTTTTCTCTTTTTTCCAACCACATTCATCATAATTATTTGATTTAATTATTTGCCAGTTAGTGTCCATAATCCATCATTGCTGTCTTGATGCAAAGAATAATATATTTCATATTCCCACAAAGCACAGACATTTTCTGCAAGTTTGCTGCAAGTTTTCCATGCAAATTTCGCAAGTTTGCATTGCAAGTTTGCAGCAAACTTGCATAAATATAAAAATGTCACCCACTTGGAAAGTTTGCACTTCAAGTTTGCAGCAAACTTGCGCCAAATAGCAAAAACTTGAATGTATGCGCAGTAGTTTACTATGACATAATCTAGCGCTGCGCACTATATTTTAGTCACCTTCCCTACAGGGAAGGCATCGTTCATCAAAATATATGCAATTTGAAAAAAAAAATTTTTTTTTAATTTTTTAGGTATTTTAGAAAGTTTGCTGCAAATTTTCCTCAAGTTTTCATTGTTGCAAACTTGCCAAGAGGGTGACATTTTTATTTGTATGCAAGTTTGCTGCAAACTTGGATGCAAACTTGCGAACTTTGCATGGAAAACTTGCAGAAAAATACTGTCCTTTGTGGGTTGTATAGTAACATAATTGTGACTACATATAAAGAAAAAATATTAAAGAAATTAAATTTTTTTCTTTAGAATACTAAAGAAAAAAAAAAAATATTGAAACAAAAGTGAATTTTTCAGCATTAAGGATTGTTACTACTGCGCACGCGGTAATGATGAGAGGCGACGGGATTGCTCCCATTGATCTTATATGTAAAATCTTACATGTTTCCAAACTCAAAAAAAAATCTCAGCCTCATAATTGAGGAAATAGATTCTAGATAATCGCGCGGCTCTTTGCTCGCGGACCACAAGCGCTATTACCACGCAGTCGGGTGGTGGCAGTGATGCGAGTGGCCCAGAGGTGCTCGCTGCCACCCGCGACTGGTATTAGCGCTTGTAGTCTGCGAGCAAAGAGCCGCGCGGTTATCTAGAATCTAGCTCCTCAATTTTTATTAAAAAACAATAATATAACAATAATATAACAATAATTTAAACAATATTAAATGAATATAAATTACCATATCACCAGTTGAAGGATTACGACACACCCAATCTGTATTTGATGTATATGGACGTTGTTGATGAGGATATTTTGGATAATACTGATTAAAGTTTGGCATATTATGTTGTTGTCGATGTCTTGTGGCACTTCCTTGAGGAGGACCCTTGGGGAATAATTGTTCGTAGGGAACAGTCAAAACCTCAAAAGTATCTGAATTCACTTCAACAGCCCATACCAGAAATATAATAAAAGATTTCATAACACCCCTCATGATGACTCTTCTGGAATAAATTGAATTTTTATTTATATTTTACTCATTAATGTCCTTTCTATTTTTCGTGAAAAATTACAAGAACATTATGCGCGTACATGCTTCCTTTTGTATACCCATGGGCTAAAACGCGAGAATTATATATATGCAGGCTAATTTCTAATTATACGATTTTGAAAATATGACTTTAACCCCTTAACTGTTTTGAGGAAAATACAACATGCTTGTCCTAAAATGCCCAGCAGAATCTGATACTTTTTCAAATAGTATAATATATTTAAATTATAACTAATTATTCAATTATTATAAAAAATATAATTAATCACCCTTATAATGTTGATATAAAGAAAAATATCTATCAATTTATATACAAATTATATTTATTTTGAGTGATGGTGAACACGACCCACAGGTGGATATAGGAAACAGTTATGGCCAAACTTTTTCACGACCCACCCGTGGGCGTTGGTCAGAAACAGGCAACGGGTTAAAAAATATTTCGGAATATTAATAATTTGATTATGTTTTAAAATTTCTATAAATTATAATTTTTTTTATTTTAAGAGTTGAAAATAAAAAAAGAAACTGGGTGAGCAAACTCTGCTCATCATGCGACTGACGGATGGTTAATTGTTCTTTATTAAAAAAATTAAGTTTTGTTATATAATAATATCAAACGATTTGCTTTTATTAGAAATCTTATCGCAAACTTGATAACCCGTGTGGAAAAGTTGGGTGGGACCAAGGTGGGATTCCTAGGGGGGCCCCAGCAAATGAAAATGCCCGCATAGATTAAGTTTTTAGCGTTATATCGCGCGACAAAAAACCTCAATTCCTTCGCCTATTACACGGAAAGAAAAAGTCCGTCAATCATTAATAGACTAGTATATTACTTTGAGACGGGACACAAAATCATTGAATGGATAACATACTTTGAGTCACAATCAGTGACGAGTTGCTTGCTAAAATTTAGAAAACTGTCATCAATATATAAAACTCGTTCACTAAAATTTAGAAAACTGTCTATTAAATTTTCTATGACTATCAAAAGCATTCAAAAAATTCAACTTCTTTCAGAATTATCCCTAATTTTAGACACTATTTGGTACAGAATGAACACATTTTTTTCGTTGCACAGTTCCAATATTTTATTTACACTCTTAGACGCTTTAGACCAACACATTTTCGCACTTATAATAACTACACGTAGAAACGCACACTTATAACACTTTAAGCTTAGAAGCGAACTGTTCTTATATACCAAATAACAAAATTTTTCACAACTTGTGAGAAATGATTTTGCACTAATAACTACTTTTTAATTGGCGAGAAATATAAAAGAAAATATATTTTCATCGAGGTCAATTTCTAGACGCAATTCAACTGCAAATTGTTAGTTAAGTTAAATATTCACATTACACATAATAGTATATAGGGATATGTATAGCAGACAGCAAAAACACATGGACTATAGAGAAACCGGAAGAAATGCGCATCGGTACACTGCGCAACAATGCGCTAGTGAAGAGCGCCGATTTAGAATACGAGTCAACTAACGTTTCACAAACTTTCACTAATGATTCGTAAACATTCAAACAGCCATTGATAACAATTCAGCATTAAATCTAAAACAATTGGTCACATACTGGCATTCTAATCAATCCATGACTCGTTTTCAATCGTTAAGTAAAGTTAAGCAACCATCAACGGAAAAAGAGTCCCGTCTCAAAGTAATATACTAATCCATTAATGGTTGACGGACTTTTTCTTTCCGTGTATGGGAATTTCTTTTAATAGCGCTAGAGTGTGGATGAGCTATAGCGTAGGTAGAGGGTTAATGAAATTAATTGTAATGTTCAAAAATAATTTACAACTCAATCCATGCCTTACATAATAAAATTCACAACTTTGACATTAAATTTTTATCCTTGGTACAGTACCGTCCGAAATTGTCAGTCCACCCATTTTTAAAGGAATGAAAAAAATTTGTTAACATAAAATTCATGAAAACTAAATTTTTTTTTGGTTTATATTTTAAAAGACGATCAAATTTTGAAGAGAATAAGACTTTACAGAAGTCATTTGGCCAAAATTTGTAGAAGATATTCTTAAAAATCGTCATTTTCAATGTTTCACAAAAATTTGAATAACTTTTAAAATAATGAACGCTTTTTTTAATAATCTTTGGCTTATTTTAAAGGTCATTTTCTACGGAATAAGAATTATTACTTATAGGCATTAACCTGTAATTTTTTACTTGGAATAAGCATGCCGTCAAAGTTTGACAAAAAAATTCAAAAAATTTGAAACAATATTATTAAAAGAAAAATAATTTTTGAAATTCAAACATATTTTTTTATTAAATTTTCTTGAAGAATCTACACCATATCATGTTTTATATATGTTCTAGAATAGTTTTTAGTACAAAAAATTTATTTCAAATTTTTCCAATTTTTTTGTCCAACTTTGACGTCATGCTTATTCAGAAGAAAAAAATTACAGTTTAATGCCTATAAATAATTCTTATTCTGTAGAAAATGACCTTTAAAATAAGCCAAAGATTATTAAAAAGCGTTCATTATTTTAGAAGTTATTCAAATTTTTGTAAAACATTGAAAATGACGATTTTTTAAGAATATCTTGAAAAAATATTTGCCAAATGACTTTTGTGAGGTCTTATTATTCTTTTCAAAATTTTATCGTCTTTCAAAATATAAACCAAAAAAAATTTGAGTTTTCATACATTTTATGTTAAAAATTTTTTTTTCATTCCTTCAAAAATGGGTGGACTGACAATTTTGGCCGGTACTGTACGGACAAAAAATTCTCAATCAAGTTTTAATTTTACTCAATTTTATAAAAAAAATTGATTAATCAAATTAATACATTTTACTCTCTAAATCCGAATTAGTATAGTTTTCTACTAATGAAGTAGTGCGCGCTGATTCGTTTACCGAAATTGAAATGTCAACAGTTTTGACTAAATTTTAGTAAAAAAAAAAAAACAAATATTTACTATATAGTAGAAAACTATACAAATTCATTATAGTAATAAATCGTTTATTTTACAATTTCAAATTAGTAAGCCGACTTGCGAGTGAATTGGTAGTTTTCTACTATAGCAATTGGTATTTTTTTTTACTAAAAATTAGTCAAAACTGTTGCAAAATTCAATAATTGCGGTAAACGTTTTAACCAGCACTATTTAATTATAATAAAAGACTACCTACTAATTTAAATTTAAAAGAGTGTAGTCGTAGTAACATTTAGAAAATCAGAATAAACGCGCACTCAAACAAATGAAACCAATGCGCGCGATGATGCGTCGACAGGAAAGTATAATACACATGGTTGATTTCATTAATAAAGCCAACAGGACATGAATTGCATTTTTCGATAAAAAAATTCATCTAAAAACACATATATCAAACACAATCAAAGATCAAGATCTTGTATTCTTCCCTCATTTGACAATCAACAACAACAACAACAACACTGTAAAGAATTGAATGTTAATTAAACAAATAGTATTTACTGCAAAATTTTGTCAATACACTCACGCAGAGGTGTTTTCAAAATTTGGAGAAACAATATTGGTATTGGAATAAATCTTGCTTATATGCTTTTACTCTCACTCAAATAATAAAATAAAAGTGACAAAAGTCGAAAAACTATGAGGAAAGAAGGAATGAAAAAGATGATCATTAAAATTTTTTATATATATATACAAAAGATCAGAAACTTGAATACCACAACACAAAGAAACGTTTGGGTATCCGGTTTACCCCACTCTCATCTCTCAAAAATAATTACAAGTAACAACTACTCGTAAAATTCATTATTTCAAAATCATAAATTTGAAATGTTTTCATCTTTTTTAAATTTGAAATTGATAAATTTTTTAAGACTCTTCTACTTGACTAAATTAAAAAAAAATTGTTAATTAACAAAAGAAAATGATTACCTTCTTTTAAAAAGAGGGAAGGAAGAAGACCTTGCCTAAAGGAAATGAGGAGGAGGAGGATGACCTTGCGGATTAAACACTTACTATTGAGAAACCACTGACGACTAAAGCCGCAGAATTGTTAATCATTGATTTAATGTTTACGACGATTCCTTCTACTTGGAATTATACTGATTATTATTCAATACAAAAATACACAAGTACTGTCATTGATCACTTGAATAAACACTGAAAAAATTTTCTATTATTTTTTCCACTTGTCAAAAACTGAAAAAATAGTTGATAGAATGACTGCTATTATTTACCCAGGTGCGAATTTAGGTTGGCCGCCAGAGTTTGAAGGTTGGCCCAAGGTTGGCCTAACTTTGGCAAGCAAAGTTTTGGTTGCCAGAGTTTGCCCAACTTTGGCAAGTACTTGTGCCCACAGTTGGCCCGACTTTGCAAGCCAACCATTAAATGCAGAGTTTAACCAACCGTCGGGCCAACTTTGGCGACAAAGGTTGGCACAACTTATCCAAACGTAGTTTAAAAGACTTTCAGTTTCGGTTGGCCCAACGGTTGGCAAAACTATGTGAAACACAGTTTAATTGACTTACATTATTTTGGTTGGCCGAACTCTGGGCCACGGTTGGCCCGACGGTTGGCAAAACTATGTGAAACGCAGTTTAATTGACTTAAACTTTCTTGGTTGGCCGAACTCTGGGCCACGGTTGGCCCAACGGTTGGCAAAACTCTAGAAACGCAGTTTAAATGACTTAAACTTTCTTGGTTGGCCGAACTCTGGGCCACGGTTGGCCCAACGGTTGGCAAAACTCTAGAAACGCAGTTTAAATGACTTAAACTTTCTTGGTCGGCCGAACTTTGGGCCACGGTTGGCCCGACGGTGGGCAAAACTTTGTGAAACGCAGTTTAATTGACTTGATTTTTCTTGGTTGGCCGAACTCTGGGCCACGGTTGGCCCAACGGTTGGCAAAACTTTGTCAAATGCGGTTTAAATGACTTAAACTTTCTTGGTTGGCCGAACTCTGGGCCACGGTTGGCCCGACTGTTGCAGCTTAAATATACATTTTGCGTTATGCACTCCCATGTGAGCGTAGCGTAGTGGTCAGTGTATAAGTCTTCGGTGCGTTAGGTTAGGGGTTTGATCCCAGCGAGCGATAGATATTTTCGAAAATGTATGTATGAGATTGTGTTTAATAATAATAGGTAAAGGTTATATCTGATGTTCCCGCTAATAATAACGTGATAATTGTTTAAATAATGTAGTTTTTTAATAATTTTTTACCTTTGGCTGTTGAAGTTGGCCAAACTTTGAAAATTGTGGTTGGCCCAACTTACGCATCTAAAGTTGTGCCAACTTTGGCGTCAGTCTTTGGACCAACCATTGAAATGTATAGTTGGCACAACATATGCATTGTAACCCTAGTAGAAATTTGTCATAGTATCTTTAAGGGCACTGGACAGTTCCACTGGAAAATTTCGAGGCACTTTACAGTTAAACTGGCTAAAAACTATAAAGTGATGTCACGCTAATTTCTTCAAGTTATTGTCCAGTCAAATTTTACAGTTTCTGATCATCAGTCCTGTAGAAAAACTATACAAAATAATTCACTTGGAAATGTCAAAACTTTCTTTATATTGACGTTACGTATTAAACACGTACAAATTTGAAAATATAACGTTAAATTTTTTTGTCAACAAATTAAATAAATTAAAATTTTACGAAACTATATTTTTACTGTTGGTGTATCTATTGTTCCGTATAATAAATGATTTATAATAAATTATCTGTAAAATTATTTTTAAATAACTACATAATTAAAAAAAAATATAAAAATTACTGATCCTTGAACACATGTCATTTTTTTACATTAAACAACATTCACTTTTTCCTTTAATTAAGCACAACACTGAAATAAATATTATTATTTTATCACACTACAAACTTATAAGTAAACCCTAATATGAAGAATTAATTCAGTTCAAACGAAAAATATCTAGCGGTTTCGGGGAGCGAACTCGGGTCACACTGGGACGAAATACCTAAACGCACGCTTTACGCATCACGGCCGTTCTAGTCGATGGACGATTCCGGAAAAATAAGAACCATACTCTACCGGCAGGTAAAGCAGTTCCCTTTTTCATCTTTTCTAGCTCAACTGGCGAATTACTGGACAGCTACTGCATAACACTCTAAAGTTGAACTTATTGATTATTACTGTATAGAAGTTCTGTCTGTCCAGTTATTCTCATGGTACTGTCTAGGCGTTCCGTGAAATTATGTTTCAAAGTTTGTCGTGGCGTTAGCGTCAATGTAAAACATAACCTCACTTTATTGGACCAATTCTAACTTTTTGTATGTAACAGGTTTGTTAAATTAATATTTATACATATAATAAGAGTATATAATCTTGAAAAGAAATTGTCTTCTGAATTTAAAAAATTAGTTATTTTAATTAACTCAATTAATTGAAGCGAATTTTAAAAAAATTTGTTTTTTCTAAAGGAATTGTCATTAAAAATAAATTTTGATTGAAAAGAAATTTTTATTATTAAATCAAAATTTTAATATTAAATAATTTAAAAAATTTGTTATTTAGTTGTCAACAGTAAAATAAAAGAACAAAATTAAAATTATAAAAACTATAAACTGTAAAACCAAAAGATTTATTTTATAGAAAATATTTCGAAAATGTCAATACACAACTGTTTAGTTACTGAAACTGGCGGTAGCGCTAACGCCACGACAAACTTTGGAACATCATTTCTCGGAACGCCTCGACAGTGCCATGAAAATATAACTGTACAGGACTTCTATGCAGTAATAATCAAGTTCAACTTTATATTTTCTTTAACAGTGTTATGCAGTAGCTGTCTAGTAATTCGCCAGTTAAGCTAGATTAAACTTCCATGACTAAAACTGTACAGTAACTTGAATAAATCTAGTCATGCCACGACAAATTTCTACTAGGGAAGTTGGGCCAACTTCCTTATGAGTTGTCGGGCCAACCATCGTCGCCATTAGACGGTCGCCGTTATCATCTGTATGGTTGGCCCAACCTCTGGCACGAGAAGTTGGACCGACTTTGTAAAAGTTGGCCCAACTATGGGCCGACCAAAAAATCGCACCTGGGTAATACCTTGAAAGTTTCTTTTAACTTGTCCCGTGTAGAAATCACCATGCTATGCCTAAAATGATTATTGGCCCTAGCTTGGACCTAACTTGGCAACCCCTTTTTATATATCCTGGGCTGGTCCTAACTTGGTACTAGCTACGAGATCCAGTTATGACTTGGAAAAATTTTTAAGAAAATAAAGTATGAAAATTGATACATGAAAAACATGTAAAAATTGATAAATATTCTCAATTAATATTTATAAAATTAATTGATAATCATATTTGTTTAAACAATTTATTGTCCCAGGTGCGAATTTTGGTCGGCCGCCAGAGTTGGAAGGTCGGGCGCAGGTCGGCCCATCTATGGCTGCCAATAGGTCGGCAGCCAAAGTCGGGCCGACTTTGGTTACTGTTTCCACCCAAGTTTAGGCCGACTATGGGTGCCAAAGTTTAGAGAACCTAATTTTAGTTGGTCGGGCCGACTCTGGCCTGAGTCGGGCCGACGGTCGGTAAAACTATGGCAGCCAGAGTTTAGAGAACCTAATTTTAGTTGGTCGGGCCGACTCTGGCCTGAGTCGGGCCGATGGTCGGCTAAAGTATGGCAGCCAGAGTTTAAAAAGGTTAATTTCTGTTGGTCGGCCCGACTTTGGCCTGAGTCGGGCCGACGGTCGGTAAAACTATGGCAGCCAGAGTTTAGAGAACCTAATTTTAGTTGGTCGGGCCGACTCTGGCCTGAGTCGGGCCGATGGTCGGCTAAAGTATGGCAGCCAGAGTTTAAAAAGGTTAATTTCTGTTGGTCGGCCCGACTTTGGCCTGAGTCGGGCCGACGGTCGGTAAAACTATGGCAGCCAGAGTGCAAAAAACCTAATTTCAATTGGTCGGGCCGACTTTGGCCTGAGTCGGGCCGACGGTCGGTAAAACTATGGCAGCCAGAGTGCAAAAAACCTAATTTCAATTGGTCGGGCCGACTCTGGCCTGAGTCGGGCCGACGGTCGGTTAAACTATGGCAGCCAGAGTGCAAAAAACCTAATTTCACTTGGTCGGGCCGACTCTGGCCAGAGTCGGGCCGATGGTCAGTTTGAAGTTGCAGCTTATAAAATCATTTTTGTTCTTAGGCTTTCATGTAAGCGTAGCGTAATGGTTAGCGTGTTAGACTTCGGTGCGTTAGGTTGCGAGTTCGATTCCTGCGAGCGTTAGAAATTTTAATTTGTATTTATGTGTAAGATTGCGTTTAGTGTTAAGATGTGTACAATAAACAAATAAATAATGAATAATAATAATTAATAATAATAATAAATAATTAATAATTTTTTGCAATCGGTCGGCCGACTTTTGGCTGCCAAGGTCGGCACGACCAAGGTTGCCAAAGTGAATCCGACCTTCTTTCTCATGGTCGGCAAAGCTTTGGCACCCCTGGTCGGCCCGACTTTGGCAACCATAGTCGGCCCGACCATGTCAGCCACTGGACGGCGGGTGTTACAATTCGCTAGTTCGGCCGACCTTTGGTTGCCAAGGTCGGCACGACTATCCACTTGGTCGGCGCGACCATGGCCCGACCAACTTTTCGCACCTGGGGTTTGACATAAATCAGAAAATTATACAAATACTATAAAATAAAGTTAATTTATTAATTTATTAATTCAGCAATTGTTTAAACAAATAATTGTTATTTACTAACTTTTTACACAATCAACCTAGAAACTAGCAGTTTTTTTCTAATTTTGCAATAAGTACATACTGAGATTAGTTAATTGCAAAATTTTAAAAGACTGCAAGTGTCTAGACGGTTTATTGTCTCAAGAGTTGATAAATAACAACAATTTTTTGTTTAAATAAATACTGAATTGGTAAAATTATAAATTATCTTCATATTTCACTACTCACGTGTAATAATCGCAAAGTTGGATAAAAAAACTGCAAATTTTCAAGTAATTTGTTACAAAAGTTGATAAAACAGCAAAATTTATTTATTTATTTAAACAGATACAGACTGCAATATAATTATCATTAGTAA